TCTACCTTAAAGTTGCTTGAGAGATTAAGAAAGTGTTTCCATGACTAACTTGGGGTCTGTTTTGAGAGAAAGTCCCTGAAATTAGAAATTCACAAAAATCGAGGGGATCACATTCTGCTCAATTTTGTTCATGACATTGCTAATGCGCATAAACATTACTAAGTACACCATGCAACACCGTTGTGTTACAATGTAGGTACATACAATTAATGTAGTTACGTGTACAATACATAATACAACTCAATATCTTTAACGAGCAGGTTAGACTCTTCCATACTTTTTTAAAAACTTTTCAAAAGCAGTACTAGTTTTAATATGTATTCAGTCATAAATCACGTCAACACAACCAACGTGCAATATTTTGACAGACGTTGTCACCCATTAATGCCTAAACCTGTCATGAGCACGTACAATCAAAATAATTGTGCGTCAATCAAGCCGTGAAAATAAGCAACCAATAACAAAATATAAGAAAGCCAAAGATACATTGTATTTGTAAAAAAGGGAACGTTACATAATGTCAGGTTCATATTTGCTGCGATTCATCGGTCGGCCCTCGGCCGATTGAGTATTTTGTTTCAAACAAATACAATTTTGAACATAACACTCAATCGGCCAGACACCTATGTGACCCAGGCATAACGTGGGCTAATTGTCACGAAATGGTTGTTCTAGCTAACTGTGATATAAATGCTGATTGCATATATTTTGTAATCTCTCAATTTATAACATGTTAGGCTATGTCAGATATGTGTGAGCGTAAAATATTAAATCGACTCCTGTATGATATATAGGTCACGTCTCACAAGGCTTATACCTTATCTCAAATCCAGCCTTTAAATTGAAACAACTTTTACAAATATTTGAGGAAAAATTCGGTATGCAGCTTTTACAACATGTGCTCGACCCTTACTGCTGTACAAATTGAAGTGCGGTGTTTCTGCTTGCAATGGGTGTATGCCTACATGCATTAAAAACTGTTGTACATTGTAGGGAGAAGTGTTAGTTTAAACAAGTCAGTCAATGGAAGTACTAGTGCTGTAACTCGACTAAAAACAAGCCATTATAATTACAAATAAAATTCATCTATGGTCATTACCCCATAACAAATCGTGGGAATACTAAAATAAATTGAAATGTATCAGGTCTTATCACTATACAAGAAATGTATTTTATTGCGTTTGAGTCACGTAGTACGAATTAGCAAGAAAATGATTTCTATTTGGTCGTTTAACGTTATGAAAATAGAACGGTAATTGTAAATGCAGTATTACTGAGTGAACGGTGTATGTATTAGTGAATAAGATCACTTCGGCTCTAAGCGGCGAGATAAACTAAGTCTATGTCTTTAAAATGTTTATGAAAACTTTTCGGACAAACCTTTTCCTTATAACCTCAATTGTTGAGGATTTCAAAGATTTTTAGCATCATGTTCTCAACAGAATAATAATGGGCATTAATGAATTTGTGATGCTAAAGATAGAAAAGGTTTTACAGGTGGTCGGAAAGTTTTTGATTTTGAAATGAGATTTGTTATTACTATATTATCGAGAAAGCTTATCAATTGTCCATTATAAACATTTTTGTATATTGTCCAGCGGCGACACAGCCGCAGAGCCACATTTTGGCAACCAGCATGTATATATGATAACATTATTGTATGTAAATAATACACTCGGTTTTTCTGCAGCAGCCGCAGAGCCACATCCTAGTTAATGTTATGTTTCTTAAGTGAAGGTTAGAATAGAAATCTCAATACTTAACTTGAAAGGCGACTACGTCAACCGCAGATCAATTTACTCCCCAGTCACATTTGTCGCACAGCGGCCGTAAGTAGACCGCAGATCAATTATATCAGTGAAGGGAAGCCGTAGATTTTATAACTCGGAATTACAATATTTGTTAATTTCTGCGGTCCCCGTAGAAATCAACAGGCCGTACGTAGCCAGACCGCATAAAGGTCATTTCATTGCAATCCGTTCAAATCGTTAGCTACAAAAATTGATTGACTAAAACGTATGATACATAAATGAGAGCTAAGAAAAAAGCGCAAGAAAAAACAGTGAAATGTACTTGAAGTGGCGATTGTGTTTTCTGCTTACCAGTTACCCAGCTCTAATAGTGCGATATAAGGTGACTTGATTATGCAGATGAGAAGACCCCATTGGTTTCCCGGTCAAACAATCAAAACAGACGGGGACAAGCTTTGTTTGAACTGTTACTATATCAAGTATTTCTTAACGTTTCGTGACCAGAAATCCACTTAACTATAGGGAATATATTCCGTTATAAAGATAGATTGTTTTCACTTACCAATCATTCACTAACATGTGCTGTCATATTCAGCTCTGGCATTCATGTCAAAAGGGGGAAGGGTAACCCCCACACTGAATAAATTCAAAGTTCGCGCACCCTTCTTTTTCATTGATGATAGAACAGTTTACGATAAAAGGCCGAACGCAGAAAACATTGAAATTACGAACGCGGTACGTTCGGGGTATTTCTCTCGGCCTTGGAATTACTCAAGAAAAATATACCATCCATAGACGACATGCAACGACATCTAATTTTCGTCGAGTGAATCATTTCCAAAAATAATCAATTTTAAGAGAAAATTGCACATAATGGTTTTGCGAGACGACCTCTATCTAACACAAGTAAAATTCTACTAAAGAGATCGCTCAAAAATATTGAAAAAATGAAACCATTTTTCTCATCAATTTTAAGACATACTTCTCATGGATCGAATCACGATTTCTTTAGAGAAAATAAGACTTTGCTTTATTATGTGGTTACGATATATGTTATTTTGCTGCTTAAAAAACGTTAAGTCAATCTATTTACGCACTGAAAAACGGTACAAAATATAAGATGGAATTTCATCGCTTCGCCAAAAAAGTTCTACAAAATGCGTTTTTCATGATTCAACAATAATATTTTAGAATATAAAAATTCATCACACCTCCGATATTGTCTGAAAATTCCATAATGATCGTGTAGAAAATAAAAAAGTTGTACTCATCTAAAAAGCTCTCTCTATCGAGCCTCTTCTTTTGGGAGACAAATATCAGATATGAGGTGATAAATAAGGAATAGGCCAAATGGGTATAACATTGACACCATTTCCTTTCAATTTGGGGTAACTACAAGGTATGAGCTAACTTCAACACTTTGTTGTTTATTTGCTCTAATTTTCAATCTAGAGGGAAGCCTTATGGATCGAAATCTCACAAGATTTCTATTTATTCGCAATCAAATATGGCGGAAAAGGAAAATTCTAATTTGTAACAGTTAGTATCTGACCTATCTGAGTTACCCTTACTTCCTGCGAAAGCTATGTGGATTTTGATATAATAGCTTTCCCATGGCGCACTTGTACAGCTGAATAATAATGACCTTTAAGGCGACGCTATATTAAATAAAAAGTACAAAAAATGACTGCCATATTTTTTTGATAAAGACACATGTTTTTAAAATCTGTTTACCTTGTATATGAATTGTGTATCTTGACTAATGAAACATGTCAAAGTTAACATCACACATAAACGCATTTTTCCAAACTATGAATTGGAGGTGCATGGATCCCCAAAGCTAGCATGAAGAGTGCGAAGTGAGGCTAATTTTTGAAAGTTTCAAGGAGTAGCCTTGCAACAGTCACACATTTGCAAGAGTCTAAAATTTCCACAAATCATCTTACCTTACCAAGGAACAACGAAGGAGCACGAAAATGTGTACTTCTTGCATTGTTAGAGTATAATAAAGCTCAAACCATTGTGAATTCTAAATATTTCATGTCCACCATTTTGTTTCCTGGAACTATTTTTTAGTCCAGAGTTATCTTCATTCATGTTTCCATTGTTTAGCATTCATAAAGCCTCTATCATGTATCTATCATGATAATTACACTGTAATAGATAAAACATACAAGTGATAATCCATGCCACTTGGTGTAGTCACAAAACTTGCATGAGGATTAATCAGGAAGTCTAGAAGTAGTTCCAGCAAACAAAATATGGACATGAAATATTTGGAATTTACAATGGTTTGAGGTTTATTATACTCTAACAATGCAAGAAGTGCACATTTTCATGCTCCTTCGTTGTTCCTGGGAAAGGTAAGATGATTTGTGGAAATTTTAGACTCTTGCAAATGTGTGACTGTTGCAAGGCTACTCCTTGAAACTTTAAAAAATTAGCCTCACTTCGCACTCTTCATGCTAGCTTTGGGGATCCATGCACCTCCAATTCATAGTTTGGAAAAATACGTTTATGTGTGATGTTAACTTTGACATGTTTCATTAGTCAAGATACACAATTCATATACAAGGTAAACAGATTTTAAAAACATGTGTCTTTATCAAAAAAATATGGCAGTCATTTTTTGTACTTATTATTTAATATAGCGTCGCCTTAAACATGAATAATGAGATCCGGGGCTACTTTCGGTCTCTAACTGTGTCTTACATCAGTACCATCACTCCGCTGTGCAAGTATTGGAGCGCTGAAATACTTCTTTTTCGATCAAGACTTGTAAATTGTTCATCGAGTGAATGTTTTTCGACCCATTTCTCCATTTCTCCATTTCTCAGTTGGAGAGCCAGAAGTTCCAATATCTAGCATGGCTCTCGAAGTGAGTAAAGTTATCCCATATCTCATGTCATCAATTCATTACCCCCCCCCCCTGCTTCCCTCTTAGTCTAATCATGGGCTAATAGGGAAAAATAAGAAAATAGCCGACAATAACAAAAGATTTTTCAAAAATCAAAAATAATAATCTGACCGGAAGTTGACAGAAAAGACACCTTTTTTACGAATTTACGACTATATAAAGATCCATTTTATTATGGATTTATAGTAATACAAACAATTACTTAAATCAAAATGTAATGAGTCAACTATACTCACTCTTTATGCTGTAAATATGAAAAATATAGAGCGTTTCTCAAACGTGGCGACTGCTTTAAATTTTTCAAGGTCGTTTGTAATCTCGCGATATTTAGCGAGAATTACGCAGTGACTGAATATTCTGAAATGTTACAACTATGATCTCCTTTACAGACAATTTTTGGGTATGTACGATCTTTATTTAACTACTTCTTGATGTCATCGATCTTAAGTATAACCTCATACTTCTAAAGAACCACAGTCAAAACCTCACGATCTCCGAGTAGGCGTACTGTGAGGATGCAAAGAGAGGGGTGTAACTTATTTTTCAAAAAATCAAAACATTGAATTGATCTTGATGGCTGATGATTGAATCGTTCTTCTTCTTCTTCTTCTATTAAAGTACAGACTCCTCTTTAGGATATTTCGTACTATGTGTGCTTGCGTGCGGTGTATATACAATTGTAGTGTGAGTGTGCATTAAAATGTCTAAAATCGTTTTAAAATCGTCATCACTTAGTACGAAAGCATCACACTCCCTGCCTCCTTCTTAAAAATGTCCAGGGAATCGATCATGGCTACATTTGCTGGAAGAAGGTTCCATAGTCGTATGGTTGCAGGGAAAAATGAGTAAAGATGTAAATCTACTCTTGAGGATGGGACAAGGTAGCGTAGGTTGTGACCCCTGGTCACAGATCCTACTAGCTCGAGGTATGCCGCTGGTGGAATGGCTACCTTATGGTGGACTATCTTGTGAAGCATGACTACTCTTGTCAAATTACGTCTGTCTTGTAGTGGTGGCAGCTGCAGATTCCTCAGCATGGTGGTAGGGCTGCTGGTTTGTCTGTAATCTTGTGTTATAAATCTGGCTGCTCGTCGCTGTACTCCCTCCACCTGCCCGATTGCCTTCTTCATGTAAGGGGACCATACGGAAGAGGCATATTCCAGCTGTGGTCTAACAAAGGTGGTATATGCTTGTTTCCTCACATTGCTGGGGCAGGAGCTAATGTTACGACGGAGGAAGCCCAGGGTGGAGTTGGCTTTCTTGGTGATGGCAGACACGTGAGGATTCCAAGATAAGGTGTTACTGATGTTTACACCTAAGTACTTAGCAGTGTCCACTGCACATAACGGTTGGTCATGGATGCAGTACTGATGTAAACGAGGTGATCTTTTCTTGGATATGTGTAGTACCTCACATTTGTCTGGGTTGAATCGCATCAACCAAGAATCCTCCCATCTTTGTAGAGTGTCCAGGTCTTGTTGGAGTCGCTTTGCATCCATCTCAGATTTCACTCTGCGATACATCAAGCAATCATCTGCAAAGAGGCGAGTGGTAGAAGTTACAGCCTCTGGCAGGTCATTGATGTATGCAAGGAATAACAGTGGTCCTAAAACAGTCCCTTGGGGCACTCCCGATGTTACTGGAGCTGATTTGGACTGTTCACCATCAAGGACAACACACTGTGTTCGATCTGTGAGGAAGTCTTTGATCCAAGCATGGGTTGATCCTGTAATGCCGTAGAACTGAAGTTTATGGAGCAGCCTTCTGTGTGGGACTTTATCAAAAGCCTTGGAGAAGTCAAGCAAGATTGCATCAGCTTGATCTCCGTTATTCAGTTCTCTTGCAAGGTCGTGGATGGTTACGATCAGCTGCGTTTCACAGGATCTCTCAGCCCGAAACCCATGTTGGAAGTTGGTGAGAATTTTGTTCGTTTCTAGGTGTTTCATTGTCTCGCTGAAGATGATGTGTTCAAGAACTTTACAGCATATTGATGTAAGTGAGACTGGCCTGTAATTAGATGCCAACGATCGATCACCCTTTTTGAAGAGGGCTACAATGTTAGCATCTTTCCAGACTTTTGGGATCTTGCCCTGATTAAGGGAAGCCTGGAAGATCAGGCTAATCGCTGGTGCAATCTCACTTGCTGTCATCTTCAGGAATTGTGCTGATATGTTGTCCGGTCCGGTGGCTTTGTGTGGTTTTAAGGTCTTAAGTTGTTTGAGCACCCCATCAACATGAATACTGATATTCGGCATTCTAGGATGGGGAGAAGGGCCTTTGTTGGGAATGGCACCTTCTGGCTCATGAGTAAAAACTGACACAAATTGGTCATTGAGCACCTCTGCCTTGGCTTTACTTGAGCTGAATGTTGTGCCATCACGCTTCAAAGGGGCAACGCCTGAGTTGTCACATTTCTTGGACTTAATAAAGCTAAAGAAGCGTTTGTTACAACCGTCACCCACCAAGCCATCCAAATAGGTGTTATAGGCTTTTTTGCATTCTCGCTGGGACTTGTTCTTCACTGAACGATAATAGTTCCAGTCCTGCGAGCGTTTGGATTTCCGGGCACGGTTGTATGCACGCTTCTTCCGATGTGATAGCTGTTTCACAGTTGTTGTTATCCAGGGCTGGTCAAAGCGTGACGACGTCATCTTAGATGGTACGCTCTTTGCCATAAAGCGGTTACAAGCTTTTGAGAGTTCATCCCAAAGGTCTTGTATGGGAGTGGAGATGTCACACTTCTCACAAAAGCTTTTGGCAAAAGTTGCTACATCGGTTTTAAGGGTGTCCATGTCTGCTCTCTTCCAGAGATATATCAGGCGCTTTACCGGACGTTGACGTGTTGCTTGTGTGTTGGTGTCAATCTGGACAATGTCATGGTCACTTATGCCTGGGATGGTCTTACAGCTGTGAACCAAACTTGGTCGATTAGTGGCAAAGAGATCTAATGTATTTGCCATACGAGTTGGAAAATCGACTAGCTGTTCGACACCAATGTCCGGAAAAAGCCCAAGAAAAATCTCATTGATGGACTTAAGATATTGGTTGCCTTCAATGGTGTTTGTAGGCCAATTTATATCTGGGAGATTGAAATCACCAGCAACCCAAAGTGTAGCGTTTGGATGGGCAGTCGCTAGGGTACTTAAACAACGACACATCTCCTGGGAATTATCTATGTCATTGTTGGTTGGTCGATAAGCACCAACTATGATTAGGGGTTGTTTGGCCTTATGCTGTTTCACCTTGACTGCAACAAGCTCACTTGTGGTTTGCAGGGGAATCTGTGAGCTAATGAGTGCCTTGGATATTGAAACAAGCACTCCCCCATGGCCATCCGGGCGGTCTTTCCGATATGTTTCGAAGTTTGGTGGAATAGCTTCGCTGCTCAGTATTTGAGGTTTGAGCCATGTCTCGGTACCTATGATGATATCAGGTTTGATTATAGTTCAATTTGTTGATTTGATTATTGAATATAGATTCAAGTCCGATTCTGTATCATCTGACTCATTGGTTTAGATACTTAGATCAGAAGCCTAAATAATACAGCATCTCATCTACATTTGATAGACAGTCATGGGCGTAGCGCTATTTTTTGAAGTAGATATAGTACGCCACCACCAGAGGAACAAGAGTTGGGTGAATCAAAAACGAGCATTCGGGGGGCCTGGGGGTTAGGCGTACTGTGAGGATGCAAAGAGAGGGGTGTAACTTATTTTTCAAAAAATCAAAACATTGAATTGATCTTGATGGCTGATGATTGAATCGTTCAATTTGTTGATTTGATTATTGAATATAGATTCAAGTCCGATTCTGTATCATCTGACTCATTGGTTTAGATACTTAGATCAGAAGCCTAAATAATACAGCATCTCATCTACATTTGATATCATTGGTTTAGATACTTAGATCAGAAGCCTAAATAATACAGCATCTCATCTACATTTGATAGACATTTGATAGACATTTGATAGATATAGTACGCCACCACCAGAGGAACAAGAGTTGGGTGAATCAAAAACGAGCATTCGGGGGGCCTGGGGGTTATCCCCCAGGAAAATTTTGAAATTTGGTTGTATTTGCAACCATCTGGTACGCCTGCACGTACCCAGCGTACCGGGCGCTACGCCCATGACAGTTCTCTTTCGTCCATTCCTACAGTTTAGGACCATAAATATCGGCTTCTAAATGGGCCTATTAGCTTTTGCAGATTATTGCAGGCCATCCAACTGTCCCGCAATTTTCGTATTTGTCATGAATTTGCTGAAGAAATAGAAGTCACATCCGTTTTAGTGTGACAGACTATTCTTGTTCGCCCATTTGTTAGTCACTCATTTTAAGTGTTCCCAGGTTGAAAGGCCTGTTATCGACATAGGCAAAAAATGAGAAGTTGATTTTCTATCACCATTTATTTATTTATGGTCCAAACTGTAAGCCAAAACTGATCCATTTCTTCAATCTAAGTTTCCAAGTGTGATGTTGATAGATCATTTGTCAGTTTTGTCGATGATTGTTTTCAAGTAAGTTCAGTGAAGGATATTGACAACCTATCAAAAATCAGGCAATAGTAGGGTTTGGTTTTCTTCACTCACCTATCAATTTATCCAATGTCATCATTTAGCACTTAGAAGTAGCTAATATGAACCTTTGTAAGTAAAACACCTCCAAATTAAAACTTTTAAAGATGTACAGACTACAGAAGGCATTATACGTAAACAGGTAGTACTCACTATATATTAATAAGCTTACTACTACTTTTACCTAGGCCTATGTTGTTGACATTGCTGTTGACATTTTGAATTAAATCCAGAGCTGCAAGACCTTTAGAAATTAGGCATGATAAGAATTTTATGAGCAAAAAATATTTTTCTTTGTGTCAATGTTTAAGAAAATAACTCTCACTTGGCTTTGTTGTTAAAAATGTGAGACTAGTGTTTGACTAAAAATATGTAGAAAGCTACTGTAGAATTCAGCTATTGTATTTGATATTATTTGCTCATTTCTGGCTTAGATTGAGCATCGATAAGATAAATAAATATTTTTGATCAAAATAAATAAAAATCGTATATGTAAAAAATGCCAGTATCTAAATATTCATATTGCGATAACCACGCCCCCTTTGTCTAGATCTTACAAAACGACACATACCGTATTCGCCGTAAAAAGCGCCCACAAAGAGCACCATTTATGTTAATGTAAAAGTCAAGAAATCTTAAAAAGAAACAAGAAAGTTCACGACCTTGACATGACCTTGACAATCACTAGTTAGCAAAATATCTAAACAAAACTCTGAAATGTGATCATTCCCTTCATTCAATATGGACTATTTTGAGATAATATTAGCTTAGTATGATGTGGTTAGCCTTGCCCAAGTCGGTCTCTTTTACTTATCTTGATTTCTATTATGACCGCCTTGTACCCAAGAGAAAGCCACGTGCTTTACCCACCCAATGTTCATGTCGGTAAAATTTGACTAATCAACGACGGCCCTGCAGTGTTAGCTCATTATTATGCACAGTCAAAAACAAGTACACTTTTCAGCTTTTCACCGGGACTTTTCACGAACAAATCTTGCACGAATTCATGATCAAAATACAAAAATTTTATCAGATAAATATCAATCAGAATTTTCAGACGTTGAAACGATTGCTGAATTTGATATTAATCTCAGCATAAATGAATACCTAAAGAATAGAAATTATAAATACAATTGTAAATTAAACATATCATATTAGCATGGTTGAAGACTAGATTGCATTAGAACTTTGGATAGCAGCTGTTTTTTTGCACCAGTGCCCATCAGTGTCTCATCCAAAATGGCACTCTTCATGTTGGTCTAGTAAATGGGAGAGGTGAACTTGTAATATGGTATGTGTTCATCATTTTGATACACATGTATTGTGAGTCAGTTTGTTTGAGTCTCATTTTTAATATGTACAGCGTTCACTATTTCAATATTACTTTTTACAACCCATACTGAAAATGCTGACTTGAAATTTCTACTTCAAGAAAAATAAAAATGTAACACACAATTTTAGATTACACCAGTCTACAGTTAAACCTGTGAATACAAATGCCATTCATTGATGTGAACATCGGTAGTTTTCACTTCTTGCTAGATGACACCATATGTCAATGCTAACATCATAACATTTTATTTTTCATTCAGTTTTGTAAAATCTAAATAACAAGAAAAACGGGTTTTTGGAATCCCAACAGAATTTTCTCCTTGCAGAATTCACTAATTTCACTTGCAGAATTCACTAAAACTCGGAGGGTCAAGTTTTAGCACTTTTTTGACATGCTTTAAGGCTATCAAACTGTAATCAAGAGATTTATGTATAGAATCACCAGTTATCAGTCAAATTTTTGTTTTTAGGGGGAGAAAAACAATGGATTTGATGTGCTGTATCATAATATGAAACATGGCCAAGTTTCCAGCAAAGAATTATCAGACTTCTTAAGAGAAAGGTATGTTGTTTAGATTTAGCCTTTTTAGGTATATTCACACTTTTATAAGTTTCAATGAAGGCTTAGTTAGAGTCTAATGTTATTTTCAGGTAAGCATAACTCATTTTATACATGTGCTACATCTCTCGGTAAATAAACGCGAAAAAATTCAGTAACCTGCATATTTTTTGTACTTTTCAATCGTAGGTCAGTAAATTTTCTTCACTTTTAATTTATTTAATCATTAACCCTCAGTTAATGGTCTGGGTACACCGATGTACTCTTTGCAAGACAGAAGATGTAAATTATGTATGGAATGATTCCAATTGCGAACATATGGAACTACCTTAATTCATCCATATCAGTGTTCACAACAGGATAATTTGTGTCAGATTCTTGTTTTACCATTATTCTGACTCAGAACTCTATTTGTCAAAATATCCATGTATCTTCTCAAACCTACAACAAATGGTGGTACAATTATTAGTTAAATGAATCATCTAGATGATTTAACGGAGAGACCATAAACTACTAGCCTTTGGTCCATTTGGTTTGGTGGTACCTAAATGATGGGAGGAGGGAGTATTGGGCATATTTTCTTTTCACATTAGATCATGGTTGGGGATAGTTTGGGTTGATAGTTGTTTTTATGTCCCCACCACATAGTGTGGGGCCATATTGTCGGCCTAGGCGCGTCCGTCTGTCTGTCCGTATGTCCGTCCGTATGTCCGTCCGTACATCCGGCAGTTTTCTCCAAAACCGCTTCAGATATCACCTTCAAATTTTCAGGGATAACTAATGAGTGCATACAGATGTGGATGAAAAAAGTTAACTCGATACCTACTTCCTGTCGGCCATTTTGAAGTCAAATGCTAAAATCCTTGTCCGTACGTCCGGCAGTTTTCTCCAAAACCGCTTCAGATATCACCTTCAAATTTTCAGGGATAACTAATGAGTGCATACAGATGTAGATGAAAAAAATTTAACTCGATACCTACTTCCTGTCGGCCATTTTGAGGTCAAATGCTAAAATCCTTGTCTGCAAACTTTAAGAAAAACGGCTTCACAGTTGCTTTTAAAACTTTAGCATCTTGTTCAGCTCACTTCATTCTACATCTGATTAGGTTTTGGACCTGTTAGCTCAGTCATGTCAGCCATTTTGAATGTTTTAAGAAAAGTAAGCGCGCGATAATACTTTGTATCATATTGAATGGTGTTTTTGAGTTTTCATACTTTAACTATTTAGTAGCTTTATAAATAATCTCAGGTGTACTTTGTTGTAAAAGCCTATGTTATTGTTAACAGTAGTTATATGTGATAATTTTGTAAAAATAATTCAGCAAAAACTCATCACTTTTTTATTGTCGGCCATTTTGGATTTTTCTGTCCTAAAATCTTGTCTGTAAAGTCTTGTCCACACGTTTTCAGGTGAACCGTTTCGTAGATCAATATTAAATTTTCAGGGATGATTCTTAGTATGAAAATCTAGATCTGATTAGTTTTTGGGCATTCTTGGTAAATGTCAAGGCAGCCATTTTAGATTTTCCGTCTTAAAATCTTGTCTGTTAAGTCTTGTCTATGCATTTCCAGGTGAACCGTTTGGTAGATCAATTTCAAATTTTCAGGGATGATTCTTAGTATGAAAATCTAGATCTGATTAATTTTTGGCCATTCTGGGTAAGTGTCAAGGCAGCCATTTTGGATTTCCGTCCTAAAATGCTGTCTATAGAGTCTTGTCTACGCATTTCCCAGTGAACTGTTGGTAGATCAATTTCAAATTTTCAGGGATGATTCTTAGTATGAAAATCTAGATCTGATTAGTTTTTTGGCATTCTGGATATATGTCAAGGCAGCCATTTTGAATTTTCCGTCTTAAAATCTTGCCCATAAAGTCTTGTCTACGCGTTTTTAGGTGAACCGTTTGGTAGATCAATTTCAAATTTTCAGGGAGGATTCTTAGTATGAAAATTTAGATCTGATTAGTTTTTTGGCAATCTGGGTAAATGTCAAGGCAGCCATTTTGGATTTTCCGTCCTGAAATCTTGTATGTAAAGTCTTGTTTACATGTTTTCTGGTTAACTGTGTGACGGATCAATTTCAAATTTTCAGGGGTGGTTCTTAGTATGAAAATGTAGAACTGACTAATTTTTTGGCATTGTTGGTAAATTTTAAGGTGGCCATTTTGGATTTTCCGTCATCAAATTGTGTCGGTAAAGTCTTGTCTACTCATTTTTAGGATAACCATTTGACGGGATCACCCATAGGTGGGGACATTTTGTACACATTTGTGTTCTTGTATTTTCTTGAGTGATGAAACATGTGTGTGAAACATATGTGGGACCCCCATTAAATATGAATACATTATCTTCCCTCACTTTTTCCATGAATTTGACCACTACTTTTCATGATTTTTCAAGTGGGTGCAAATGGACTTTCAAGTTTCAAGTGGGTACTAGTCTATTTTCAAAATCTCAATTAGGTGCAGCTGACACTTGCTTAATACGTGGAAGATCATTGCTCTGTCATATTGGAATGATATCACCTTTAGATTAGTTTAGCTCATATTTGATAAGTATATTTCAATTAAAAATATTTCTGGATTGACATTAGAGGTTTTTCAAAATTTCAATCTCATCTGGAGGTCATATTGGTGAAAATTTAGAATTAGAGTAAGTTATATATTGGTGAAAATCTAGATGGCAAGATTGAAGCAAAAAACCGTATGAGTAGACTCTGCCATTGCTAGATATTCCATAATTTAAATTGATTATTTAGTAGAAAGTGTTCCGAGAAGTTATTAGTGTTGCCTCAAACTCCCTACTTTGCCACCCCCCCCCCCCCTTCCCATTCTCTTCTCAATGCAACATGGAGAAACATAGAAAAGGACTCAGGCTTTTTATGTTGTATGACAAAGATGCTGTTTTATAAATAACATTTCGTCGTATGAGAATAATAATGTCCCAAGTGCCATTTTTGAAAAAAATTGAGATTCCACAGATTTCCACTATTTAAATCATCCTCTTTCTTACTGTGATATTCCCTTATCCTTATCTCCTCTCAAAAGCCTGCTTTTCAGTGTCAAATTGTCCTAACTCCATAAAAAATTAAAAAATACAATTTAACTTTGTTCTATACAATCAAATTCTTTGAATTACACCATGTGACTTAAGAATTAATTATATTATAATTTTAAACTGAGATTTGAATTTATTATTGAAAAAACGAATAGAGAAATTTGTGTCCATTGAAAATACATAGCAAAATGGACATCTTTCGATGGTATGAAAAATTCGGAATTGGATTGTCCTATCTCCATTTTTAATATGCTCAAAAATTGGCTTAGAAGATCTTAAAATTCAAGAATATTTTAGTGTATATACACAAATATTTGATAAAAATAATGTACAATTTTCACAGATGACAGATAGATAGCATTGAAGTTACAGATGCCTAAACTTTCAAAAATTGATTTCTCAGTTTCACAAAAATGTGAGTTGGGACATTTTTATTCTCATAGGGCGATTTTCTGTTCTACGATTCTTAAAATCTAGTTATATGATCATACTGGTAATATCATATGCTGTTATATTTTATATATGAGACTGAGAATAAAAGTACTGCTTGAAAACATTAAAATAAAAAGCTACAGCATGAAAAGTGGATAAAATGCATGTTTTATAGGGTGTACTGACATTTTTAAAAGCTTCACTGACTACAGCTCGCATAGACAAAGTTGGTAGCATAATAGATATATGGTTATGTTATTGTATTACTATGTCTCTTCATGCCTTAGGTTACCTTTTAAGAACTTAAAGCTGATTTTGGCTTTATCAGGAGCTATCAGTTGAATTATAATAGGATTAAATTACTACTATTTTAATTTTTATTTTGATACTTGAACTATATTTCAATGTTACTGAAGAGTTTCTAAGGTGGAGAACTTTCTTTAATTAAACCAGTTGAATCATTTAAAGTTTTTAAGTCAAATCAAAATCCTACACCTAATGAATTATGTTATATAAGTATACAACTGTACACATGTATGTGAAAATAAATTATTAGCAGTTTTTATTATTTCAATATTTTACTATATCATTCATTTCTAGAGTCTTCTAAAGTATTTTAGGACATATATTAAGAATACACTTAAAATATGTAGGTTTGAAGATCAAATTCAAGATGGTTCATATTTACATGTAAGATAATGATACCATACAGTTATAAATCTCTCTTGAACCATTGTATTGTAAACAAGTAAGAATTATATTGTGTGAATATTTCTCAAATAGAAATATCCTCACTGGGTCATGTTGACATATGTATGGGAACTTGACCCTCTCTTGAAAATTCATTGAAATATTGAAAATAGTCTTAGTGTTAAACCTTTGCAGTTGTTTGATTTAGCTTTTTAAAAGATAGCTTCGTCTTCACTTTTTTAAGTTAAAGAGATACCTATGAACTTGCTGAACCAACCAGAGCTTGTCGAAAGAAAGACTCCTCGGTATCCCAAAAAATGAGCCACTTTCTGACAAGTGTTTTTTCAGCAAGAGATGAGCCAAATGGAATGAAAATTTTTACTGACTAACTTTTTTAAAATGTTTTTTTTCATGAAATGATTAAGTTACAAATGTACTTAAGTAGTATATTGTTCAACTTTCAAGGTAATAGCTTGATACATAGCCTTGATTAAAGCAAATAAACCTTCGCCACCAGAAGTTGAATAACTACGGTCGTTGTTGAAGGCATTGGTCATTGTACGGTACATAATAGGTTACCCCAACGTATGACGTCCAATTTGCTAAAAGATATGTTCTCTTTGCAGTTTTTGTTTCATGATGTTCAACCCAAACGCTTTTAAATCCACTCTGGAGCTTTTTATTCACCTTGAAACCTTCCTGAGCTTAATAAACTGGCGGGGAAAGAAGATTGCACAATGGCCATATATATTGTTTCACTAGCTTCTCTTACATGTCATACTTTAGCAAAACATATTATATACCGTTTCGATGACCAATGCGTTCAGCAAAGAACTTAGTTCTGGCGGTGCAGGGTTATTTGCTTTGATCAAACCTTTTTTATATCAAGCTATCACCTTGAAAATAGAACATTGTACTAAAATGCATTTGTAACTCAATCAATTCCTGAAAAACACATTTGTAACTCAATCAATTCCTGAAAAACACATTTGTAACTCAATCAATTCCTGAAAAACACATTTGTAACTCAATCAATTCCTGAAAAACACATTTGTAACTCAATCAATTCCTGAAAAACACATTTGTACACCATCTTCAGAGAAGATGGAGGACCAATTGATCAATTTTTCTTTTGAACAATGATTGACGTCATATTGAAATTATCAGGAATAAGCGTTTTTTACCCATGCTTTTGATTTTGATCCCATTACCAGAAATTTTAAAGGATAAAACTGAAATTTCATTTTTATATTAGGGAGATATCAGGTGCCGAAGTACGACCCATTTTTTATGCCCACCCGGTATTGTCGTTTTCTTTGAAGTAATTATTATTTAAACATGTTTATTTCTGCTTGTTGATTGGTTTAGAAAATGTCGGTGCTGTTGGTTTGAATTGATTTATGGCCCTAGGCTATGACAGCTACTAGTAGTATGGAGTAGTGGCGGGGCCACTGAACTGTAAATTCTCTTAACCATTACTTTACAACTAGCATCTATAGTCAGTTTACTTAGCTTCAATACTGCTACAGCTCAGAACCCTAGATACTCGTTTGTTTAATTTTTCTTTGTATAAATATCAGTACCCTGCGTGCAGAGTCTAGTTAAACTACACTCTGCCTAGTAGAGACCATATTACAGTTAAGTAGCCCCGCCCCCACGACGGGTACCGGTGACAGTTTGGGTAATAATATAAATCACTTCTGACCTATGCGCTGACCTTTCTTCCACCATTCAGCGAGCCTGAACAAACATACGCCAAATGCATTCTAATTAAATATGCGCATGTCATTGGTCAATTCCGTGCTCAACGATGACGTCAGAAGGAATGACCATATATAGAACGTCGGTCAAATTTGGCCGACGAACACTGATAGGCGCGGTGAGTTCACAGGTTTATTTTAGTTTGAAAGAGTGAAGACGAAGCTCTCTTTTAAGAAGTGAAGTCAAACGAATGCAAAGGGTAAAATATCAGATTCTTACATTACAAATGTATCATCATGGTATAATATGGCAATTTCTTTTTTTCTGCATAGGAAAAGGCCATGGCTCATAGTACTAAGTTATTATGAAAACTTGTTAAATGCTCGGGAAAGAACTTCTTGAGTGATGATTGTAGGTTATTTTATTAGAGCATCTTTCATTTGTAGGACAGAAAGATGTGATGTTTATGACAGGATGTAAATAATACATGTAAATATATACTTTTGTAGCCTCGTATATAATTTTTAAATTGATGAATTTTTACTTTCAGTTGCTCCGTGGAGGAAAGTTACTCTAAGTTGCTGACGAAGCTTGCTAAAGTTGCCAATAACAACAGTCAGAATGGGTAGGTACAGCCTTATATTATCTAATTATTTATCGGATTGATTTTTTACATAGAATTTTAGATGACTTTCAAATGGTTGTTATATATGTGGTGTGAAGTGGTGACATATTGTTATGTCCAACTTTTTTATGGACAGTTGGCGACTATAACAAATATAATGTGATAACATTTCACATATTAATGCCTTATTATCCCAACGAACGAAGTTCGTTAGGGATATAGTGAAGCCCTCCGTCCGTCTGTCCGTCAGTCCATCAGTCAGTTAGTCCGTCCATCTGTCTGGAAGATAACTCAAATACTAGTTGACAGATTTTCTTCATATTTAGTGGAAAGATGTATATTGGTAAATAGTTTTACACAAAAAAAAAAATTTTCAAGATGGCCGCCGCTTTAAAAATGACGGGACTTTTTCGCAAAAATCATAAATTTTTCATTCTAAACCAAAGTAATTAATATTATTGTTTGAAATTTTGGTAGTGTATTCACAACATTTATCTATTTCACATATAATCTGTGTTTTTCATCCTGACCCCCAGGGGACATGTATGGGGGGACAGGAAAACAGAAATTTTCGCTAATTTTTAGATCTTTCTGAAGTATAGCTTTATTATACTCAAATGAAAGGTAATTAAGAGTGGATTGCAAATATTGTATATTTTTTCTGATTCGAGCCTCGTAAAATTCAAAATGGCCGTCTAATGTACGATTTCGCAATAATTTTTCGATCCCTTCAAAGTATGGCTATATTATACTCAAATTGAAGGAATTTTGGAGTAGATCACAATTATGGTATTATTTTTCAGATTTGTACCTCAGAAAATTCAAAATGGCTGCTTTGCAGGAATTCGCAATTCTAAAATCTAATTTTTTCATTTTCAACCAAAGTAATGAGTATAATTGATTGGAATTTGGTAATTGATATTTTGTTCGTTGGGATTTGCTACTCCGCGGAGTTGCCGTTATCTAGTTGATGTTGTTTTGAACTGTGCCTATATCTGATACATTAAAAGTTTCTCATTCGGTAAAAAAAATAACAGCTAGTGGTTATAATGTTGAAAACAATCATGATTTATATGTTCGCAACAGTGATTATTAAATTGTCGAAAACAAATAAGAGACCAGGATGTATCATCTGGATTTATAGCCTACTTTCCAATCTAGAAGAACATGTACTTTTTTCCGTTATATCAACTGTTATATAAATTTAATTATAAAGAAGTGTTCGGATATTAAGTTTCTGCAAATTGGCAATTTGATATTCAGTTTCATTAAATGGTGCAGTACAATTCTGTCTAAATGTTAACAATCAATAAGAGTTCCAAAAACAAATTATTATACCAATATTTTTTATGGCAGCAATAAACTATCATTTTTATAACATCTTATCTACTTCGTATATTAAGTGTAAATTAGATTAAGAAAACCTTTTTGTGCAAAAGTAATTTATAAGAGGATTAGACCTCATTTCCACCTCTTTTTGAAACCTTATTCACTATAACATTTTATTGACAGAATGTAGGCCCTCCAGCCTCACCTCCCTATTCTACTTAACCTCCCCCTAAGGTAGACCTGCATGATGATAATTTTTATGTAATTTTCAGATTAATTACTAATTATAAATCAAAAAGTAAATTTTTCACATTTTTATGTAAATATTTACATTTTATGGTAGAATAAATGATTTGTCATCAAAATATCATAAAAAATGTAGAAATGAAATTTCCCAGAAAATAATTTGTTCAATTTCTTTGTGAAATTACCTAAGCCTTGAAATATATTATTCTCTACAGTGATCTCCCAAGAACCTTTTCTCCTGGTAGGTGCAAAATTCTCATTTTCACAATTCAGACAAAAATTGGTCAAAATATGCCAATTTTTCATGATTTTCCTCATTTTCAAGTGGGTGCAAATGGATTTTCAGGTCGGTGCAAGCATATTTTCAAAATCTCAGGTGGGTGCTGCACCCACTTGCTTTAATGCTGGGGAGATCACTGCTCTATATACTGAATGTACTGCATCATTGGTGAACGGTGAACAATCAGGCTGAAGATTTTGAAATTGAATTCATAACAGGGCTAGAAATTACCAGTTGTCTTATCGCTAATGACAGTCACTTTTCACTTTTGGCAACCATGCTTAGAAATATTCCTTGCCTATTAAGCAATGGACTAATTGCCAGCATGGTAAATTGTGGCAAGAAAGTTTCAACCCTAGTGAAGAACCCTGATCCATGAACAACTGCATCATCTCTATGAACCTAATTTTATTCCTTATTTGCAGTTCATTTGCCTTATTTTGGCAGGTATTGAACCTAATTTTATTCCTTATTTGCAGGTCATTTGCCCCATTTTGGCAGGTATTGAACCTAATTTTATTCCTTATTTGCAGGTCATTTGCCCCATTTTGGCACGTATTGAACCTAATTTTATTCCTTATTTGCAGATCATTTGCCCCATTTTGGCAGGTATTGAACCTAATTTTATTCCTTATTTGCAGGTCATTTACCCCATTTTGGCAGGTATTGAACCTAATTTTATTCCTTATTTGCAGGTCATTTGCCTCATTTAGGCATGTATTGAACCTAATTTTATTCCTTATTTGCAGGTCATTTGCCCCATTTTGGCAGGTATTGAACCTAATTTTATTCCTTATTTGCAGGTCTTTTGCCCCATTTTGGCAGGTATTGAACCTAATTTTATTTCTTATTTGCAGGTCATTTGCCCCATTTTGGCAGGTATTGAAGGCCCTTGCAGAGAAGCTGTCCTCTCTACACATGCAGTTGATGCATTCATGGCAGGACCTCATCAAAGATGTACAGAAATACACAGAGGAACAACATAAGAAACATAAATCTGTGAGTACCATGTGTTAAATACTGTAAATACACTTATTTGGCTACTGGTTTTAATGACGGATTTGCAATTATTTTCCTAATGTGTAAGTATTCCTATTTGGATGTCAGTGCTATGGCAAGACTTACTGAAAGTAGAACACATGAATCTGAAATGCTTGTTTTCAGATCAATGATAAAACTTGAGCTCAATCCTAACTCCGCCAAAGATAGCCGCCAATATTTGAGTCAAATTGAGTGTATCTACAGTACTATTTCAGTGCATTGATTCAAGGTATATCGTCAACTGAGCAGAAACATTATTTAGAATCATATTTCGCCTTTTTGATTTCATAATGAACTAAACATTAAAAGAGGGATGTCTTCATTGTGCATTATGATTTCATAAAGAATTGGACAATGTCATTTTTATTAAGGAGTGGTGGTATATTTGAAGTATTATTGAATAAAGAACCCTCATATCATTGTTTCTTGGATTTAAAAGCATTCATGAATGTACTAACCCATTTGCCCCATTTTGCAATGTAATGTTCTCGGACTGTGATCTAGTGCATGATGTGTTCTTTCATCTGAAAGTAGTGAGTAGCAAAGACCAATTTTGGAAAAAATTGGTGTCCCTATTTTCCACAAATACGCCTTTTTTATGTATGTTTTAACTATTGTTTTCCACCTACCATTGTGGGACTTTTGTCACATGTGCATATTTCCAGTGAAAGGTTACACTTAGAAATATTGCAACTTGGTTATTTTCCCATTTTGGAGAAAAAGGTTGATATCTTATCTCTAGAAATCCAAGGATTGGGTGCAAAATTCACATTCTCATAATTTTGACCGTATAGCATTTCTAAAGGGAAACTCCTTCTGTATTTATGAATCTAAAGAATGCTTACCAAAGTCTCTGGACCTGTGTTTGATACAGTTCAATGAACCTGCATGTTACATCATGGTAATTATCAGTGAGATTGAAGAGCAGAATAACATTGCCTGACTGTATACATTTGACATTGAGATTTATGTTCTCATCAAAAATTATCCAGATGGCATCAATATTTCAGCGTTTCATGAATATTAAGGCAAGTTCTTACATATGAGGTTTTGTGTGTTATTTGGAGCATCAACATCATAGTTTGTTTTCATAATTCCATGCTCTATTTCCTTCTTATCTCATGCACAGATCCCTCTCTACAATGAAGTAAGGCTAAAAATCGGTCTGTTTTGGACATTTCAAAACTTTGTTAAAAATGTAGCTGAATTTCTGCTTTTTAGGGCAAGGTATAGATTTCCTCAAAATTTAGTTATAAATATTTTAATGATTTTATATGTATAAGAGCGGGGGGGGGGGGGTCATCCCTTCTAAAGTCCAGATTCACCCTTGCACACATGAAACACAACCCCCTTCTAAAAAGAAGCATTTTAGAAAGTGGCTAGGTTGGATTCTAGTACAGTGATGATTTGATAACATCAAACATATTTATTCTAATCTGGTTATACATAAGGGATGGTGTCTGGCATGGTGCTGATACCATGTACAGTACAACCCGTTTAGAGTGAATGCTACTGGGATTGAGTAGAAGTGTTTACATTGCATTTACAGGTTGCCATAACATGGGAATCAATAGGACATTAAAAAATAAAATTGTTTACAATGGAAAAGTGTTTACATTTCACAGTGTTCATTTTAGGGAGGTATTATTATACATGAGGGTGTTTACATATGCAGGTTTTAAAGTATATGTACAGTAATTCTCTATCGTTAAACTCAACTTGATCATCTTGATCGTATCATCGCAACATGTAAATGTCATCACACCATGAAGTCTGCAAAACTTTGCATGCTGTAACTAATTGAACTTGTTAGTGTCCATGATGGTTTTACTTCTTGTTTTCTTAGTTCTGATCTGAGGAATAGTATTTTAAAATTAGGGGTTGTTATTAATCTGTTGACTATTAAAAATTTTATTGTGATTTAGTAGTCAAAAGATTACTCCTTATTTTGTAATGACTATAGCAAAATATATTATAAATATTTTCGAATATTATATTAATTTTCAATCAAAAATCACAACTACAACACAGTGAAATATTTAATTTGGCAGTATCTTGATTGATCCAAACCACAGTGTTGACTTACAACCTACCACTGATATATCTTACTGCTTTCATCTGACTGTTACCTATGTACCTACCAGGCTTTACTACCATGTGACATAAAATCTCAACCAATCAGCATTGAGCTTTTCCAGTTGAATTTGGAAGAATATGGGTAATAAATTTCATTCATTGATTTGTTGGGCAAGGTACATGATCAAATCAAGCATCTGTATCTGGAAGAACGAAGTTTCTGATTTTGGAGATCAATAACTTTGATGGAGTCCAGCTGTTTCAGATTTGGTTAACAAGCTTCATATTATTATTTTTATTGATCAACATATTAAGTTAAGGAGTTTATTATGTAGAATGGTAATAGTTTCTGGAGTAAGATGAACTGTTGATATGGTCAGTCTAATATGCATAGTACATGATAACATGGTTGATTCAGTTATGTGCCACTAAATTATGAAAAAAGGAATTTTATCCTATGCCAAGTAGAGTTTTAGGGAGATAAGCTGGTAAGATATATCCCGTATCCTGATTTTGAGGTTTCCATATCCAGAACCTCCATATCTCCCGCCATATCTCCCACTTCGGTGCATATCTTCCCGCTTCCGGTGCATATCTTCCCGCTTCCGGTAATGCAATAAAATGACTTTGCATATGAATGATTTGTTTATTTTTACACCTTGTACTATTGAAATGGCCATATGCCCCTGAAAACTCAACTTGGTCCGTCCGTCCGTACGTCCGTCCGTCCGTCTGTCCGTCCGTCCGGGCAATAACTCAAATACCGTTGGCCCGATTTTGTTCATATTTTGTACACATATACCCTATGGGGGTAGAAGTTCTGCTCGAAAGCCGATTTTCAAAATGGCCGCTCATTTCAAAATGGCGGCCATTTTAGTGCCGATTTTACAGTAATTTTGGTGCAATATGTAAAACTGTAATAGCAATATGTTTTAAATGTCAAAAATTTTTAAAGGACATTAATAGTGCTACAAATGTAGATATTAAAGAAGCACATGGCAGCCATCTTGAAAAATGGCCGCCTTTACTCGTCATTTTACGATTTTTGCTGTAACTCAAAAAATAGTGGAGCGATTTTGTTCATATTTGGTATGTGAATACTATAAGCGTTGCACACTGTCTAAAGACACTTTTGGTAGAAGGCGGCCATTTTGAAAAATGGCCGCCATTTTGACGTATTTTACTATAACTCGAAAAGTAGTGGAGCGATTTTGTTCATATTTGGTATGTGAATACTATAAGCATGGCACACTGTCCTATGACACTTTGAGTAGAAGGTGGCCATTTTGAAAAAAAATTGAAAAATGGCCGCCATTTTAACATATTTTACTATAACTCCAAAAGTAGTGGAGCGATTTTGTTCATATTTGGTATGTGAATACTATAAGCATGGCACACTGTCCTATGACACTTTGGGTACAAGGCAGCCATTTTGAAAAAAAATTGAAAAATGGCCGCCATTTTAACGTATTTTACTATAACTCGAAAAGTAGTGGAGCGATTTTGTTCATATTTGGTATGTGAATACTATAAGCATGGCACACTATGACACTTTTGGTAGAAGGCGGCCATTTTGAAATATTTTTTTTATAAGCATAAGCATGGCACACTGTCTATTTCTAATGACACTTTTGGTAGAAGGTGGCCATTTTGAAAAATGGCCGCCATTTTAACATTTTTTACTATGACTCGAAAAGTAGTAGAGCAATTTTGTTCATATTTGATATGTGAATACTTTAAGCATGGCACATTGTCTAATAAAACTTTGGGGAGTAGTCGGCCATTTTGAAAAATGGCCACCATTTTTATGTGTGTTATTTAACAAGTACGTGTGCGATTTTTCAAAAATTTTAGAGGTGGCTACTTAAAAGCATATTATTTCTTCTGATGACAACTTGGCTAGTGAGCAACCATTTTGAAAATGGTGGCCTTTCTGGTGTGTTGTTTTATGATATTTGCTATTCGTTTGTAAAAATGCCTGCCATTTCTGTTCGATGGGATTCGCTACGCTTTGGCGTTGCCGTTGTTCTGGTTAGAAAATGCTCCCAGTTTAAAAGGAATCTCACACAAGTTCAGGAAGGCGTTTTGATAATTCACAATATTGGTCTCAATATTGGTTTATCATGATGTTAAATACCACATTTTCACAATATACAGACTCATGTGAGCTTACCAAATCATTTCATCCTATAATAGTTTGTCTCTTCTTTTTCTAGTTCCATCCCTGGCCTATACATCAAAATGATTGTGTTGATGAAATGCATTTATTCATATGTGGAAACAACATCCATACTTTATGTTATAATCAATGCACTCTAATAGAAACTTGTTATTATAAATATGCAAGAGATCTTGGACACTTCTATTCATGGGGGGATAATATTATTATGTAAACTGTAAACTTTGCCATGTTTGATTTATGGGTTCTTAGTCAGTGAAAAGTAATATATAAGAATAATGTTAATCATTTATGATATAAATCGGCATTAATCATATGTAATTGTGCAATAAAACAATTGTTGATAAGGGTGAAAAATGAAAAAGACACTTTTGAGTCAATCATAAAGCTTTCAGCCTGGTTGTGAGTTTTTCCGAAACATTAACCTTACTGTTATTTATTGTTTAGGTGAAGGAATCTGAATCCAGTACAATAGAAACAGTGCAATCCATACAAACAACCACAGTTGCTTTACAAAAAGTAAGTAGTGTTTTATTTAGAGAAAGATCCCTCAACTGGAAATATTTTAAAAATCTAATCCACTCATAAATGGATATTAGCTAATGGCAGACATGACACATATCCTATTGTCGCATGAAAAAGGATTTGAAGATCTGATTTGACAAAGCCAATTAACATCATAACCTCATTATTCTTGAAATATTTTTGTAATCTATTTTGGCAAAGGCAGTTAATATTATAACCTCTATTCTCAACATTATATTTTTCAGGCTAAAGACTTGTACCACACCAGGAGTATAGAGTACGAGAAGTTAAAACGGGATAACGCATCTGCTAAAGAAGTAGAAAAAGCAGAAGTAAAGTGCAAAAAAGCAGGTATGATTCCCCATTTCTGTATTTTTGTATTTTATATAAAAAGCTTATAGACATGAGACTGTTATGGTAGATTATGGATCAAACAGAGAGAAGGCTTATATGTCATTGATTAAATTGATTTTGACATTTCAATTTAGGGCTTAACTAAATAGCTTCATTTCTCATTCAAGTAACCTTGAAATATCACTAATTTGTAATGATATGTAACTTACACAATCAAACCTTCATTTCTTTGATTATCAAACATAATATTGAAGCTTAAAAAATTCATCAAAAAGAATATGAATTAATTGCCTTTTGAAATTGAAAAAGATGCAAGTAGTTTATTCTATGTAAAGCTTTTATATTTACAGAGAAGAGTTATGTCCTTGTCTATTGATTCTGCAAGTTACAAAACATTTTAGAGTTATTTTAGAGCCATTGGCCCTTTAATTAATGATTATGAAATATGAAACACTTAGTTTGTGGTCTTTAGAAAGTCTAATTGAGTACCACGATGTTGAGTAAATGTAATTAAATGGCAATGGTGAGACTTTGATTAGAGGAAGTAGATAAGGGAGGGGATCAACTTTCATTATTCCCAATCACACTAGGTTTACTTATTACTGATAATGTCATTTACCTGCAGATGTTTTGATATGGTTTTCAGTTAAGATTTTTGTTATTCTATTTTGTCATTTGTTTTTCAGGTGATGACTATAAAGGTCTAGTGGAAAAATACAATAATATTAGGAATGATTTTGAAACAAAAATATTTGACGCATGTAATGTAAGTTGTTGTTTACATTGAAAAGCATTCACATTTGTCATACAAATATATAAGGAAATGTCAGATGTATTTAGAAATTGATACTATTCCCAAGAGAATCCACTTCATCTGCACTCTTTAAATTGCAGATAATTTTTTCATCTTGTGTGTCATCAATCTGATCTTTTTGTACAGTACATGTAGTCAAAAATCACTGCACTACATTGATTTTACTTATTAGTAAAAGATTTACATATAGTTAAAATTTGTTCCACATTAATCTCATGCAGGGGATTAAAGGCGTTCAGCATCTGTAAGAAATACAACAAATGGCAGGTAGTGCCATTTTTCATGTTCATGTTGTTGAAAAATTGCTTCGATCTCACCTTATGGCTTTATTTTCAGAAATTCCAAGAGATTGAAACAATGCACATACAGCAGATGAAGAGCTTTTTAGCCACATATGCAAAGGGTTGGGAGGGGGGCCATACACTCATAGGCCAAGTACATGAAACATTTAGGAACAGTTTAGATGAACTCAATGAGGAAAAGTTATTAGAAACATTTGTTGAGAATAAAAAGACTGGTGCTGAGAAACCAGGTAAAGAAAATTTATTTTTGTAAATTATGCAAATTTTATATTTTTGGACAACACAAATGTTCTCATTTGTGATATTTATAATATGAAATATTTTATAAAGTTCATTATGGTTTTGAAAACATATTTCAATATTTTTCATTTATGTAAAACTAAAATCAGAAATATTTTTAGTGAAAGATTTCTAGAAATAGATTGTTCTCATTAGTACTGTGTGGAGTTATTTATTGGCAACCATCCAGGCTACAAACACATTGACATAACCTTTGACCTCTACGCAGATAGCTTACTATCTATCGATGTGTACTTTGATTTGTATTAAAATAAAACTGCATATTGGCAATTTCACATATGTAGTGTTTTATTTAAGGTTTAATACAGTTTGAGGAACCTGACTTGTCTTCATTGCCAGCTGCAACATCAAGTACCTCGCTAGAAAGCCAAGATAAAGCTCCAGTAGACAAACCTAAACCTCTAAGTCTCGGTAAGTTGAACAGACCCTTTTTAGCAAAATTTTAATATTTTCTTCTTTTTGTTAATTTCTCGTAATGTTTCTTTCTACACTTGCTCAAATGATTTGGTAATGGTGTATCTTTTGTATTTTTATCTTATTCTTAATTTTTTTATGAAATAAACAGTGAATTTAGTAATGCTTTATTTTTAACTCTTATGCATGAATAATTACATCTGTATATGCATGAGGAAAAGGGATTATATATCCTCAATCTGTTTTGGGGAATGCACCTCCTTTCTCCTCACTAGGTGTTAAAGGGAAACCTTAAAGGAATTAGAAGTGATAGAGAGTTTAAAGTGTTGGAAGCAATCTTCAAAAGGAATGCCAATTTTTAAATGACAATTCTGATCTCATTTTTTTTAACTGAGAATTTAGATATTAAATATATAGAAGTTTTTGATGATTTTAGATTCAGAAATGTCCAAATTCAGTACTCTTTTTAAAACATGCAAGATAACCCACAAAATCACAGTGTTATCCTAAAATAAATTAAGAAATTATGGACATTTTAGAAACTAGGCATAGCATGGAATGATGACTCCAAAACATATAAACTAGTAATTATTTTTTTGCCGAACTAATTCTCAACTTGTCTCTATCCCTTCTAGTCCCATTTATGTCATCTATTTCTGCATGTTGCACTGTTGTAGGTGTTGGTGACATGTCTTTTGGCAATTCAACATATCACATGCCTCCTATAATACGTGGCAGTCCAGTATCAAGCCCAAAAACCAAGCGAACAACCACATGGGGAAGTCCCAAAGGATCGCCTAAATCTCAGAAATCGGGGCAACACTCTCACGACAAAGCGCCATCTGGCGTTAGTCACAGAACCAGCCCAGTTCTATCAAAACTCACTGATCCCTTTGGTGCGCTGACTCTAAGGGGCTCAAAGTGTAAAAAATGTTGATGTTGCTTTGTTAAATTGTTTGATATTATAGGATAATTACTGCTTTTTGGAGGAAGATCAGCATCCTGTGTACAGACTGTTCTGTTGCAGAATATATTGCTTTCCCAAGATAAGGCAGTCGTAATTATTTCTAGATAATGATTATTTAATAATTGTAAGAATATTTAGGATGTTATGAGAAGTGTTTGACCAGTTTGTATAAAATGAGTATTCATTGTGACCAGAGATTACTGCTTCCACAGAATTCAACAACATGTTTTGATTACATCTGAATGAATATACATTTGCAAACTATGAGATTTCTATGCAAATCAGAAACTGGAGATCTGTGTAATTTAATTCCTCGATCTAAATGATTGCTAAATACATACAAATAAAAAGATTGACAAATACAATTTTGAAAAGAAAAATCCTGAAACTCTTTGAAACTGCTTTCTTTATTAGCCTCTGTATACATGTATAAGTACCTTTTATTAATCAAGTAGATTCATTTTTCTTGTATGCTTTTGCTTAACATTATTTTACTTCTTTCTTGTTGGTATGGAAAGATTGTGAACATGGGAAGGGGCACTTGGTGCAAGACTTAGGTTGAAGCTGTTTTTCTAATATTGTTTGAATTTTATATTACATGTATTGCTATATCATAGCGTTGTATTTTAATATTACATTACACTTACAATTAAAATTACACATCTCTTGTACATTTGATATTCACATTATTTTATAGCATAAAACACTTTTATGTATTAAGCTGATATTAATTATGTGTTAAAAAGCATAATCTGTTTGGAGTCTTATATCTTGTAATTCTTCAGGAGGGTCATGCATATGCACTAATAATCTGTCATTGCCACATGTACTAATACTGTCTTGTCATTGTCATTGTAGGAGCTATTACATACATTCCAGGGTTTAAGAAGAAGAAAGATAAGCGTGACAAGAAGAAGAAGAAAGACAAGAAGAAAGGAAAAGATCAGGTGGAGCAAGAAGAGAGGAAAACTCCAGAAGTTGATGAAGATGGTTTCTCTATCAGACCAGAGAATCCTTTGGGAGACAAGGATGGCAATAGCTGGTACTCAAGTTCAGATTCAGACTCAGGTAATACAGGGTGATCCAAAAATGCAACACCCTATTTTTGGAATATATTTCTTGTGTAAATAAAAAAAACGGAGTGAACAGTGGTATATTCATGTTGCATCTTCAACTTTGAGACAAGGATGGCAATAGCTGGTACTCAAGTTCAGATTCAGACTTAGGTAATACAGGGTGATACAAAAATGCACCATTTAGTTTTGGAATACATTATTTGTGTAAATAGAGTGAACAGTGGTATATTCATATTGCATCTTCAACTTTGATATATAGAGAAATTTTGTTTTCTGTCAAGCCTCGTATTATATTAGTTTCACCCAAAGCTAGTGATTCTATATCCCTCTCAGACCAATCAGAATACAGTACAATCATGCTGTATAGCAAAAGAGCATGGTTACTAAAGAAAAACTAATAAGTGGTCAAAAGCTCATGGTTTAAGGGTTGAAAATGAAACCCTAGTGTATTAAATCACTCATAAAGCATATAGAGACCTGGGTATATGTTTATGTTGTACTAATGTATGAGAATCTCATCTACAAATATGAAAAATACTTGTATCATGTAAATGCTTTTACTTTAGATGGGGAAGAAAAGAAGAAAATTAAAGTTGAAATCAAACCAGTGAACTCCACTGCACCAGTTGCCACTGGCAACGTGGATGACATCAGAATATCTGTAGGATCTCTACGTTTATCACCCACACATACGGTAGGAAACAAAGGCTTTGCTTCACAATTATGAGGAAATCACTTAGGGCACTTAGAAACAAAGTGTCCCCACTTGTTGACTGAATTAGATTTCTTACATTTAGTGCTGCATTAAACTGATAAGTTAAATATTCCAAGAAGAAGGGGTCTACATGTATATTTATAGAACAAGGTGTTTTGTACATAAAGCAAAATATAATAACTTTGTTGTTATGAGATTGCATTTTATTGTCTTTTGCAACCCAATTAGATCAAATAACAATACAAATTAAAGAAGCAAATCTTTTATTCTTAGTTTCCTTCACCAAAAACTATTTTTTACAATCAAAACCACTCAATAACATTGTATGCAGTTATTAGCATTTCATATTATAAGTTTATATCTGTCTTTGAAATGGCAACATGTAGCTATTCGAGTGCTTACATGCATGTTGGTGAACTAGAATTTGATTTCAGAAAAAGCCAATGAAGACAAATAACTCAGATGCCAATATGAAGAGGTCACAGTCCGTTTCAGATACTCTAGGGTATGTATTCTGCTTGAATAGTTGTAATATGAGTCTGTACAGGACTTTCAAATGTATAACACCCAGATGCAGGTTATCATTATTTATTATGTCTTGACAATGAAGTGTAGAAACCTAAGATCTGTTTAATTTCTAAAATTTTTTTTCATTGCTGTACATCAATTAAGAGATCAATATTGTTCTATGCATAAGTGTGAAAGCATTTGAACTGTATTGTATTGGCATAATAATTATTTTTTAATTTATTTAATTTTTAGGAATTCCAAGATGCCAAGTCAGGATCTACTAGGTTTGGATCTATTTGGTTTGTCTTCAAGTGCTTCCACACCTACTGGGACTACCTATACATTCCCCTCACCCAACAACTCCTTACATAATGACACAACTAGCAATACAAGTCGTGACAACACCCCCTCTTCTAGTAAGTTCATCCTCACCCAGCTTACCCAGGGGTCAGTTTCTCCGCGCATCAAGGATCCACAAATCAGTTGTTTGTTTGCTTTAATTCTGAGAAAGAACAATTGATTTGTGGAATGGACGTTTTACAATGTTTGGAGTTTACCCCAGCACTTTAGCTAAAGGTTTAAGGCCAGCTAGTCAAAATAATATTATGGACCAATTTCAATGCAATTTTTCTGATCTCATGAAAATATCTTCTCATGAATATTGTGAGTTATGCATTGTAAAATTCAGCTGTCTTTTACAACATTGCCTCAGTTACTGTAAGACAATTGATTTTTTATGAATTCTAATTCACGGCACAATACTTTTGAGGGATGGACTGTGATTATCTGATTGGCCTTTAGCTAGAGCCTAAATGTTGCTTGTTACACACTCTTGTGTCTCTAAGCCTTCCTATCCAGGGGTCAACTTGTCACAGTGGACAGTTGTAAAAAACAATCCATAGTATAAGTATCAATAGTTAAAATTCAATCTCATCATATATTCAAGTTTTCCTCAATGTAATACAGTTAAACTCGTGAGAGTGGCATCCCCTTGGTTCAGCTAAAAGTGTTGGACTAAGGAAGTGTTCAACTTATATAACAGACTGAAAAAGTTTTTACAAAAGTGTTCCACTTGTAGAGGTGTTCCACTTGACAGGGTTTACTGTATGTGGCATGCTTCCTACCTTATATAATAAGATTTAGAATAAGCACATGTATATAAATGCTTGCACTTGTTTTGTCACCATGGATATGTATGTTCTGTCATGTATTTGATGCCAATTAGGCAGCAGAATTAGCATGGCATATCATATTGCATGCTCAAAGCAGTGATAGTGAAGAAATGATTTTGTTACAAATTCTTGATAAAAGAAGATGTGTCATTATTTTAGGTCTGAAAATAACCAAAATGCCTGAATGTGATCTACTTATTTAATAAAGACACTAAGTATTTGTAATTTAAAAAATGACATATGTCGAAAAGAAATTGTAGCACCTTGTAACTTGTGATACTACTGTTAGATTTTGATACAAACCTTCTTTTCTAATTCGGGAAATATTTGAGCATGAAAAAATCTTGTATAATTGAATATCAAAAAGCAATCCAACTCATTCTCTAATTGAGCATTTTCAAGTGTTGGTGTTTATAGGTAAGAGGATTTATATCAGTCATTTTTAAACTGGGGTATTCTAAGATCTCAGTTTTAGCCACAACATTAATTTTATTCAAAGATTTTTTATTTCAGATCCTCTATTCAATTTAGATGAATCTGGTAGTAGTGAGGGTGGAACAATTGCCCCCTCTTTGCCTAATAAACAACGGCCTCGTTCAACCACTCCCACTGCTGGCTCTAGTCTATTTCCTGCCCCACCCCCGCGGCTTGCAGCACCTAGGAAAATTAGTGGCCCACAGGTAGGCAAACCTTGATATTATAATTGCCCTGAAAAACGTTGATATTATAGTATCCCTGATAAAAGCTTTGATATTATAGTAGCCCTGACAGAGCTTTGATATTATAGTATCCCTGACAGAACTTTGATATTATAGTAGCCCTGACAAAACTTTGATAGTATGGTAGCCTAAGATGTTAGTTATCATCTGTTGGGTTTCTACTATACTATTAGAATAGTCATTTATAAGCTGGATTTTTATTTATTCTATTTTGCAGTCAACAAGTAGACCGACTGGCCGTCAAAGTCCCGCAGCCCCATTTACACGGGCAGATAGTTCAGGTAGTTTAGGTTCCGTCACATTCAATACCACTTCAATGCCAACAGGATCATCAAGGGGACCCAGCCCTCTAACTATAGGTACAAGTGAAAACATTGTATATTTTATTGCTTTTAGTTAATAAATATAAATCATGTAATACCTCAAGTAGAACACTTTCTCGCAAGACCAAGGGTATTCCATTTACACATATTTACTCTTATTTACACATGCAATAGTGCTGTCTATTCTTCTAATTCATTTCAAGCAAATCTTGTTATTCTTTTTTTTAGGAATGTCTGACACAATTCCAATTGCAATAGCTTTCACGGAGCAAGTGAATGCTCTCTTCCAAGGCTCGGATGAAACTAAGTAGGAAATTTTGTTGATTACTTTTGAATTACCCCTCATATAAGCAAAATATTTAGAAGGATTTAGTCCCTATTGAAATCACAGTAAAATTAAAAGGTCAATGTTTGTAAGTTTAGCATACGTGTATGAATATCTTTATTGCCTGATATTAAGATGATTTTCCAATATTTTGAAAAGTATTTAAACATGAGCCTTACTCAGTTGTCAGTGGTCGATTTTAAAACTTCATACAGTAAAACATGCTAGTTTGGATAAAAAGCAATCAATTTGTTTTCTAGTTGAGAAATGTTTAAAGAGAGAATCAGAGATAGCGAGCAGGCTAAAAAAAAAATTGTATCAATTTCAGAATATTTTTGGCTCATGTCATTCCTTGTCACGTCTATTTTCTAAAAATCACAAAAGTGCACACTTTATTCAAGGAAAACAATAGATTTTTACAATAATGTATTATTTTTCTATAAGAATGGTTACCATTCTTATTATTTGGGAGAATTTTAAGATTTTTCACCCATTTTTGCACTTTGAATCATTAATAACTTCAACAATTTATAATATATTGTGAATCTTTTGGGAGATATTGTATTTGATATTGTAAGGAATAGATTGGTAGGTCATTATGCACGTTGCTTGTAATTTTGTCACCCCCTATAGATCTGATTCTGCCTTTAAGCTTTAATGTTTATTGAAAGGAAAATTGTGTATCATAATCTTTGAAAAGAACTGGCGTTTCAATATTTAATATCGCAGGTGTAAAAAATAGGATATCGCAATAACCTGATAAATGTTATTTGACACTAGGTGTAAAGTGAAGTCCACGGGAGATGTGACCATATCGTTCCCTACAGGAATTGTTAAGGCCCTGCTAGATAACCCCAACCCTAGTGTTTTAACTTTCCGAATGAAAAATGTGCAAAGCTTACAAGATATAGTGGTCAATAAGCAGCTTGTAACAGAGTGAGTATGAACTATGTAAAAATACAGATAAATTATTGTGTTTGATATAATGATGTAAATGGGTTCAGATTGGATTCAAGTACAGTGAAGCCCAATTTTAGCTCCAAGTTTTACATGTTCATTGATAATCCTTTGTACCCAAATATAAAACATGATATAGCCAACACCCTTAAGCTCTATTTCTTATTTTAACATAACAGTCTATGCTTCAGTGATATCACTTTATTTTCATTTCCATGTGAATTACCAAATGTTTTTCTAATCAATAGGTTTATTTCATAAATACAAACAAATATACAATGAAAAGACAGGGTTGGAGCAAATCGCCTTCCGGCATTTCATGTCCCCATTTGAATATTTACAATAGAGAGCATGTATGCAAGATTCAAATAGCTAAAATTTGGACAAATATAAAATAAAGATAAATTACCAACTAATTTATCATATTTATCAATGAATAATTCCTTATTTCAGAGAAACATCGCAGTCAACCAGTCAATGTAGAGTGTATTCCTTTGATATGCCAAATCTCTCTGAACATCTACGGAAGCAACATGAAACTAATCAGGGTTCTAGCTATTTCAATATTGACATTCTTAAATATCAGGTATGTATGTATTCTGTGAAAGTATCCAAGAGAAATGGGAAATTAAGAATTTAGTAGGTCTACAATACAGAATTAATAAACCAGATGAAATAATTCTTGATTTTCATCATTTAATATTCAGATGAGTCAATGTATGCTCATTGTCCATTGTTTTTGGAAATTGAAAATAGAAGCAGAAAAAGACAAACAAACATGTTCATGTATGTGTCTGTAGTCTAAACTGATGTCAAGTAAAAAAAACTCGCAAATAATTAACTAATATTTAATTGTTGCATACAGATTATACAGTCAGGTATACAGTCCACACCTCTACATCTGACAACATATTGGAAATGTGAGCCTCATCAGACAGACTTCAGGCTGGATTACACTTACAATGGGGCTGCTATCAGTCAGAAGTCACCTCTGTCTAATGTCACTGTGACCTGCATTGTGACTGGAGATGTTACCAACATGCAGGCTAAACCCTCAGGAATATGGTAAGAAGTTTTCCAAGTACGATAAGGGACAATGAATTGAAAGTATATATTGGAATGTGTAGTAAGTCACTCATGACTGAGAGTGGTACTCATTACTAGGTAAAGAGGTTTGGATGTACTAAATAATAAACAAGGACTTTTAATCAGGTCTGCCATTTTTTATGTTGTTAGTTTCTCAATCTTATAATCTTGATTGATTGAAGAGTCAATAGCTTTCATAGTTCAGTGTTAACCATGTAATTTATTGTCAATTATAAAAGTTATTATTTGTATTAAATCCTTTGTTTAAATTCAGGAGTTGAATACTTCAGATGGTTACTTTGGACTAACCAGTTGAACTTGGATGCTGTACTTGTAGGAATGGTGCAAATAAGCGTGCAGTATGGAAGCTGCCAGATATCAGTGATATGAATGAGGATGGGGGTCAGGGATGTTTACGTGCCAAATTTGACCTCGCAGCTGGCCCCACCAACCCCAGTGCAGTAGCGGTACAGTTCACCTGCGAAAACTCATCACTGTCAGGAATTGATTTTGAACTTGCGGGAGGTGGTTACAGACTATCACTTGCAAAGAAACGATTCACATCAGGTGAGTTGAGTCATTCACCATATAAATCAACATTTAAATGAACCTAATGGGGTTGAGTTGTTGACCATATAAGGCAATCTATTGCACTTGAGGTCACATTAGGAAAACCATCTGGTGAGTCAGACCCTTATTTAGTTATAAGAAACTATATTTTGGTAATATTCAGGATGATGCAATACAGAGCACTGGTTCATCTGACAGTGACTGGTGAATCTCACTGTGGGGCAGCTGTTATTTCACATTGAATTAATAAATGGGATAATAGCAGTATAGCTCCATAATTCAATGTTGACTCAACCAGTAAAATGTTTTGTTTTGCTGATTTATTTTGATAAAATTGTCATTAGTGTCAAGCCCTTTTTTACATGTCAAAATGAAAAAAAATCATAGAAAAGCTTAACCAGTGAGACTTAGGGGATAATCAAGCAAGCACTGATTTATAATGGAGTTATGATGCATCCTGCCTGGTAAGATTCTGGTATTTCTATGTAAAAGTTTAATTGCAGGTCGGTATATGGTCCAGGTCTAGCATGAGGTAAGAGCCTTATATGTCACACAATTTGTATACAAGCTTTAGGGTCATGGGTACACTATAAAGCACTATCTCTGATTATCCCAACAAAGAAAGTTCGAGAGGGATATAGAGAATCCATCCGTCTGTCTGTTCTTCCATCCATCCGTTTGTGTTTTCAGGCGATAACTCAAATACCGGTTGACAGATTCAATTAAAATTTTATAGGCTTATGCCTTATGGGTGTAGGACCTCTGCTCGAGAATGAATTTTCAATATGGGCCCTCAATTCAAAATGGCCAACATTTTTTTGTAAAAAATGTAATATTTGATAACTCAAATACTAGTTGACAGATTTAATTCAAATTTTTTGTTAAATACAAGTAAACGGATTTGGTTCAAATTGTATGCCTAAGAATAAAGTAGCTCTGTTCAAGAAAGAATTTTCAAGATGTTGGCTGACTTTCAAAATGGCTACCATTTTTCGGAAAAAAACATAATCTTTGATAACTCAAAAACCAGTGAACGAATTTGGTTCAAATTTTATATGCTGATGCCTAGGGATGCAGTGCTCTGTTCTAGAAAGAATTTTTAAGATGGCGGCTGAATTTTAAAATGGCCACCATTTTTCATAAAGAACATAATCTTTGATAACTCAAATGCCAATTGACAGATTTTGTTCAAATTATGCTGCTACCTAGGGAAAAGGAGCTCTGCTTAAGAAGAAATTTTCAAGATGGCCACTTATTATCAAAATATGTTTTGTTTGGTGGGATTTGCTACTCCGTGGAGTTGCTGTTTTTAAAGTTCTTGTATATACTGGCGTAAATTTCCCACTTTTTCAAACAATGAGTTAAATCAAAGCTCATATAGTCATAGCGCTATGAATTTTTTAACCAAGGGAGTTGTACTGTTGCTTTGTCCACTGAAAAATAGTTGAAATCAACAAATCACTGTCATGTTTGTTCATTGATTGTAGTTGATAGATGCATGATTTATATATTGGATTGAAGCTTATTGTATCTCTTGGAAATTCCATATAATTTTGTCCTCGGTATCAAGTGATTACAATATGGAGCAATCAGCTTGTAGTTCAGCAAATGGTGTCTGTGTTATATGTGTGGAATATTATACTATTCAAAATGCTCTGTTGCTTTCTGCATTAAGTAGTAAATTCCGGTGAGTCACTATACAAAATTGGTAGTGATTTTAATTTTCAGAAGTTGCAAATAAGGTGAATCATACAAAAGTATTGCATAAATTGTACTTTAGATTAAACAATATAAGGAATCCACCTTTCCAACATCCCCATCTTCATATAATAATTCTTCAGCATTTTTAAATGAATCACACAATAGGGGGCCCAGAACTTATCTCTGTGGAACTTAATACATCCTCCAAACACAGGGGTCATTCAGACATCATTGGAACACAGTGGATGATATCGGGACCCCTGCATTTGGAGGATGCCCCTAATGTAAATGCTTTTTAAGTTATAATTCTATTCAAATCCTACTTTCCCAAATCCATCCATCCCCAAGGGTGATAGACTATGAATTAGACTGTGTCTAGACTACATCTAGACTGCAAATATCCATCCACATTCAAAATATTCTAGACTACAAATCATTGCAAAGTTTGAATTTATTCTTTGATAATCGTTAAACCATACATTTTAGCCACCATTTACAATTTAGTAATGGAGTCCTAATATACCATGTCACATGATTACTCCTCTCCAATCAGGTATGATTACACCATAATTAAGGATTACACTTGTGTAAATGAAGGATCATGGGAATTAGACATGTCCTTAGTGAGTCAGATGATTAATTCTAACGAATAAGTAATTGCAAGCACAATCCCTTTGAATTTCTTTAACATTTTGCTGTGTGACTTTTGGGTTGTCCAGATCACAGATCATTAATATTATACATGTATGAATGGTTTTAATCAATTAAAAGTAGTAGTGTTGGGTACAAAAGAGACATAAAAGAATTCTAAAGGCCAAGATGAAACGGCTTCAAAATTTATATTTTAGATGTGTATTGTGTAATGACATTATCATGGTACCATAAACAATATCCATATCCATTATTTCAGTCATGTGTATATACATTAAAATCTATATGGTACCTCATAATAGTGTTCTACTCAGAAGGTGTTCCTCGTATTGAGGTTCAATTTATGCTAAGTTAATGTGTAACAGGACTATTCATATAAAAACTTGATCTTTATTTGTCCTACTCAAAGGGTGATGATATTCCAATAACCTCATTTCAGCGGACAACATAGTGAGATTTGCCCCAATGGCTGAAATGAGGTTATTCATATTTCAACCACCTATTGAAAACTAGGTACAAACTTATAATTCACCATTGACTTGATCATGGCAGAAAATGACAACTATGGCCCTTCATTAGACTCCATCTATTGCTCAAGTCAGTAAAGTTTTACATCTTAAGTAAACCTTCTAAACTAGGTACAAACTTATAATTCACCATTGACTTGATCATGGCAGAAAATGACAACTATGGCCCTTCATTAGACTCCATCTATTGCTCAAGTCAGTAAAGTTTTACATCTTAAGTAAACCTTCTAAACTAGTACTTATAGCCTGAGAACAGACCTTGCAAGGTGGTGATAATTACTTTAACCCACTGGGTCACCCATCAATGCTAACTTAGGGTATTACATTTATGTCTTCCAGGTAGATACCTTGTAGAGACAGATGCAGATGTCAGATATGTGTAGTTTAAAGTTTTTGACCTGGTAACATTGGACCATCATGTTGAAGAGACCAAAATGCATTTGTTCCTGTTGCTTCTTTCTTTGGCCCTTAGATGTCACAACAGAACTTTTATATCACAGATGACTCCAAATTGTCACAACAGAATTATGCTATGTGACAATTATTGGCACAACAGACAAGATAATTTTTAGTGCCACATTGGATTCAAATTGTCACAACAGAACTCATTTATGTTACATCTGACTTTAAATCATCACAATGGAACTCTTATATCACAGATGACTCCAAATTGTCACAACAGAACTATTCAATGTGACAGTTGTCGTCACAACAGAAGTATTTAGTGCCTCACCGAATTCAAATTGTCCAAACAGAAATCTTTTATGTTACAACTGACTAAATTGTCACAATGTGACTCTTATTTGTGTCATCCCAATGAGCGTGATGTCACTACAGATCCCGTATACTTTCCTGCTGGTCATTGTGACCCAAAATTCTCAATGTGTAATACCATATAATAGAGCTTCAAATGAATAATCATTTTCAACTTTACAATAATGTATATGCTTGCAGGCTTGTTAGCCTTAGAATCTTGGATCCTATCTGAGATTTTTAAATTCGTCTTTGTCCGATTATGTATGTATGTCCATGTTGAACTGCGGCATATGTTGTGTGTTAACTTTCTCAATTCTGTACAGTATGTACTTGGGTGTAAAATTGCCAAAATACAAAGTTCCAGATGATTCTGCGACACCAGTCTTGTCAAACTGATTCAGGTATTGGTCCTTCCATATCTTGAGTGATGTACAGTCTGCAAAATTATTTGTACAACAAACTGACTAATGTACCCCAATGAGCAAAATCATTTTGATGTAAAATGGAGAATGATATATTACGCCACCTAAGATGTTAAATATTATTGATATTAAATGTCAGTCAAATATCTATGTTTTGTCAAACCTAAAGTTAAAACCATTTTATTTGTCCTATCTATATTCCATATTATTTATGCTAACTAAAGTGAGGGTTTGTTAAAGAATTTCACAGTGAACTTTCTTGTTATTTCCTACTGAATACATTTTAAAGAACACCTCGTTTTCTCAATTGTTAATGAATTAAGAGTATGTTAACAGAAACATACTTACGGTCTGTAATTACATAGAAAGATGAATCTGACACGTTCAGAGCATCTGTGTGTTAAATTTAAGAGGTAAACGAAGATATAGGAGAATAATGAGAAAAATCATCCATGTTTTTTTGTATTTCTGAAAGCATTTGTGTATGGTTTTAATAAACCAATTTGTGAGAGACTTATCAATGTTAAGATTATGTACCTTGGGATTTAATGTTTTTTTTTCTGCATTTTTGTAAGAAAACTGATCATTATAATCTGAAGGAAATATTTTATGATGTGTTCATTTTACTTGATTCTAACAATAAAATATGTATAAATATAAATAAATAAATTGTTTTACACATTTTATGTATAAATAACAATGAAACATATCTAAATGTAAAACATCAGGTTAAGACTGAGATTTTTCATATAATGTACATGTACTGTATATGTACTGTATACCTATGACAGCCAATATATGTTTCTTAGTGTAACCAATATACAAATGTACACTTATGTAGATGTCTCTTTAGTTCATTTATGCGCTTCATTATGCACATTTGTAAAATGAAATCATTGCAATATAATGCATTATAAAACAGGCTGTATTCATTATGTATAAATAATGTGCCATTGTACTCTTATAAACACAGTAAATTTAATAAATGTATATGAATTATAAAATTAAAATAAAGATATTTATTTGACATATATTTTGTTGCTTTGTTTTTTTTGTCATGTGGCTGGTCAAGTAGAGGCAGTATGTAAGGCACAGTAAACAAAATACTGTAAATTGATTTAAATTTGCGCTATTTAATTTGGTGGATTGGGCATATTTTGAAATTTTGGCTGCCATTTAATTTGGTGGATTTACCATCATCACAGATGCAATTTTATCTCCTGGTATCAGATTGTTTTTATCTAAACCAACAGTGACTTTGGAAATACAGTAGTTAAAATGACATCTTATCCATGTTTCAATCAAGATTTTTACCAACGTTTTGTCTTGCAAGGTAACACATGGAAAAAGCACTGGACAAAAATCCCTGGCAATTTTATTTTCAAAAAATACTTAATTTGGTGGTTTTCATCAATCTGCCAAATTAAAACGGCTAAAAAATTAAAGCAATTTACAGTATACAAAGCCTCACTGAGTAAATTAGGGATATTGAAGCTTTTTGCAGTAGTTTATCTAAATAATACCTCCCCTTATCTTGAGATATGTTACCGTTTTGCTTTAAAAGAGGCCTTCATCTGCACTGTATTAGAGCTTTGCTGTGCTCAATCATTATATTGTAGTCACAGATTGTTATCCCTTCATAAGTAGCTCACATATTTTGGTGGCTACTTTGAATTTTTCAATACATAAATCAATGAAAAGATGATATGGATTAGTGGTCTACTCTTAAAGCACTGATTTGACAAAAAAAAAATATACTCTTAAAATGAAAACAAAGGATTTCGGCAGCCATTTTAAAATTTCCAGAAGCTCGATTCACTCTGCAATATGCTCTTAAATACCTCATGATTTTCTAGTGAAATAAAGGCCTTTTAGTGAAAATTAGTCCAAATACAAATAAAGGGAAATCTTCACAACCTTACATGTTATCAATAGAGAACATTATTCGATTTGGCTATATATCAGTTTCTTTTTATTTTATAAAATAATACGAGGGGTGATCCAAGTCTTGGACATCCCGCTCTAACTTTGCTATTTTTTAATGAAATTACACGAAACTTTCAAAAAATAAAGATTAACATCTTAACAGCGTTGTGTAGAAGTTTCACTAGAAAATAATTTATTTTAGGTTCTTTTCTAGATATTTTTTAATATGGGGACCCTGCCACCCGGAACGCAAATCACGTCACAACTGTTAATATGGCAAATAGTTTAGGTGCAGGTGAACAACCTCCCACCAGTCATTATACAAGAGCATTTTCAGAATTTGCAATCTGAATGTCATCTGCCATCAAGAGAATCTTTCGATTTTGCAATCTGAGTGTCATCTGCCATCATCATCTCCACATATTTAGGCCTACTTTTCAACATACTTTCCATGAATTTCGACACATTTTTCGTGGCGCTTTACCCATGAATGGAAGACATTCATGAAACCACCCTTGCTCATGTGACACAAACGCTCCTGGACTGCCACTTTAACCTCATCCAATGAGTGAAAAACATTTCCTTTCAACTCTTCTTTCAACTTGGGAAAAAGAAAAAAAAAACACGGGGCCAAATCTGGACTATATGGTGCGTGTTGTAGCTGTTCAAGTTCGTTGATTGCAAGAATATCTTGCACAACCATGGAGCGATGGGATGGTGCGTTATCCATGTGTAGGATACGGCTGGCGGGATGTTCTACACTGTTGCGCTTTTTACACAAGGCAACTCTCAGATGTTTTTGCAGAACCTGCAAGAACATCAAAAAGGAACTTCAATTATTTTGTTTGGCCTTGTTGGACTAAGGTATGTGTGTAGGTATAACAATGATCAAAGATTTAATGGATCATTGCCTGATTTTCCTACCTGTTTGAAATATTCCCCATTGACAGTCTGGTCTTCAGGCACAAAGTGGGTCAGGATGGGACCTTTGTAGTCAAGGAAAGTTATAATCATAACCTTATCTGCAGAGCGTCCTCTTATGGCTTTCTCTGGCCGATCCTCAAAGGGGTAGATGTACTGTGAGGACTGTTGATTTGTCTCTGGATCACTATAATAAATCCATGATTCGTCTGTAGTAATGATGCGTTTAAGAAACTCTTCTCCTTCTCGTCTGTACCTTTTGAGAAATGCCTCACTCAAGTCAACTCTTCTTTGCTTCTGCTCATTACTTAAAAGTTTGGGAATCCATTTGGCACATACTCTCTTCATCTGAAGGTCAAATTTAACAATGCGCTGTACGCTGCCATATGGTATATCTAGGATGCTGCTTATTTCTCTGATAGTCAATCTACGATTAGAGTCTAACAATGATTTGACAGCTCGAATATTATGTGGTGTTCTTGTGTCTACAGGCCTGCCTGATCTGGGTTGATCCAATACATTTTCATTACCAGAATTGAAGTGTTCATACCATCTATACACACTTTGTCTTGATAAAGCTCTGTCCCCATGGGTGCTTCTCAATAATTCATACACTTCTTGATGTGGCTTATTTGTAGCAACCATAAACTCGATTACAATTCTTTGTTTCACTTTAATTTCTTGCATGTTCTGCATTTCAGCAGCCATCTTGGAGCAAAAATGATACCACAATGAGGCTTACATGTCTGATGTCATTTTCCATTGTCCTATGTGACATCACAGTTAAAACACAATTAATTGGTTGCTTGGCAACAAAGAAAGAAAACTAACATGGTTTAACATTCAAAATTCAAAGAAAAATAGTGGTCAAGTTTAGCGAAACTAGTCAAAAACTGGCAATATTTAAGGCTGAAATTGCCATTTTCAAATACCGTTCCGGGTGGCAGGGTCCCTATATCAAAAACTGTCTTGAAAAATACATAAAATAAATTTTTTCTCCATGAAATTAATACACAAAGTAGTTCGATTATTGGTCTTTATTATTGGAAAGTTTGAAATAATTTCATGTAAAAACAACAAAATTAGAGCAGGGCGTCCAAGACTTTTGGATCACCCCTCGTACATTAACAAATTATCTTAGCCATTTTCATCCTTTCTGTCTTTCTGTTTTTTCAACAAAAATTGTTGTCTTATTTTTTCCTTATTCTCAAAGAAACCATCAGTCCTTTTTTGTTTAGTAAGTCCCTCCTCACCAGTAAATACAAGATCTGGAAACAAAATAGGTTATTATGTACTCTAATGAGATCTATGATGCAAGAATAAGAAAAGAATGATAACAATTTCAAAGTTTTGGAATAGAAGTGATTAAAACAAACATGTATGTGTCAGTATACTCAAATGTTTTTCCCATACTGCTACTCTTACCTTCTTCTTTATAATTCACTGACTTGAGGTAGAGCCCATGTGCTGGCATTCCATAAATGTCATGGTTCTCATTGGGCCTGTCTATCATTGCACGGACATCATCCAAGCTGATTCTGTTCCTAGCAGACTGCACCATTGCACCTGTCATTTTCCGTACCTAAAATGCAAATATGTATGTGTTAGTATAGGGAATATTGGGCATTTCACAAAAATCAGTTTATTGTCTTTACTATAACAATTATAAAAGTTTTATGAGCATGAATGGATGCAAATGTCCAGTTAAAAATTGTATTCCAGGAAACTTTTATCAGTCTAAAGAATATGCTCTTTTACCAGAATTTTCTCCAAGATTTCAATGACCTGTCATAGATTAATTCCTGGGATATGAAAAATGTTGCTAATTACAAATTGTTAATTTTATTTTTCCTGACCGGTCTATGAAAATATTTGAAAAATCTCCATTCATTAAAATTTGAGAGGGGATCAAAAATGAGGAAATCAATGGTAAATTGGTAAATATACACTTAATGATGAGAACCAAAAATATTGTTAAATTGTGACAATTTCTTCAAACTTACCAGACTTGCCAACCTCCCGTTTTTTTACGGGAATCTCCCGTAAATTTTTTGTTTTTCTGTAAAAAATACCAAACTCCCGTACCGTTTTCTCCCGTAAAAACTCCCGTAAACTCCCGTACCGTATTTCTACTAAAATCTCCCGTAATTTTTTTAAAAATATGGCCGTAAAATCTCCCGTATTTTTGCTGAAATCTCCCGTAAAATCTCCCGTATTCTGGTATAACTCCCGTAAAATCTCCCGTATTCTTGGTATAACTCCCGTAAAATCTCCCGTTTTCTGGTATAACTCACGTAAAATCTCCCGTATTCTTGGTATAACTCCCGTAAAATCTCCGTTTTTTGCTGTCGAAATCTACCGTATTTAAAAGGAATTTGAAAAATTTGTGACCTTGATTATTGCAGGCACGCTTCTTTCTTTTACTCCAAGAAGGATTGGCTCCCATGGTTCACTTTCGATACTTTCATAAATAATTAAAAGTACTTCATTCCCATGATTCAAATTGCTTTTCTGCGATCAGTTCGGTATAAGTTGGCACACCAAATGTCCACAAACTGGGACCAGTTCATATTCTGTCATACTTCTGTCGGGAGAATACATTTTGTTTTTATATGGCGCTAAACGAAATATAATATATATATACGTATATAAGGCGCATTATGGGTAGGGACTGCTGTGAAATAATGAACGTAAGTGACATCTATCTTAGATTATAAGTTCTAATTAATTTTTTAACTTCGCATGCGTCATAATAATTTCAACCAATTATTCGCTGGATTTAATACCGTAAAAACTCCAGTTTTTTCAAAATCTACCGTAAAAACTCCGTTTTTTTCAGAAATCTACCGTAAAACACCCGTTTTTTCAGAAACCTACCGTAAGAACTCCCGTTTTTCCGAAATCTACCGTAAAAACTCCCGTTTTTTCAAAATCTAAAGTAAAAACTCCCGTTTTTTAAGATCTACCGTAAAAACCCCAGTTTTTTCAGAATCTACCGTAAAAACTCCAGTTTTTTCAGAAATCTACCGTAAAAACTCCAGTTTTTTCAGAATCTACCGTAAAAAACTCCCGTTTTTTCAGAATCAACCATAAAAACTCCAGTTTTTTCAGAAATCTACCGTAAAAACTCCAGTTTTTTCAGAAATGTACCGTAAAAACTCCCATTTTTTTTAAAAGCTACCGCAAAAACTCCCGTTTTTTCAAAACTTACCGTAAAAACTCCCGTTTTTTCAGAACCTACCACAAAAACTCCCGTTTTTCTGAAATCTTCCGTAAAAAAAGTCGCGTTTTTAAAATTTACCGCGAAAAATACATTTTTTTTTTAATCTCCCGTAAAAACTCCCGTTTTTTTCAAAATCTCACGTAAAAACTCCCGTTTTTTTTTTAAATTTACCGCAAAAACTCCTGTTTTTTTTAAATCTCCAGTAAAAACTACCGTTTTTTTCAAAAATCTCCCGTAAAAACTCCCGCTTTTTTTCAAAAAACTCCCGTAAAAACTACTGGATTTTGAAAAAAACTCCCGTAAAAGTACCGCAATTTTTTTTAAATCTCCCGAAATTTTTTCATTTTAGGTTGGCAAGTCTGAACTTACTCTCTATCCCAAGGCCCTTTACCTAAATTTTGACATGTTCAAAACTGGTCAATGTATCCAACAAACTTCCCAGCTGAGTGCAAGGCAATCTTCAAATTCACTATTGTGTGCAGAACTCATACACACACTCAGTAAATTCAATCCTGGAGGTATCAATGGAAAGAGAGCTAGAGAGCGTTTAATACCCTCCTGGCTATTAGCACTTGGAGATTTAAATATGGTAGTGAGAAACGTTTGACATGACACTATGAAGTCCGAGATCTACCTGATGGTATAAAAATGAGTTGCCATTAAAGATGAGGTCCCAGTACTGGAATTTGTCTCTCATATATGCTGTGTGCTCATCCAGGAAACCATTCATGCCTCTGTGAACTGACACTTGCATATCTTTCACGGTATTCTGCCAGGGCTGTATCATGCGTGGTGCACTGAATGCCGCAAAGTCCAGCTTCCCCGTTAATATAGTCGCTGCCTCGCGTAGCTTTTCTTCATCAAATGGTTTGCTGGAACATATTGCAGTCAGATAAAATATAATTGAAATTGATTGTGGATCAGATTGCCATCAGATAAAGCTTTGCGCTAAGAACTTAAAATGACCAAAAAGGCATTAACATGCAAAATGCTACCATCTGCCATTTGTTAAAGACACCGAATGCCAACCACCAGACACCATCACAATAAAGTCGGAGACCATAACAATATATCACCACTTGTGGTAGCTACATAAATAATATGATATTTCAACTACACATACCTTATATATGCTACTTTGTCAGCTTGAAATACAGAGATGGGCAAACGATGCATATAATCAATATCCGTCTCTTCCTGACGGACTGCAATGCGATAGAGGTAGGTACGACTAGTAGCATAAAATCTACTATGGAAATCATCATTGACTCTTTTAACATCAACAACTCTGCAATAAAATGGTGATTTCACTGACATTTCAAGGTGTAATTGGTTGCTTTACCCAACTGATAATTTAAAACTAGATTTCACCAGTTTCCATCCATATTAAATGTTCAATACATATGTTTATCGTATGATCTGTAAAATGAAGCCCTCTGATTGGTCAGTTCTTGTGCTGTACCAATCTGTATTGCTACTGAGGTTGTCCCTGTTGATCATCTCCGTCGCAATACAGAAAATATTGGTACGGAGGGGACAATCTCAGTAGCAATACAGAGGATCACACGATAAAAACGTTATTGAATGATTTGAAGTGCAATACAGGATATATTCTGTCTCGATATTCTGTATGGGCACTCGACTTCGTCTCGTTCCAACACAAAATTTCTCGAACAGAATATATCCTGTATTGCACTTCAAATCATTCAATAACTTATAACTTCACAATCAGAATACCACGTAAAATGAGATTTGCACCAAATTGAGAAAATCTCCTAAATTACGCAACTGAAGATTTCCTGCATTGTGCTATCTTTTATTTGTCAGAGTTGGATTTTTCATGTTTTATCATCTAGGCTTAAAAGAAAGTCCATTGTTTCATTATAATTGAATTTACTGTAACAGCCTGTGTATAAGGTGTCCCACAATGCAATAAATCTTTTAAATAATTTAAACTTTTGATACTTATTTGGTTTTCTAGACAGGCTTTACTTTTCTAGACAGGCCTTACTTGCTACAGTATATGGGATTTCTGGGCAGTATGTTTCAGCTCTGCAAATATTGCAAATAATATAACCATTAAGTATATTCCCCTTGGACTAACTGAAATAAACCATGCCTCAAATTATTTGTGATATCAATGCATAATATTTACCTTATTCTCTCAGCTCTTTTCCTAAGGTTCTTGTTGACCAGCTGCACCAATGTAACAGGCTCATATTCACCTGTTCCATCAATATATCTAAAGAAAATGTTGTACATATTAATGTATTTAGTATTAACAAAAGGTCAATAATTACTAATGGGGTTTCATTAGCAGCAGAAAATAGGTGATTTCCTACATTTCTATTTCAACAAAATTTTCTTTTGTTCCAAGGAATTTGAAACTGTGTCTATGTACAGTAAAACTTGTGTACAGTGGAGTGTATAGTAAACACATTTTTGTGACTCCATAGGTAAGTGTTCACTGAAAAGAGGCAATTCTATGCAGAAGTCAGTGGAGTATTTGCTGAGAAGAGGTGTTCGCTAGACACAGGTGTTCATTAGAGGGGTGTTCACTAAGACAGGTTTTACTGTTGTGTTAAAGTTATGATTTTAAACTTTAAACTTTAAAAATTTTACCTTTTATGTTCATTTTTATTTTGTATCTGTTTTCAGAAATTGTAGAAAACTGATTTACCTATTGGATCAGTGTTTAGTAAATCATTTAATAATTTTATGTATAGTAAAACCTGAGTAAATTGAATATTTTCTTACCGAGAAAAAATGTTCAATGTTGGTCGGTGTTCACTTCAGAGAGGGTAATTTATACAGAAGTCAGTAGAGTATGTTAGGAGGAAGAGTGTCCATTAGACATGGGTGTTCACTTGAGAGATGTGTTCACTAAGACATGATCTACTGTACCATACAGATAGAGTTCATATTTTTTCAAATTGAGAGGATCATGTGTGGGCCTGTAGGGTCCAGTGGGCATCAACTGGGGCCCAGAATGACAGGACATGACAGATACCATGAGTTGTGTAGGTGTGAGACACAAAATACTTTCACATAATATCTGATATGATAATACACCTAAATACATGTACACTCAATATTAAATGAGGCTGATATGATTTCCCTTTCTCAATATACCATGAGGGTCATTTTTGAATACATAAATAAATACGTATATTGACCAATATATAAAGTCCAAATAATTTATTTGGGATTTTACTTTACTTTTCTTTATGTTTTTCTAAACCTTCATGTTTTCCTGTTGTGATTCTAAAGAGTTGCAGCAAGGGTTAATACATAAATAAGAAACCACTTACTTATGCAGATCAGTGTGTAATGTATTAGCTATTGCATGAACTCCTGCATCTGTTCTGCTAGAGCTGCTCAGTTTGAAGTCATTCCCTGGTTTCACTCCCCTTAGGATAGCATCCTTTAAATTACAAAAATAATACAATGAGTGCTTGCCTTGCACCTAAAGAGGTACCTCAACAAATTTAAGTATTAGAGTCTGATTAAGTTTAGTAATATTGTTAACTTACATGAAATATAAAACTTCTATTAAACTAAACTAGATAACAACAACAACCCCCAGGTGTAGCAAATCCCATTAAACATCTAATGAGTGTCAGAAAACGCTGCTAGAAATCATGTCTAAAATGGCCACCATATATATATATTTTCTCAAAGGATATAAACAAAAACAAAAAAGATATTAGCATAATTGCTCCACAATGTAAAATAACATAAAAACTAATGAAAATAGATGCAAATTCTGGAAATGGCTGTCTGATGAAAGACGGACGGATGGACGATTGGAGTTGCTAACTCCCCAAACTTCATTTGATGGGATAAATGAACTCATTCTCTGAAAATTCTGAAATCTCTAGCAGAGAATATGGAAACTGCCCCAGGGAAAATATTTTTGCCCTTTTTCCCTCAATGGCAGTCCCTATCTATAAACTGATAAATTGTAGAAATTGAGGAAAAAAGAATAAAGTATAAATAAACCAATTAAGCAATACCTTCAGTACATTAAATACTGACTTTGAGCCAGGGTCACCATGAGCTAGCCCCCTGCAAAAAATAAAAAGCTGTATAAAATACATATACCTACAGCGCTTAGGGGGGGGGGGTTCTGGTCAACCTTTTTGTACAGGGGGTTCCGCTGAGATTCAAAACTGAGATTTACCCACATCTAGGGATTATTTTCCCATAAAACTAGGCTCACATTTTTCTTTCAAAAATAGAACCACTTCGAGGTAATTTTTCAAAAACAAGACCCACATCTAGCGCTTTTTTTCAAAAACAATACCGAGCTTTAGGATTTCAAAAAGAAGACCCAATTCAAGGTTTTTTTTCGTCAAAATGGGACCCATATCTAGGGATTTACCTTCAAAATGGAACCCACATCTAGGAATTTAGCAGCCCATCCCTATGGAAGTACCCCGCCCCCCAGGCTACAAAGACATCATAAGAGGTCCAAAGAAGCATTCATCAAGCCTGTACAAATATTTAATAAAAACAATATTTAAATTTAATTTTTGTTAAATATTTAAATATATAATTAGTTGCCATGGTAACAAATATGGCTGATTTAAAGATTGTCTATGTCAATTGAACTATTTACTTTTATTCCTCTGCAGTTTGAGACAGTCGCAACCTTTTTGGCTTTGAGAGAACTTTAGGCTGGGGTTTTAATTAACTGAGGTAAGAAATATGTGCGTAGCTTGCACCAATATTGTTTTACTTTTGAAATATAATCCCTATGGAAGTACCCCACCCCCCAGGCTACAAAGACATCATAAGAGATCCAAAGAAGCATTCATCAAGCCTGTACAAATATATAATAAAAACAATATTTAAATTTAATTTTTGTTAAATATTTAAATATATAATTAGTTGCCATGGTAACAAATATGGCTGATTTAAAGATTGTCTATGTCAATTGAACTATTTACTTTTACTCCTCTGCAGTTTGAGACAGTCGCAACCTTTTTGGCTTTGAGAGAACTTTAGGCTGGGGTTTTAATTAACTGAGGTAAGAAATATGTGCGTAGCTTGCACCAATATTTTTTTACTTTTGAAATATAATGTGTGGTTCGAGATTATTGTATGTGCGCAAGATCTGAGATTAACATACAGTTTTATGATAGTCTAAAGCAAGTCCAAAATGGAGAGATGGTCTTGGTTCTAGATCACGGGGAGTAAGTCACCCCCCCTTCTCTCTAATATTCTCTTTATAAGCTTTAGAATATAAGAGGGAGAGGTGACTAACACGTACTAGAATATAAGGGGGAGGGTTGACTTACTCCCCATGTAATATCAGTAGATCTAGTATCAGGAAATATTAGAACCCAATTGAAAAATCCTGGGTACGCCACTGTCTGTAGCTCAACTTCAATATGTGTTCAAAATATTATTATAGTATGGCGATAAATTTTACAGAGAACTATTTGCATATGATATGTATCGTTTTTTAGTGTTTTTAATGTTAGCACGATGTCTAACCCAAACGCTCTTATATGCACGACGGAGCATCTCATTACTGAAACTAAACAAAAGAAACGCTCTGGAGTAGGAAAAATGGCAGGCGGGAATGATGAGCCATCTTACGATTTCCCTGATAATGAGAATAAGAAGTATGTGCTACTTATTTGGAGTATACCATTCGATGGGTGTGATATTCATGTTGTACTTGGTTGGCTGTTGACGTTTGAAGCAATCAGGAAGAGCTGTACAAAGCAATATAGTTATCAAAAATTCATAAACATATTTGTCATTCTACCGGTCAAAACCCCTTTTGTCGAGACATGTGATTAGTTGAGTCAAGATTAGAGCATCAGAGTATATTTTGGTCAAATTCCAAAGCTTCCACACCATACAATATCGTAATTGTGATTTGATGACCAAAAATCCAGTCTTAAAAATGATGACATTCTCGTATTCAAGAAACACTGCGACCTGGTTAACACAGTGAACTGGAAACGCTGCGGTACTAGTCTAAATATGTTTAGGAATTAGCTTGACTTTCCTTTTCAGGAAGACAGAGAAAGAAAAGATCTATTATACCCCTTGGGACCAAAAGAAGAAAGATTAATTCTCATATAAACTTTTTGTTTTGTCGTCAATAGTTTTATGTTTTAGCACACCAGGCCCGTAAGACACTTTTCTCCAAGGGGGGTGCGGTTTTAACTAGAGAAAATAAAATTGTCAATTTTTTGCCGCGTAAATCAAATTGCGTAAGTCAAAGGGGGGGGGGGGGTCGGTTACTCCCTATATTTTGTAGTATTTTATTGTTTTCGTATTGTTTTTAGACTAAATATTGTATGAGCAATTTGGAGAAATACTGGAATAGGGGGAGGGTGTACTAGAAGGGCATAAATGCCCGAGAACTTTTACCAGTTCAAGATCACATTCAGTGATTTCTTGATCCTTTCAAGGTGTTTTAATTGAAACAGAATCTAATTATAAGAAATTCAGATTTTTTCAATCATTTTCTTCTTAGGGGGGCAGCAAGGAAAATTTTACAAATTCAAGATGCTGTCTGGTTAATTCTGAGCACTTTTAATGTGTTTGAGTAAATGAATGCTTTTGTTTTTGGGGTTGGCTGCCAGAAATTTTTATGTTTTTATGATTTCATTATGTCACTTGGTGACTTCTAGGCACTTTAAAGCGTTTAAAATTAACAAATGCAACTTCCAAACTTGTGAGGAGTGACCCACTCCCCTTAGAAAATTTTACACTTTTGAGATGCCATTTGGTGCTTTCTGGGCACTTTTAAAGTGAATGAGTCGTCGATAAAACAAATTTCAAATTCTTTTTGGGGATGTCAAAGAGAATGAAAGGGTGAAGTGGGGTGGAGTGTCAGAGGGGGAGCATTAAGGGGTTGTTCCCAAGAAACAGTGACCATATCAAGGTGCCATTTGATGATGTCTGGGCACTTTAAAAATGTCTGAGACAATACATGAAATTCAGAATTTTTTCAATTGTTTTGTGGGGGATGTGAGGGGTGGTCAACTCTCCTAGAAAATTTTACAATTTTAAGATGATATTTGGTGCTTCTAGGCACTTTTAAAGTGTATGAGTCAATCGAAAAAAAAAGAAAAACAATTACATTTTTTCAATTTTTAGGGGTGTCAAAGGGGGATGCCAGAGGGGGAGGTGAGATTAGGGTGCCAGAGGGCCAGCAAATGTTTTTCCCCAATATCTGTCCCCAGAAACATTGACCATATCAAGGTGCTAGTTGATGAGGTCTGGGCACTTTAAAAGTGTCTGAGACAATGCATGAAATAAATTCAGAATTTTTTGTGGGGGATGGGAGGGGTGGCCTACTTCCCTGGAAAATTTTACAATTTTAAGATGCTATTTGGTGCTTTCTGAACACTTTCGAAGTGTATCACTCAACAAAAAATTTGAAAAATCACAATATTTTGGGGGTTGTCAAAGGGGGAGGGGGTGCCAGAGGGGCAGGTGGGGTGGGGATGCAAGAGGGCGAGTAAGTGTTAGTCTCCCAGAATCATTGACTATATCAAGGTGCTATTTGATGATGTCTGGGCACTTTACATGTGTCTGAGATGATGCATAAAATAAATTCAGAACTTTTCAATTTTGCTTTGGGTGTGAGGGCCGACTCCCCCTAGAAAGTTTTACAATTTTAAAACGCTATTTAGTGCTCTCTGGGCACTTTCAAAGTGTATGAGTCAATTAAAAATTTGAGAAAATCACAATTTTTTGGAGGGGTGTCCAGGGGGCGAGGCCGAGGGTGCCAGAGGGGGAGGTGGGGTGGGGTGGGGATCCCGAAGGGGAGCAAGTGTTTGTCCCCCACCAGAAACATTGACTATATCAAGGAGCTATGTTATGAAGTCTGGGCACTTGGGCACTTTAAAAGTGTCTGAGACAATACATAAAATAAATTCAGAACTTTTCCATTGTATTGAGGGGGTGTGAGGGGTGACCCACTCCCTCTAGAAAATTTTACAATTTTAAGATGCTATTTGATGCTTTCTGGGCACTCTAAAAGTGTATGAGATGATGAAAAATAATTACAAAAAAAATATTTTTCAACATTTTTTTGGGGGGTGTCAAAGGGGGGTGCGGTCGCACCCATCGCACCCCCCCATCTGACGGGCCTGCACACATGTAGGCATAACATCATCTAATGTAGGCTTAAATCGGCTTGTTGAACGTGTAGCACCACCAAGTTGGGACATTTCAATTTGCCTAACAAGTACAACAAATTTGTTAGAGATAGATTCCATTCCAAACTCTTCTGTAATAATCTGAAAATAATATCAAAACAAAATGGTGACAGCGTATCTAAAATTGTGTCCATAATCTAAGGAGCATTTCGAGGAAAACAAGCGATTTCTCGAGAACAAGTAATGGATTTGAACTGAGATTTTAGCAAATGAGAATATATGAGTTTGTGATCTACTACTTTGACAGAAAGATTGACGTTTTCATATAAATACGTGTTTAATTCGTAATTTGTTCGATCTACACTACGGAGCCACGATCAAGCAAATAACAGTTGACCACCAGAAGAACGAGTGAAACAGTACAGTCATAGTGGGATCTTCATTAGCTGCCATTTTATTTCGCTCTGCAGAGTTTCCGCGTGAATGAAACTCGCCGTAGTGCATGTAAAAGCGTTTGGGTTGGATACCGTTGTAAGTGTAAAAACAAATAATTCCCTCTGATAAATTTAGTCTGCTAAGCTTATGGGCGATAATACGTGAGTATGATCATGCTTTCACTTTCACTATCATTTCTCACTTAGACCAACATCAAACTTCTTAATATAACTACTGTATATTACCTATAAGGCGTCCCTTCATATGATATGTAAAATAAATATCTTCCCATTCTAAATTAGATGTTATTGTTCATTTTAGTACGAATAAAATTTGACAGAAAGATGATCATGTTGCATTGTGGGATATATTGACCTATTTTTCAAAACGAGGGCTGCGACGTGGCTGAGAACGAATGACAACTATTCTGACAAATTGTTGAGTCAATACAAAGAATTCGACAGTTAAAAGTGATTAAACACGTTGTTGGATATCTCTGGAACATTCAGGTACTGAATTTTTACTGTTTACATAAAGTTATGGTATTGAAAACATCATCAGAAATGAAGGCATTTTCAAAATGGCCGGTTTTTTTTGATTTTTAATTTTGTTTTACTTTTCAGGTACGAATCAGGCTCGGTGACTCATCTTGAGGAATATTTATTGAGCAACAAATGTAATAAATTGTCATCAAAAACAAAATCACTTATATTTATTACATGGGGGGGTTCTGTTTTCTACCTGTCATCACAGGGGCTTGTCTGGAGGGTCGGGCAAGCCGTCCGATGAGTGTGTACACTCATTTTTTTTTATTCTGTGAACCAGTCCATATGGTTAATATAACGAAAGAATGTGATGTAACCACGTGCCTACTTACCAGCTTGTTCTACAGTTGGGGACAAAAATAAATGACAGGTCGATTTTCGATCACCATTTCCTAATTATGGTGGTCTGAAAGCCCATAATTTCCAATATTGTCTAGATACATATCCCTTAAAATTTGTATATTTTACAATTTGTATAATCTCATCCACTGATTTATGGCCTCTTGTAAATTCTCTTATTTTTAACATGGGAAATCCTCACTTCAGCAAATCCACCTGTCATTTATTTATGTCCCCAACTGTATGTCATCTATCGGACTAGAGTCCATTTCACTGCTTCATTTCGTCAGTAGAACGGCAAAAATAAGAAATTGGGAGACCATTGTGCAATAATATATGGAAAAGTATATTCATAATGTACATGAATGACATTTGTATATTTCAGATTTTTTAGTTTTTTGTGCAATAAGCCTGTGCCGTCTTGTAATTTGAAGAATTTCAGCCATGTTAATCTTATTGAAAATAACATGGCCGAGAAACATCCAAATATAAGAGGCCACACACTTTATAAGCCAAACTAGAAGCAATCCAAGATATACAAATGTCATTCATGTACATTATGAATATACTTTTCCATATATTATTGCACAATGATCTCCCAATTTCTTACATTTGCTGTTCTACTGACGAAATGAAGCAGTGAAATGGACTCTAGGTTACATTGTGGAACGCAGCCAAACAGGACACTGAAGGCAACAGCATATCGATCTTGATCTTAGCCAAATTTTGGGAAATTTAGATCGTCCATTTTGCAAGCTCACGTGACTGACACGTGACACGTGTCTGATCACGTGATTAGTTACTGTATCGATCATGTGACTCAATGACGTGTCAATGACGTGTCACCCAACCATGTCTTCAAGGAAAACTGAAGTAAATATTTTGGAAAAATTTTTCCGAGCATTTGCTACTGATTATAGAAGGCCCAATTACGCAACAAACAAAATTGCTAAATTGTATTTCGTGCCTAACAGGCGCAGTACGCAATGATAGAAACTGCTAAATTGTATTTTTAGTCTGCTTATTGATCTATTGATTCATAAAGACCTGAAATGATGCATTCAAATAAGACTGCCTACTAAATGAAAACACTACTAAAGTTGAAAGATCGCAACGTTTGCTACTTTGCTCAATTTCGGAAATCTCCAAGGGGCTGAAAATGGCAAATTATTTAGATTTAGATTTTATAACCTCAGAATACTGGCTTCATTGTCGTGTTTGGCTGCGTTCCACAATGTAACCTAGTCCAATTGATGACATAGAACAAGCTGGTAAGTAGACACGTGGTTACATCACATTCTTTCGTTATTTTAACCATATGAACTGATTCACAGAATGAAAAATTTAATTGTAGTCTACTGGTTATTAAGAGTATAAGGGAGGTCGTTTTTGATGCTTCCTGAAATTTGTAGAAAATGATTGTTAGATATATCCAGTAAAAACATAATAGGGAATCCTTTCAATAATCGACATGCTGATTCAAACAACACTACAGAGCAAAGTTACCCAAAATGGTAGCAATCCATCCACTCATTGCTGAGAAATCTGAAGAATATGTAAAGAAGTGAGTAACGACTGTTATACGGAAAAATGAAAGTACTTCATTCCCACGATTCAGAACGATTCGAATTACTTTTCGGCGGTTGGTTCGGTTTTACTTAGAAACCAAATGAAAGATTATTGCCAAGGAATGGAAAACGTATTTCGAAGATGAGAGTTATTTGTTTTATCACTAAAGGAAAATATTTCCGCAATATAAGGTGCATCATGGGAAGGGACTGCTGTGAAATAATGAAAGCAAGTGACATCTATCTATCTACGTTCGCGAATTCATACATTTCTGTGACTGAGTTTAGATTTTGCCAAAGTTTTTTGGTGGTGAATTCCTTTCATACAAACGCAGTTTATAGTAATGATTTATCAATGTCTTACAATGTACCTGCATTGAATTAAGACATCTACAGCCAGCTATTTAACGTAGTCATTCCTCAAATTGAAAAAAAAGAAAAATATTTTCATTTTTTGACAAGTTCTTCCACTCGCCAGGTGGCGCTGAGACCCTATCTGTTGCAAGACTTATGCCTGGCACAACCGTCACCATGTTATTAAGTGTTTTTATTAAGTTTCGCAAGGATCCTGCCATGACCGTGGTAGTGCTATTGTGATAGCCTGGTATAACTGACAATGCTATATTATATTGCATGGCCTGTCATGACCGTGGTAATATTAAAGCCTGATATGACCGTGACAATGCTATATTATATTGCAAGGCCTGACATGACCGTGGTAATGTTAAAGCCTAATATGACCGTGACAATGGTTACAAGGCCTGTCATGACCGTGGTTATGTTAAAGCCTGATATGACCGTGACGATGCTATACAATATTGCAAGGCCTGACAATCTGTGGTAATGTTAAAGCCTGATATGACCGTGACAATGGTTGCAAGGCCTGTCATGACCGTGGTAATGTTAAAGTCTGATATGACTGTGCTTTGTCATTGCTTTAATGGTCGGTATACCAAGTATAATCAAGAAAAGCTTGTATACAATGAACAACAAAATTCGGAAATGAGTACTATAGATTTGCTTCTGGACTCTGAACCAATTGACCTAGATAATAGCGATGCTTCTTCTTTGGTCAACTGCTCAGTTGTTTGTGGGTTTTCAACGTAACTCTGTAATGCAAGTTGAAGATGAGTACCTTTATTCTGTTATTGCATCAATGTTGCAGTCTGTAGTGTGGTAAGATTGGAATGAAAGTGTTAAAAGTCAATGAAATTAATTTTTCTAATATGGCGAATAGTCAACTGATCGCGTGACCTTCTCTTCCGAAATATTTTCTCACTTTTCAATCATTGATTTCACCACACCATGAAACAGTACAATGAAAAAATATCTGTTGTTTTAAGATTAATAAGAGATCAATTGTTTCTGATAATTTTTTCTGTACTCCCGTATGGGAATATGAACGGATATATCGATTGAAAAAAGGTGTGAAAATCCCCATGTTAAACCTATGGGGGAAGACAAGGAAGTATGAATTTGTTCTTCCGGGAACTGCATCATGGGAAATATTTTGACTTTATAAGGAAAATTTTTACATCTCCTCTATTGAAGAGGGAACAACAAATACGAGAATAGATTGATATGGGTTATATATATTGAACAACTTGATGCAAAAAGCCCCTTTGTTTAAAACCTTTGAAAGGTTCAAAAGGTATATAGAAAACCTATGATTAAACCAATATTTCTGGTTGGAATTTACATGAACAATTTGGTCAAAATCTGGGACTAGTTAAGAAAATAAACATTCAACTTTATGAACTTTGAACTGTGAGATCACTGCTGTAAGATTACACTTCAACATCAATTATGTAACTCTTGTTCTATATCATATACATGTACATGTAAATGAATAATTTAATACATATAACCCATATAATCTATGAAATACTGTAAATTACTTTGCTTTAGCAACTGATTTAATTTAGCAATTCACAAAATGTTTGCACAATATTGTCAGTCTAAATCTTCATCAATAATAAGTTAACCATTGCAAATGTTGCAATCTGTTGAATTAAATAGTCGTAAATGTTTTGAAAAAAGCAATATTAAATTTAATACCTTAAAATCAATGTAGAAGGAAATATAAGATGTATAGTATGATGTGTAATACTTTGACATATAATTTCCAGGGTTCTCACCAGGAAATTTTTAGACCTCGGATTTTTGCGGGGTATCACAACTACCCTTCCCCATGAGATCAGAGATATCCTTTTAGTATACTTTTCAAAATACTACTTAATATAATCTTCCTATTCTTTGTTTGTTTATAGTTTATGTATTTTCTCAAGAGTTTTACCACATATAATGTGACAAAAATAGACTCCCGAAAGCTATTAGACTCTGGAGCAAGAGGGTCTAAAGACATTAGACTCCGCAGAATCTTTGGAGTCTAAAAGCCTAGTGAGAACCCAAGATTCTATCATTCGATAAGTAACAGAAGAATTGAGTTGGTCAAATGGTAAAGCTAAATTTTCATAATGATCACACGGTGCCCATGTCAAGCTGCGCGCCTACTTAGGCGCGCAGTTTGTTTCGGTCACAAACTCAGGCATAATAACATTGCATCATTCATGTTAGAGTCTGAATTTTGAAACGTAATTTTAAGACATTTATCCTGCATTGTTTTCTTGTTTAATGCGTTCATTCTGTGGCGAATATACGAATCTTGCAAATACTAGCAAAAACTAATGTACAAATGGATCTAAGTTTTAAAACATAAGAAGATTAATGGCATTTTCGTCACTGATTTAACAGGAATTTATACGTAAATTGATCTAGCACTTTAAACATAAATGATAAATACTTCCAGACTCGTTTTATATTTAATTCCTTACATATTTATCATGTATAATTCAAAATATTTCGAGATAAACAGATAATCAGGAGATTAAAAGGAAATAAAGCACAAACTGCGCGCCTATTTTAGCGAAGAAAATTACAAACTGCGCACATAGTATCAAAACTACATATTATCATTGGTGTGTAGGTGTTTTTCATATGGCTTTGGAAATTTTGCTATCGTCAGATTTTATGAGATTTTCATATTGAAAGTCAAAATGTATAATAGAAGTAACAATTAAGTTGGGAACGAAAAAACTTTCATTTCCAGATCATCATCTTGGTGGATGGACTCACATAGTATTTCAATTATGGGGTTCTACTATTAGATAGTAAGATACATATGTGCCTTACATATGGCGCTTACGTTTTCTAATAATACAAAACAAGCTTGGATAGGCAAGCAGTTTGGAAATATTAGGCACGCCGTTTGGGAAATACATGTGAATATAGGTGCGCAGTTTGACAAGAAATATGTTTAAATCACGTTTATGGCGTATTATCGTTTTGAACACATAGATATAACTTTACACTGTAAATTTTGAACACAGAAGTTACTTAAGACCCTTATATTGAGATAACTAGGTTTACATCGGGAACAACATTGAGTACTATGAGTAAATTAAGTTCATCGTCACAGAATGGTACTATCTTTAGAACGAGACTAACCTTGTATTTGTCGTATTCTGGCTCTTTTTGGGAGTCCTATCCTCCCCGTCTTACATTTTGAAATATGCGCGCAGTTTGTCAGAGTTTCAGACTGCATGCCTAGTAGGCGCGCAGCTTGACATGGGCATCGTGGATCACAGCTGTGTAGTGTATGGCTTGATTGATGCTTTTTCATGGGGTTAATGTTTGACAGGTTTTAATATAATACAGCACAGCAATTAAGATTAAGTAAATGGTGCAGTGAATTCTGCCCTATGTCCTTTCAAAGTCTAATACACCAACACAAAATATCTGACAAAGAAAACTATCTTTGTTGAAAATAATAAGATAAATTGCAACTAAATATTCAATGTTAACATGTATTTTATGGTGTAAAGTCATTTTGTTATTTATCTTCAGGTAGCAGAGTTGAAGAGTAGCTTAAGACCATGTCCGAGACGGAGGACTCCGCCCCAGCACCCCCAGGATTCTTTACTAAACTAATTAGATCTTTAAATCAGGTATTCCATCATTATCAACCTGTTCGCCAATCTAGAAAATTATATTCAGCATAAATTGGTGTTTTATGTATCTCACTACACTGATCTTGGGAGTCTTTCGAAAGTTTTGTGTAAAATTCTAGTTTAAATGACCAAAACCAGTCAGAATATCCAAATTTTTAATGATTTTCCAAATTCTTAATAAATATTTTTTCCTTTGTCTGCTCATCTACTGGTTAGAATTCACAATTATAAGCTGCTTAGTAACATTCACTCGGTACAGAACAATAGACTACTGATGAGTAGTATTCATGCCACACCCTGCTTGATACTGCAACATGCTTCTAAAATCTTATTTTGTAATTAAATATAATTTTTTTCTCTTATAATTGCAGAAACACCAGCAATTGTTAGATCAATCTACACCACACACAACTGTACGATGGGTCATCTGGGTGCTACTGCTAGGTTTATACTTCATACGGGTCTACTTTTTACAGGTTTGTACTCCCAATTTTGAACTTGGAATATTTTCATAAACTTCCTTCATCAAACTTGGCAAAATCTGTATATGCGATGAAAAATAGGAATCTCAATCGTGCTTTCAAAAGTTGGCTCATGTTAATGCAGTTTTGATAATACAATGTACATGTATATTCATTTGTTTCTTTTCAGGGCTGGTATATAGTCACATATGCTTTAGGAATCTATTTACTCAACTTATTTATCGCCTTCCTTACTCCTAAGATGGACCCAGCAATGGAGCAGTATGAAAATGGTAAGATTAGAATCTTATGACTATATTGCTGAAAAATGTTTGCCTGCATGTTAGACAGTGCTCGTTTTGATGTCCTATTACTCCATTCAAACTATTTAATTTCGACCTTTAGATAAGGCATTTGTTTTGACTGTAACGATATCTGAAAACCTTGCATGCTTTCAAAAAGTTGACAGTGATAGTTTAAGTCCTCTTTGGGGGTAAATCTAAACATTTTGCAATGATTTTCTTACAATTATCAGATTTCAAAGCTTTAAGTCAAGAACAAGAAATCTAAAGAAAAAATTCTTTCAAAGTTTTCACCACTTTTTGTGAGTCACTTTGATTATATTCTGCTTTATTTATTCTTGTAATTTCACTTCAGATTATGATGAGGATGGGCCAACTTTACCTACCAAGTCTAATGAAGAATTCCGACCATTTATGAGACGGTTACCAGAGTTCAAATTCTGGTGAGTGATTCAACAGTGGATGAGTTGCAATCTTTTTGTATCAAATAAAAATTAGTCTGTCTCTTTCAAAAAATCATTTCGATTATTGGTTTAAAGTAGTACTATTGATAAAATCAAATAAATTGTGGAACACGCGTGTTTTGATATTTCAGTTTTATTTTTTAAATGTGGACTTTTATGTTTTAATTTTATTTTTCAGGTACTCAGCATTTAAGGCTGTTATAGTAGCAATGATTTGCACATTCTTTGAGGCCCTCAATGTCCCAGTGTTTTGGCCTATACTTGTTATGTATTTTATCATCCTCTTCACAATCACAATGAAAAGACAAATTAAGGTAAGCTTTCAAATTAACCATGTGTTATCATTGCAGTTTCTCCCAAGCATTAAAGCAATTTGTGGTTGCACCAACTTTTGGGTTTGAAAAAGCTTGCATTGGAGCTTGCGTCCACCTGAAACTGATTTGACAATGTGAAAAATAGGCATATTTTGGTCTGGTGAAAATGGATCGGGGGGAAATGAAAATTTTGCAACCATAATCCTGGGGAGAACACTGCAATGTATATTATTTTTCTTAAATAACATCCTTAAAGGAGGAGGGAAAGTATGCAACATTTCGGACAGTCATATGTTGGATGTTTGCTATTCTCTGAGGATTTAAACAGGTGCATATGCAGATATGTTAGACCAATGCATGACCTCCAGGAAAGGCACTCATAGAGATGATAAAATAATTTTGACTTTGAGACAAGGCAGATGCAAACAACCAACCCACATGTTTTTTCTGAAATGTTTTCCTGATTTTCAACCCCTTCCACCCCTGCTTATTCAATTTTTGTTGTATGAATATGTTGCGTTTTGACACGCAGTTAACCACTGTAAAGGAATAAGTGATTCCTTCAGGGGTTTTAAAGATATCCATTATGGGTTACCAAAATTAGCTGAAAGCAATGGATCGCATGAGTTTTCCGTATGGGAAAATAACATGAGAAATATTGTTTTCCACTTTATTTAAAAGTAATCACTTATTCCTTTAAAGGGGTTAACTAACTGTGTGTCAAAACGCAACATATTGATGCAAGAAAAATTAAAAAACCAGGGATGGAAGAGGTTGATAATCAGGAAAACATTTCAGAAAGAACTTGTGGGTGGGTTGTTTGCATCTGCCCTGTCTCAAAGTCAAAATTATTTTATCATCTCTAGAAGTGCTTTTCCTGGATGTAATGCATTGGCCTAACATATGCACCTGTTTAAATCCTCAGAAAATGGCCAAAATCCAACATATGACTGTCCAAAATCTGTTTGGCTAATTTCCCTCCTCTTTTGTATATTTTTACAGAATTTTAATTCATTTTCATGATCAAGAATACATTAAGGGATATCAGTAAACAAATTAGCCAATGCTTTCCTGTTTATATTGCAGCATATGATTAGATATAACTACGTCCCATTCTCATTCGGGAAAAGTAAATACATTGGAAAGGAAGACACTGGCCTTGTAGTCAATGATCTATAGCCAGGCTAGTGGCCTAAAGGCTTGAAGTCTATAGTGACCTATGTGTGGAGATATAGTCAATGATATCTAACGTCTGTTGACAAGTGGACCAAGACAGACCATAATAAACATATTCAAACAATTTTATATTTGAAGAATAAATGAAATCCTTGTATCCAAGAATTCAATTTAATCTTTGAGGAAACATGAAACCTTGGGAGATTGTAAAATTGAATTAACATCTCACCGGCACATAGATTTGCAGTAACATGAACAGTCAGTAATAGAACGGGTGCCTGAAGAGTGGGTTTCAATGGTGCAATGACTCCAGTTATGCATAATGCTACTCCATCCTCATGCATACCTCACTTTTTCTTCCCAGGGGAGTGAAGTTATATGGGGGTCCAGAGGCCAGGTTCAAGTCTGTATCATATCACCATTCACTTGAATATTGAATATCACCATAAATGTAGTTGCATGAATATTTTTTCTTTTCATTTTCAAATGACATACAGTGTCTTAAAAATGTCTACATAATATTTAACATTCCTATCCAATGCAATATTATATTTTTTTACTTGTTGTATTGTGCATGTATGTTTGGTGTAGGCAGTTGTGAGTAGATTTCTTGATGCTTGAAATAAAAACATAGTTGGGAGAATTTAGAACCTGTAACCCGTACATACCCCTATAATTTTCTTAACCTCTGAAAATGCTGTACTAATAGTACCGAGTCAAAGTTGTATCTTTTAGAAGGCATTTTCCATGAATATTGAGGATAATAAGTTGCCATGAAAATTGTCCATTCACTATTGTTTTACTGTTTCAGAAAAAAATGTCCTTGATCGAAAGTATAGTAGAAATATTCATGCATGGTCATAAATGGCCCCACATTTCAGAATTTTGAAATGCAAATGTTTAACAACTTTTGTTTTTATCTCGTTCATTGTTATCTGATTTTCACATCCTAATTTCATAGTTTCCTAGAGATGCCTACCATCAAAAACAGTTTGCTCTATCCCCAATGTTTGCACCATCCCTGTTGATTTAAACCTATATGTTTCTAAAATCTGACAATATGTTTTTATTTCTGCTTGCAGCATATGATCAAATATCGTTATATCCCCTTCACAACAGGCAAAACCCGGTACAAGGGGAAAGAAGACACTGGAAAAGTCGCTCAATAACAATGTCAACCTATAGGGAATACTAGTAGTAAAATGTACATATTTACTGTACAAAATATTGTAAATATTTAAGAAACACTGGATAACTGAAACCTGAAATATTGTGCGTACAGTCATACTTTTCATACATAATATTCATCAAGAACTCAAAACAGAATCTTGAAGTTAATGTTTTAAATCAGTCATGGTTCTTTGATTAAAGAATTATTGAGGGAGCATATTCTGCTTGCTGTTACAGCATGGTACAATGTACAGTTGTATTATATTATACGTTACACTCCTGATTTTTGAGCTTATTTGACAAACATTCTTGTAAGAAGGCTAAGATATTTGGTTTCACTATTTCGCTCTGTATCTGCTTACAAATTGTTTCAGGCAACACCAATTTGGTGACCCGAATTCAGCGTTTGGTATTGATGTCATTGTCAAACCTTTATAATTGCAAACAGATGGTGCGGAGATTTTCTCATGTTAATGCCTTGTAAATTTTTTGGGCAGACTGATTTATGATTATGTTAAGTATGACTTGTACTAGAATAACCTGTTATAGTTGTATATGTGTATAAAGAGAATTGAGATAGTCAAAAATACGCTTTTAAATATGTAAGGGACTTGGTCAAATATGAATGTGTCATTTCTAGATTTAAGCCTTTGTAAGTGACATATAATGTCAATGTTTGCCATTTAATGAACATGTGAGTGGTACGGGCCTTTCTAATTCAGGTTCACAAAAAAACATTGATATTTTGACCTGGGCCCCAAAAGTGTATAATATATGTGTATATTCGATTGGGAATTGAGATTAGATATGCATTAATATCAGATGACACTGTTCAGCTGTTGGTGCCGATATAAACAATGTTGGAATCCATGTCTTCTGACACAGACCAGTGTGATATTTAAATATTGTAAGAGAGTAGTAATTGAGGCTCATACATACATATGTGAATTGTACATGGGAATCTGAGCCTTTGTTGATTTCGTTTGGATGGATATTTCAATAATGAAGATTTTATGATCTTGCAACCTCCAAGCATCATTCAGTTAAAATGAATTTACATTATTTATTTTGGTGCAAGGCTTTTGAGTAACCCTGATAGATATTCTTAAAATAGGGGAAGTGATTTTGAGTCCATAGTGTGGGTGAGGGTTAAATACAGTATTATAACTGTAGTTTTAATTTAATTTCATCGACATTGATAACATGGATAATGTTGTAGCCTACCATTTGTTCAAATGTCCAAACTATTCCATTGTACTGTTGTAAGGGGCTAATTCTGACTGTATTTTTCACTCCATATGTTGGGCTCCATATATCATTCACAATTTACTTTAGGTAAATTGATGTCGACAAAATTTTATCAAGATACACTCTACAGAATGTACTTTATTTAGGAAAATCATATATGTAGCTCTTCTGTTAATAAACATATGGTCTGTAAACGCAACACTTGAATACAAAACAGTGAAACTTCATGTTGAAAGGAACATTCTTATTTATGATTTGACAGAATGTGTTATCAATATGATATTAATGCTTTTAAATTAATGTGCAAAATTCTATCAATCGTAATCCATTTTATAAAAAATATTGGATGATAATAAATATTCAATATGTTTATAAAAAATGTGTTTTGTTTACTTTATCTATTGACACTCAATTTTTTACCATATGTAATAGGGGCTTGCTGTATAAATAGATAAATGGATATCCGTACATTTAGTAGTTTTGGTCAAAGATAAATGTATCTTCTTGGCTCCTTTTTCAATATTTATACAAGTCCATTTCCTCAGCATTAGGTTAAGGAAGATATTATGTTTGTCAAATTGAAATAAGAAATTGTAAATCTTTTATTACCAGATTCAAGGGGTCATTTACCAGTTTACATGTAACAATGTATGGATGTACCACTTATTTTTTTGTGTGCCACTGCTGTAAAGTCAAGTCCAATATAAATAAAAAAAGAGAAGGCTTAATTATTATGTTATTGTTTGTAAGAATTCATTCATGATGTTTATTTATTATTAAATTATCATTGTCACGATCTTCATATTGTGGTGGTCAGTCACAGCATGGTCTTTCAACAGGTTTAGTTCAAATTAACCCATGTCATTCCTAGATTGCAGGTCTTTGCAGATTGCATACTCATGTTCCAGTTCCTTTCTATAGTCATCAACAAGCAATATGACAGACATATTTTTATAAAAAGATGGAATAGGCAGTGCAATCAATCTGTTCAAATATCTTCAATATGAACCACATTACTGCCATCTTTATATCGGCCCAAAACCTAATATTTATCCCACCGAACATAGTTCCTGAGGGATATGGAAAAGCTGCCTGTCTGTCTGTCCGGATGATAACTCAAATATGGGTTGATGGATTTGCTTAAAATGTAATAAGTTTATGCCTTATGGGTGTAGGACTTCTGCTCAAGAAGGAATATTCAATATGGCTCCTCAATTCAAAATGGCCACCATTTTTTGTTAAAAATATAATCTTTGATGACCAAAATTCTAGTTGACGGATTTGATTCAAATTTATATGCTGATGCCTAGGGACAAAGGAGCTTTGCGGTTTTTAACATGGCCACTAGATTTCAAAATGGCCACCATTTTTTTGTAAAAGAATGTCATCTTTGATAACTCATACCAGTTGATGGATTTGGTTCAAATTTTATATGCTGATGCCTAGAGACAGGATTTCTGCTCAAGAAGACATTTTCAAAATGGCCATCAATTTTCTGAAAAAATGTAATATTTGATAACTCAAAAACTAGAATTTCAAAATGGCCACCATTTTAAAATATTTAAAAAATGTAATCTTTGATAACTCAAATACCAGTGGACGGATTCGGTTCAAATATGGTATGCCGATACCTAGGGACAAAGGAGATAAGTTAAAAGAAAATAAATTTTCAAGAGGCCACTATTTATCAAAACATGTTTTGTTTGGTGGGACTTGCTACTCTGTGGAGTTGCTGTTTTCTCTAGTTATTGCCTGAAAAGAGAAATAGAAAGGATGCTTACTGTGCTATTTGTACTACTGTCAAATTTCCAAAATGACAGAACACTCTAAAGTTGAAGAAACCTATTTGGCATTTATTCCATCAATATTCATAGTGTAAATATTACATTTTCATAAAATCAAACCTTGACATAAAAGATGAGGAAAATGTCTATTCTTAATATTGTACTTTATGTATTGTACTTATTCTTAGAGGTGTACAATGCATATGCACATCCATTAAATACAAAGATTAAATAGAAAAATGTTCACATTAGCATTTGGGTGAGATGGAAAGATCCCATCTGTTCCAGGACAATTTCATCTCAGACAATCCTGAATAGTGCAGGTGTTGGTCGTTGGATTATTTCCTCTACCAACAAGTGAGAGAGTCCTTCTCTCACTACAAAATTACAATTGAGACTTCTGTTAAAGAATTTCCATATCCCAAAAAGTCACATGACTGAAACTGGCCAATCAGATATGGATTTGCAATGACTTGGCGAGAGTATGAAGTACAATCGGCAACGTATAACGTAAATATAATTATATATTATACCTCCACTAACAATTTGAACTCTGCTATAAATGTTCAATAATACAGTAATAGAAATTAGGGATATTAAAAAAACATTATGTATAATTAACAGTTGTTTTACATATAGATGTAATTTGAATAATGTAAACAGCGATATGTACCAAATATTCTTGGAATAAGATCTTTATTTTTTTGTTTACCATCTTCGAGAAAAGGACCATCAGGTATTTATTTAAAAATTGAATAATTATATGTTTAGAATTGATAACAGCAAAATTAATAGCTCTTCAAAATTTTAGCCTGCACAAGCAAGTTATTTTGAAAGTATTCTCAATAAATGGGCCATGTAATAAGTCATGTAAGTGAGTCTTATTTCAAGAATATCTAGTATTTTGAATGATCATATCAATTAACAAAATATTGGCACCTGTATACAATCTTTGGAATATCATTTTGAACACATGAATCTAATACTGACAGTACACTGGCCAAATGTACTGAACATTTAAAAGCATGAGTGCATGTACTTATATCCGTACACATAAAGCCCAAGTACAGGATCAGGAAGGGGTTAGTACATGTATGAATGCTTTAAATCCAAAAAGAATGATATACGTGTAAGAGTTCTTTATTACAATTCAAATATACACTGTAACTGTCCCCCAAAGTAGCTATTACACAACATATAATGAATGTACAATTTAATCTCTGTGAAAAACATAAACTTGACTAATAGAGTTGTACATCAAGAGACAACCAGAAATCTGCAACTCCTCGGAGTAGCAAATCCCAACAAACACTATATTCATGAATCTGTAATGTCACAATGTAATATTTACCATCTACTCTATCCTATCTACTCTAAATTGCCTTTCATTTCAGTATAATGAAGCTATACTTCACAAAGATCTCAAAATTAACAAAAATCCCTGTTTTTTAGTAAATCTATTCACCTTTATACTGAAGCAAATCCGTCCACTAGTATTTGACTTATCTTCCGGATGGACGGACTGACTGATGGACAGATGGAGGGCTTCACTATATCCCTACTGAACTTCGTTATGAGCAATATTACCCTTTGTTTTGTGCAACTGAGATTGATGTAATGATGTTTCTCTAAGTATTCTGCTACAGATTTACTGTAATTTCTATTTTAGTTCATCATGTGTCACTGACTGATTTAAATCCTTCCGTCGATTATTAGTTTTAATTCATGGGTTGTATTTTTTGTGTCACCCTGTATTATTCATTCATTATGTCTCTGACGTGACCCTCAGAAGCTGCTTGTTAACAGGACCTGCATCCCCACCTGATCCTCCATATGGAGTTCTCACTGTGAAGTCAATATCTTCTGAATTAAGCAGTTTACCATCATCCCCTGTGCTAGGCACCCTGGTATAGCTTGCGGCACTTCCTGTCTTGTGACCATTCTTTAACTGTAAGAGTGAATGTAACAACAATCAATAAGAAAATGAATTGTTACACAGGTAATAAATATTTTTTATCATGGTAACTTTTGAGGTGACTAGAATGCAAAATGGCACCATTAAGGTGGGCTCTCATGGTGATTCCTTATACAAATTTTTATCAAAAGTTCAAGATTGGAAAACTAGGTCAAATTGCAAATGTAGGTCAATATACAAATATATCATGGATAAGTATGACCCATATAGTTCAACTGAATAACTGAATATGATTTCAAATGAGCTATTATTCCTTAATGAAGGCACTAAAGCCTGTTGTGTGTTTTACTTCATTGATATAAGTTTTGAACTATTTCACAGTTTAAATCAAATAAATAATTAAAAATCCATTCACTTACATTTCCTAAAGGATGAGCTTCGTCATCTAAATCAAAGTTTTCTATACTGAAGATTCTTGCTATTTCATCAAATGTTTTATTCTTAGTTTCTGGACAGAACTTGAAGATAAATATCCCGAATCCTACCAACATGCCTATGAATATCAGGAATGAGTAAGGCCCAATGCCTTTCTAAAACATACAAAAAAGAGAACATATAAACAATGGAATACACAAACAAGGGAGTGTTACAACAATGGAAAACACAAACAAGGGAGTGTTACAACAATGGAATACACAAACAAGGGAGTGTTACAACAATGGAATACACAAACAAGGGAGTGTTACAACAATGGAATACACAAACAAGGGAGCATTCCATAAAAGATCTAGAGTATCAAGCCGATTTACATTCATGAAGTATTCACAGAGTGGGCTAAAAAATGTCAATTCTTTTCATTTTGTTGCAACATTTTGGCAATGCATTTTCAATAATATTTCTGCAGGGGATGCTCCAATTAATTACACTTGATCCTATTAAGGCATAAGCATATCTCTAGCTTATTTGAATGAGAATTAAAGTACAATAGACAATATGGCTGTGAACGCAAACTTCCAGTTTCAAGTTAAATCTGTGATGTTTATGTTTACAATTTTACAGTGGTTTTAGGTATGCATATTGGAACCTGATGGATATCAAGTTTTATTAGGAACTTCAAAAACAATGGAGATCAATGCCTATTAAAATAACAGCATCTTGGAATAGAAAACTCAAGTTTACTTACTTCAATAAATGGATAACCAATGCCTACTGAAGTGTTAGCCAGCCAGTTGAGTAAACCAGCAAATGACATAGCTGCAGGTCGTGGGCCTTGACGGAACAATTCTGAGCCAATGAATTGAGGTATAGAACCTACAACATGGGATATAAGAACACATTTAAAAAAGTTAAGGATGTACATTCATGTAGGATTTAGGAATGTAACCAATATATGTATTTGCAGTGTTTATGATTTCCCAATGAGGTGTAAAATTTCCATTTTACCTATTCCGAACCAAATGTCCAATTCAAATCGGAATACCAAATATATTTTGTCAATTAATTATTTTGTGAAATTGGCTTTATAACAGATTCTGCTCTGGTACATTTTTGAGTCTCACAGTTTTCTAAATAATCAAATTCATGCAACAAATACAAGGAATTTACATAAGATGAAATTGAATGCATGAAATTGAATGCATTCGGCCTTTTCCATGCGATTTTCTTTATAAGCTAGGCATCAATTAACAGAAAGAAAAAAAATTAACATAAAATCCTTACCTAAACCAATAGCGAAGCCAATTACAAAGGTATGCATACAGGCTATAGAAACATAGGCCATTGCAGGCACAGAGTCCTGAAGTAACAGGGCAACAGTGATAAGGGAAGCAGAGACTGTCATCAAACCCATTCCCACCAGCAAGAGAGGACGTCGACCACAGCGCTCCATTAATGGTACCTAAAATAGATCAACAATAACTTTATTTATGACAATATTACGAGTCTCTATTGATTGAATTATTTCAATTTTTTGATGAATAAGGGTCTAAACAATCCAATCCCCTAAAAGTATCTATACCCCTGGCCTTTATTAGACTCCAGATGTCAATCTGGAGTCTATTGTTTTTGCCAGTATTCTTATTCTTCTTATTCTTATTATTCTTTGGGAGTTTTTTCAATAACTATGAGGTATCCAGTAAGAACCATAATACAGTTGATTTAGGTTCAGTATCTAGTTGGTGGGAAATTGGGTCAAAATTTTATCTAGGTCAAAGGTCAAGAACTAGGTCAAATCCAGTACTTTGTCACTTTTTTTGATTTTCCCGGTCGTCCTTCAATATTTTTGATCCGTTTTTTTTCATTGTGTTCCTCATAAAAAAGTAGAAAATCTAGGGTCGATTTAGTTTTTTGGTATCTCAAACCGATTTCGAGATATCAGTGTCCGAAAACGAGGTCCAAAAAAAAGTTCTCCGAATCCAATGTCCAGGATATCAGTCTTATAGGAGATTTTCTCAGGATTCCGAATCTGAAAACCAAATTTCGATTTGACTTCCGGTTCAGAAGTTATGGCGTTTTGAAAATTCAAAAATCGCTAAATTTGGTGCCCCATGTTAATTCAATGGGAAAAAATATTTTTTTGAAGTGTAAAATACGAGATACAGACTAAGCACAGCTAAACATAATGGAAGCCCATAAAAGAAAGGGACCTCAAAACCTTCTTTTCATAAAAATTTGGACACCAAAATGCCTAGGTCAAAATCTAGGTCAAATTCAAAGTTTTTCCTTATTTTTGCGATTCTGACACTACAGATTAATTATATTCTTCAAAATTGTGTATACATGTAGCCAAGAGTGTGCTAAAAGCGTTAGCCTTTTGCCGTCAGAAAGTATTTTGCCCCACTTTTGAGATATGGTGTCCGAAAAGTAGGTCAAAATAAAAAATTCTCCAAATTTAACGTTTGAGTTATGAATTAGTATAGAATTTTCTCAGGAATCCGAATCTGCAAATCAAATTTCGATCCGACTTCCTCTTCGGAAGTTATGACATTTTGAAAGCTCAAAAATCGCTAAATTTGGTGCCCCATGTTATGTCAATGGGAAAAAAGATTTTTTTGAAGTGTAAAATTCGAGATATAGACTAAGTACAGCTTAAAATAATGAAAGCCTATGAAAGAAGGGGACCTCGAAGGCTACCTAACTTCAAAATTTGGACACCAAAATCCCCAGGTCAAAATCTAGGTCAAATTCATAGTTTTTCCTTATTTTTGCGATTCTGACACTATGTTTAAATGATTTGCTTCAAAATTTTGTATACAGGTAGGAAAAAGTGTGCTAATAGTGTTAGCCTTTTGCCGTCAGAAAGTATTTCTACCCACTTTTGAGATATGGTGTCCGAAAAGTAGGTTAAAATAAAAAATTCTCCAAATTTAACATATGAGTTATGAATTAAGGGTAGAATTTTCTCAGGAATCCGAGTCTGCAAACCAAATTTCGATCCGACTTCCGATTCGAAAGTTATGGCGTTTTGAAATTTCGAGAAAAATCGATCTGATGGTATCCTGATAGAAAGTCAAGAGTAGAGAAGAAAATATTGAAAAATGCATCCATCCTTCCTTTGTGATCCTATCGTATCCTTCTTATCTACCTTTCCTTCATATCCTCTCCTTCCTATTCTATTCCTTCTTCATATTCTATTCTATCATTCTTTCTTATTCTATCCTATCGTTCCTTCCTATTCTAGCCTATCCTTCCTTCCTTTTTCATCCATCCATCTTTTTCTGGATGACTCAGCTTATTTTGGATGACTCGGCTTTTTCTGGATGACTCGGCCAAAAAAAGTCTAGATCTGGAGTCTGAAATTGAACTTCGTTCAATTTTCAAAGTCTAGTTAACTTTACCCTGGAAAACTCATAAAGGAGCATGTAGGTTATCGCAAACAATTTCAAACGATTCTAACTTGAATTATGAATATTTTCTGATCATGAACATGGGTGTATCTTTTAGATCCATTCATTATCTTCAAGAAAACTTTTAAAGTATATAGCCTATAATGATAATTTAGTTAATCAGACCTAAGTGATATTGAAGGGGCAATGGACCAATCAACATACTTTTTCAAAAATGTTGACCTAATTTTCATCAAAAATGCAACCTTTTATTATATTGTTGAATGCATAATTAGAATGTGCTTTGAGACATGTTCAATTTCCTTAAAGGAAAAGTTGATTGCTCCAGGGACTTTAAAGATACTGAATTTAGATTACCAAAATGAAGTGAAACCAATGGATAGCATGAGATTTTTCAATGGAGAAATAACATGGGGAACACTTATCTTAAAGCAATTAAGTTTTTCTTTCAAGAACTATTTGATACATCAAAATAAAGAATAGTAATGCATTAAACATTGTAAAAAATGATTGCATTTTTGGTGAAAATGGGGTCAACACCTTTGAAAAAGTGTGTTGATAGGTTGATAGCTAGTTAAATATCTCAGAGTTTCTGAATTTCTTCATAAAAATAGGCTGGCTTTGTCCAAATAGGCAATTGCTTTCACAACCACTAACCCAATTGACCCAATCATATTATTTCATATTATACATTTTCCAATACATTTGCATTACATTGTACATATAAGACATTAACATGCAAAATGTCACCACCTGCCATTTATAACAGATGCTGAACACCAACCTCCAAACACTGTCAACAAACAAGTTGGGGACTACAACAATATGCAGGCTAAAACTAATTGACTAAAGGTTAATTGACCAAAGGTTAAGGTGACTTGGGTTGACCAGGAGTTGAGATGACTTGAATTGAGTTGACCAGTTAGAATGCATTCCCCGAGATGAAAGATGTCTATTGTTCTTACTGAGATGATGGTCATGAGAACATTGATACCTCCAGTCCCCAGAATGGCATACTGTATCATATTCTCTGGAATTCCAGCACCAGCAAACACACCATTGGAATAGTAGAACACCTAGAATGTACAATACATAAGGGTTACATCATGGGAAGTCTGAATATGTTATTCTGATGGATACTAAATATATATACCTTGCATTTTGAAAATACATGTACTGTGTACTTCACAGTCCATGTACAACATAGTGTATACAGAACATTATATTAAAAATACTGAAATGCAAAATCAAATCCCCTAACTGTATTAACTGGTAGTATATACTCTGTACTATTATATGTTTAATATATTTTAAAGCAAAAAGCAATGGGTTTCTTAAGACAGGCACTTAAGTTCACCAAACAATGATCCAACATATAATATTCACACTTCTCAAATAACAATAGTATAAGATAAACCTTAGATTCCTTACCAGGTCTATGATATCAAGTGTTATATTTGTAAGTCAGATTAGTTATCACCCTAGTGCTTGAGAAATCAACTCCTGTCTGTCTATAGTACATATTAGTTAGCACATATACAGGGTGTCTCAAAATAAATTGTACTGAGACAAACATTGAATAACTCTGTGGGTGATGAAGGATTATTCTTTAAATTTTGTCATTTGACAGGCAATTTTTCTATCATAGAGATCTGAAAGTTCCATTAAGTAATTTTATTTAGTTTTAGAGAAATCCATTGTTTTAGTACCTTTACCCATTTTTCCAAGTATGGAATTGCATTCTGCTCTGATGACGATCATATAGAGCATGCCAACTCAAATGTTAAAGTTCTCCGTAAGTAATTTACAAATTGCTAAGAATTTTTTACTGCTAATTGGAAAGCGAATTCTTAAGTTCAGTTATTCCTGTTTAATTTGGGTAAAGATTTTTTAGGACACTCTGTACATAATTGATCTAATTTCTTTATAATATCAAGTGTATTCTTGATAAAGGATTACAAACTTATTAATTTCTCTATATATGGATAAAGCTTGAAAGAGAAACCCCCTAGATCTCCTTTTCACATTAAGGTAGTTCTGCATGACAAATTAATCTTATTTGGAGCCACATGATAAAACTATTTCATGCATTGTACATGAATTCACTCCTATGCAGATATCAAAGAGAGCAGTAGTATCAAAGTAGATGTAGGGAATGAGTTATGATTACCTGGAAATACTGTAACATATGAGTCAAATTAGAGTGCCATTGAAATTATTTTTATGAAGCAAAACCTTAAAGGACCTGGAGAGTTGTCCCTGAATATTTTTCATGCCTATGAACATAAAGAAGTATTTACTCAATGGGCTACTTTTAAGTCTACCGAAAGAGAAAACATATTAGCATAATAAAGTACCTCTCTTCTCAGCTAGAGTGGAGGGTTCTTGGTTACTTTAAGCTTACCACATTGATCCCCGAGAGCTGCTGACCCAAGGCTAGGGAACACACAACAGCCAGGGGCATTCTTAGATGTTTGGCCTTGAACAATTTCATCATGCTCCAGTTCGGCTCTGCTAGCGCCTGCTTCTGCTCATTCTTCATCTCTAAGATATCTGCCCTCACATCATCGGTGCCTCGGAATCTTTGTAAGGCTAAAGACAATGGCTTAAGATTTTGTACTAAGTTCTATGGATTTATTTCATGATTATTGTCCAAGAGTTAAAAAATGAAAACCTACATTTTTGGCCGCTTCCTCATTTTTGTCTGGGAAAAATTAATGCAAATAGTCATACGCTGGGAGGTAATTAAAATTACACAAATGGATAGAAGATTGCAATTCTAGTGGGTTTTTAAATAAGTGAGCTCTCAAAACGATGAATTAAAAAATGATAACCTACATTTTTTGGCCGCTTCCTCGTTTTTCTTTATGAGGAGAAGGTAGCGAGGACTGTCTGGGAAGAATGGCAGCACGATACAAGAGAAGACACAAGGGGCTCCAGTCAATGCCAGCAGTATATGCCAACCTGCATCATTACCTGGAACAGGGAAAATTTTCAGAAAATATCAATGAGGTATATGAGAAGACCTTCTCTGATTTAGGGCAATGGAAGTGAATTCTATGTTTTGTATCAAATTTACACAAGGCATAAACACGCAGAATGTCACAACCTACCATTTGTTACAGACTTCAACCGTCGAATCCTGAACACAAAAAATTTGATTAATTTGAAAAATTACAAGAATAATTCATCTGGATTGTGTGACTAATTACAAGTACTATGTCAACTTGACATTCAGTGCAACTTCAAGACAATTCAAACAATGATGAAATACACAAGTACAGTGATTCAGTACATGTACATATATTTCACTACCCTACTATCACACCAAACTAGTTTTCACTACGTTCTCGAAAACGGGCTTCAACTGTGTACGAACTAACTGGATGTACTTAGAATGGTTTGGCATCTATTTACAAACTTACTTGAACGTACTCGAACGGGTAGGTCCTCTAGAACTTAGAACATGCTCAAAATGTTCTCGTGGTCGATACGTTCTACAATTAAGTGACCCATGTAAAGCCAAAAGGAAAATATAAAATTGTACCTGCGTATAAAATCAGCAAAACCAAATGTACAAGATTGAAGCCTAAGAAGTTACCACATTGCCAGCCTTATCCAGAGTCATGCCAAATATGTACAGCTAAGGCAAAGAAAAGATAATTGGCTTGATTGCCTTGAATTCACCTGGCTATTGAACTGTACAATAAAATTGACTGGCTTGCTTCCAAAGCATTTAAAGGCTAAAGTTTTTAAACCATTAAAGGGTCATGTTATTAAAACATGGGTTACAATTAGAACAAGTGACAACGTACTAACGACGAGCTGGACGTACTACGAACGGAACTGTCGTACCTCAATCCTACTAGGGACGTTTTAACAACGAGTTGAACTGTCTGAGGACGTATTGAGAACGAGGTAGAACTAATTGCAAATGGGTTTTAACTGATTAAGAACGTATTAAAGACTGCTTTTGAACGAGTTAGCAAAAATATAGCTATAACACCAAACAAGTTTCTACTGCGTTCTTCAAAACTGGTTTTAGACTGTGTGCGAACAGAACGAATGTAGCTGCAACTTTCTAAGGTCTATTTACAAACTTCATGAACGTTCTCAGACGGGAAGGTGATTTTAGAATTTTGAATCGATTCAAAATTCGATGCCGACCACACCGTTCTGTAATCAGGTCATGATGACCTTCTAGACTAAGGGACGCGTTATACGACGTTGCACACCGACTTGGCGCGACCTGAACGAACTGCGAATGAGATGGATGTATTGAAGACTGTTTATGAACGAAGTAGCTAATTATTTTAGACATATTTCCCGACCACAGCCAGACTGAGCCCCTTTTACGACGTTTCCGTAGGACTGGCAAGAACGGGTAAGAACTAGTTTGGTGTGATAGGGGGGTTAGGAACACATAGTCTTATCAGCTGATGTCTTATCAATTTCACAACAATTGACATTTATGTTAAATTTCAGTATCCTAGGGGCATGTTAACACACTGATGTACTTTTACACAAAGTAAAGAATTTCTGTTTGAGGATAAGGACTTTCCAAAACATCAACAATGATTCTATGTACTAAAAGTCTAATGATGAACACCAATGTAAATCATTATAAAAATCATTTCAATATTTGAAAAAACAAGCACATTGAGGATTATATATCTGTAAGTATTGACTTAAACCTCACAAGTCACACTCATGTACTACAGGAATATAAAACTAAATATTTTAATCAAATCTAGCCTACTTACTTCAATAGATAAGGAGATAGAGTGCATATTCAATTTTTTAAAGGGTCACACACCTTACTGAGAGGGCACCAATGAGAGTTTATCAGATGGTGATTAAACGCACAGGATTGAAAAGGTTACTGTGATTCTCATATTTTTCATGATCCAGGGACTCACACTAAAATACAACTCAAGTCAACAATCGCAGTTAAACTGTTACACTAAGTTCAAGTTACCCTTGTAAAATTGTACTTGTAAAATTGTTTCAGAGGCAGACCTGAAAATTGACAAGGAGCCAGAAAACTGAAAACAGAGGTCTTCAAGAAGATAAGTTCCAATATGTTGATATCATTCAACTGCAATAGTCCTTGTAGATAAATGCAAATCTCACAATATCCAGAGCATGTCACTAATCGAGAAATAGAAAGACAGGTCTAAGAATGGGTATTTGTATAATTATCCACCTACCTAATATCTGATAGATTCCTATAGCTTGAGAACATAGAATCCCCGTGGTGAGAGCAAGTTGGTGAAGTACGCCCATGGCACCTCTGATTTTGAGAGGTGCTATCTCTGTGAGGTACATAGGCACTAACCCACTACCACAACCTACAACAAATCACGTACAACATACAATTATAATAGTTACTAGACTATAAAGGCAGGTTGGTATAAAGCTACATTGAATGATACAACAAAAATGTGAATGTTTGTGAAATATAAGAAACAAGGCATTATATTAACATGGAAAATGTCAAGATCTGCCATTTGTTATATTTGCAAAACACCAACTGCCAGATGCCAACACCAACACCATCCACAAAAAAGTTGGAGAGAATAACAATATGTCACCACTTCTTGTGGTGACATAATAATTACTGACCATAGTGCCTTATTCTGGGTTTGTGTAAAAAACCGGGTGACCAGGTAACTCGGTGACCGGGTACTTAACGTTCCTAGCAGGGTGAGGAATTTTTTTATTTATAACGTTGGATGTGGACAATACATGTACAAGTACATTATTTTCGATGTCACGTTTTGAGTTTATTTCACATCGTAAGAACGTTTCGACAACGTTAACTTTTAACGTTAAAATAACGTCGGTAATGAACCGATTTAGTGAGAACATATTGATGTCTTCGTGTAACGTTTCCTTAACTCACAAATATTTTGAAGCCATTTCCACAATGTTGAAATTCAACCATCCATCGACGTTTTGCTGAATATTTAAATAACGTCAGATCAATACGGTCCATGACGTCACGTTTTGAGGTTATTTCAAATCGAAAATTTGAACGTAAACAATACGTCAGAAATGAACCGACTTAATGAGAACACAAAGTTTTTGTCATTTTTTTTCCACCAACAAATATTTTGATATTAAAAGTCTGTTTTGACAACGTTGAATTTTAACGTTGAGTTACATCACATATGGACCAATGTAGGAAAAAATCAAACGTTTCTGTTTGTTATGTTTTCCACACTAACGAACTTTACGGACACGTTGCAACAACGTTCTTTTTATACCATCAATAGATGTCTCATGTTTATGTTGCCTTGATGTGTAAAGAACGAAAATGTGCAACGTCTTCTAGGAACTTATATGCTACTTATGAGCAACGTGACATGGACGTCACTGTTTGCTGGATCGATTATTTTAAAAAGTGCTCTGTCTCGTATAGGGTAAAAATATCGAACAGCAGTGCTCTCGGTAGGCTAAGTCTGTCAAGTCAATTCGCTACTATATATCGGGGGAAATGTGGAACTTTGAAAGTTGGTAACCCTGCTAGGAACGTTAGGTACCCGGTCGACCGGGTACCCGGTTACCCGGTTTTTTACACAAACCCCCTTATTCTACTAGTATATGAATGATACCTGAAATATTATGATAGTTACTTACCACATGCAAAGCCCACAATGAACCTAGCCAAGATAACCATCACAAAGGAGCCAGCCATTTTACTGAAGAAAAACAGCAGTGTGGCGACAAAGGCTGGAGCATGAAGGATGAGCAAAGAGTTCCGTCTAAAAAGAAACAACGCTGTAAGTAAAGCCTTACAAAGGCAGGATGGGTGTTGCTACTTTCCATGTTTGATGGAGTAATATCCAATATACAACCAACCCCAAATGATTTCAACTTCTAAACTCTGATTGCTACGACTGGCACTACCATGAGGATTGCTTTTTGTTAAAAAAGAGTAGTAAATCCCATGTTCATTTTAACCAATTTGAAATAAGAATTACACCTATATGATATACAGTAAAACCTGGGTTTGTGAACACATTTCTCTAGTGTATCCTTCTATACAGTGAATGTTCTTATTGGGCAAAACCATTTTCTCCCATTGAATCACTTTTTAGAGTAAGAAGTTTATGTTGCCTGCCAAATACAATTAAATGATTTGAGATTTTGATATCATTTTGTATTAAAACAGGTGTGACTGATTACAATTCTTAATGGAAATGAGCATTTTGAAAAACGTTTGCCCCAAAATCTTAATTAAGTACTGGTGGATCTTAAAAGCTGAGTTTGTCAGCTTTCCAACGGCACCAGGTTCGTCCATCACCATGATGTGCATATTAAACTCATTTTTGAAGTCCAACTTTTCCTGGGTTATAAAAACGTTTGCAGGACAGGAAATGTGCTTGGTTATAATTGCTTTGTAGATAATCTGGTTAACAGTCTGGTCTCTAAGAAACAGCAAAAATGCCAAGAAATCAAAACAGTGAACATTTTTTCTCGGCAAAAAAGTGTTAAATATACACAGGTTTCACTGTACACATGTATATCAGTTATGAGCAAAATCCATCAAGTGGTAATAAGTTAGAGCGAACCTCACTCCTAGATCTCAACAAAGCATCACACCTTCCAAACTTATCTGCAAATGTCCCAGCTGAGAAGGCACCTATCATTCCACCAATAAGGTATATACTGAGACTGAATGACCATATGAAAGTCAACATTATTTCAGATGGTTCTCCCCCATAGTTCACCGTGTATGTGCTGTTGATGAAATCTTTAATATACTGAAATGAAAAATATTGTTTCAAATTCATGCTTGTGTCATCTTAGCTTCAAGTATGGTATTGAACATATAGGCATAGTATATGCTTCCCCACCAGAACATGAAATGACTTAAACAATGATATTACCACATATCTCGAGATTGAAATCTCCAGAAAGAATGATATACAGTATATTATTGAAGAAGTTATTCCACACATTTTACCAATGTCTGAGCAATGAAATATTATTATATGTTATATTTTTAAATGAGGCCTACATGTATTTGTGAAAGTGAGGCTTATTTTCAGTCCAAAAGTGAACAAGGCACGGACATGCAAAATATCACCATCTGCAATTGGCTATATTTGTCACAGAAGTAAAAAATGTAGAACACCAACCACTGAACGTCGACCACTGTCCACAATAAAGTTGGGGACTACTAGAACAAAATGTCACCACTTCTGGTGGTGATATAAAAATAGTCTAACCTACACCCCCAAATCCACCAGTGGATAGTTGCAATTGAAAAAAGACCATATTTCAGATTCGACAGCTGTCGCATTTGAGCTTTCCGAATGAGACCATATTCAAAATTAATATGCATTATGAAGAACACATGAGACAAATCAAATCTGAACATAAATATTAACAAGACACATGGGGAACAATATCACACCTTTTGAAAGAATAGACAGTTTTTAGGATGGAAATTCCAAAAATGGTTTGGCTTGAAACATACTTATAGCCAAGATTCTAGGATGGGAAGTCCAAAATGGTCCCCTTGTGGCCTTAACCTGACCCAGAATGCCAAAAAACTTATCAGTTTTTAACTTTCCTACCAAGAAATTCCCTAAAAAGTTCAGATCAATCCATTAAAGGATTGGCTTGAAATATACTTAACAGACAATTATATTTTAAGACGGAAAATCCAAAATGGCCACATTAAGTCAGAATATCATACAAAGAAGCCAACGAAACATCCCTAAAAATTTCAGATCAATCCACTGGCGGATTAGGGGGGGGGGGCCTGGGGGCCCGGGCCCCCCCCCTTGGGTGGGCCCAGAAAAAAAAAATTGGGCCCAAAAATTTTTTTGGGCCAAACAAGGCCTTCAGGCCCCAAAAAGTGGGCCTTTTTGGTCATTACTGGGCCTTTTAAGGCCTTATTTTTTAATTTCAGGCCAAATTTTGAAGAAAATGGGCCTCAAAATTTCAAAATTTGGGCCCACTTTTGGATTTTAGGGGCCCAAAATTTGTGCCCCCCCCCTTGTTGGTTCCTGGATCCGCCCCTGCAATCCGTCTTGGACAAGTTATAATGAAAACACGCGCATCGCACTAACGTGCCAACAAGCAAATACAAAATGATCGATCCTCCAGAAAGTGCATGCATGTTTATGATTAGACTAGTCATGCTCAAAAACAAACCAGTTCTTTACTTTTAATACCAAGAAACATCCCTAAAAATGTCAGATTAATCCGTCAAATGTTTAAGCTTGAAATATGAATAGACAAGACTACATTTTACAGACAAAATTTTGGGATGAAAAACCCAAAAGTTCTGCCTAAAAATTTAACCATCATGCCCAAAATCTAATCAGTCCAGATTTTCATACAAAAAAAAGATTCCACAAAATTTGAAATCAATCCATCAAATGGTCCTAATCACTCAGCGAACTGATCATGATATAGCACCCAAGGGTGCGATAAACATTGTTAAAAAACACAAACAATAGTACCACAATAAGTACATTTGTATGAATAATTTTAGTCAATACCTCAGAGGGTGGGTTCATCACCCCAGTGTTCCAGCCATGGGTAAATGAGCTTCCAAATGCTGCGGCAAAAGCTGTCACACACAATGGCAATGTAACATGCCCCTAAAAATACAGTAATAAATCACTGAAATATATTTATCATACCAATTTGAATTTATACAAGCCAAATCTATATCTGATTCAGCAAAATCTGCATAATACAAACCTCAAAAAATGTTCACTAAATACCTTGGCATCTTGAGGATCAAAAGCCATTTTATAAATCATTTCATGTTTCTAAGCTTTATAATAATACAAATAAAATACTTTATTATAACTATATCAAAATCTACTATGCACTCCCTCCATAGTCACTAAAGACTAACTACATGGTCCAATTGTTTTAGGGGAACCAATTAGTGTACAAAGGTCTCAAAGAAATTCTCAAGACTAAGAGCAGTGCCATCATCTGCAGAATGCCTGTGTGCAAAAGTCTCCCTAGCTATGTCTTGTAGGCTTTAGATATCTTTGATCATAAAAGGTTGATGATTTTCCTACACTTAGTTCTATTCCACAGTGAAACACATTACATGTAGTTTGTGTAAGGGCTACATGATGGATTGTTTAGTGTACAATTTCAGAATTAAACAAAGCTTGTTCAGTCAACTTCAGACTGATGTCCAAATAATTAGATATTAGGACAAGATCTACTGTATTTTGTTGAACCTTGGAGCAGTAGATCTGCTGTCATTTAATTGGGTCTTTACCCATGCCCGGGGCTGTTCATCTGAAAGCAATACCATTGTTGTCTCTTGTCACATCATCCTGAGAAGAATATTGCTCTGATGTCAGACTTCGTCTTGGGTAACCAAGGTATGAAGTTTTCATTTAAAAATCAAACTGGTAACTGAGTAACAGATCTGTTGCTAACTTTTGGAGCAATAGTTATGAAACCTTTGAACCTCAGGCAATACAACAGTGTTCAGTTGTCACATCAAGTAGCAACAAGGCACTGACATCCAAAATGTCACCACCTGCCATTGATTACAGGTGTCAAATGCCAAACACCAAGCTGAACATCGTCCACGAAAAAGTTTGGGACTTGAACAATATGTTACCACTTCTGGTGATGAAAAAAACTCAGTTGTCAGTTCTTTAGAATAATAACTCAGAAGTCAGACCTATGTCAATGGTAATAGATCTATGGCCTAAGGACCTGTAACTGAATTACCCACAAGGCAATAACTTTGTTGTCAGGCTTAGGGGCAATAGCTTTTTTTGTCAGAGTTAGGGACAATAGCTTTATTGATAGTGTTAGGGGCAATAGCTTTATTGTCAGAGTTAGGGGCAATAGCTTTAAGGTCAGACTTAGGGGCAATAGCTTTATTGTTAGTGTTAGGGGCAAAAGCTTTATTGTCAGACTTAGGGGCAATAGCTTTATTGTCAGTGTTAGGGGCAATAGCTTTATGTCAGAGTTAGGGGCAATAGCTTTATTGTCAGTTTTAGGGGCAATAGCTTTATTGTCAGTTTTAGGGACAATAGCTTTATTGTCAGAGTTAGAGGCAATAGCTTTTTTGTCAGACTTAGGAGCAATAACTTTAATGTCAGACTTAGGGGCAATAGCTTTTTTGTCAGACTTAGGAGCAATAGCTTTTTTTGTCAGACTTATAAGGCAATAGCTTTTTTTGTCAGACTTGGGAGCAATAGCTTCCTCAGTTTTCAGGTCAAGAGCAGTAGTCAACAAACAAGAGGTTTGCACACCCAGGCACTGGAACAGATGGGCCTAGGATAATCATACCCCGGAATCATGCTAAAGAAAAGCCCCCTCCCACTCCTGTTAATATTCCCGGCAATATTATTTGGTTCACAGAGAGGTGGGCGGGCGGTGGGGGGGTACTAAGGTAAAATGGGTTGTCGGATTTGGACAATGAAAAATGTAAATGAACATATAGCATATCTATTACGACATGTAGTCACTCACTTCACTGAAGGAAATCATTTAAAATTATGATTGATTGAATGAAATTCGATTCTGATTTTTTGGAAAAAATTGCAAGATCATCATTATAAACTCCCCCTCTCCCTCTTATCCCAAGGAATGCCCACAAATCAAAATGTACACTACAAACCTCATGCATTCTAGCCCTGTGCATTTTGAGTACATTCAGAACACTTAGAATGTTGTATTTCTTGCTCCCGTGTCAGTTCTTTCCAAAGGATGGTTTTCCGGTTTTATCAACATTGGCGCGCTTGGTGACGTCAGAGAGGTGTGTCAGGGGGAGTGCCTCACAACCATTCATTTGAACCAATAAGATTTTGAGGTCAAACTGACCGGGAGTAAAAACAATGACCTTCCTTTGAACTGGAAAGACAGGGACCTGTCATTCTCAATTTGCAAATTGGGCAGAAAGACAATCAGGTATCATGTCCAAGTATCCAAAACAATTAAATGTACATGGCTAAATTATGTAGAAAATATGTTTGGTCTTAGCTGTTAGGGTTGATATAGAAGAATGTGCAGTGATTGTGTAAGTTTCAAGTGTGACATAGAATGTGCAGTATGTAATTGTGCCCCGAGTAACACTGTTGGTCTTAATTGTGACATAGAATGTGCAATACTTGATTGTGCATTAATTACATTTGTCCTAAATGTGACATGAATGTGAAATAGCTACATTTTAAGTTTGAAGTGTGACATATACTTGTAGAATTGAAATATGTTACAAGTACAGTAACAGGGTTTGTCTTATAAGTGTAACATAGTGTGCAATAAAGGATTGTGCAGTGACAAATAATTCATGTTTAAAAGTGTGACATATAAATTGGAGTGTTTATTTAAGAAGTTACTACATTTTAAGTGTGCTATAGTAGAATATTGATTGTGTCTTTTGTACATGTATGTGTGTCTTTAGTGTAGAACAATTTGGAGTGAATAGTTAAGCAGAAACAGTGGTGGTCCTAAAACTTGTGTGACAATAGTACAAGGTGACCTAAAAATGATGCAACCGTCTAATTTTGAACTTCAAGGTAACAAACATTAGTATACTCCTATTGCTCCTACAACATAGAGATTTAAGGATTGATTTTATTGTACTATTATGATGATAATATGTCCTGTTTACATACTTTCTTAAAACAACTTTGCCAATAATGATGAACTGTCTTGCAGTTAATATAATAAACACTGACAGATACAGATTTCTGAAATTGCATTTTTGAATGATTGGTATGAGAGTATATCGGATGGAATTAAAGTGATTCCACAATATTTGACTTGAGTTATTAAAAAATAAGGGGCTGCAGTTTTATGGGGTCACCTTGTATAGAATGAAGGATTGGTTATGAAGAAACTTTTAAAATTGGTCCTTCAGAATAACATATAGTATGAGATGTTGAATGATTGATCATGCATTTCAGTTGAGTCCATTACAAACACATAATTCTTTTTTGTGCATGGTGCCTGATTTTGTGGAATGTGACAGAGGATGAATGCCTGTGTAAGTGACATAAAATGTTAAGTGAATGATTGTGAATTTTCTGCATTGTTCTCTTAGTATGTGATAGACGTATAATGCAGGGATTGTGCAGAGACTGTATTGGTACTTTATCATTCAGTGTGATATTCTCACATATATTTATCTGTGAAGTGAATGTCCTGTGACCTCTTCAGTCACTTATGTAACATACCTCTATTTATTGACATGTGGTCTTTTTACAGTGTCAGGATATGATTTTAAGTCAACCCCTGGATAGGTCAATAGTAAATGAATAGTTAACTGAATGAAAATGCTATTGGAACTATGTAGCAGTGTTCACATAAAGAGGTGTTCACAATATGAGATTCTGTTAACATACTAAATGTTGAACTGAAAATATGTGTTCATATTTCCAGGTGTTCATGACATGTGTTCAGATGCACAGGTTTTACTATAGTCAGTGTAGGTATATTATACTACAAAATCCCCTAAACCTACCTTCCTTTTAAGTTCTTCATCTATTTGTTCTTCTTCCTCTGGTGATAGACCTGCCTTGTCAAGTCTGCTCCTGCTCTGTAACTTGTTGAGACTCTGCTGGCTTCCAAGAGCCAGTTGGCTACCAGACCAGGTCATTGATCCAAAGCTTGCCATAGTTCTAATCAAATAATTGCACTAATAAATACTTATTGTGTTTTTATTGTATAAATTTTATAAAGTTGAGATGCTGTTGTGGTTGCTGCAATCAAATAGTCTGAATTATCCTTGCTGAATGATCTACGGAATCACAGCTGGTGATTGCTTAATTGTGATAATCCACTCTATTTATGATGCATCACATGCTGAGATTGCTTTGTTAAAAACATCTTTAAATTTCTTCAATCTTATTTGCTACATCTCTCATAATTCAATTCAATTCCAGAAATATGTGCTCATAATACATGTGCTACACTATGAAGAGCTTTAGCAATGTCACCAGTACATGCAGTAGCAGCTATGTTAAAGTACCAACTACTATCTTTAAACCTACTATATACTGTACTATGATATCAACCAAGTTAAAAATTAACTCTTCAACAGTCTATTCATTAGATATCTGATAGCCTCTCTAACAATAGTAACTGATATACTGTAAACCTGTAGTATTTTTATCACATATTTTTATAATGGAATGGGGATGACAAGATTTAACGAAAAACTTAATTGGCTGCCAAAAAACAAAATGGCCACCCAAATGTTAATCAATTGTAAAACTTGATCAACCCCAATCACAAGCATGCAATCATCTTAAAGATTTCTCACCAGTGGTGTGATAAAGAAAGATAATTTTCTTAACATTCTCACAAGTATATAAGGTCTGACTTGAGAAAATGTTCCAGAGAATGCTCTCTTCCGTGTCTTGCATCAAGTGCTTGTGTACTCATCCCCCACTAATGCCTCAGTCACATTTGATCTACGTCAAAGACGTCATCCATACGGCAGCCATAGCTTCCCAAAATCGAGAGAAATATGCAGCATAAAATAAAGGGATAAGAAGTGCAATGTACATTTTCTCAATGATTGAGTCAAGATTTTCACCAAATTTTATCCTGCAAGGTAACAAAAAAAAAAAGGCACTCAACAAAATTTGAAAAAATTGGCGGAGACTTAATTTGGCAGTTTCTATCCATCCACCAAATTAAAACAGCTGTAAAATTAAAGCAATTTACAGTATCGATTTTGTGAAGCTATGGCCACCGTACGCCCACCGAAGAGCAAATGTAACTGAGGCTTAACATACACACCTTCTAAACAAGGTATTGTACGAGATGTTTTACTGCCAGTACCATATTAGAAGTTGGATTAGACTTAGGACCTACAGCTCATAAGAAGGATGATATTTTTATTTACTTTAGTACAGAAATAAAAAGTAAATAAAAAACAACAACAATTTCTGCCCTTCAGAATCTTTTGAAAAAGAGATATACTTTATGCTCCTGCACTACTAGCATATTGTGAAATCTATGCTCCTTAACTTTTACTATGCATATACTTAAGTTTAATCATATGTTTGACTTTTTGCACTTGTAATAAATTGACATTGGACAAGTTACTTGAAGTACAAGTGGCCTTGATAAAAAATGTAAGGTTCTTCATCTGATATCATGCAGCCCAGGCATGATAGTCACACACATATCTTATGATTAAAAAAATGTATATATGTATAAATCATATAAAGTGACACAAATGGTGTATTGGAGCCACATCATAAAATGTATATAAGTTCTGTAACTAGATATTTTAGCTGTATAAATGTATCAATACACAGATGTTAAAATGGAAAGGAAAAAGTTGTGTGTTTCCACTTGAAACCTCTGCAATGCTTTTAAAGTGCTTAGTCAGCAAAGTCTACCACCTTTAATCATATTCAGGACATGGGGAATATTATGGATTTATGTATTTGAAACAAGAACCTTTAAGTTAGACAATGATGTATGCTTTAAGTACTTAACTTCTTTTTATTTCATAATAGGAATGTCAAGGTGACTTTTAGATATTTGAGTCTTAGATTATTACCTGACAACTTGACAAATCTTTCAAAAGGTTTTGTTGTTAATCCACCCATTATACGAGGTAATAAATGATGTAAATCACAGAACAGTTTACCTTTATACTTGACCTGATTTTAAACAAGGCATTAACATGCAAAATGTCAACACCTGCCATTTGTTACAGATCCCAAATTGTGAACACTGCCAAACACCAACCAGCGTCCATATAAAAGTTGGAGACAATAACAATATGTGACCATTTGCGATGTTGGCATAATGATTTAAATAGGAATGGGTAGGTTAATGGATAATCAGAGTACAACATTACTAAGAAGAACACATCATGAAAAATTAGATGATATTGATAATAATATGAAGAATTTTTAGGTTCCTCTTAATTTATTTTGTAAATGATTGCCTTTGCTTAAATTTTGGTTTGTTATTATTGTCACTTTATGCTTAAAGGTCCTCTATATATTGCAACTTCAACATGCATCTGGACTGCATGGTCTGGTCTGTTTGGGGCATGTCATGTCTTCACTTGTGCGCTGTTGCTCTCCAAATAGATGACGCTGGTAGTCATTCTCCATGGCAACAACATTGGGCCTCAGGAGATAAAGTCCATATTCAATACTGGAGACTGGTACTACACCTGAAGAGATAACAATGTGCCTGTACATTATTGACACATCCTTCAAGATTGGCTTCATTGCTATAGCAGTTATGGAGAGAATTGACATACCCTTGGACCAAGGATGGTGTTAACATAGTACCTGTCTTCTTTTAGAATTAAATTACTCACAAAAATTATTTAAATCTAAACTCTACCAGACTATTGTTCATCAACACTCTACATGTTCATCTCTAAAGTCAGTGTTATGAATTCAACTCGAAATCTCATCTTTGTATCAAACCTTGTAAATAATTAAGTATAACTGAAATAAATGGTTTATAAAAAATCTCTTCAATCAGTGATTATGTACATATAAAATAATATGAATGATCTCAGACTGCCATCTTTTAAAGTCAAGTTGGATAAACTGATTAATAATGAAAACATGAATCATACCAGATTTAAGCCAGGGGTATGTGCTCCATGCTCCATTAAATCGTACAGGGTTGGTGCCATCCTCAGGAGGATATACATCAAAGTAGGCCACTTCACTGAGAGAGTATGTAGACTGCTCTATTCTCAACACTCTCAGGCCTACAGCATAGTTGGCCTGGTAGGTAAGGCTTCCATTAACATATTGGTTGTGATCTATTGACAAAAGCTCATGGAAATGGGTGTTCCTGAGAATTGGATTACTCAAGGAGTTCACATCCCATATGTAGGTCCTGGTACGCCTGCAAGAATCATTTTCATTAGACAAATGGGTTGTAGTTTCTTTAAGTAACCTTGCATACAATGAAGGATTTTTTCTTCAATGTGAGCTGAATCTTAATAGACAAATGTTCAAGAAAAAGATTGAATACTTGAAAGCCTAGCTCCTGTTCACTACACTGTTGGAGAAATCAATCAAATATAATTTTGGGCTGGGTAAAATTGTAATTAACTTTTTTATATTTTATTATTGAATTGTTAGACTGACCACTGTAAATAAAAAAATAAACTAAACAATAATCCACGAAAAAAACAGCAACTCAAATCCCATCAAACAATACATACTTGATCAAATCACTCATTTCATGATAAAAATAATCAGGCAGAATAGGTATATTGAAAATTCCTTATTGAGCAGATATGAGGTCCTTTGCCCATAAGACCCTAGCCTATAAAATCGACCAAATTCTGACTTGTATTTGAATTCATTATCTCCAGCAGAGCTCTTATGTCCCTAAGACATGTAAGACACCACCAGGATTACATTTTTACAAAACTAAATGGGACAACCAGTACAGTGTTGACATTATTGTTCAGACATACTGAAATGGAAGAACAGCTTCTCTATAGTATTATCCTTACTTGAACTTCTTTAGGTAGGATAATAAAATATAAAATGAAATAACTGACTGCTACTGATGACAACATATTATGCAGTTGTACATATAAATTATTATTAAGCAGTAATTAAGAGCAGAGGGTGTTTTATCTTTTAAATGAACTTAATAAACTTACTGGTCAAAGTTATTCTGTTCATCTTGTTCATCATCCATCAACAAAACACTCTGATCCTCAGTAAGCCATCCCTGTAAAATATTTATTTCACAAATGAACTTTTTCATACTTTTATAGTCTGCAGGCCCGTAGCCAGGGGGGGGGGTCGATGGGTTCGAACCCCACCCGCCCCCGGCCAAAATTCTTTCAAAATCATGCAGTTTTTCACCATTCTGAGCACTTTTTAAGTGATTTGGGCCATTTTTGGACCAAAATTGTCACAAGTGACCCCCCTGGAATTTTTCAAAAAGTGAACCCCCCTTGGCAAATCCTGGCTACGGGCCTGGTCTGTATCCATCAAATATGTCACATATGTCACATTGTATACACATGTTTAAATTCTGGACTCTCAAATTGTGATTTACTTGAATGTTAGTTTTATTTTCCATGAAATCTCATTTAATCATGGCTTGAATTTTATATGCTTTGTCTTTCAATTTATTTTTAATCTCTCAGATCCTTTAAACAATATGTAAGGCCTAGCTCAGGCCTGTAACCACGATGAGCAAGAAGTGAAAGATGTATTGATGATATTGAAGCTCTACCTGATGTGTGTATTGTGAGCCAGCATACTCCACTCTAGAGATAATAGTTGGTCCATTAGTTGCCCTAGTATCAACAATAGTCAGAGAGTTCTCATTGTAGCAGAAGCAGATCTCACGCCCAGTGTAAGTGCTGTCTGGGCCGTTATAGTTGAGGCATTGGGCATCATGCACGTAGCCATCCTCATCAAAGCAACCAATGAATTGAGGATTTTTGGGCTCACTGACATCAAGCATGTGGAGGCCACCTGTGTTATGATGGCAGGAGATTAAATAACAATTGTATTCAAGAAAAAAGGTAAAAATTATTTTGGAAGAAAAATAATTTCATGGCTCTCACTGGATTATCAATACACTTTTTAACCATTTCCAAAATTCCTTCACATTGATACAGATTCTATCATTTTATACAACTAAGAAAAATCATACCAAAGCATGTATCATATTCCAAAGGTGATTCAGTAGCACCAACTACAAACACAGTATTAGTTGCTTCATTTGATACAATATTGTGAGCATTGCCAAATCTAGTGTAGTGGAAGTCTGGTTCGACGACTCCTAAAGAGGTCTGGCCGCGGAGTCTGGTGAGGTCAAACACCTGGAGACCGTGTCCAGTAGCCTCTGAGACTATGTAGGCATGGTTGTTTACAACCTAAGGCACAAATAGATTTTGAATTAAAGTACTTAGTAGAAAATATCACATTCGCAATATGATTAAAATATTATATAAACTACATCAATGTATGCTTATATGCAAAATATAGTAAAACCTCGGAATAAGAACACTTTTAATGATCACCTCAAAATGAGAGCACTTTTATCATTTTCCCTTTTTAACTCATTTTGTCAGAATTTCTTTACGTGAACACCTTTTCAGCAAGTAGAGCTTAGTAAATTCATCAATCAGTCCTAATTGGGCACATGTTCCTTCAGAGGTGTTGGCTTGGGAATAAAAGACTACAGAAATATCCTCAGGTTTTGAAAAATATCATTTATACCCAATGAAAAATTAAAAAAAAAATCATTTTGCAGAATTATCAAAAAAAAAATCAAAAACATCGAATATCACTTTTTAGAAGTAATATTTGATGATTTGGGGACTTTTTTGCTTAATATGACATCTTGATCCACATATCAAAAATATTTTCACGTCATATTCATTCTTTATCCCATAGATGAGGTCAAATCTGTAGAATAACACATATATCTATTTATGATATTTTGCAAATGCATGGAAAAAAGCGGTATCTTTGGAATACAGAGAATATTCCACAGATATCACTTTTCCACGGATTCTAAAACTCCCGCCAATGTGACGTGCATTGTTACATGACCTTACATGGTGATTTCATGACGTCAAAAATATGGAAATGATTGACGTGGCTATATAGTTTCAATCCAATCATTGATATCTCTCAAAATCATAGGATATCCTATACATATCCTTGCAACCATGGGATAACAAGGTGTTTCTGGAATTTCATTTACCTTCATGTCACGCCAGTCACTGGAGATACCATTTGTGCTTGGTAGATATGCAACCACTGTTGGTGTCTCTGGGTTAGGGGAGATACGGACAAATGATGTACCAGCCATGAGTCCCATTATGATGTATTCTTCACCATTCACTGGATCAGTCCATGCCCAGAGATCATTACCATCTAAACTGATTTAAAAGTACATTTGCACATGAATGGGTAAGGATCATTAACATATTATTTGCAATACAGGAATCATTTTGGGATCAAAACTAGTAAAATCAGTACATGTTTAAGAGCATTAGCCAGTGGTCCCAAAACCTTGCATGCTACCAGTTGAAAATCCATTTGCATCCAGTTGCAATTTTAGATAATCATGTAAAATATGGACATGTGGACACAAGAATCTGAGGAAATGACTATTATAGTAAGAACAATCCTTGGTTTGTCGAATTATCCAACTGATGCCATCATCCAAAGACTCCATCAAGACAAGAATAAATATGTTTTCTTTCAATTCTAATTGTGTCAGAGGTTAAAGTTTCAGATTATATCAGCATAAAAAGTATGGAATCTACCAGTAGTTATTTCTAAAAACAGCGAACTATTTTTTTAATATATAATTTCAAGCTAGCCTAGACTAAGAGAAATAAATATATACTTGAATGCATTGTTGTACTCCAGATCCAACTGTTCCATTGAGATAAATGCTACCTGGTCTATGTTCCTGCAAGCATGGGCTCCAGCAAAACCTAAAACACATAATATACAATTGTAGACCTCAGGTCAACTGGCAAAATTGTATACTGATACTGTAAAGGCTTAGAAAGTACTGTTAACCGAGACCGGAGGTGGTTCTATAAGCTTATCATTGACACAAGGTATAGCCTCCTCAATGGTTATGTATGCTTATCCTTGTCACAAGGTATAGCCTCCTCAATGGTTCTATATACTTACAACTGACACAAGGTATAGCCCCCTTGGTGGGTGGTTCTATATGCTTAACATTGACACAAGGTATAGCTCCCTACGTGGTTCAATATGCTTACCATTGACACAAGGTATAGCTCCCTATGTGGTTCTGTATGCTTACCATTGACACAAGGTAAAGATCTCTCAGTGGTTTTATATGTTTACAATGACACAAGGTATAGCTCTCTCAGTGGTTTTATATGTTTACAATGAAGGTATAGCTTCCCCAGTGGTTTTATATGTTTACAATTGACACAAGGTATAGCCCCCTTGGTGGTTCTAAATGCTTACCATTGACACAAGGTAAAGATCTCTCAGTGGTTTTATATGTTTACAATGACACAAGGTATAGCTCTCTCAGTGGTTTTATATGTTTACAATGACATACATGTAAGGTATAGCTTCCTAGGTATAGCCCCCTTGGTGGTTCTAAATGCTTACCATTGACACAAGGTATAGCCCCTTCGGTGGTTCTAAATGCTTACCATTGACACAAGGTATAGCCCCTTCGGTGGTTCTGTAAGCATATTCAGGGCAGGTGCCAGCAGCTCTACAGGCCTGTCTGGCTGCAGACTGTTCTCTCTTGTACTCCATAGTTAGCTTCATGCGCTCCCTGGCTCCATCATACTGACTTGGGGCTGCATGGTAGGAATTTATTCTAAAAATTGTACATTGTTAGATAAATTAATCAACATCTATATAAAAATATAACAAGGAAAACAACAACTCCAGTGAGCAGCAAATCCCACCAAACATGTATCTTCTCAAAGGACCATGTGAGATATTGCAAGTGATTTTAGATGGTCATATATTTCACCTCTCTGAAAAATCATGGATTAGGACCCCACCTTGGCACTTTTTAAAAATGTTAGGCTTATTTTCTAAAAGAGGATCTTGCCATACCTCACATGGACTTCTTCCTCCTTTTTTGAAACTTGTGATAGTAACAGCAATTAGTCAGTTGTAATCTGTCATTTTGGCAAAACTACTTGAAGAACATTATTTCATATAAACAAAATCAATCAAATATATTATAAAGCATAAAGCATTAACTGAATCTGACAACTTGTTTTTGAGTTATCACCTGGATACATTGGAGAATGAATGAATGGCCTCTCTTCACTTTCTGATCCTAATTATCCCATTGAACAATCGTAAGAGATATAATGATGCCCTCTCCCCCCAAAAAACAATTTTGTAAAGTTTCTTAAAAAAACATGAACAAATTAGTTAGAAATGCTTAGAATGCACCATTTACAATGTAGGAAAAAAATGTCTAGGGGTAAACCCTGTACCCCCTTTTTTTGATGCTCGCTTTACTTGTAGTGATGCAAACCAAAGAAATCGCACTTCCCTTGACATTTGCTGGTTACGCCCCTGGATGTATGCATTTGTAATAAAAAAAATTTGGCTAATGACTGTTTGATCAATCAAACTACACATTAAAAAAAAAACTTACTTGAATGGCGCATTATTTTTGACTGGACACGAAGCTGTTCTCTTACACTGCCCCCATGGTTCATAGGCACACCTCTCTGGTCGGCCAAAAGCTCCAACAACCCACAGCAATGGAAAAACCTGAAACACATTAAAGGTCCAAATATATTCAATCTTAAACCCATGCATCTTCATATATCTTGGTATGTAGTATCTGATACTCATAGCATCTCTCTCTCTGTTGCATCGCAGATCCTATCCAGAGGGATGATTAATTAATAACAATCAACCAGAGTGATGAACGTTCATAGAACATTATTGTATGGTTCAAACATATCAATCTATGATTAATATGAAAGGTCTTGTAATTGTTAATTATTTTGAAATACCTTATATAACAAAATTTGGCCTGTCTTAGAAAAATCTATGGAAGCACAAAAAAGGATTGTTTCAGATTTGGTACTATTCTATATACTTATGTCATATGTTTATAGATCGAAGCAATAAGACTGGTAATATTATGGAACACACTTTTAGTGTTCTCAGAGTGATTTTTCAACATTATTTGTCAAGTGGGATTTAACCAGATTTGTTTTAAAAAAATAAATATATTGGAAAATTGAACATTGAAAATAAAATGTGTGAATAACAGATTTGAAAATTATACACCGATTTTAATTCATCAAAACTTCTATTGACATTTCTTGGACCACACCTCACCTGGTATTTTATTTAAAATCATTATAATGATTAAGTTGTTCTTTAAAAGAAGCATTTTATTTAAATTGTTATCATAATAAGTCCTTGTTAAAGAAGTTATAAAAATTGTTATTTTTTAAGTCAACTTACCAATTGCAAGTACATGTTCCTCTTTTATGATACGAATGCATATAATGTACAAGTATATGAAAAAAATAGTACTTAACTTTGTGAAAATGCCATATGGGACTTGACGTCAAATATATCACAAAGGGTGTAGTTTTTTAATAAATTGATATGAACCGACCCACCGAGAGTATTTTATTAGGTTTTTCTCTAGAAATTTATAGCAACATGTGGTAATGAATATGAATCGATAGAATCTAGAGATGATATAATGTGAAAACTGTTGAAAGTTATCGTTGAAAAAACTGAAAGCACCGCGAGTTGATTGTAGAATGGATTGTGGAAGTTTTTTCATGCATTTCGCTTATGTTTTTCATCTAAAAAAACATCAATTCACTTTATAATCTTAAATACACACCTTATTGAGTTGTTTTGGTTTATATCGCAACCCAATGAGGTGTGTATTAAAGATTTACTTTCCTGTTATATCAAAATCTTCTTGGGACTATACCATTGGATTTCTATGGGAAATTCCTCTAAGAGAATATTCTAGGGATTAAAGAATGTGTTCAGTTTACACAATTTGAGAAATTATTGACAAACATGAAATCAATCTAAAACAGCATTTAATTTATTCAAAAGTGTTAATTATCAATGATTCCAAACCCTTTGAAGTTTGAAAAATAAAAATACCTGGGTGTTAATCCATAGATATTTTTTGGGATTATATGGTGCAATCTTATAGTCAATAAAATGTTTTAAAGTGAGCGAAATGCATGAAAAACTCCCCCAATTCATTCTACAAACAACTCGCCATCCTTTGTATTTTTTTATAATAATTTTTCAGACAGTTATGAGTTCGCTCATAGACTTTGTTTTTGCTATCTTCACCCAGTTTTGATACATGTTCAAAAACTATGTTAACCTGGCTGGGCCTTATCTTTTTATTTTAGGCCAAATTATCAAAAAAGGGGCTTATTTTCAATTTGGCCCAATTTTTGGTTTTAAGGGTCCAATATATTTTCCCGTCCAAGTGCAGAAATTTTTTCTTCTGACTTGAAATGTGCCCCCTGGTTAGCTTCTGGTTTTGGTAGCGCCTGCTGTACTTTCAAGGGTAAAAAGACCAAATCCTATTTTTATGAAAATGGTGATGATGCTTGGGGTCCGCGCAATAACCAAAACCCATAATAACGATGCGCATTGTACCGAAAGGCGTTATACAGAATGCCATAATACCAATGCGCATTGTACTGAAAAGTTTTCCTGCGTGTAACTATCTGCTTGTAACCTTTAAGAGACAATGCAAGCACAAAGTAATTGGTAGACAAATTAATAAACACGTTTTCAATGTTTATTTGGAGTAAATATTAGTTTTCAAGTTAGAATTGACATTAGAATTGACAAAAATCCTTACAAACGGGAGAACATCTATTTTGAGACTAGAACAACCTGTCGCCGTTTTCATTTGATACCCAGAGATAAAAAAAACCCAGTTCGTTTGTCTGTTTGTCCGTCTATTTATTCGGAAAACAACTCAATAGTTTAAAGGAATACACCTAATGGCCATAGGACGTCAGATTTAGAAGAATCTTCCAAAATGGAAGCCAATAAAAAGTTGCCATAATTTGAACATCCATTTCATGTTGTCTAGCCTTAGTCCAAGGAACCTTTCTCGAGGGTAGAGAAACGGGATAAAAATTTTAAAAAAAATACAGTAAATTGAATTGAAGTTAAATGTAACACATTATGTAATAGATGATGAAATGTTTTTACAAACTGACAACATTACTTACAATTCTATGATTTGAAATAGCTAGCCACATATACAACGCTCTACGCACCATTGGAAAGCTCATCTTGTCTTCTTTAATCTCCTTTCTAACAGAAGTGAATCAATCGTTACGCATTGAACTTTGATAATAGATGACAAAACATTTATTGCTGACTGACAACACTACATATGATTTGAAATACATGTAGCTAGCCACATACATGTACCTGTATACAGCACACCATTGGAAAGCTTATTTAGTGTTCTTTATCTCTTTAGGGTTATTTTATAACTAGACTCTGCATGCAGGGTATAGTCTAATGTCTCTGGGCAGAAGAAGCTTGCCTCATCACGGGTCACTATCATCGTGTTCTGAGACTCGAGTAAGTGTTCTCTATTGCCAGGCAAGCGAGACAAGGTTTGGAAAATTTTCACCTCATTGTATTAAAAAATAGTTCTGCTTATTGTCACCGACTGCCATTGAGAGTGAATGTAACTATTACCTTCTGTCTGATTGGGCACACTGACCAGTGTTGTTCTACATGCTTATTGAGTCACAAGGCTTGCTCTATTGACTTCTTATTCCTTCTAGACGAATTCCTGTGTGTTGTGGAGTACAATGTCAAATGCTGCAGATCAAGGATTACTGAGATCACTTACTCTCCCGAGAAACGCACATATTGATGTTGAAAACAAAGCATCGAAAGTCTTTATTTTCACTAAACTTTTTTTCTATTTTTGAGAAATCTTTAAGCTACACTGAACGAACTTGTAAAAGTATCATGAGCGGGAAATTTAAAACTTTTTAGTATAAAGGTTACTGCCATTGCTAACTTACAGTAGCAATTCGAAATCCTTATATATGTCATATTTATTCTATTTATTCTATGATTCATTGAATATGTCACGTTATTGTATCCTAAAAATCACGACTGAAGCGCGTTTAAAACTTTTTCAGATGGACGAGTCCATTTTGAAGGCACCACCCCTCGAAGTTGTTGTGAGCCTCGGAATCATTTCACCGGCAAACTCGGATCAAGTTTCTCGCAGGAGGAGGATGAACGTGAATTTCTCCTCTATTTTGGCATATTTTGCCTTACTTGTGCCGTTTTCAAGTCAAACAACAAGACAGAAAAGGGATGCAACCGACACGCAGTAAGTATAGTGTATATGATTTTATTGAATCCTTTTTAAATCTCGCGCACTTCAAATCAATGATCTTTTTCAGAGGAGGAGGGGCAAATCATAAAAAATCTTTATGATGATGATCCCATCTCTGTTTAGATTTTACATGTCTATGATGTTCTGTCTATCTAATAACAGTGACCAATTGCTAATCCTCTTAGGGACAGTGTGGATTATGCACATATTACCTAGGGGGCTGTGGGTCGGGGGGGGGGTGTTCACAGCATTGCCATAAAAAAGCAAAAAATTTAAATATGAAGACGAGCCCTCACCCGACCCAAGGATAGTTACCGGGCTCATATTGAGTCATATTCATGGGTGTAGCCAGGGATGAAGCAGGCGAGGTCTCCCCGAACATTATCCAGGGGTTTCACTAGGATTCAGAACAACAGGCATTTTGCCCAAAACAACAGGCGAAAGTATTTCTTAAAATATTCGCCGCTCGCTTCGCTCGCATTGTACATTTTTAGCACAAATATTCGCCGCTCGCTTCGCTCACGTTTTATACTCCAAAAATGTATAGATGATTCATCCTTTTCATATTCATTGAAATTACCATGTGTGCACTTATTGTAAAGAAACATCGTACTGCCAGTAGTATAATAGTACAACAATTAAGTGGAATGTATATCACACAAATGAAAAACCAAGAGCAGATCAAGTAGCAAGATATTGTATTTGCCAGTATGGTAATACAATGAGAATTTAACAGAAGCATACTTCATACTGGTGAAGAACAAGATGAGAGCTGAAGTACCAAGGTACTGTATTTGGTACATACGCCATAAAAATCAGCTAACAAGTATAATATAAAAAGATACCACATAGTGCATGATGAAGAAAACAATATGAGAATTCAGGCAGAGAGATAGTGATCCCTGTGGTAGTAATATTAATGTGTAAGAGGCATCATTTTCCAGGGTTTAAATATTTTTAATTGATAAAAATTAACCACTAATTATTTAGTGAAATGAATGTAATATCTTTCTCAACAGCTGTTTAATCCAAGTGATTTCAAACTGGAAAGAAACATTGCTGAACAAGATTACAAAACCCGGGCTAAGGTAATACAAGAATGTTTATAGTTTATGGGCATCTATCATTTTGATTTTGAGCATCAACTATGTCCTGGAAATTAGATAAAATCATTTGGGTCTACACTGTCACTGTCACTGTCGTCATCATCATCATCATCATCACCATCATCACAATCAGATTCATCAGTGTCAATCCCAAGGTTTTCAGCACACTTTTTTAGTTCCTCTCTATCAAGCTGCTCCTTCTCAACATCAGAGGGGATCATAGCGATTCTTCTTGCAGAATCATACCTCCTAGGTTTCATTAAATCGAAAAGCTCTTTCGCCCTCTTGGCCACCTGAAGGGAATCTGTAGCAGGAGGGCCATTGATGGAGATCATAAGTAGGCTGTTCAACATGCTGCTAGTGAGTTGACTTCTTAATCTGGACTTAATCAGCCTCATTTTACTGAAGCCCCTCTCTGGCCAGGCATTGCTCACAGGAATCACCAACAAACATTCTGCTATGGCCGAGAGCAGGGGAAATACAATAGTTAACTGATGTTGCTGTATTCTTAGACATGCCCATTCCTCTCCTGTTTTGTCTGCAAGTGGATCAGTGCCTGTTAAATAAAGATTACATCATGTATCTTTTTTAAGAATTGGTATGTGGTCAGATGCATATTTAGATAATTTAAGGATTCTCAATTAAGGTATTTTATTAAGAATCAATGTTACATTCAATGGATTCTTGGGACTGATTACCCAGTGGCATAATAACTTAAATTATTACCCAGTGAAATTAAAAAGACCAAACTTACCAGATTCTTTTAATGATTGGAGATGTGCCTTCCATTTAATGAGGTCATATTTAAACTTTCCATACTCTGCCAATACCTCTTGGCTGTCTGATTCGCTAAGGAACTTGGTTCTTAGATACCCTGCGTGCAGAGTCTAGTTAAACTACACTCTGCCTAGTAGAGACCATATCAAAGTTTAGTAGCCCCGCCCCCACGACGGGTACCGGTGACAGTTTGGGTAATAAATCACTTCTGACCTACGCTCTGACCTTTCTTCCACCAATCTGCGAGCTTGAAGAAACATACGCCAAATGCGTTCTAATTAAATATGCGCATGTCATTGGTCAATTCCTGGCTCAACGATGACGTCAGAAGGAATGACCATATATAGAACGTCGGTCAAATTTGGCCGACGAACACTGATAGGCGCGGTGAGTTCACAGGTTTATTTTAGTTTGAAAGAGTGAAGACGAAGCTCTCTTTTAAGAAGTGAAGTCAAACGAATGCAAAGGGTAGTTCTTAGAGCAAGAATCTCAGTTGTACCATAATCCTAAATATATAATAAAGAGATGATTTGAAGTACACGATAAGATTGCTGTGTACATGCATTTAGTATAAAGTTCATAAATATTTACCAGTAAATCTAATAAAAATAAAGGACCCATGGTCCTGTGCTCATAATACGAATAGCAGTTTTGGGGCCAATGTTGATGGATGGGCGGATAGAGGGATGGACGGACAGACTCCTTGTCAATATCATATGCTCACTGTGACCCAAAAATTTAATGTCAGATTTTACCTGGAATTCTGTGGAGGCTCTGTCAGGTATTTGCAACGGGTTAAATATTGAAAAATGCTCTAGCAGTGGAATCTCCTTGAATCTTTCTTCAATGTTTTTCATTAGAGCCTGGATGTAGTCTCTGTGGAGCTTAATCAGACGTTCCTCTTCGTTCCTCTACATATCATATTAAATAGTGAAAGTTATGAATTATCCCTTCAAATCATTTTAAAAGATCAAGGGTTCCAGAAATATTCATACAGAGATGAAATCAGGCCTATATGCTCTTTATTATGCTTTTGACTCTGTGAATGTGACTCTTTTTAAATGTTGTCTTTTTCTCACCTGGGAGAAGAAACTTGATATTGGAGGTTGTTTCTGTCCTTGCTTCATATTTCTTCTGACGCTTTGTGATGGAATTGGCCGTGATGGAATTGGATTTTTCTTCAATAGAGTAACAAAATGATTTGATATAAACTGTGCACCTTGTCTAGAATCCAATGATCCATCACGTGAAAACATGACTGCGACTGTTTCCTTTTCATCAACAGCTTCTGTTGGTTCTATAAGCCCATGGTATAGAGGTCGCATGGCTTCATTAACCCTAGGGAATATAGATGCCACGTCTCGACTGCTTTTATCTCCTTTGTATTTATTTTAAATAGATTCCGAAATAGCGAACATCAAACTGAAAAATTACGCGCTCGTAAATTTGTCGTATTATCACTCTCCGATAAAGAGGTACAAAAAATATTTCAAAAAAACATTTTGCCCCGTTTTTCAAAGCTAATACTCGATTATATTGATGGGCTTCGTTGGTTTTGGCGAAATCTGTTTATTGGTGAGTTGTTACATGTTCGTACATGTATAGTTCAGTGTGTTTTAGTTTAATGGTAGGTGGATTCTGAAAATCACATTATTGAATCTACTTTTCACCCAACTCACTCCTTTCGCTGGGCCAAAAACAACCGGAGAAACGTTGAAAATAACCGGAGATTTTCGCCGGTCGCCGGCTTGTAATGAAACGCTTGTTATTAGAAAACAAAATATTCAAGACATTTTTCTGAACAGTGAAACTATAAAGATGATGTCTAATAGTGGCATTATATAGCTTTTAATTCAGTTTTGACTCAAATATTTAAACTTTGTCTCACCTATTTTGAGATCCTAGCTACGCCTTCCCCATTGTAATCTGTCCAGGTAGTAACGCCCTTGATATTTTTTTCAATTTAAAGCAAATATTTACTATTATCTGGAAAAATGGAAAATGAAACTCACTGGCACTTGGAAATGAATCAGATCAGATTTAGAGATTAGTATTTAGTACCATTAAAATATGAAAGCGCACCATTTTTTGTTACCAGATTATTGGCTTTACTAATGCTCCAATGATTTATTATTGTTCTTTTGAGGGAAATTTTTTTCTTATCCATAGTCTCATCTTGATCTTCATGTATATTATAGTTGTAATTATGTATTGCTTCACTTATTTCTTATTATCCTCTCTTTCAGGCCTAAAATCATTACAAACAATGGACATCTAATGTTCCAAACTGGTGTAAACCATAATATCACATTCCAATCAAACTCTGCTACAGGGGGATATATAAATATAGATGGTGTTAACTTCAAGACAATAATAGAAAATGTAAGTATATATTTCATTAAATTATTAATCATTTAAGTATCTGTATATTACATGTTCATAACAATTCCCTAGCTGGCTGGTTTCAAGTTATTGTTACTGACGATTGCTTTGAAACCACATAAAATACCAGCAACAGACACCATAATCTTGTCATTTCCATTTTATTTTTAATCAAATTAGAATCTACTAATTAATGACACGCAGTTAATCTTGTCAAACTTAATCACATAATCATTTAAACAAACTTGTAATGTTAGATGTATTGTGATACTCCTCCCATTTCCTTTCTTATAACAGATGATATCATGTTAATCCAGATGAAGAGATTAGCATAGTACTCCATGATGATTATGAGTGATGTAAATGAATAAATATTTCCCTTGTGATGTAAATCATTGAATTTAAGGCTGTGTCTGATCCTGATTTAACACAAAATGTTTTTCGTTCATAATAACCTGTTACTTTCACCATCAATAGCCTTTGGAACATACTTCCTTTCTCGAAATTCCTTGTCATGCAAATAATCATTGTGATTAATTTCAAATTAAAAACTGCTCACACCTTTTTTAGTTGTCAGTGGTACTTTCTATATGAGTGATTTGTTTCAAGTTTCATTTATTGCCGAAAAGAAGGTTTATGATTCTGAAAATTGTGTTTCATTATGAATTGAAAAATTTGGGTTGATTTAGAATGAGAACAACAACTCTAGGCCTTTATGCTATAAACATTGTTGAACCCAAAACATCCTGAAATTGTATACTTGAATGAATGTAGTACAAACAATACATAAAATGCTGATTGAAACTATGTACGTCAGACATCAGTGCTATATCTTTTCTGTACTTGTCTCAGCTATTCCTACGCCATATGAAGAACTGGATCTGGCTGTATCATCTTTCACTCAGTGTGTCCTCCAGTCATTACCATCAAACATAATCTCAAACAAGAATTAGAAATTTTAACAAACAACAGATTGCATTAACCTATAAGCTAATCAGAGAGGCATGCATATTATGTTAGAGTCTTTGATAACAAGAGACTCAATTTGATATTGTTAAATGGGATTAAACCCATCCGAAAGGGGAGGGGCATTAATGGGGGGCGATCCACTCCCTTTTCTAAAAAAAAATTTTCTGGGGGGCATGCTTCTAGACCTCCTTGGCTTGTGGCAGTGTGTGTCGTAGACGCTTTGCGTGGGTGTGTCGGCGGCGCAATCCATCCACACACAAAAGTCACCCCCCTCTTGGGAAATCCTTTGGATGGGCCCGGGGGATAATCAAATTTTAAATCTTCACTTAGTTGTTCATAGTCATTATGTATGTATTCAGTTCCATTATGCTTTGGTTCTTCTATATTTTCTGTGAATTCAGTGGTTATTAAAGTCAATTCAAGTCAATTCTCAGTGATCAATCTACTTGTTCTGATGCAGACAAACAGGATATTTGTGGCCAATACAGGATGAACTATACAACTTGTTCTTCACACTAAAGCACTAATTAGTTCTAGGCTACAGTGCTTCAAAGAGGCAAGATAACTATCCCAATCTGAGCTAGTAAAGTATTAAATTACAACAATTTACAAACACTGAAATAGATACTATTTGCTCCAAGAGTCAAATGCTGAGGCTAGAATCAGGGGATTATTGCAATAAACAATTTATGACATGTAAAGTGCTATCTTTTAACCTGTGGAAACTACAAGTTGCAGTATTTAACAAAATCCAAAACGTCATAATAACTGAATTCTAATTATAATAATGATGTTCTCCCTCAAATGTGGTCTAGTTGCCTAGTAAACTAGCCAGATCATTTATACAATATTTCTGTAAGAATAACACCTTATAGTATGGTACTATGTTATGACACAGACATTGGTCTTTCAACCCTTATCAAATTCACCTTCAGTAGAGTTGGGGTACATAAGGTGGGAGGTAGGTTATCCTGTTCCCGGACTATAGTCCTGCACTGAGCGCATTCATTTGCCTGTACGATTACAACTTGGGAGAATTATCTACGCCCCTTACACTTAAGATACCTACCTCAATGCATTATAGAACTCAAGATGTAACTTCTAATATATTGGAACCGCCGATTGTCTGGGTATATCGGCAGAACGGGAACATTTTCTCTTTTTCATCGAGAGAGATTCCATCACTTTTCAAAATGGCGGTTGGATTTAAAAGGGGAATCCCCCGTTTGGCTGTCCCGGATGTAGCCCGGAAGTACCAATATGGAGGAATTTGACGGTTGAAATAAGTTAAATGTTACACGCAAATATTGCGATCAAAAACGAAAATGTCTTCGTTCTGCCGATAAACCCAGACAATTGTGGATTCAACTACACGAAAAGAATGCTAAATTACCAAGGAATCTATTGAAGTAGGTATCTGAAGTGTAAGATCAGTAAAAAATTCTCCCAAGTTGTAATCGTACAGGCAAATGTATGGGTTCAGTACAGGACCATAGTCCGGGAACGGGATAAGGAGGTAGGCATTTCATGGGTTTGCAGCAAGACTACAGAAAAGCATAACTCCCCATGATGTTTACTAGATGTGTTGAGGTCAATGCAGTAAAGAGACCCAGGTCAGAGACTCAGAATTTAGTACTGGTAAAGAGAATCATACTACTGCTAAAAAATAGCATTTGGTTTTAATTACTGCATCAGTTTGAATGCAGTTGCTTTTCCAAACTTGAATGTAAAATACAAAACAACAAAATGGTGATATAAATCTTACTTGGTACAACAGTTTTGTGACATATAAGTTAAAGAGACAAACGATCCTTGCAATTTTTTGTTTTAAAGATGTTTAACCATTGACATTAACTTCAGTCATTCTTTGTGTTGGTTGATTTCATTCATATCTGATCCGAACGGTTTTGAAACAATATTTTGTAACATTTATATCATCATACTGCTGGTCAGCAGTATATTTCATATATAATTTATGATACTTGAACTCTTTTGGCCTGGAGACTTGATTTATTCACAGTTTGGGGAGCTTGATGTTATAAGCTACTGTCACTTGTTGTTCAAGTGTAGATTACCATACAATAGGTTGTATAAATCTTCAGAACTCTGTTATCACTCAACTGCTATGCTAGAATTTAACAAGAATTTTAGGAAACGACTATACATGTGATTTGTTAGACCAAACTTTTGGAAACTATTCAAACTATATTACGTACCATGCATTCTGTTTTATAGTAATAATTCAGTCATTTTTAATTTTAAACAGATCAAATCTGTTTTAACAATTTTGGTAAGATGCAGTTTAAATTCAGCATTAAATCTCAGCACTGTATGTAAAATGATTCAGGGGGGGGGTCAAACCAAAAGGATATGATTGAAGTTTATGTATCAAAACCAGTCATCAAAAGAGTAATTTTTTCTTAGTTCTATGCTCAAAAGTCATCACAACAGTTACCATTTAAAGTTTTCAGATTTCTTTCAAGCAGTGACATGTAAACAAAACACTTGTGCTGTTTGTAAAACATGATAAGTTATTTATTCTTTTCTATTGTAAAAACTAGATATCACTGTGATATTTGCCAAGACAGGGGTTTCATAGAATTTCTAACAATGGGCTAAATTAATGAAAACAACAGGCAAAATTAATGGAAATCATAAATTTAACATGGAAAAGTCCCTAAAAAAACAGGCAATTTTGCCTGTTGCCTGTGGCTTATAAAACCCCTGCAAGGTCTCATTTTTTACCTATTTTCAGTATTTTGACGAAAGTTGAATTTTAGCCAAATGGATCCGAATGTTGCATTTTTAGATTCATATGGATTTTCAACTTGGTGTAGTATAAATTGTAATTTTTATTGTGTCTAAATAGTTTGTGAATTAAGATGGAATGAGGTTGAGATGGTGCAGTGCCAAGATTTCTATATACGGGTCATTGACTCCCTAACTTCATGTATCTTGCTGATCATTCTGTATTCTCATAAGATAACTGGAAGAAAGTACTATCTTTAGGTTGAAAATGGATTATATAATATGATTAATTATGCCTTTGGAGGAAAATTGATTAAAATTGATCTTGATTAAATATGTGATTGTTAATTCATACTTCATATTTAGATTAAAGTGTAAATATAGACTACTCAGTAGCTGAAGGAGGTAATTATGATCATGTATCATGATGATATGTAAATAACCACTTGTTAATCTGATTCCCTTAAACTTGTTAGCACATTTGATAAGTATGCACTTAACAGATTAATTACACCAATAAATATTCATGAACTGAAACTTACAAAAGCCAAAATGTCTGCCCTGTGATGTAAATTTAAGTTGTTGCAAAATCAAGTTTTGTAAGGTCAAGATTGAAGCCATAGGAATTTATTCCAGTATTGTAAACCATGGTATCTCTTTCCATCTCAAGTATGAGGTATCAGGCTTTGGTTAGAAAGAGGAAGATATAGTGAGCATTTATAGTGAGGGATTTATTTCTTGGAATGTATAATTAAAAACTCGCCAATAATTATCATGTGATATCATTTCTGTTATTTTTTGTTGCATCGGGAAAAGAAACTGGGAAATTACTAAGAAAACATATTACTAAAAGTATGTATAGATTGATAAAAGATAAGAATAATTGTTTTTCTAAAAAAAGAAACTGCAAGAAATCAATTTTCCCAGATGGCCTGGCCCATTTGTTATGTCCACATCCATATTTATTAATTGCTCACATGGTGAGCTATTGCATGCAATCACTCATTTGGCCATCTTTCTGTTTGTCAATTCATGTCTGTCAACAATAGTGACACGTTGTATAACCTCTTCCTACGAACGACCCTTGTATATAGACCATAGGCGTAGCCAGGGGTTGGGGATGCGATGTAACCAATAACCTTGTATAACCATGAGATAGAAGAAGAAAAGAGCTTTAAATTGCTTTTTATTTGAAACTTCTAGCTCAGATTTGAAGGAAGTTGCATCAATATTTGTAAAATTCAAGATAAATCTTATTTTTTGGCTTGTTTATGCCACAATCGCACACCTCCCCCTGGGTGAAAACTGAAAATATTTTGGTGATTGCACCCCCGATTTTTTTTGACACGACAATCTCGGGATCATATCTCGATCAAATAGTAAGTGATGACAATTTGCATTTTAATGCCTTGTTTGAAGTCGTATTGATACAAAAAAGCCATATGACTGGAGGTTCAAAGGCTCGGCTGTTTTCAAAATCACCGCTGCTTCTATTAGAGAGAATTAACATTTTATACTCATGCTCTGTTTGGTCCTAATACCTCAAAATATTATCAATAAGTAGAAATAATAGCAAGGTTTCCGATTTAGACGTTAGATAAATTAGCAAGTTACACGTTCATCAATTTCTGCTAAAACATTCCATTGAAATAATGTAGGGGCTGAAAATCATAAAGCAACTAAAAGTGACATCCTGCACCAACCTGGTCAACCCCAATGTCATGCTATGTCTGTATTTCAAATTCAGTTTCTGGATCATTTCCTGGACAATGTAAAAGAAACAAATGAGTTGTTTTGAGAGGCATCTGGTGCTACTAAACACCTGATAATCCTAACACTGGGAAGTTTTGCTGATCTTTTCACCCCAGAATACTAGAATGGAACTTGATCTTCCCCAATTCTCCAAGATATGAGAGATGGGGTTTTCAACACTTGATGGATAATGTTCAGTGAAACAGGATTTCATATTTTGACTTTTGCTGTTAAGCCACAAATGTAGCTCAGATATATACATGTACTCTTGACTCATGCTTGTAAAGTTGAAATACCACTAAGGTGTTGATAGATGATACCCTCATAACTGTCACTTCCAGGAATGAATATTTATAAAGTAATTTGAATAAAACTTCCAAAATAAATCAGTGAAGTTTATAATTTGATAAGCAATCAATTTCTAATTTCCATCATTGTGAGATCCACAGTATCTACTTTCACTTGGAATAAAGCTTTAGATAAAGAGAGACTCTGATAATCAGAATGCATTTCCATAGTTTCATGCTTACTTAAAGTGGCAACAAAGACTAGATACCAGATGAGAGTAGTTTTCTAAACAATTTTCACAATTTTGAGCATTTTTTGCAATATAGCATTCCACATCATAAGCTCATTCTCTGTCAGTTTTCTTTCTAGAAACAAATAACGTACTGCATAATAAGAAGATGTAATAAGTATCAGATTGGGAGACAAGAACAGACAAAACAACAACAGTAAACAAATCATTCCACATGACATGACGATTGAAACAAATGTTTGGATTAAACATCCCAAATGTAACATGTAAAAAGACTGATGATAAAACATCTTTTTCAGAGCTATTCAGGACTTTGAAATACCCAAAGTTTTCAAAAATGAAAATATATTCTTCAAAATGATACCGGACACAAAACAATAGATTTAAAACACGAAGATAGTACGATAAGGGATGATGTGAAATGTGAACATAATATGGGGTAGGCTTTCTCCAAGATTAAAACATGTTGATATGTATATGTATGGTGTTTGTCTGATCTTTCACTCATGTATATGTAAAATACACAGAGTGAAATGAAATCTGATATCTGGTATGCTCTGAATTGACAGATTTGCACCAACTGTCATCAGTAGTAGCTAATGTTATTGTAAAAAGAAGAGAATAAAAAACTATAGTATGAAATTTAATATGGATGTGTATAGAAAGGTACAGTCTTATTGGGATCCCTTTAAGGACTTAGAAAATTTCATGAAAACGCAATTATAGATTTTTGAAAAAAAAGTTCAAAATATTCTTGACTGATATGTGTATTTTCATTTTCTTGAAAAATATAGTGAATATTTTTGTAAAAAATATGATTTCTGGCCCATTTCTGTAACCACTCCCATCATGGCAGATTATTTGTGAAATCTAGTGTTCTTTAGAAAATGTAGTAAATAAAGCCTTAAAAACAATTTTCAAGTATTATTTAAGTGAATTATGCATAATGTAATCCCTACTGAAATGTATCCAGCAGATTTATGTGTGATGATGCATGATATGTGGCATAAAAAGGGATTATAATCCAGACCCCCATTATTTACCCTTCTCAATTGAATAGAACCATGGTTCATTGAATGGACAAATTCACTGTGAGCTATGTTCTCCACCACTTTTATTTTTAGCTGTGCAGATGTAAAATTGAATTAGGCAACATTTTCAGTTGCAAAAAAAGTGGTGGAGAACATAGCTCATATAGTTTTTTGGACTTCTTTGGTATTTTTTCTAAAACATTTCTGCCACCATTTTGGATACAATGCCACCTATTTGGGAGTTGCCAGACATGAAGGCTATCAATTTTCAAAAGATTTTCTAGGTGACTCTCTCCATGATGCCAAAGGCTTGCCTTTATCCTAGGATAGTGATACTGACATGGAATAGTTTTAAAATAACTAAAATATATGTTAGGGGTTGGGTCAAAATATCGATGTCAATCGAAAAAGGTAATTAATTTCATTAGGGGGAGGGGGTCAAACACTGATTTCATTAGGTGACGGACATCGATTTTCGTTTTCCTAGGAATTTCAATTTTCAAGATTTTTGGTTTTGTTACAAGGGGAAGGGGGGGGGGGGGTGGTTTAGACCTAAATAAGTTAATTACGTTTTTTTGATGGACATCGATATTTTGATCCGACCCCTTAGAAACTGTACATTCAACTTTCAGCAACTGTACCTATTGGTATCCATAGTAATTCAATAAATACTAATATGTTGTATCAAAGCTTTAAAATATTAATATCAAATATATTACAATACAATATTTTGACAGTATACCAGTACATGTATTTTGACTAAAACATTTTCAAACATTTTCTTTGTGTTAAGTATGGTGTAAATGCTACTCAAAGGCTATTAAGATACCTATTCCCCATGGAAATAAATGTAAAGTCAGGTTTAACTTATGATTTTATTTTATTTAGGTATGTTTAAGGAAATTACTTGATCATTAGATTGATTTTACAAACTTGACCTTTTTGCACCCAGTGACCTCATTGGCTCATCATTTGACCTTAATTTTGAAATATTATTGTGAAGTACATTTGTGAGGATACTCTAGATGCAAAATAAATTTGATTCTGATGGGGGCAGAAAAGGGGGTCTGTTGGGACGGTACCTTTGTTATGAAGTTTGCTTTAGGGTAACCCAGAATGGTTTATTGTGAAGTTTCCAATGTGTTTATACGTATTATATGTTTCATTTACCATGTGGATGTTTCCAAAAAGGGATGAGTGAATTTTAGATAAAGGCAGAACTCTATGTGAAAGTCTAACTGGGGTTACTTGATCAATAGTTGGTTGCCTGATCTAGATCAGACTATATAGGAAGACTGACTAATGTGTCACGCCATAATATTTTTAATAGCAAATATATATCTAATTATAACATAACTATTTTTCGTCTTATTTGAAGTTCCTTGTTCAGTTTCGGATATAGTGTTCTCGAAATGAGACATAAATGAGTATCATGTACTTAAGATGCAGTTCAAAAAAGAAAATTGAAATATGCCCTCTTCAAAAACTCTAACTTAAAGCACCAAGCAAATTAGTATTGGTTCAACCAGGAATCGAACCTAGGCAATTGCATTGTGGTTACATAAATGTGCTATCATTGATGCATCATTCTACATGGGTAGGGGTGGGAGGTTTGACAAAATAAATAAATAAAATTTCCCAACCCTTGGAGCAATAATCTGGTCAAATAAAGTCAATATTCCTTTTATTGGGAATATGCATTTCAAAAGTGCCCAGGAGGAAGTACAATGTCAAAATCCCACCCCTGGGACAATTTTGTATGTCAGATTTTGGATGCTTCACATATGATTGGGGGGATCTCACATAAACCTTTCAATGGTGCATGGCTACAGAGGTGCACTTGGACTTATGTTTTTCCTGGACCTTCATTCATCTTGGATCTTGGTGCTCTGCTATTCTTTGATATATTATTGCTAGCTACATCATATGTTGTTTTGATTTTCTATTTTTAACTTGTTTATTTGATTTCAGGTAAAAACTAATAAAGAAGATATAGATAATTTAAAAAATAATGGAGGGGTAAGTTGTGATATTTTTATTTTGTATGTCATTCTTAAAAATGATATTTGGAGTTTCTAACTTTTGAAAATAAAATATGATGTTTGATGACAACATTTGCATTGTTTCATTAAATGTTTTCTAAGATGTAAATATATCACTTATGTTTAGTGTATGGTCTACTTGAGCCTTTATTTTCTTTACTTTCACATTTTTACTCTAACTTTAGATATGTTTCAACATGTAGATCCCACTAATCTCAAAAGAATACAATAAATACAGGCCAGAATTGTTGACATAAAATGCTGGTATTTTATTGTTTAATTGTAGAGCAATTTAGAGACTCGGGTCCAGAGTTTAGAGCAGAGCTTAGCTAACCTACAGCCCACTGGGAGTGTTCTACAACAACTCAATGAGCTCACGTCGCAAATTGCTGCACTCTCAACAAGGGTAAGGACAGTACTTTGAACTTTGGCTTCCATGCTCTCAGTGTATTATCTTTATGGTGCCTCGGTCAAGTCTGTTAATGCCATTATGGAGGTGTTGTTTAAAATATTGTTCAGTTATGAAAATTCTTTGATTTCATCATCATGTGAAATGGCTAAGCACATTGTTGCATATCAGAATTTATGTAATATTACAAAACCGATACAAGTTTGCATATCCCAAATACGTTATAATGTTTTATTCTTTCTTGTGTCCTTCACTTGTACTTTTTTAAGGTTTATGTATTTGCAATATGAACTTACTGCTTATTACATACTAGGAAGGTAAATCAATACATTACTGGCCCCCCTCATCAGGGCTTTCATATGATTCAACAACAATGTGGAATTTAGTCTTGCAAAACAAGACTCTTAAAAGGCTCAGATGCTGGACAAAGCATCCTCAAATTCTCCTTATCAACTCCAAGGAAAAAATAATCAATCAACAGTAATTGATATTTAGTGTTTCAATACATGGATATTTTCCAAATTATGAAGAAGGTTTCAGCTAGATATATTAAAAATGAAAAATAGCATTTTTGTATGTACTCAATAAATCAGCTGGTTCAATGTTGTATTTCAATTATAATTTTGACCTTATAGGTTAGCTCTTTAGAATCTGGTAGTGGTGGAGATGCAACTTTAGCTGAGAAGGTATAAGTTGCAGAATGACATGATCATTGTAAACCTTTTTTACTTCCAATTTACCTACAGTGAATTGGCCTCTTCAAAAATCTAAATCTTGATATACATATATTGTTAATGCATGTATTTCTATGATACAGGACTATCTGAACTTCATAAATATAAGTCTTTCTCCCCAACATCTGTAGTGTAATTTAATAATTTCTTTGTGTAGAAAATTCCAAAGGAGTGTACAGTAGAACACCGCTGTTAGTGGAACACCTCTAGAATTGTAACACCTCTAGAAGTAGAATACCTCTAGAAGAGGAACATCTCTGTCTTTTTGTTAAATGAACATTTAGAAATGGAACACCTCCCAAGTGGATCACTTTTTATTACACATACCAAAGTTGTTCCACCTAGAAAGGATTTACTGTACATGATATTGATGTCATTCAGTTTGAAGATATTGTAACTTCTGATGAATATTTCAAGTCATTCAATACCCTTATCCCTGTTAAGTTTATGTTAGTTAAGAATATAGTATGGATTGCAATAGATGCTGACTCTGCACCATGTTATTGGTGCATCTCAGTCCATTTATGTCTGTAAGTACCTTTCTTCATCCAGCCTTAAATACATCGTGCTATATTGTAGAAACAAACCCTGAAATCACATTTATCTTTCACGGAACATGTCTCTCTGTGTATATCTACACATCAGTGACACATTTATAATTCTTTACAGCAATTTGAATTTTTTCATTTCTTAATAGGGCCTTTAAAGTCTTCAATTGTCCCAGATAAGAAGTTGCATCTTTAAAGGTGGCCACTTTTATTTCCAAAAATCAGGGTTCATCGTGTGAGCCCAGTACCCATGGTACTATTCATGATATTTCATTTTCAGGAAATACACCAAGTATGAAGCCTTATGATAACTGATTCTACTTTTACAGGATAATATGAAATGTATATTGTTACATGTACAATGTATTATATTTTCTCAAAAATAATTGCAAGATAACGAAACATTACTAGTCTGGTTATGTACTGCAACATCCTCATTGATGTGTACCAGTATTTGAGAAGGTTTTTCATAGAATATGCTACACTACTCATACTTGTATATGTTGAAAGAACATATAATACATAATACATTCCCCATAAATATTTATGATTGTTAAACAATGGTGAGTGAGAGTATTAAGTGGTAAATGTTTTCAGTTCTAAAACTTATACAAATGAGAGAATCTAGCATACAATACATTCATATTCTTCATAACAAATCCTGTATATGTTTTAGAAACAAGACGATAATGATACATGTTCAGTATTTATCTTTTATTGACTCTTATCATATCACATGACCAAACAAATGCCTAGTTTCATAATCTCCAGGATCCACCTCAATTTTTTTATCAACAGATTTTATTGCAATTGATTCGAATAAGTACATGTCAAAAATGAGGTACCCATTCACCAGTGGCATAATAGGTGTCACCTCAATCATCGAGCATTAATTGCTGGTGGTAGCACCCATGTTGTACCCAAGTTTATTATATAGTATCTTGCATTGTATGATTAGGTGGAAAATTTAGAGAATGCTCCAACAGCCAGTCCCGGAGGAGGTGCTGACCTGAGGAGAACCAAAAGACGGGTATATACATACAAGATATTGAGTATATTACCAGAAGACTCCTGGAGCTTAAAATTCCTAAGTCTATCAGAGTTTTACTATGACATCATGATTTCCATGTTAACAAAAATGTTCAAAATAGATGCAGGAATTTTTTAGCTAAGAATGTTCTGGTAATTTATGCCTGGTTGCCAAATCACTGGCAGGTGATTCTCTTCAATTTGATGTGATCATTTCAACTGCTTTGCCCTTTTCTGGATACCAGGTTTCCAAACTCACCACCAGGTGGCTGAGGCCTTAATGAAGTGAACTTAGGGAGAATGAATTACCTGAAAAAGTGGCTGATACTCAAACCACAAAGTGGACCCTTAGCAAGTGGTGCATCTATCAGATTAGCTCCCATCCCCTTCAAACACAAAAGTTGGGCAAAATTGGTAGTAGGGGGGATTCATTTCAGTAAAGTATCTACATCATCATATGAAAAAAGAAAAACGCAATATATGAAAACATTATTTAGACAAAATATACCCCAGCAGTGCTAACAGCCGACATATCAAACTGAAGATTTTGATCTGACAAGTGAAAGAAACTAGGATAATTTTGCATGTGCATTGTGATTTTTTTAGGAAACTGAATGGCTCTGAATGATTTATGAAAATTGAATCTACAATATATATATATATATATGAAAATTACATGTAAAGGATGCTGAACCTTTGTGTTCTAGGGTCGCCTTAGTTTAGGATTATAAAATTAAAAATGTGCTGCATTTTGATATAATATGCCATGAATAAATATTCTTCCCAAAACTTATTTTTTAACAAACATTACAATGCATGTCAGCCTGGTCACATTTGATTTAACTAATAATGTACTGAATCTTTACTTGGAAAGCTTGGTGAATAACAGGTTTTGAAGAGGGTAAGTTTTTGATTTCACATGATTGTGTTTGTTTGGTATATGGGTGCCGTTATTTATGGCTAATGTTTTGGTGTTGCTTTTCACATTTATTATTGTAAGCATTCCATGTGGAGCTAATGGGTTGTTCTGTAAAGGGATTTTAATTAGATATATTTGTTTGAAAAACCTAATTTGCTTTGACATCATGAAATGAGATTTTGAAGTAATAGGCAAAATGAAATGAATTATTCTAATATAGGGCTGGCACGGAACGGAATTATTGTCTGAACCATCCGATTTTACCTTAATTGTTTTCTGTACACTTGCCAACACTTGTGTATTAGTTAATAGCTATATGAACTGAACATTGTGAACATTAGGTCTGAAATTTCAGAGTTTTGAAGGCAATCTAAAATCCGTTACAATTCTGTCACATTCCGTGCCAGCCCTACCTCAGTTCATTATGTCTCAGTCTAGCCTTGAATTATTACTTTGCATTTAAGCACATAGAAGTCGAGGCAGTTATTTTTGATGATGTACAAATATAATGACCTGTGCAGAATACTGGCACATCATGGACTTTGTGGATTTATTGTTTAACCCTTTCACAATGATAGGCTCCATATGGAGCCTTATTACCTAATACCTTTCTGGACGAAAGGCTCCTTTTGGTTACACTATTTTTATTTTAATACATCAATGAAATGACATTATCCAGTTCTATTCAGTATTTTTACACCAAATTTTGACAAGTTGTTGACATGATAATGCTTATTAAGTGTATTTTAGTGATAAAATTTAAAGTATAGGTCCCGGGGTATACGTCATTTCCAGTTTTAACCTAAAAACTGTTCTTACCTTTCCGTCACCAAGCCATATAAAGCATATGTAAAGCAATAGGTATTGTGATGCCACATATCATATTAGAATCATGAATAAATTGAATAACTAATTTGTATTTTATATTTTATTAGGGTTTGGAGTTGTTATATTAATATTTGTTTACATAATACTTAGTTATGAAAGTATTGCATGGCTTTGCTTCATTTCCTTAATAACAATGAATAACTGATGGATATTATGTCTTAATTTTCAATATAATGAAAAGAAGAAAAGATCTGTCCATGCTTCTTTGACTGATATATTTCTCTGTGCTTGATATCCATCAGTTATCACTCAATGTACCTTGCTGCATGTACACTGCTATAACCCAATTCTCTATATGGGATCACATCTTCTATATGGGATCACATTAACCATAAAACATGTTGGACTACGTATAAAGTTAATTTTATCCATACTCGAATCCCTTTGTTAGTTTAAAGTTAGTTTATTTCAAATATTAATGACTTTATGTAACAATAGCTTCTAAATTGCCCGAAATTAAATATTAAAGTTTGTGTCTTAACTTATTTTGAGAGATTTTATAAGATGGCTATTACAGGGTGTCCCATAGTAAACGAAACTGGTCCTCGAACAGTTTCAGATAACTCACATTCCTCAAATGTTAAATATTCTCACAATTGAAGTCTCTCGACACACCTGATCATATGAAGAACTAGTAATATATTATTAAGAATAAATAGAGTACAATAAAATAAAAACATTCTTGAAAATGAAAAAGAATGATATGATGATATATAAATATTTTTTACTTATTTTTTAGGTCCGAACTTTAGAAACTCAAGTGGCAAGGTTAAATACGGTAAGTGCCTTATTGTGTCACAACCAGAAAGTGGTGACATATTGTTATAATCTTTAACTTTTTGATAGATGGTGTTTTGGTGTTAGGTGTTCAATGTCTGTTTTAAATGGTAGGTTGTGACATTTTGCATTTTTATGCCGTCTGTTTTGTAATGTGCAGACATTTGAGGTACATAGAAATCTTCTCTTTTTAACATTTCCTTGGACTACTAAATAGAATCATCTCTTCAAATGATAATGAATGAGATTTTGATTGGGAAATTAGTTCAATCAATGGATTAATATAAACTGAAAGAAACAGGAAATAATTGAGGATTGTGTTTTATCAATGGCTTATTTTGTATTAAACTGAATCAAAATATTTTTTCATGGTAAATATGTATTGAGTATGATTAAAACAACCAAGTGTCTAGCTATAATACTCTAATTCCATTTTTAAGGTATTTTGACATCAACTATTGTATGAAAGTTCTATTAAGCGTACAATTAGTTATGAAATTTATCTACATATGACAACAAAAGATTCAGAATCTTACCAAAAGCCATATTTGAAATCTGTAAATACAAGCAAAAATGCAACAATTCCAAAATACAACATTTCATTTCATTTTTTTTTTATCTCAACATGGAATTGATTTTGCCCCTTATAATATGTAATCTGAGTGTCATTTTACTTTACATGTTTTAGCTTCTGTCCAGCAATGAATGCCAGAGCAACCCATGTAGGAATGGAGGAACCTGTGTGGACCAGTTCAATAGCTTCTTCTGCAGATGTCCAAGCAACTGGCAGGTAGGTCCTAATGTCAAATAGTTAATGTACGTATATGTACAATCATCAAGATCTCAGTCTTCTACGATAATAGTGAAAAAATATTAAATTGTGTGCAGATTTGTGAAGTGTTTTTGAGATTTAAAAATTCATGAAGTATAAAAATCAAAATTACACAGTAGATGCAAAATTATGAAATGTTGCTATTTGCCAGGGTGTTACATGCGACCAGGATGTGAATGAGTGCGCAATCTATGCAGGAACAGACTTGGGTTGTCAAAATGGAGCCACATGTATTAACACAAATGGAGGTTACACGTAAGTTTGCATACATTTGCTCTGTATTACATGTGTAGATTCCACATTTAGCTTTTCACTTGCCTACAAGAGAAATATGAAGTTGAGTTGCATCTCTGTTTTCTGATGTTCTTGATGTTAGTGTACTTCTGTTGTTATATCTGTATGGGTTGATTCATGTATAGGTGTCAGTAAAGTAGGTATAATTAAAAGAATAAGCACCTTTTCACTTCATGTCTTGTACTTGGCTTTTGCCTTTGAAACTGTCCTGGCATGATATATTGTCCTACATAGACTATACATATAAATATTAACCTATTGGTATATATTGTGTAGTTGCCAATGTACTGCCAACTGGAATGGTATTCGCTGTACAGAGAGCCATGATGATTGTACAGGGGCTTCTAATGAGGCACTCTGTGGCCATGGGACCTGTGTCAACACTCCCAGGGTGCAACCCGGACTGGTAGGCATTAATGAATACTAAAGTAACTCAAAATACTCCATTTTGATTGATTAGAAAGCGATACCAGTAATTTATTTGGCAATACATTATCATATTGGTAAATCAAAATGAAAAATGGTTGAATATTAAACCACCAACAACATAAGTACATCTCGACCAAAACATAATGAAACCTTCATCAATGTCATATATGCACTGTTATATGATTTGGTAGTCTTTCCTAGCCTAAACCCTATATATGAAAGTTAATCATTGCTGTTCATTCTTAGGTATTTAATGAATAATAATTGAAATTTATTTCAGCCAAAATACAAATGTATTTGTAATGAAGGCTGGACGACTGATGGTTCAAACCCTGCATGTACCACTGATGTAGATGAATGTAGTGGGAACACACCTAGATGTTCTGTTGACCCACCTGTCAGGTGTATTAATCTACCTGGAACTTTTATCTGTGAATCCTGTCCAGCAGGTAAATAGAAATTTATGATAAATTGCTCAAAAAATAGAATACAGGAACTACTATGTGTTTGTTTATCTTTCTTTTGATTTGTTGATTGATTTTTGACATGCTTGTTGATTTTTCAATGTGCTCATAATTCTTTGATATGTTGACTGATTCGTTGACATGATGATGATCTGTAGTTTCCGTAGATTTCAGTTCCCAATAGCCTTGCTCAAGCCAGTATTTTTACAAGTACATAGAAATATTTATATACAAATACATATATGCTGTACTTAATTTTAGGGTATTCTGGGAATGGTTATGCATGTGTGGATATCAATGAATGTCTTACCAACAATGGAGGTTGTTCCCAGGCACCCAGAGTGGAATGCATCAACACACCAGGCTCTAGAAGATGCGGTGCATGTCCTCAAGGTAAAAGGAGTATCATGGAAACAATTGAGACAATATTCTTGGTTGTATATTTGGCTCGCTTATATTCAAATTTCTCATATACATGTGCCTTGGATTTGACTGAGGAGAGATAATAATTAAATAATTAAAGCAAGGCATCTGGCTTATATTTAAAAGAAATGCTAATGAACAAGCTAAATTCAATTCAATTTTCAAATTTCAAAATTGAGTCAAACTCTTGTGTTTTTTGATAGCACTTGTTGACTATGAGTATTGAGTAAACTAATGATTATTTGCTAGTTATGCTAATTAATGTATTGCATGTATCCAAGCTATAGCTCATTTACTGTATTGAACTTACAGGATATGAAGGTGATGGTGTAACATGTATCTGGCGGGGCATTTGTAGTGTCAACAATGGAGGATGTTACCCAACAGCCTCTTGTTCCGAGAGTCCCAGTGAGTATAATTGTGCCCGATACTCATTTTTGCACACAATTTTAATTTTAGTTTACTTCTAATCACAATTTGACTGTGTGATCATCAACATCATATATATGTTTGAGTAAACTAGCATCAAAGAAGGACAATGCTAGATTAGGCGCCTTTTCCAAAATCGAATGCACCATTCTTACGAGGAAAATGTCTGGATGTTGATAAAATTTTGATTTGACCAGAGATGATTAAAAGATGTATATACTCTCATGAATCAGAGTCAATTGTGGACAATTTTTATTCCAAAGATGGAAATGTTTCTCAATTAAGATTTGATACATTTAGATTTGGATGGCAGGACATGTACCTGTCCCCCAGGCTATATTGGCAATGGTGTGGGCAACAGTGGTTGTGTACAACAAGGGGGTGGTGGTACAACTGATGCTTGCTCTAATAACCCTTGTGAGCATGGACGTTGCCAGGTATGAACACTATATTTCATTCTAATTCTAATTTACTGCAGTTGACCTTTGTTTAATGAAGTTGGTTTGATCTTTTTTGAGCAAAATCAGTTCCTCATTTTTAAGCTTTTGAAGGGTTTAATGTATGACCCCATCTTAATGATTAGCAGCAATTTGATTATCTAAGATGGTCCGTTTTGGTATTTTATAAACAGAAATGGCTTATTAAGCTTAAATTTACCTTGTAAACTTGAACACTTTTTAGAATACAACTATTGAGTGAGAGTTTGACATTAATAGTGAAATCTAAAAAAAACTGATAATTTTCATACAAAAGCACCCGAAACCTTCTGCCATTGTAATCATTAATATTTACCTATACAGGTTAGTGGGAGCTCCTATGTTTGCAATTGTGACCCTGGTTTCACTGGGACTCGCTGCACCATTAACATTGATGAGTGTCAGAGCCAACCCTGCCAGAATGGAGGTACATGTATTGATGGAGTGAATGCCTATAGATGTCGCTGTACTAGCTCATTCACAGGAACCAACTGTGAGGAGGCCCAAGAAAGTAAGTTCCTAATAAATTTATCTAGTCACTCTTGGGATATATACCTTGGTGTAAGCTGTACTTTATGTGGATGAGGCACTGATCTTGTGAGGCATGTGATAGCTGATAACATTCTTCTTTTCTAAATTGGCAACATCTGGGTGCAGATTGCTTCGTTTTTAAAATGATTTTGACCTCCAATTTCGATACATTGTTGCTTTGAGGTATGTTATAGAGGCAGTTTCATCATGTAGTGTTTCCTCAAATCTCCTGATATTGTTTATAGCATGCGGTGGTAGACTGGATGGGGACAGTGGCTCATTCCGCTACCCACGGACTAGTGGCACCAACTACCCACATAGTGTCAGCTGTGCATGGGTTATTACAGTCTCTACAAATAAGGTATGTTACTGTTTAGGGGTGAGACGAGTCGAAAAAATCCGATTCGAGTTTAATCCGATTCGAGTCAGAAAATGACGATTCGAGTTTCGAATCCGTTTCGAGTCAGATAAAGTGCGAACAACATCGCTTTTGACTGTTCGTATTTTTAATGCGTCAATGGTGGAAAGCCGGAAATATAAACAAACACAATTCGTCGTAAGTTTATTCTGATTTTATTACATATATTCTTTCATTTATGTGTACATACAATATGATAATTTAATACAAGCATATCCAAGTCATTGAAACTTATATATTCAACGCAATATCGAGTAAAAACAAGCATATTGACAGTATTTTTCTGAATTTTTTTATTTTTTCGAATTTATTTCTCAACTCGAAAATGATTCGATTCATCAACTTCGACTCGATTCGACTCGACTCGAAGCCCCAAACCCGCGAGTCCTCGACTCATCGGGTTGTCGTCTCACCCCTATTACTGTTAGGTTTGATTTAATTTTGAAAAGAAACAAGCAAAAAAACATACTTTGGTGTCAGTTAAAGCTTAACAAGAAACTTGCTTTGTTAGGGTGGGGGTCAAGGTGTATGTGACCTGGTTCTATAGATGTGACTGGGGAATATAAGAGGAGACCTTACTACTCTTTTGAGGAGTGGGTTATTAAGGAGTGGGTATGGGAAATGGTTTTCATGAGCAAGTAGTAATAAAGAAGTTGAATGGATATTTGAAACTTAACTTGGGGCTTTTAAAGAAAGCTTTAGTAAAAAACTTAATTCTAGATATTTTACAATTTCTATTTTTGTACAGATCATCATGGTGTCATTCAACAGTTTCAACATAGAATACCATGCAAACTGCGACTATGATTTTCTACAAATCAATGATGGACCATCTGCATCATCTCATCCTATTGGAAAGTTCTGTGGGACCCAATCACCCATTAATGGCCAGGGATTCAACAGCACTCATAATCAGCTTTATTTCTGGTTCCGCTCTGATGCCTCTGTAGCTAGTGATGGATTCGAGGTCTCTTGGACATCGGCAAACCCAGGTTAGTGTTCAAAATATATATGTAGATAGTCAAAAGTTAGCTTGAATACCTATAAAATATTTAGGAAGAATACTAACCATGAACTCAAAATTGCTACATCATTTATAATATTGATAATTCACTTGAATCGATTAATCAATAAAACTCATAAACTTATACACTACACTTTTTACTTGGTAACTCTTTATTTTCTATTTGCCCAATAATATGACATGTATAGTTTATTGTATTTCTTAATTTATTGAAAAAGAATTCTAAAAGCCACCATATATTTTATGTTTTCAGTTTGTGGAGGTGACTTAATAGGTTCAGACCATGGTTCTATCAACAGTCCAGGTTACCCTGGCAACTACCCTAACAACAGAGATTGTGTTTGGACAGTGTCTGTGTCACCAGGGTATATCATTCAGTTCAGCTTCGCAACACTCAGTCTAGAACACCATGAAACATGCGATTATGATTACATTGAGGTATGCACTTTTCAAAATTCAATACACATTTCAAGTCAAATGTGTACTATGTTAAGTTTAGCTACATTTGTTTTTGGTGTATCAAAGTTCATTTCCATATGTGTGCTACAAATGAACAAAAATTATAAACTTACTGATAATTATTTGAGCATTCTCTAGAAAACACTAAAATTGAAGTAATTTAGAATTTATATTTTTGTACATTATGCTAGATTCGAGATGGCCTTCTTGATACAGACTCCCAGCTTGCTAAATACTGCAGCACCCAGGACCCTGCCCCCCTGTCAACCACAGGGCCTTATGCATGGATCAAGTTCCATTCTGACGCCTCAGAGACAGATCGTGGCTTTCACATTACATATGCCGCCAACCAAGGTATGTGTTTGTAGGTTATGAAATAAAGAAGTAAAGTAAAAGTGCACATCTCAAATAAAAACCACAGCTAATGTAAAAAGTAAAGAAGATTAAACAGAAACCAGTGGTAAAATTTTACCCTTCAGTTTCATTTGACTTTGCTTCTTAAAAGAGAGTTTCATTACTTCTAACTAACCTCTAAGAGATTTAAAAAATGAGAGATCAATTAGAAAACAGAAAAGATTATTTGTATACACAGGTTGTCTCAAAAAATTAATTCATGTTTATATCCATTGGTATATTATTAAACATATCTATGCGATACTAAAGACTAAAGAGACAACTTGAATATAAAGCTGATCTTTTTGAAATACCCTGAAATTATAGAAATTTTTCTGAGAATTGTTATTATACAGTCTAAAGCATATGTATGATATTTGTTTTTCTAGCTCCCAGTGGTTGTGGAGGAGCTTTCACTGAGGAATCTGGTGTGGTGATCTCTCCCAACTACCCCAACCCCTATCCCCATGACGCCCAATGTGTCTGGACAATAACAGGACCAGAGAGTGAGAAACTTAAACTGATCTGGACCAACATGGACCTAGAGGACCATTCTGGATGTAGCTGGGACTATGTTGAGGTACAGTATAATGCTTTCATAAGATTCTTACAAATATCAGTACAGTATGTAAGTGAATTCATATGATTTGTTCATTGTAATTCTAAACAATATTGATTGCATAAAGTTGACAAAAAATGAGATCAAGAAAAATCAAACTAGATTGTAGTAGACCAACTTAACAGATTTTACTTACGGATTTGATAAGTACATCGTACAATGGTCCCATACTGAATATAAATGATACATTTTTTGACTCGCATCGAATTGCCCACTCATCCATATGGCTTCTACCAAATGGTGTCATTTTAAAATGCAGATGTGATATCACTTATTCCACTGACAGAAATAATAATGGAATAATAACAACATATTTTAGCTTCGAGATGGTGCTGATGAGACAGCTGACTTTGTTGGTAGATATTGTGGCACTACAGTCCCTGCACCTTTCACATCTAACAGCAACACGCTGTGGCTCAAGTTTAAATCGGATGCCTCTAATAGACAGAGTGGATTTAGGGCAACATGGGAAACAGGTAGGAAATCCTCCAGGTGAAGGACACCACTTAAATTTTAGAGTACTATAGAACACCTAAAAGCAGGATTGCAAGGAGGTGGAGCTGATATGAATGGACCATGTCCACTCTTTTAAGAAGGTGGCATCTTATCATATTTTATTCTATTAGGGGCCTCTCATTGCTGATTATATATGACTTCTAAATGCCATTTATCTGGAATGCGTCCTAATCTGGAAGTAATAGGATGGTGACATCCTCCAAATATCAGATTTAATTTTTTGAATGAAATCTACCCTCATTGTTCATCATTGAACTATGGAGAACTTAAATATGGGTTAACCATTCTATGTTTGTAGCATGTGGAGGTACATTTTCTCAGCCTACGGGAGAGCTAGTGTCCCCCTATTTCCCAGGAAACTACCCCAGTGAGAAAACCTGCACATATCTCATAGACCAGCCTGTTGGCTACACTATCACCTTGACCTTTGTCACCTTTGACATTGAAGGCCATGAGACCTGTAATTATGACTTTTTAGAGGTAAGGCACAGAGAAATGTTTTTATGAACAAATGAAGTAAATACTGTGGTAGTTGGTTGATGTATGCAAATAGTGCATTATTTAGCAGATGATATCTGTTCGATACTCAATCATTCTGTATGATATCAGATAACATTAGATTGCATGTTGTTTTCATTTGTATGATTTTTTTTATTCATTATTTCCTAACAAATCCTGAGTGGAAAGTTACAGCTTTCACCCTTAAGGTGCCCTTAACAAGTTTGTCCATTCACCACATTACATATGTTATCTTGTAGGTTAGAAATGGAGCCTCAGCTGAAGGCTCTCTTATAGGTACATATTGTGGTGCCACTGCTCCTGCACCTATAGTGTCCACTGCTAACAGTCTTTGGCTGAAGTTCCAGTCAGATGGCAGTGTACAGAACAATGGATTCAAGGCTACATATACAACCAATGATAATGGAGGCACTGGATCAGGTATGTATATGTACTTGCACTGTACCAAAAGAAAAATATAAACGTAGAAACTTTGTCTGGGACTGTTGTGGCTCTTGTAATGATGAAATGTTCAAATTGAAAAATTATGAGTTTTCAGTTTGTTGTTTTTTATTCATTACTGTATAATCCTCCAATTCATTCCTTTAATTTAACTTCTTAATGGCTTGATAATCCCATTATTAATTTAGTTTACACATAAATTCAGATTTGTAAAAATAAATAAGGTTGGTGATCATTACCATGGTCTACATGATCTCTTACCATTTGTAGGATGTGGAGGAAGTTTGACAGAGAATGTTGGAGCTTTCCAGAGTCCAGGCCACCCTGATGTTTACCCACATGGAATACAGTGTGCCTGGTACATAACTGTGGCTGAGGGATTGGTCATACGACTAACTTTCAGTACATTTAGCCTGGAGGATCATTCCGACTGCAACTATGACTATGTGGAGGTCTATGACAATTCTACTACAACTGAAACTGGAGGATTGCTAGGAAGGTAAGTTTTTTTTATAGTTTATTATGTCACCATTAAAGTCTTCAATTTTTTTGCGGATAGTGTTAGGTGGTTGGGGTTTGGAGTTTGTCATCTGTAACAAATGCATGTTAATACATTGTCATAATTGTCATTATTTTTTCCTACACTAGATCTAGGTTTAGATCTATTGTACTTAAGGGTTTAGGGGTATCCTGGTACCTTCACTTTTTAAAGGTTTGGGACCATACATGTTCTAAGTTCTAATTATTTGAGTTATGGTCACCTAAAAATGATAAAAATCCATTCACGTGGGGCAATTTAAATCTCTTCCATTTTCAGGAGAGCATAAATCAATGATCTGATTTGTATCTAAACATACTGTACTAACATTTTTGTTATTTTCCCTTGTGCTGTAGGTATTGTGGGTCATCTACACCTCCTGTGCTGACATCAGCGGAGAATGTAATGACAGTGATCTTCCACTCAGATGCCAGTGTTGCACAACAAGGTTTCGCAGCATCTTACGTTGGTCTCAATGCAACTACATGTAAGTCTTTATTTTATATGAATAAATATGAAATGTAGAGAGAACTGTGCTAAAATATCTAATTTGTTGTGGCAGCATGTTAAAATGATATTATTTACTAAATATTGATATGTGTACATTATGTGCAGTAGTTTAGATCTCAAATTTTAGTTTATTGCAGCATGTCTAAATCATCTTCAAAACAGAAAATGAAACTAAATGTAAAACTATATCAAATATTGATATGTTTTATATGTACATTGTATATGCGAAAATGTTCTTGAGACATGTTATGTGATTGTAGTGTGTGGTGGAGACCTTACAGATGAGACAGGTCTGATAACAAGTCCTAACTACCCCAACAACTATTTCCACTCAAGAGAATGTGAGTGGACAATAGTGTTGTCCCAGGGCAAGCAGATCCTACTGAACATCACTGATTTCATCATGGAGAGCCATTCCAGCTGCAATTATGACTACCTCGAAATAAGGTACATGGTCTGTCATAAAAAGTAACATGTGCATTTATTTATATATAAATATTAAATTCTCTGGCTTAGCACAGGTAGATAGGTAGGAGGCATATCTGAACCTATTGAGAAAAATTATTTTTTATAGTCTGTACATGTATATATGATTTATATATGCCCATACATATCTGATCTTGAACTAGATCAGTTTGACTGTGTAGCTGCTGTAGTTCATAAAACAAGAATGATATAATAGTTGCATGAAGAATGTTCCACACACATTTTTCAATGGATTAATTTATTAATGAAAACAATATGGGTTACAAATTATAGAAATTAGGATTTTTACGACAAGCAATTTGTATATTTTAGAAATGGTGGCTATCATAGTTCTCCTTTGATTGGCAAGTATTGTGGTACACAGATAGAGCCAATCATCCGCTCAGATAGCAACAGAATGTACCTGAAGATGGTCACTGACTCCTCCCAGTCTGCGAGAGGCTTTCAGATCTATTACGATGGAACCACATCAGGTTAGTCAGTGTTTTGTACTTTTTAGTTTTAGTAAAAAACATTCTTACTTTTGCATAATTTGCCTTTTAAAGTAATATCAAAAACTTGTAAAAATGTGTCGATTTTTCATGATTTACAAGTTCCCAACTAAGTGCAAATTTATTTTCTGCTTTTAATTTCAAACTAATAATGTCAAAATTCTCTTTCTGCTTAAACATCGTGGATAACTGTTTGTGAATGTGCTTTACAGGATGCGGTGGATCACTGACAACCCCCACTGGTAGTTTTGTGTCCCCCAACTATCCCCTGGCCTATGGACACAATGCTGAATGCTACTGGACGATCACAGTAGCCAGAGGCAGTACTATCAATCTAGTCTTTGTAGACTTTGATATTGAGACTCACGGGACTTGTGCTTACGATTATGTTCAAGTTAGTATTGTATTACGTATTTGCCCCTCCCCGAACACTGTTTCTCAAAGCTTTTGTTCAAGAGATTATCGATGGGGGAGTCATAAGACTAAAATGTAACATTGGTTTTATGGATATCTGAATAAGGATTGCAAACTTTATTAAGAAAAAATAACTTTTGCATACTGGAATTTTTCATGTATGAAACATCTGCCATGGAAGCTTGTGGCCCGTTTCCCTATTGACTTCTTACCTAAAGTTTCAAGTTTCACTGTAACTATAAAAAAGGAAAAAAGGAGCACAGAATTAGTTACGTATATTCACTCTTCAGTAAAATCTTTGTCTTTTTATACCTCTATAAGGGAACACCTGGTAATGTGAACAATCATAGCTCATTATTCCTGTTGTGATTGATTGATTTTAGGTGAAAGAAAAGGACATAAATGGTAACGAGTTGGGTAGGTTTTGTGGAGAGTCGGCACCTAACCCTCTTACATCTGTAACCAATCAACTATGGGTTAAGTTCAGGACTGATGTATCAGAAGCTGGGCGAGGATTCCACGCCTCATACTTCTCAAGTAAGATATGTTTGTGTTTTACATCAAACTATTATTATTTTTCTCTTAAACTTTTAAAGCACAGATTATTTTAAATTAACATATTGTATTTGTTTAGAGAAATTGCACTCTACATTTTTGGCTTCCTGAGTGCCTGGTATTCATTTTATGTTAAACAAACTCCTATAAAAAGCTGTTACAGCTACTATTAGCACCATTCAGATCTGAAGTAAGTAAGTACGCATCCTACAATCCTTCTCAGAGAGTAATACCTATACTTAATACTGTTACCATGTAATTCATGGACCATGTTATATTTCAGTTTGTAACAACAGACTGACAGACTTCAGAGGCGTTATAGAATCACCAAATTTCCCAGATCCCTATCCTCATGATCGCAACTGCACTTGGGTAATAGAGGCCTCCATTGGTAATACAGTGAATGTTTCATTCTCTCATTTCGCCTTAGAAGACCACTCCAACTGCCGTTATGATTTTGTGGAGGTATGACATCCTTATATTATCTCATTTAGGTCAGTGTAAATAATTAATGTTTAGCGTCTCCTCATGTTTCCTTTCTAAACTACATAATAGTGTGTTCCTTGATTGAAATTAAACCAGGAGTCAAAAATATGAGAAAATGATAAGGCTTAGCATAGAATTTCATTGCTGTAGCATAAATGTAGAGATATAAAACTAGATTTTATCACATTCCATGTATCGCTATGATATACAAATAATAATCACCAAACATTGTTTTTTTCTATTCGTTTCTGTAAAGATATTTCACAAACAATATAGACTGAATTAATGCATGTAGTGAACTCCATTCTTTTGGTTATACTCTTACTACTGTATGTTTCAGTTTCGAGATGGGGAGGATGCAAGTGCTACTTCATTGGGTAAATACTGTGGAGAAAACATGCTACCCCCTGATATAGCCAGTACAGGACAGTATCTCTATATACAGTTTGTGTCTGACTCCTCAGTGGCTAGCAATGGCTTCAGACTGGAGTATGTGATGAATGGATGTGGAGGAGATCTCACTGGACCAACAGGTAAACAACTTGGAACTGTGGTAGCCTGAAATCCCACTGAATAAAGTTTTATATCTGGTATTTGAGTTATCAAAAATTACATTTTTAACCTAAAGGGATCAATAGACTTTTTTGATAAATGTATTTGGACATGTTTTCTCATCAGTATTGTGAAAATTATTTCACTCTAACTATCGTTATAGCTGCTTAATAAGCAATATTCGAATATGTTGTGACATTGTTGGCCCCCACGTGATCTCGTTTTGGTGCATTAAATCATGACACCATAATGCCAAGATGTTTTGTCATTTGTTTACACAACAATCATATGGTTGCCGTGACGTCGTGATTACCAAGGAACCAATAAACCAAAACTATATATTATGTAGGGCTCTCACAATTTCATAATTCACGGTTTTTATCTTCTCGGTTTCGGTTCGGTTTTCGGTTCTTATCACACTTTAATGTAAAATATCAAATAACTCAAAAAGATGGCGCGATTTCATTATTAAATGAGCAGCCGGGAGCATGTTTACCTCTGATCTAAGTCAGTTTTATTTACAAATTAATCATTAACTTTGTATTGTATTTTATTTATGCGATGATAAATAGATGGCGCGATATCATAATAAATAAGCGGCCTGGGAGCATGTATAACTCTGATCTATTCTATTTCTGCAGACAGCAAATTTTCACATTTTTTCACACGTACCTTTCTCATATACCATAACGATTTTGCAAAGCTGGCATATCGTTCTTTCCGGAAGAGGAACGCCATCTCTCGTTGGAAATCCAAAATAACCCCAACAGTGGGCCTTGTACGACTTTTGAGCGTTTAGAATGCCGAAATCTTCACCTCTCGTTTCGAGATTCATCTTCCTCTACTTAAGCGAACGGCACTTTTTTCTGAATTAACGAACCGTTAAAAAACCGAACATCTGAGTTTTCGAACCGAATGTACCGACCGAGGCCCAAGAACCGCGGAGCACCGCGGTTTCGGTGCACCGTTAGACCCTTAATATTATGTACCACGTTACTTTTCATGTGGGGGCCAATCTGATTGATCAGTTAATTTTATTACGGTTTTTATGACCATTAACAGTTATCTAACATTTCTTTTATAATGGCTATCGCAAGAACTCTACGTTGGCCTTATAATGAAGAAACCCGCATTTTTGTAGCTGCAAGTTGAGAAAACCTATTTCAGTTGTCATTTAAGAAAATACAATCTTGCAGTTCAAGTATGTATTATTCCTTGAAGAATCTACTTTCAAACCTTTTTTAGGTGAGCTCAGCAGCCCTAATTATCCAAACCCCTATCCAAACAGGAGGGAGTGTCTTTGGAAGATCACAGTGGAGATTGGAATGAGGGTGGAGCTGTCCATTGATGACTTTGACTTAGAGAGTCATAGTGAATGCAACTATGATGTTCTTGAGGTTTGTGAAAATTTGAAAAAAGATTTTCATAATGTTTAAAATATAACAACTTTGAAGTTTAGTTTGTAAGTCTAATTTGTTTCCATTGCTTGTCCTCTAGTGGTTCCCAACACTAATTCGCCCAGTGGTTGCTGATTTAGTCCAATCTAATTCGACTGCCATTGTTACAATTCTGAAATCATTTAAGAACAATATACAATAATTTAATGATCTAATATTTTCTATTGTGATGCATACACTTCAGGTATATGGGGGACGAGATGACCTGGCCCCTCTGTTGACTAAGCTATGCCACACCCAGACTACAGTGCAGAAAGTTACTGCTACAGGGAACACAATGTTCCTTAGGTTTAAGAGTGATGTCTCACAGGCTGGTAAGGGTTTCCATGCAACATACAGAGCACTCACTGGAGGTAAGTAAATCTGGTTTAGTTTAAACATGTAATTTTTATCAACGCTGAATTTTGCATATTGGACTGATTTTGCTTGTTATAGACATATCTTGTGAATATAAAGTACATTGAATATTGTGATGTAAATTTTTATCCAGTAACATTTTTTTAAGGAAAAAGGACGATACAATAGGCTACCATGTATCATTAGGTAATTATGCATCATTAGGTACCTGTGCATCAATACGTAACAACAGCAACTCAAATATATACACATTGTTGATATTAGACTAAATTGCTGTGTTATGAAAATTGCTGTTTATTTGCAGGTTGTGGTGGCAACTTTTCTACCCCAACTGGTACAATTGTCTCTCCAAATTATCCCTCTGCCTATCCCAGTAACACAGACTGTGAATGGGTCATTAGTGTTGAGCAACATAAAAAGGTGGAGCTAACTTTTGAAGATTTTGATGTTGAAGGTCATGCGACGTGTACCTATGATGCTGTCAGTGTGAGTGAAGAATGTTTCTCTAGATTGAACTATTGTTGAGCTACCCTTTTCTTAATGGGATTAATTATTTTGTGCAAACAACACAGGTGTTCAATTATCTAAGGCAATAACATTGAACTAATGGCATCCGTTGGGCAAGATCCTGTAAATCAGGTATTTAAATAAGACTGGAGTGAGCATATATTTGTGTTATTTCTAGATTGCAGTCAAATACCAGTACATGTTTGTTATTTATGATATGTTCTATTTCCACACCTTCTTGGCGTAGCTTTGTCAAAGATGATGAGTTGGCTTGCCCATTTGATAAAAACTTGTAAAACAGATGTTTTAAATTACATTTTTGAATGATTTGATGAGAGTGTTTGCCTTGGCGAAAATAGATTTCAAAATATATAATACTTAACTTGAAAGTATAGCCAGTTTTGCTACATTGAAGTCTCTATATACACAAGAAGGTTACATTATAACTGACAAAGTTATTCCAAAATATGAGGGTTGCATTTTTGGGGTCACCCTAGATATCAAATGAATAATTGTTGTTTAATGTATACAGTTTAATGTGTGTCAACTGTAGGTATATGATGGAGAGAGCCAGGCATTCCCACTATTGTTGAAGGCATGTGGCAATGGACTCCCAAACCCAAGTATGATAAGGTCATCAGCAGAAGACATGTACATCAGAATGGACTCAGATGGATCAGTACAAGCTAGAGGCTTTAAGGCATCATACAAGCTTGGTTAGTAAATTGCAAATATATGGAATCCTTCTGAGAACGATTTAACACAGTCTTAAATATAACTATGAGTTAAATATTCAGTTCAGTATAAAATATGCTAACAGTAACAGTCTATATCCTTAGGGATTGGGTCTAATTATGTGGAATAGCAATGTTAGTTTCGTTAGGGGTAGGGGATAAATTTTGCTAGCAAATAGTGTTGATTTTTTTAATATTTTAAAATTTCATCAGATGAGGGGAGGGAGGGCAAACCATAATGAAATTAACATTGTTATAATCACTAACTGTTGATAATTGGACACCTTCCCTTTTGAAAGATAGTTTTAAATAGAATTATCAACTTAACACATTGTCTGCTTTTCGTCTAGGCTGTGGTGGTACAATGGATGCTGAAGATGATGGTGAGATATTTTCTCCCAACTATCCAGCAGTTTATCCAGCTAATTCTAACTGTAGCTGGTTGATCCTAGCTGACCATGAAGGAGACAGAGTGACCTTGACTATGACACATCTTGACCTTGAGGACCTCAACGCTAATTGCAGCCATGACTATGTTGTAGTCAAGGATGGGAACAATGAATTTGCCCCAGATATAGGTATGAAAACTGCAGCTATGACCATTTGGTACTCAAATACGGTAATAATGAATTTGTACAGATGTAGAGATATGAAATGCATGTAGTTAAGAAGTGCAACTAAATTCTTGTATTTCACCTTATGTATTCAGTTAGGAGAGGAATTAGAGAATGCAGACCGCATGATTTTACGAATTTGTACAAAATCAAGAATGCAGTTGATGGTTGTTTGCATACTAGTAATGTCAATTTGAATTAGGGTAGTGAAAAGGGATGCTTTAAATGTAAAGGAATCTTATTTACAATTTAGGCGTATACTGTGGAACCACCATACCTGCCCCAATAACCTCTCAAGGACCAGCCCTTTATGTGACATTTGTATCTGATTTGAGTGACCAGAGAACTGGCTTCAGGGCTGTCTACTCAAAATCTATATCATGTAAGTGTAAGCTGCAACTGTAGGATCTTCCCTCCATCTTTCTTCTATATTTCCTCCCTGTTGTTTCAAAAACCCCATGGAATTCTTATTAGTATGTTTTGCTGTACAATACCAAATACATGTAACAAGTGACAGATTAATAACATTACAAATCATTAATAATTTAATATTGACACAATTTTGAATGATTTGAATCTTCATGGTTATATGTGTGTACTTATATGTGACGTTTAATATATTGCCTGATATTGAAAACTGTTTTCATACAGCATGTGGAGGAGACCTGACATCAGAACATGGAGCTTTCAACAGCCCTGGATTCCCCAACAACTACCCCAACAGTGTGGAGTGCATATGGACCATGACAGCCTCTGCAGGCAACAGAATACAACTTGTCTTCAGGTAATTCATTTACATTATTTTTATCTTAAAATACAAAAACGCTATATTTGCATGTATTACATACCTAGCGAAGCATTTGTATGGAAGTCAATGGGAAAGTTAGCGAGCTATATCCACCGATATTGCCCGATTACCCCGATATAGCCCGCTTACCTCGTTTTGATATTAGATTTCTTTAATAACCATGATAATTTCATGACGTCACGTCATTGATACAAAGTAACCATGGGAACAAAGGCATGTAATACATCAGTTATGTCACTATGACGTGAAATATGCCTTCGTTCTTGCCCAAATATAGAGCCTCCCAAGGTCGGCCTATATTGGGAGAACTCAGGCATATTTCACGTCATAGTGACATAACCTCTAAAAATGATTGCCATAATTGAATTTATTCAGATTTGGCAGTTCTTCATGGAATGTATTGTCACATATTTAATATTTGAATCATATTTTGGTTAGATGTAAACATAAAGTGATCTGCCTAGGTCATAGAGTTGACAAGAATGCATTTTCCTTTTTTACATTTTACATTTTAGAATGGCAACGCTTATTATGTTACCACCACAAGTGGTGACATATTGTTATAGTCTCCAGGTTTTCTGTGGAGGCGGTCAATGTTGACATTTCACATGTTAATGCCTTGTTTTATCAAGTTGTCACCATGAGGTCAATTTACTTCTACTAACAATAGTATGTGTTCAACTTTTCAGTTTCTTCGATCTGCAGAATGATGTTTATTGTAACTTTGACTATGTGGAGGTGCGTGATGGAGGCCTTGGGGGTACATTGCTCGGACGTTTCTGTGGTAACAACATCCCCGCAAACATGACTGTAGGTCAGAACCTGTGGGTAAAGTTTAGAAGTGACCAGGGAACAACTGGCCAGGGATTCCAGGCCCAATATGCCACATGTAAGCAGATTCATGATTCGAGATATATATTGTTATCTTATATCTGTTATTTGATTTGATTTGGTTGCTCTAGATCAGATGTGACTGAGGCATAAATCAACATATGCTCCAGTTTTACATTGAAAAGTCAAGTTGAATTAATTTAATATAATAATTTTATTTCCAGTATATGGAGGAGATTTGTCCGGATCATCAGGGCAGATTGCATCTCCTCTCCACCCATCTAGTTATCCTAATAATGCGCATTACACTTGGACTGTGACAGTCCCCAGCGACCACTATGTTAGGATCACCTTCCAGCTGATCGATATTGAAGGCTCTTTTGGTAGATGTTCATATGATTATATCAAGGTAGGTTTCAATTCAATTCAATTCAGCTTTTTTCTAATATATAGTATTATTTACAAGGTTTTACATGACACCCATGTGGGTGTATACAGTATAAAGAATATGTTGTTTAGATAGTAAGTATATAATAATTAGCTGATCCAATGATGAACACTAACTAAGACTAACTATAACTAGTGCACATTTAAAAGAGGGCATAGCAATAAATTTAAGTGTTGCTTAATACAATCAAAAACTAAGACTGGCTAAGACTGACTTCCAACATGGCAACATGTTCACAGTAGATCTAGAGTCAATGCAATGATTCATTAAAAATATCAGAATTAAATCTTGAATACTAAAAGATAATCAAAAGTAGTTCTAGTAATACAGAACAAAATATCACTCATCTGTATATTTGGCAATTATATACTTTTTAAAGTCATTCCTAAGTTTGCATGAAGAATTAAGTTTCCTAAGGGCAGCCGGATGATTATTCCAGAGTGTCTGGCCTTGGCGCATCATTGATTTCTTAGCTATTTCTGAATTATATTTATTTGCTACCAAATCAAATTTAAATCTAGTATTTCTGTCATGCATCTGACTGTTTGCCTTAAAGAGATTGGTAAACAATTGTTTTGGAAAAATTTTAGGTCTTTTAATGCAATTATGAACAAATATTGCTGTATTGAGCTTAATAATATCATAGATCTTTAGTAAATTTAGTTTTTTGAAAATTGGCTCGGAGTGTGCCAGTCTATTGCTGTATGTGATAAGCCTCAAAAATCTCTTTTGCAAGAGCAGCATAGGTTCTAGAAGTGATTTAGTAGCATTACCCCAGGCAATTGAGCAATAATTGATATGACTATAGATGAGGTTTAAAATACAGGATTAAATGCGATGCTGAGGGTTAATGAGAAAAAGCTGAAGAAATCACTGATTTATTTGCAGAAATCATCTTTTTAACTTGCACAGAATAAGGAGGGGTTGTTAGATCACCCTGGTGGACTTTTGTGGTGTGATTTTAATGATATTTCTGGAATGTTTTATGGTAAAAAAAAGTCTATGATATATGATTATGATGGAAATCAAAAGGTACATTCCCTTGAAATTGCAGTGGAATTAACCTACAAATGCTAGTACAAAATCTGTAGTTTTGATTTTTCATATATTTGAATCCAATTGATAAACATTGCTTTATTTATATAATCAATGTTTTATATTTCCAGTTCAGGGATGGCTTGTTTGAGACGAGTCCTGAAATCTTTACAACATGTGGAACAGCTCTCCCAGATCCTTTCTCCAGTACAGGGAACACAATACACATAGAATTCCACACTGACTTCTCTGGTGTAGGCCAAGGTTTCCTCTTAGACTGGGAGGCCACAGCATCAGCTGTTGTTACCCCAACAATACCACCAGTAACAAACCCAAGTATGCTAATGTTTTCCATTCAATATTATTCATTTGTTTGTCTGTTTGTAGCTCTTGCACAAAACTAATGAAGTATCGTAGCTAGTCCAGTTGGATAATAATGAGTAAGATGCAAGTCAGAAAGACCAGACCTGTATCCAGGGGGGCTGGAGCCCCCCTCCTTGGCAAAAGAATCTTTCAAAATGATGCAGTTGTTCACCATTCTGAGCACTTTTCTAATGATTTTGGGCCATAATTGTCAAAAAGTGAACCTCATTGGAAATTTTTGAAGAGTGAACCCCCCTTGGCTAAAGCTGGCTACGGGCCTGTAGATATGTGTGGTCCTGGCCAAATAAAAATCACACTACCTGTTGCTTCCATTAATCCATTAAAAGATTGCTAGAGGAAAAAGATTTTGTACATACTCATTATAGTAGATAAAATAAAAAACTGTTTCTATTCATTAACATTTATATTCTATAAATTCTATTGAATTTAAAACATTTTAATTTTAAAAAGTAGCATATGAATATGTATGCGCAAGTGCCAATGAGAAAGTACCCAAAAAATGATTACAGAACACAGCAAGAACTGACATTTTTAGAGTAAAATTGCATTTTATATATAATGGATATATTTTACTTGTAGTTTCCGGCTGTGGTGGTGAACTGACAGCTGTTGGTACACAGCAGGCCTTCACTTCTCCTGGTTATCCTAATGGCTATGCAAACAGTCTGTCATGTACTTGGGTGTTGAGAGCAGAACAGGGGAACAAAGTCTGGTTCAACATATCTGATATTGACCTGGAATCACATGGTTCTTGTAACTATGACAAAGTCACAGTATTTGATAGTAAGTACCCATTTAATCAAGCGCCATAGCAGGTCTCAGGTTTAGGGTTTAGGTCTAAGGATAAGAATATTTTTTCTCAATAATTTATGAATTTTAAATTAATAATTGTTTGATAATGGGTGAAAATAGTTAAACAGTAGAATCACATTATTATTGGAATATACTCCACACAAGCTATATTGATGTGAAGTTGATAAAAGAAAGTGAGAGGATATGTTCAATGTATTGTTTCCCTTTCCTAGCCGTAAATCGATGCAATATTGCTGGTTGCAATCTTAATTGCAGGTTATTTAAAAAATATATATTTAAAACTCTCTGTCACATGTAAATATTTAATATTCCTATGTTTTGGAGTGTGTACACATATAGAATTTGTATTGTAGATGATAGCCCCAGCAATTTCTTCAAACTCGGGGAATACTGTGGTAGAGAAGGCAATACCAACCCCCTATTGTCTACCAGGAATGTCATGACAGTTCAGTTTACCACTGACTCCAGCGTCAACAGAACAGGCTTCATGGCTAACTTTAAGACAGGTCAGTGTGTGTAACATTCCATGCTTTAATTTTGCTTTCAAAATATGCAAATAACTAATAATAACACGTGTAGTTCACTCTACTTTGGGTGAATTGGGTGAATACCACCCTTATTCACCATCATAGGCTTTGCAAGAAATGTCTCAGGGGTGAAATGTCTAATGTGTGAAACTTCCAGGGTGTTAAATGTCTGTAGGGTTGAATCATCAAGGGGTGAAATGTCTAAGGGCTTAAAAGTCTAGGGATGGACTGTTTAAGGAGCAAATGTCTACATGGTGGAATGTCAAATGGTTTAACCATCCAAGGGGTGAACTGTCCAAGGGTTAAAGCATCTAGAAAGCGTATAAACTGACATAAAAAATATGTATTCACTTACACTATTATCATTCAACAGACTTAAAATTTATAAAAACATCTTTGGACTGGGACCTTTAAATCTGAGAACATATAGCTGTGTTAATGAGGAATTTGTATTTTATAGCCTGTGGAGGTAGACTGACTACTCCTGTTGGGGTGATAATGAGTCCTAGTTTCCCCACCAACTATCCTGCCAACTCTGATTGCATCTGGATAGTACAGGTGGCCACTGGTCGCACAGTCTCTTTGTTATTTGAGACCTTTGATATTCAGCGCTCAGCTGATTGCTCAGCAGATTACTTGCAGGTAAGTTAAGAATAATGAATGTGTATAATGATATGTCTTGGCACAGCGTTAAAATTCAGAGCCCTTGATTGGGTTCATGTGACATTGTAACTTCAATGTATGCGATAGATTTTTATGACTGAAAACTATCCAGTGGCTCTTCTGTTAAGCTTCATTTCATATAACTGTATTTAATAGATAGCTTTGTGTTGTAGTTGTTGAATGGAGGAACAGCCAGTTCACCCCCTCTTGGATCATCCTCCAGTGGACGCTACTGCGGCAACTCCGCCCCAACATTGCCTGCAACCAGCAGTAATCTTCTCTTTGTGAAGTTCGCTTCCGATGCCACTGGGAGCACACAGGGCTTCAAGGCCACCTATCGAGAGGAATCTGTGACATGTGGAGGGCGTTATACGTTGACAACATCAGTCACAAGTGGTACTATCATGTCACCAAATTATCCCCAGAATTACCCACAGAATTCTGACTGTGTATGGGTGATCACTGCCCCCACTACAGACAGGATACAGATAGATGTCGATTCCGATTTTTACATTGAACAGCATGGAAGGTGAATGAATACACATATAAATAGAATTACTAACAGGGATCTTGAGGCTATTAGAACCTGGCGCAGCACCATTCTCTCTCGTGTTCAAACCTGACTACAAAATTCTCTAATCTAGCCCATCAATTGCACCAGATTCTATTTTTGGGGAATTTTGCATCTTTCACTTCAGTTGGTAATTAAGCTACAACCCCTCAAAATATAGGATTAAGTGTTTACTTACAATACAGATTTTTATTTTTCAGGATAATGTTTGAGAAATCCAAATATACATGTATGAAAATGATTCAGCCAATGGACTTTTTTGATTTATCTATGATTCGTATATTTCAGTTGTCAATATGACTTCCTCAATGTCCTTGATGGTGGCACCGAGAACTCGCCATCTATTGGTAAATATTGCGGAACGACTGCTCCAAGCTCCCTCTTTTCTACAGACAATGTCATATACATTCGGTTCAGATCAGATGATAGTGTGGCTCACAAAGGTTTCAGAGCAACATACAAAATAGGTGAGTCATACAACTGGATTTGCAAAAAAACATGAACTTATTTCCAAATTTTCCAAGGGGCAGATAGTTTTCAGGCAGTCATATCTTTGATCAGTGTATATTTTGTGTATAAGAGTGTATCAGTTTATATTAACGATGTAATCTCATCCAATAATCAAACAGAAAGTCAAATAAAAGTATTTCTAGGAACGAGCCCCACACAACTGTTTTTTATAAAAAAAATTCAAAATTTTGATATAATTTTCAGAAAAATGGATTTTGCTCCATTCAGATTTTAGAAATGTTGCAAATATTTGTTATTTATTCCAGCCACATGTGGTGGTACAGTTAGCGGAGACAGTGGCTCCATCATGAGCCCCAACTATCCAGCAAACTATGATAACTCCGCTAACTGTGAGTGGTACATCCAAGGTCCAACTGGTCACTATCTTACCTTGACATTTGAAGCTTTCAACCTTGAAGCCAGCTCTAACTGTGCATCAGCTGATTATGTAAGGATTAGGGAGCTTAATGGAACTGGCCTTGGTGAAGGTATGTACTGTTGTTTTACTTTGCTATATGTAAGGGAAACTTGTTGGAATTGATTTCTCCTAGATGTAGACAATAAATGTAAAGTTATGATTTAAAAGTAATCATGTCTTAAAAGAAAACATTTCAAAATAACTACCCAATACCAGATGTGTAATGTTCCTGTAGATATACCCAAGATATAAGTTTTAATCAACTATAAGACCATACATGTTCCAATAACATTCAAGAAATACTAGTACACCCAAATATCACTTGTTGTAGGTAGCATAGGGGCTGAACTGGGAGAATTTTGTGGTAACACAATCCCTCAACCAGTTGATACCTCTGACAACTCTGCTCATGTAACATTCAGGTCTAACAATGCAAATGCATACTCTGGATTCAAGCTCAACTATGTAGCCAGTTTGGAAGGTAGGAACTACATTCACGATGTATTGAATTGTCATGTACATGTACTGTATGGGTATGTATTGTATAGGTTTATATTGTACATGTATTGAAGTATGTATTGGCACTAATAGTATATATTGTAAATGTATTGTAGTATATATATTATATTGTAAAAGTATATACTGTATTGTAGCATTTATTGTAAAAGTATATATTGTACATGTATTGTAGTATGTATTGTATAAGTAAATATTGTATAGATATATATTATGCTTGTATTGTAGTATGCGGTGGAGACTTCACAGCACCAACAGGTGTATTCACCAGCCCCAATTTCCCAGGGCAGTACCCCCATTCCAGGCAGTGCTCATGGCGTATTACAGTAGCCACAGACAGGCGTGTAACACTTCAGTTCACATCCTTTAATCTTGAACCTGGTTTAAGTTGCAGCTATGACTATGTTCTGGTAGGTGCAGCCTCTCCGCTGTAGGATACATTTTAAAGCATGCTATCCTTTGTTAGTTTTATTAGTACATATATTTATTTAGTGTAATAAAGCTGATTTGAAATGACAAAATAAGCTCCAATTTAGATTATAAAAGCCTATAACCATCATTCTTATTATTGTTGTGATGAATAGATATTCTGATTTTTCATGCCACTATTGAAAATCTCCAGGCAGTCATATTATATGGTAAAATAAGTCATGAGAATGTTATAGATACATTTATGATATTGAATGATTATAAACAGGTGTAGTACATTATTGTTCCCTGTTGTACTGTAGGTGCGTAATGGACTTCGCCCAACCTCTCCAGTGATAGCCCGGCTGTGTGGAAATGATGTCCCTGATGTCATTGAGAGCAGTGGCAACACTATGCTTGTTGCATTTGTATCTGATGGTTCGGAGTCAAATGGAGGATTCAGTGCCACCTATAGTTCAAATAATGAACCTAGTGAGTTATTTTCTAGGGTTAATTTATTTTGATCTTGCTCGTCAATTTATGTTGGATCTTAATCTCAAAATTAAAATCTTTATTTTTTTGTATCCAGAGCTGCTAATAATGGGTTGTAGAAGTTGTAGAGTTATCTTGGAGAAAGAAAATTATTTTTACTTTTAAAAGTGAGTATGAACACAGTACAGTCGTATATGCATTTCAAAATGTGTCTTTTAGAATGTGGTGGTACATACCCTAATGTAGAGGCAGGTGCCCCTACAGGCGTTATCCAGTCTCCAGGCTATGAGCAGGGTGGCTATAACAACAGTGAGGAATGTGTTTGGGTGCTCAGCTCAGATCATGCCACCATTGGCAAGTCTTGGCTGGTCAAATTCCTGGACTTTGCTCTGGAGAACCATGGTGAATGCAGATATGATTATTTGGAAGTCAGAGAAGGTAATTCTGAATCTTGTTTTTATTTTTACCAAAAGTACAGAAGCATAAGTGTAAAAGCAGCAATCAACTGACAGATGTGTCCTTTATTATGATCTGAATTGTCATCTTATAGTCCCTTGGGGATGGTCTTTACAATTCCCAAATTGGAGGTACAAGGAAACAGTTGTAACACTGCATAAATATGTGAAACATCAATTGAGAGCGGAACAATAACCTCTGAGGGTCATATTATTACACATTCAGGTTCAAGCCCTCTCGAATGAATGTATCTTATCTATCTTGATTACAGGCACTGATGAGACTGGTACCCTAGTGAGCAGATTCTGCAACAATGAGACCATACCAGAACCCATTATATCTCCCAGTCCCTCAGTCTGGATGATGTTTAGCACTGACACGTCACAGACAGATAGAGGCTTTTCACTAGAATACAGTGTTTCCAGTAAGTAAAGTGTCACCAAAGTAGTGTGTCACTCTTAATTCACTCTTAATTTTGTATATGTTGAAATTGTGTCCATTTGGTTACAAATTGATAACTATATCCATTGTTTATATGACCGGTTGTCAAAATTTAGTTAAACAGTAGAATTTTGCAACTGTTTCAACTTAATCTTCAGTAATCTACATATTCACACATTGTTTTGTATTGTACAGATTGTGGTGGCATATTGACTGATTCTGCTGGAGAGATAACAAGTCCCAACTACCCTAACAATTATGACCATGATGATGCATGCGCTTGGCTTATACAGGGCCCAGAGAACTCGCAGATCACGGTAGGCTATTTAATGATGCTATATGGATTTGAGGAATATATTTTGATGTGCACACTGACTGTTGTTAAAATGCTATGCTGACCACACTAAGAGTTGGTGGGAAATTATTTTCTATCAATCATGGATTGTGCTGAAACATATCTGATTTACACAATCTCCAAAAATATGAATGTGTCCACTATTAATATTCTTTCAGGTGACTGTGACTGATCTGGGTATTGAAAACCATGACCAGTGTAACTACGATTATCTTGAGTTCTTCAATGGTGGCAGTTACTCATCTCCATCTATTGGCAAGTTCTGTGGCAGTAACAAACCAGAAGTGTTCAAGTCTCAGAGCAACTTGGTCAGGATTGTCTTCAAGTCTGATGGATCTTCCTCTGCAAGGGGATTCAGGTTGACATATACAGCAGATTCTGGAGGTAAATCTTGGATCCTTTTCAATTGAAAATCATTCCAACCTATATCAATGCCACTTGACTGGGGGGGGCACACCAGAAGAGTGTATAATAGTCACACAACCACGTAGACTGGACTGCTTATTAGCTCTTCCTATGTAAATCAGACATTGAGTTGCACATATTAGTTTAAGCAGAAATTGTGACATAAGTATGTTTAACATAAATAATGTTCAAAACAGTGTATTTTGTAATTTTCCTTATTCAGCAGCCCCAAACATTGACAATTCCCTTTACTAGTATTTTGTTTATTCAGGTTGTGGAGGTACATACCACTCTCAGACAGGCACACTAATGTCTCCTAACTTCCCCAGTAATTATCCACACAACACTGAATGTATCTGGGAGATAATTGTCGATTCTGGCTACCATGTTCTCCTTCAGTTTGATGATCGGTTTGAGATTGAGCGCGAGAACAACTGCACATATGATTATGTAGAGGTAGGGTAGAATGTCAATTCAGTACTCTTCAGAATATACAGGGTATCCATAATGTCTCTTTACAATTTACAATACAAAGTCTGTGTAAAGTATAAAGAGACTATTGACTAGAGACTATGTATTTTTATATCACAACCAATTATAACATATTTTTAATGCCCTATTTCTTAGTGACATTTTGTCATGTTAATGCTTTCTTAAAAAATATCCCTGTACCGTAATTTTTAACGAGGTTTACTTAAAAAAGATATAATTGATATCTAAGAGAATAATATTTTTAACATGGCCTATATATTTGCAGGTGTCTGACTATCTGGATGATGGTTCTATGCCAGTTCTAGGCAGGTTCTGCTCCAGTGTTAAGCCAGATGATGTACGTTCCACTTCAAGCAGAATGAGGGTGAAGTTCCGTTCAGATCCATTCACAAATGCTAATGGTTTCTCTGCAAACTGGACCACAGGTATGATAGTATGATATCTTACAGGCTGGCAATAACAATATACCTAGGACTTGAGCCAGACAGAATAGAAGTGATTAATATTATTGTTAAAATACTTCAAATATACATGTACTTTAATATTATGCCTCCTGGTTACATCTCAAGGCAGAATAAGGAATGTCAAGGGATTATCGTATTATGGAATTTTTTGCATTTCGTATTTTAGGATGTGGAGCCATCTATACCAAAGATAAAGATATTATCCAATCACCAGGCTTCCCTAACAATTATGCGAACAACCTCCACTGTGAATACCTGATCTCCGTCGACCCACAAAAATACGTTGTGTTCCAGTTCAAGGAGAATGGCTTCAGTATTGAAGGTGATGGAAGTGCCTTGAATTTTACTGGAGATAACCCAAATATCACTGCAATCATCAAGGCTCCCATTTTGATAGGTCCAAGTGAAGTTCCAAATGGTATTGTTCTGTTTCATATTTGGCATGCTGGCATTATGAGGCACAGAGTTGTTTAACAGAAGGCTTCATAACCTGTAAGATGCATTTTGATGTAACATTGTGTAAGGCATGGTGATCTTGTAACATTGTTTTTTGTCCTCAAAAGCTTTTGGTCTAATCGTTTTAATTCTATTAACAATTTTTCCTTGTGCTTTAACAGTGTGTTTAGGTTTTTGAAAGCTCTGTTATGTTTTGTGTTTTTTTATGTTTTAACTTACATAGTTTTAAACTTTTTGGTTTCACTATTGTTCACTCCTTTTCCTTTTTGTTGTTACTACATGATGTATCTTAACAAGCTATTATGTACATGTTAAATTACGTTGGAAGTTTTTAACTGATACAGGCATTTTGTTCAATGCACTCTTTCCCATTCACCCTATTGACTATTAGTTACCCTCTCCTTACATTATTATTGAGTGTTTGTTACACTCATCCTGCATAACTGAGTGTTTGCATCGTTCACCTGCATTACTGAGTGTTTGCTACATTCACCTGCATTACTGAGTGTTTGCTACATTCACCCTCCATTATTGAGTGTTTGCATCATTCACCTTGCATTATTGAGTGTTTGCTACATTCACCTGCATTACTGAGTGTTTGCTACATTCACCTGCATTACTGAGTGTTTGCTACATTCACCTGCATTACTGAGTGTTTGCTACATTCACCTGCATAACTGAGTGTTTGCATCATTCACCTTGCATTATTGAGTGTTTGCTATATTCACCTGTATTACTGAGTGTTTTCTACATTCACCTGCATTACTGAGTGTTTGCTACATTAAACCTTGATAACTGAGTGTTTGCATTGTTCACCTGCATTACTGAGTGTTTACTACATTCACCCTGCATTACAAAGTGTTTGCTAAATTCATATATATTGCATATTTTAGAAAATAAATCAATTCTAAGCTACTTTTGTCAGTCTAGAGGTTACATAATAACTCAAAAAACTCATTAGTCAATAGCATTACTTTAGAGTATATGTTTAATCAAACAAAATATCTGCCTTTTGCTGATATATGAATTCTGATTCTATTTCAGCTGGGTTTGAATGTAGGTACGACTACATTGAAGTATTTGCTGGAAACAGCACAGATACTGGTTCACTTGGAAAGTTCTGTGGAGCCACTCCTCCCCAGCCTTTCAGCTCCCTGGGACAGATGCTCATAATATTTCACACTGACAGTTCCATCACCGATAGAGGGTTCAAGGCAGAGTATGTAGCCTCAGGTATGTAGAGACTTATAGGGATGGTAATGTTCAGTGACCTTAAGATCCAATTCAATTCATATTTTGTTTTAAGATTTAATTTATAACATGAAAAAGAAATGTATATTATCTCATTATTTACTTTTTCATATTTATTTTTACATGGGTAATTTGGAAGTTAAGTAAAGGTTAGAATAAAATATTTATTTTGAGTATTTAACTAGTTCCACATATCATTTACATGACCGGGAACACAATGAAAATGGTCAGAATGACCATAAACATGATGAAATAACCTTTTCAGCCCTCTGAAAATATGACTGAAAAATAGCTAAAAGTAATTGCTCAGGAAACGTCAATGAACAGAATCTTTTGATTTTTTCAGAAAATGTATCTAACATATTGCTCTAAATGATACAATCTTTGAAATTTAACCACTAAGTGGGTTTACTCTCTGTATTTGTTGGTGATGTTTTTAGATTGTGGAGGAGTGTTCACAGAACCTACAGGCATCATACGTACACCAACCCACCCTGTAGATTACCATAACAACCACAACTGTTCCTGGTATATCACTGTACAGGAAGACAGGGTAGTTGAGCTCAAGTAAGTACAATAAATAAATCTATTCTAAGGAAGACATGGTAGTTGAGCTCAAGTAAGTACAATAAATGAAACTATTCCAATGAAGACATGGTAGTTGAGCTCAAGTAAGTACAACAAAACACATTGATTGGTAACAGACATTAAATGTTTTGTATGATATCTTTGAATACTCTTACTCCTTGTGCAATCATATTCTCTCGTTAGTCTTATGTTACATCCACTGGTCTCGATCTCTTACATGCACAAATGGCAGGTGGAATACATGTATACTCTGTGCCTATCTCACAGGAATAACTGAAAAGACCTAGATGTTTTATGCTCTGTTAAATCACCCAAGTCATTGAAATATGAATACATTTTTTCATAACACAATCATGCAATACATGACATCCTTCTTTAGGTTTGACCTCTTTGATGTTGAGCCGCACACAAGATGTGCATATGATTACGTGGAAGTCTTTGATGGGCCTGATGGATATGCTCCAAAGATTGGTAGATTCTGTGGTGATGTCATTCCTGATACAATCAGGAGTACCGAAAACACTCTCTATGTGAATTTCATCACAGATGCCAGTGTTACAAAGGGAGGCTTCAGTGCTGCTTATACAACAACATTTGGTAAGTGATTAATGCTACATAGTATTGGGGTTCACCACCAATAAGAGCATCTTGTAAATAATAAATATGGTTTGGATAGTTTTGCTGCACTTCAACATCCATGAAGTGTAACTGCCATCTAGCAAGTATTGAACATTGGGATGTTCACCCATTTGAGCATTTTCTAGCACCCACTTGCACCTAATTAAGAATTGCTGAGAAAAACAACAACAACAGTACGGATAATTTTGACTAGTTTTGGATATTTCTTCATTAGAGTTTGTGAATTTGTATTCTATACCCTTTTGAGAAACTAGCTGTGTAAGGTTTGCTTCTGTACAGGTATTAACCAAGGTTGTGGAGGTCTGCTGAACCAGAGTTCAGGTAGCATAGGGTCTGTAGATGCTACTGGCAATGGATACTATGAGAACAACCTGGACTGTACCTGGCAGATCATCGTGCCCAATGATAATATTGTCAAGGTTACATTCCTACAGATGGATCTCGAGAGTGATATTGGATGTGGTTATGACTATGTTGAGGTAAGCTATTACATGCAGTCTGTTTTTGTAAGTGAATAACTGAACTTAAATGTGGTTGAAATATAAATATAAAGCCTTGTGTCTGTTTACCTTTGCAGTGGGTACATATGAATAATATTCATTTGATCGAGGTACAAATTGAAAAAATGTTTATTTTGGAGTTGGCAATTCCATTTTGCATGCATTTTTACTTCGAAGGCTACGTAGAAGTCATGTTCATATTCTATCACATTATAAATATTAGTTTTTTAAAAGATATGTTATTCTGCAGGTACGAGATGGATTTTTCAAAGAGGATGCAGTTATTGGCAAGTTCTGTGGCAATAGCTTGCCATCTGTCATCCTTGCCTCTTCCAACACGTTGTATGTTAGTTTTGTCTCTGATAGCAGCATCACCAGGTCTGGCTTCAATTTCACCTTTGAGGGAGTTCCAGGTAAAGAAATCGGTATTTTCATTGCAATACAAATACATTGAAAAATGTTTACTGGATGCTAAGAATGCTTGATTTCATATGCTGTCAATGGTCTTATGTATATATTATCTGAGGCTGGGTACCAATTCTAAAGACATCATTTTTATGTCATTCTGATACTCATAGCATCTCTCTCTGTTGCATCGCAGAAGGATAGAGATGGAGAGGGCGTGGCTTACCACAATGACCAGACATATTGCTTTAGTCTCCAACTTTTTTGTGTTTGGCGGTTGATGTCTGGCATATGTAACAGAGTCTCTAACAAATAATGGTTGGCCTCTTAAACAAATGTCAGTTGGTGACATTTTGCATGTTAATGCCTTGTTATGTTTTGTGCCATATATGCATATCCCTAATCATAGTGATGAAGGGTCAACAAGTAAATTGAATTGATTTCATATATAGCTGACTGTGGTGGAGTACATAGTGTAACAACAGCCATGCAGACCATCACATCCCCCGAGTACCCTGGTAACTACCCTCACAATCTAAGGTGTCGATGGACCCTAGACGCCCCTGAGAATCAACAGATCTACCTGGAAGTCACAGACATAGATATAGAAGATGAGAGCTCTTGCCAATATGATTACATGGAGATCAGAGATGCACCTCTTGTAAGTTCTGTTAAAGGGCAAATAGCTGTAAATCTCAACTCAATAACCCTTAAAGGAATATTCCTTGCCAAACCATCTCTCTCCTCATATGGTAGCTATAACCATATATATGCTTGCCATGTTTAGCAAAACACGCAAAAAATGTTTTGATATGGTCAAATTTGATCACTTAGAAATGTGATGCTCAATTCCAGTAAGCTACCATCTTTTAAAATTTCACACAGGAAGTGTAAATAGCTGTAAATCTCATCTCAATAACCCTTAAATATATCTATTCGTAATGATGTGTAACTTACATGTAATCAACAGACTGGAATCAATGGTCAGAAACCTTATTTTGTGGATCAATCACACATTTGTCAGCCAAACTCCATACAATCCAAAACTGTATAAATTCGAATTATTATTTATCACCATCCACCAGTATTAACTTTGAATAAACCTGCACATGTGAACAACATGTTGGCGATTGATTATAATTTTATTTCTCAGTAAATTGACTTGATGCTAGTGGTGAATAAATAAATATTGATTTAATAGATTGTTATTACTTTGTTTGTAATTATAGGGTCTAAATGGTCAGTCTGTTCATGCTTGTGGGACGGTAGCGCCACCTGCATTCCGTTCCCTAGACCGTAATGCCCAGATCAACTTTGTCACTGATGGCTCATCCGCTGGAAAAGGCTTCTCCCTTAATTACATGATAGCATGTAAGACTCTTAACATAATCTTAAGCAATTAGACTGACTTAGTTTTAGGTGTGACTAATACACATTAATGTTATGAACTGGAACTATATAGGTTATTCTGTAATGAGTAGGGGAATTGACTCTCGCCTAAAATAATAATCAAATTAGTTGTACATATAAATGAAATCCAATACAATAGCATGTTCAATATAACATTATTTTGTCAATGGAGGAAAATTAAAAAGGTGAATCATCATAAAAAGAATATGCAAGAGTCGTATAATTTGAAAACATGTCTTTTTCTAGCATGCAACAGAACATATGAAGGAGACAATGGACGAATACTGAGCCCTGGTTACCCTGGCAACTATCCTGTAAATGCATTCTGTGAGGTGTCAGTGACAGTTCCTGAGGGTCATGGTCTCAGTTTGTTCTTTAACCAGTTCTATATTGAACCCCACACACAGTGCAGATATGACTACTTAGAGGTGGGTAGAGGGATCTCCTTTAATATTCATTTTCACGCAGGATGCAATTTATATGAAATCCTTTGAATATCTAGTTTGATTGACTTTCATGAAATTCACATGATTACCTATTTTCATGGGCTTTCAATTCTAGTTGAAAGCCCATGATATTTTAGATATTGCCATATGTAACAACTTTCAGTGACAATGACCCCTTTCTATTTAACTTCTTGTTGTATTTAGATAATAGCTATGTCCTGAAGCACATTGAAATTTAGAATTGAAGTCATTGTGACAATATTTTTAAAAATGGGACCCAATCTCAAATTGTGTTTTTATGTCTCTGTAGGTGTATAATGGTTCTGACGACAGTGCTGTCCTGATCCAGAAGCTGTGTGGCAGTTCTATTCCTAACCCAATCTTCCCATCTGGCAACAGTGTCTTCATGAGATTTATCACAGATGCTTCTCTAACTCACCTTGGCTATGACATCACATATACATCATCACCAAATGGTACATTTATGTTATATATGTTATTATATTTTTATGTTATATAATGATAATATACATGTATTCTAGCTTTTGAATTATTATTGGGTCCACATTGTTTTTGGAGTTTCCGATTGAATGAAAGAATATTGGTGAGCAATATTAGTTGAAATCTTGGTAGACATTTAAATAGTACTGATCCATGTGTTCAAATAATTTTATTTTAGTTTTGTTTTCTTGGAGCTGCAACCACTACATTAGGATAGATTTGTTGATATTAAAGGATTTGTGATACTTTACAGGCTGTGGAGGTAATATAACTTCAACATCTGGTAGCTTGACCAGCCCTGGCTACCCAGGAAACTACCCTCATGACAAGACATGTGAATGGCTTATAACTGTACCTAAAAGACGTGTAGTTAAGCTGAAGTTTAGTGACTTTAACATGGAAGCCCACTCAAGCTGCCAGTCTGATTACCTAGCTGTTTATGATGGACCCGATTCAGGGGCTAGACTTCATGGCCGTTACTGTGGGGCTGTAAGTAAATTATTTAAGAATATCATATATTTGACCGTTGTTTTCTCAGAGACTCATTTGTACTGTGTTTTTTTCGTGATGATCATTATGTTTAGAATCACCTGAAATACAATTTCCTTTGAATCATCCAAAATTGTCATTATTTTCCAAAAAGTTTGAAATCTCCCCACAGTATTGATTTATAGAATGGAATGTTATCACATTTCCTGTTTTGTTCAAAGAATTGAATCTTGGCGTGTTAATACTATTATTACTTAATATAGATTGCTAATAATATTACTTCTTCCTGTTTATGAGAGATCTTCTGTTGTTACGTTCTCAGGTGCCATTTTATTAATAAGTATCTCAGAAAAGTCATTGAACGCAACTGGTTAGTTTGCATTGCATGCCAGTTGGCATGATGGAAAGGTCCATGTGATGTATGGCAAGTGATTTTAGACAGCCATATCTTTCACCACGAGTACTCTCTGGGCATAAATATAGTTGTTTTTATTAAAACAATATGTTTCTTTTGAGTGAAATCTGCATGAAGATAAAAATATCAATCGAAAAATTATGAATACCGGAGCCATGTCAACATTTTTTCCAAAATGTTGAGCCTATTTACTCAAAAGAGGATCTTCTTTTTCTGATTTTTATAACATGAAAAGATTATTCAACAAGGGGTCTAAAACGTCTCTAAAAGTAGAATTGTTTGAAGGTCTAGTTTTGAAGATATCAATTTTCGATGACCAAAATTATGCTGAAAATAATGGATAGCAGGAGTTTTTTCTATGGGAAAATAACATATTTCAAACACTATCCCTTTTTCAGGAATTGTTAATATAGTGTAGAAGAAACTTTTGATATGTTTAAATTGAAAAAAACAAGATTCTCTTTTTAGAAAATAAGCCTGACATTTTTTAAAAAGTGCCAGGGTGGGGTCCTAATCCATAATTTTTCAGAGAATTTGATTGATATTTTACTATCTTCGGGACTTCACTTGAAAGACAACATATTGTTTTAATCAAAACCACTGTATTTATGGCCAAGAAGAACTCATGGTGAAAGATATGACCGTCCAAAATCACTTGCCATACCCCACATGGTCCTTTCAATTTGAGTTCCTCACCATTGCATTACATGTTATTGATTAAAGTATTATAGCCAATATTTACGGCAATATTTACAGATATTGCAATTATTTTGTATTTATAGGTGAATCCAGCAGACTTTGATTCGTCAACCAATCAGATCTTTATTCAGTTTAGATCAGACTCAGCAGATTCAGGAACTGGCTTCAGAGTTGAATTCTCTAGTTAGTTTCCCTAACCATCAGTAGATGGCATTGCTCACTAATTACAAAACATTCGTCAAACGAAATATTCAATTACGGTAATCACATATCCAACTAATTACTGTTATGGTGATTACTTGGTTATTGAACCTGTTCAACCCGATTCTATTTAGAGTAATAAGCTATTATTAAAATTTGAGGAAATAGTGAGCACTTACTTAGAAATCCGAGACTAATGTTTAAATTGTGTTGAGTGCAGTGTTGTATTTAATGGCTCGCATTACACAGCACCAATCTTATAAAATATGTGAACACGTAATATGATGTTACGAAAAAGGGACCAAACAGCTGAAGACTTCAATGTGTAGTTCAACTTAGAATTCCAACCATTTTTAGAACTAACATTCCCATTTTTTGTTGGTGTATTTATGCTTCTTACATTGTTTTTGCCTGTCATGGTTTTGATAAATTTACCTTATCTGTGGTTTTTATCTGTGGTTTTTGTTGATTTGCCTTAAGTTATGGTTGTATAAAAGATTTGTCCCATTGTTGGTTGTAATAAAATTGTGCAATCATCATAATCATTGGTTATATGTCATATCAATGAAATTATTCTATCTTTGATTATAATAAAATTATCATATCATTGGTTTTAATGAAATTATTCTGTCTTTGGTTCTAATAAAATTGTCCCATTGTTTTTTTTTGTATTAAAATTGTCCAATTCTTGATTGTGATTGAATAATTGTATCATTGGTTTTAAAATAAAATTGTCATATCGTTGGTTTTAATGAAATTGTCCCATCCTTGTTTGTATTAAAATTGTCATATTATTGATCGAAATAGAATTACCCTATCATTGACTCTCATACTATTATATATGTGTAATTATGATTTATTTCAGAGACATAAATGTACTATTTGTCTCTGTTTCTGTTGTGGTGTCAGTTTCAGTTTAATTTTAGTGTTGAATATCATTGAGAAACACCCTTATTAATGAATGTTATGCCTATCATAGTTGTATATAATTGTATATCATTTTCGAATGATGTGATTGTGTTATGTTAATAAGTAACATTACCTAGTATGCGTGATATAAGTGTGTATTTCATAGGTATATTGTCTAATTACATACTGACTGTCAAACGATTCGACATAAAATTTTGATTTTTTGTATTTGAGATCAGAGGAATGTGTATGTGAAATTTTTGACATACAGTATTTTCATTGTTATGTATATATTTTAAATTGTTTGATCTACACAATTGTTAATGGAAATGTTATATTACTGTTGTGAACTGTGACTGAAAGATGAAAGTTATTTCAGTTATTATTATGTTTAAGATAATAACTTGAAATTATGGTAAAAATAAGATTGAAAATAATTTAGATCAACGGGACAATTATTCCAAGTGAATCAAGGTATTCTAGAGTTGCGGACCTTTTTTTCCTGTGACTATTCTCTTGAAAAATGATAAAAGTGTATAACATGTCACTTAACACCTTAGTCATGTGAGAAATATGGTTGTTGTTACCCGCAGACATTTTGATTAGATATTATTAAAGGTATTTTTCATTTGTGTCATAAGTGTACAGTGTCACTAACTAATAATATATGAAGTATAATTAAAGCTTCATAGGATATGAAGAATTCTATCTCTTAATTAAAAGTCATCTACGTTTGTATCGCTAAGGAAACATGCATGGAATTTTGTCTTATTCTGGAAAATGATTGGATGATATTGAATAAATTGATGAGATCATTATTGGGAGATTCTGGACCATACAGCAATTCAAACATGGTAAACATTTTATAAATACTCAAAATTCCCCTGCAAACGATGCCATATAGCCCAGTAATGAACTTTATGGAACAAAAGTTGTCTGAGTGTTGTCTTAGAAAGTGTTGCCTTAGAAAACTTGCAGTACAAAGCATTATATACAGCTGAATGTATAAGTGAATGTATAAAAAATAAAGATGTGCAATCCTCAATAAATGTACAGCTATATCAATTCTTCAATGTACAGCTGATGGCAAGTTTACAGGTGTCTTCAGCTTCATTTACAATGTATTTCTACAAAACTGTTTGAAACTAAGTATTAGTTAGTATTACATGTTCTTCAAAAGCAGAAGTATATATCTATTACATAATTCATGGGCATATGCAATATTGTAAAATGGTGTTTTTGCAGCAGATCGCTAAATAATTTTTGCTTATTGTCCGTCCGTTTAAGCGATACACTTGAACAAATGATTTGTATATAAATTCATAGTTTAGTTATACATGTGCTGTTGTATGCCTACTTAGAATGTGTAGAAGCATATTTGTAGTATATATTATAGAAAAAATCATATAGAAATGTTAAACAATATCAAAGTACATGTAAAATTGGGTCCAATTAATACCATTTAATACTTTATACAGTACATGTCTAGTGTCTTATGGAAAACTAGTCTTATACAATCAGACTTGTTTTCTATTTTTAGCTTCTTTAACCTTCATCATGTATTAAAAGGTATTGAATGGTCAACTTTTTTAATCATTGTAAAATGTATGAAAACTGCTGTTAATAAATCACTGATATGATGAATGAATTATTTGTATAAAGATGATTATATTTTGTAATCAAATTATATTACAAATTATATAAAAAAATAAAGAATTATATTTACAAGAAAATGATGAGTTAAGTAAATCTGTATTAAGTTCACCCAAGGTTACTTTCGCAGTTCAGAAAAAATGTGTTTATGCATAATGTAGTTGTGTGACTGAGTGGGCCTCAACTACGGAAAAGAGATGTGTACACATCTACGTGTATGTCTGATGATCATGAGACAATAGAGAGTGGGTGTTTCAGGTGACGACATTATTGCCTCTGCTATGAACTATTGCTGACCTCTTCCCTCCACTGATTTAAATAATATCTCAATTTCATTTATTTTAAATTCACATTTTTTCATGCATCATCTACAAACTTAGCGATTCTTTTTATTTTCCTTGCAAGAACATCTAAGCATGCGAGTTAATATAGTCCATAATGTTATTAATGGTACCGATAATGCTTTTTAATTCAAATGGATATCGGAACTAAAATGAATTCATGTATACTTGAACCATCTGTGATGTATAATTACATGTACTGTAAAAATGAAAGCAAATAAGTCTAGGAAGACTTACAAGACCTCCAGAGGTGTACATAAAGTTATGATAAATATCGCACATGACGTCATTATTTAGTAACTAATTTTTGGAATTTTATTAACTTTTAAGAAATGCAAGTTTAAATTAAATTCTACAAAACAATTGACTTACTAATTTGCAAATTTATAAACTTTCAAAAAATAAAACCCAAATGGAACTTGATCAGAGGACCATTACATGTTTTCTCATGTCTTATGACAACAGAGATTGGCACAATAAGCTTTAAATATACACATTCCTTAATACATAGTGAAACTGTAATTATCAGGAGGCGAGGAAATAGCTTAGTCATAAGTGTTAATTATCAATAGTGATATATTATAAGAGATAAGCAAGTCAGATTTCAACTGATTCCAAGATGAAGAACACGTGCATATACTTCTGCTGTTTCTTGATCAATTTGCAACTTAGAAAAACTAGTTCAATGAATTTTATTAATGAGAATTTCACAAGTAATCATGTTTTCAATGCAACGAAGACTCCTTGGGTAGATTCAACAATCAACACAAGTCCTGAAGATGGATTCACAATGAATGGTAGACCACACTTCGTTGTTAGGAAAAATGAAACTGATGTTTTAAATGCAAACTTTCGAAGTGATGAGTTCATGATAAGTGCTGATAGCTATGGAACAGAGAACAATAGTATCGAAACTGAAAACAATGGTCTAACAGAAAATGATAGTTTCACAGAACCGACTATCTTGGACCACAGTTGGACAAACAATAATGTGTCAAACAGCAGTCTAGCCGATTTAGGAATTATAAAACCAGAACTGCTTAAGTCTCAAATGGTCATCCACATGACCATCGAATGCATCATCATGGTTGCAATCTGTGGTGGGAATATTGTTGTCCTCATTAGTATAGGGGTATACAAGAGTTTGCATACTGTGAACAACATGTTCCTGGTGAGTCTTGCGATGGGGGATCTGCTCATGGGTGTGCTGGGCTCCCCAATGTCTATCATAACCCTATATGTCACTCCTCTTCTCTATGGGACTCATATACAGGACAAGTATCTCTGTGCCACCAGGCTCTTCAGTATGGTTAGCTCAGTAGGGATATCCGTTTACAGCATGGTTGGCATCGCAATTGACCGTTACACTGCCGTTGTGCGTCCATTGAGGTACCGTGAATTGGTGACACGCTCCAAGGTTTTCTCCTACATTCTATTCGTTTGGGTTTACGTCATTGTAGGCTCAGCCTTTATCTTCTACAAAGATGTCATATTTTTCGAATCTGGAGAAATCTGCCGTTCTAATCTTGTGATGGACCAAGATTACTCGACGTTTCTGAAGGTTAACCTCTTGGTGGCATTTATAATCAGTACCGTGGCTCACTTTACAGTTGCGGTGGTGGCTACAAAGCATAAGGCACGCATCACAACTGAGCTAGCTCAATTTAACAACAACCTTGCTGTTGCATATCGCAAAGAAAGTAAAATTACCACGACCATGACTGTAATCGTTGGAGTTTTCATGTTGTGTTGGCTGCCATGGACTATCTCCTCAATGATAAATTGGCAGGAAGAACCACAATGGTTTACATCTCTTCGCTATTATATGGTGGAACTTCACGTTGCAAACAGTGCTCTTAATCCCTTGATTTATGCATACAGGCTGAAGCCAATGAGAAAAGCCATGGGACGCATTATCAGGTTTGATTACAAAGGTACAATAAGTGAGAGCTAGATTGTATAAATCATAATGAAAAAAAATGTGGGAATCATCTCTGAATGAATGACAAAATGATAAATCACAGTTCTAAATGAAAAAAAGTAACCTCAATTCTTAAAATCATTATTACGTTATTACAAGTATTTACAATATTTTGACTCTGCAAAATAGACCAAAACAAATAGTAGATAAATTTTTCAAGTCTTGACCCACCAAACAGCCGTCATAGAGCAAATGTGACTGAGGCTTAATTCACACATATCTAGGCATCACATTCTGGCCAATAAGAACATGGTATAGAGATTCTATATTTCACAATGGATGAATGGTTAATGAGGGAAAACTGTAATGAGAGGAAAAACATTGAACAAAAACTAAATACTGGTAGTATCATATAATGAAAGGTTGACCACTCAATAAGTTTCTGGTTGAATTTTATTCTTTTTAATGATGTGTGAAAATAATTTATGCATGGATTCAATAAAGTGTGGGTGATTTAGAGGTTATGTCACTATCGTGGCATATATGCCCGAGGTCTCAGTGATATATGGCCCGACCTTGGGAGGGACATTGATCTCTGAGAACCGAGGGCATATGTGCCACGATAGTGACATAAACGATTTATAACATACCTATGATGATGTAGACTGGTCAGAGAGTACCATTTTCTTAAAGAATTGACAAACAAATGGTTTGAAAATGATTGAAATGAGTTTAGAAAAATTGCTCGCGCAGTTTTAACTTCGATTGATTGGTTATGACGTCAGCGCCTTGACCAATCAGAAAGTTAGCGGGCGCGGGCTTTTCAAAACTTATATTGGCCCGCTGTCTTGTGTACACTTTGCACTATACATCATCATAGGTATGTTATAAATGCACTTATTTCTTGTATGCTAGCTTTTGAACTCCTTCTCCAATTCTCATTTAAAGTCTTATAAAAGAACCCAAAACAAAATAAAGTCTTATAAAAGAACCCAAAACAAAAAAAATATCTCAAATCAATTGAGTCATGTGCTAAAATCCTTTAATAGAGAATAATTAATACACAATTTGATTGGCGAGTATATAGGGCCTGTGACACAGGTTTTTGAATGTAAATGTTAGATTTACAAAAAATAAATATGGTACCATTAGGTAGGCCAAGGCCAATTCTTCGTACTGTTCCTTCCTTCATTTAAAAGTATCGAACAATTTAATAACAACTTATTATTCAAATGTGTGATATCATGAAGTTTGTGTTCAAAGCTGAAGATTCATCATATCATTGCTCCAACGCAGTAACATGGAGCCATCTATAGCCAGTTTTGAAGTTAATGAATGATTTAACTACTTGATTATTGGTTTCAAGAATATATTTGTCTAGTCATAATACAACATTGACTTTTACAAAATAAATCACAGTTGTTACCAAGACATCTACATCTAGACTTTTACTACATAATCATAGAGAGTTTTACAGTAGTAGGACTACTATGTTGTACACATACAAATATTTACACTTTATACAAATATAAATCTAGCAATTCCTTCATTATTTTGAGATAAATCGATTCTCACTATATTGCATGCTTTAAGAAAGTTCAATTTCACTAAAAGTTCTTAATACAGAGGTCAATATCTTCCAAAAACACAAACATAGAATTTGCCGATAGCACATTCCGTGTATAAAAGAGATTAGAGGATATTGCCTGCTTACAGGATTATGCATCATTAGAATGTTCTATTATTAATAGTTCTTGTCGCCATTATTAATATGGTTTTACACCTTAGCAGGAGAAGGAACTGCTGGAGAATCTGTGGCCATTGGCTCTGGGCTGCCTGTAATATAAGAATATAAGACACACAATCAAGTTAGGCACAACTAATGGTATGTGTAATTGATTTTAAAACTGGCGTTTATAACGAGCTATTAACATGCAAAATGTTACCACCTGCCACTTGTTATATTTGCCAAATGGAAAGTGTGTTTTTCTGTAATAAGCTCGTGTGTTTTAAATAGAACAATATTTACACCCAAACCAATGGCACTGGTGATCCACTCGATTACCCTGGTTACCGAAACGGTTCGTTTTGGTAACAAAATGTCGTAACATCGAAGGTATGATTTTTCTTTTTTTCTTATTTCACACGTTGTAGGCAGAAATTCCTCAACATTTTTATCACAAACATGTGTCAGTATCATATGTTAAAGAAAATGTACATATTTGCGAACAAATAGTTCAGAAGACAACAGAACTGTCGATTTAATTCTTCACTTAAGTTATATAAACGGTATTTCGAGAAACAGTTAAGATCTGGACTTTTAACCCAAACCGTTTATGTAACTTAAGTGAGGAATTAAATCGACGATTCTGTTGTCTTGTGAGCTATTTTTTCGCAAACATGTACATTTTCTAAAACATATGATACTGATACATGTTTGTGTGAAAAAACGTCATGGGGATTCTGCCTACAACGCGTGAAATAAGGAAAAAAGAAAAATAGTACCTTCGACGTTCCGACATTTTGTTACCAAAACGAACCATTTCGGTAACCAGCGTAATCGAGTGGATCACAAGTGAATGGGAAGGAAGTGAAGGGCAGCCCACTGAGAGAGCTGCTGTACAAGACCAGTGGCACCCAACCTCATTATAGCTTAAATGTCTAAATTTCAGTTAGGGGAAGGGAGTGTGTTTCAGTTATAAGCTATGACCAACTAGAAAAACAGCAACTCCACAGAGTAGCAAATCCCACCGAACAAAACATATTTTGATTATTAGTGGCCATCTTCAAAATTCCTTCTTGAGCAGAGCTTGTTCAGCCACCATTTTGAAAATCAAACTCGAACAGAACTATTGTGTCACTAGGCATCAGCATATAAATTTGAACAAAATCCATTCACTGCTATTTGAGTTACCAAAGATTACTTTTTTTACGAAAAATGGCAGCAATTTTAAAATTCAGCTACCATCTTGAAAATTCTTTGTCAAACAGAGGTACTGTGTCTCTACTCTACAGCATATAAAATTTGATCTGAATCCGTTTACTGGTATTTGAGTTATCAAAGTTTATGTTTTTCACGAAAAATGGCCACCAATTTGATATTTAGCAGCTAAAAAAATTCTAAAAATCTGTTCTTCAGTGTAGCTCCTTTGTCCCTAGGCATCAGCATATAAAATTTGAACAAAATCCGTCAACTTGAGTTATCAAGGATTACCAGCATCAGGTGGCAATTTTAAAATTCAGCCACCATCTTGAAAATTCTTTCTTAAACAAATCTACTTTTCCCCAAGGCATCATTTTATAAAATTTGTTATCAAAGATTACGTTTTTTACGAAAAAGGCGCCATTTTGATATTAAGCAGCCATTTTGAAATTCTCTTCTTCCGCATAACTCCTTTGTTTCTAGGCTTCAGCATATAAAATTTGAACCAAATCTGTAAACTAGTATTAGAGTTATCAAAGATTAAGTTTTTTTATGAAAAATAGTGGCCATTTTGAAATTCAGACGCCATCTTGGAAATTCTTTCTTGAAGAAATCTACTTTGTCCCTAGGCATCATCATATTAATTTTGAACCAAATCCATTCACTGGTATTTGAGTTATCAAAGATTATGTTTTTACGAAAAATGGCCGCCGTTTTGATATTTAGCAGCCACTTTGAAAATCTCTTCTACAGCATGGCTCCTTTGTTCCTAGGCATCAGCATATAAAATTTTAACCAAATCCATCAACTAGTATTTGAGTTATCAAAGATCATGTTTTTTTACGAAAAATGACCGCCATTTTGAATTAAGCAGCCATATTCAAAATTCCTTCTCGAGCAGAGGTTCTACCCCCATAAGGCATAAGCTTATAAAATTTGATTCAAATCCAACCCGTTTTTGAGTTATCACCCGGACAAACAGACAGACTAGATGGACGGACAAACGGAAGGACGAATGTCTTTCCTATATCCCCCTCGAACTTCGTTCAGTGGGATAAAAAGCTGGTTAGTGGTAATATATGTATCTAATCACATGTACTTAATAAATATAGCAACACTTGTTCTGTCACAGCCATTTAAAATAATAAAAACTAAAGCAAACACTTACCTTGACTTGCAGCTGTATCAGGTGCACCACTCTCACTGGGGGTAGGGGTGCCTGAGGCTGGGGGAGGCGTGGGCACTTGAATGGGGCCTGCTGCTGTTGCCATGTTAGGGTTGATTGGGGGTGGGGGTCCTTGAGGAGCCAGTGAAGCTGCTGAGGCTACAACATACAGCAGATTGAGAGTAAATGGTGAGTGGAAGAAAACACATCAGTGGACATATATTTCAAAACATGCAAAATGTCACCACCATTAGTAACAGATGCTGAACTCCAAACACCAACCACCAAACACTAACTGCCGAACACCATCCACAAAAAAGTTGGAGACTATAACAATATGTCACCACTTGTGGTGGTGACATAACAACGGTAAGCTAAAGCCACATGCAAGCATAAAGTCCCTCTCATCAGGATTATATTTCACTTTTGATTACTGGACCAGCCTTGGCTTCCTTTTAAAATATGCTTATTTCCATTGATTTTTCCCTTTTGAAGGATGTACCCAGTGAAAGTTTAGAATTTTTGGGAATAGTATTGAATTTTTTCTCAAATATAGTATTCTGACAGCTAATATCAAAACTCAATACCCAATACTTCACATTTTAAAAATAAACATTGGGTTCCCTGTTCATCATTTTCAATCAGGGGATATCATTACTAAACTATAATGATGATTTTTCTTTGTCATTATTTTGAGAATTAGAATTAGAAGATTTATAGAAGTGTTCTATATTTCATATTTTCTTGGCCTATTTGATTTTTGATTAAGGCGCACAAATCAGACAGATTCAACAATCAATGAAAGCTACTTGACTTCCTTCAATTTCAGTACATAGGCATACTTTAAAGAGACCTCCCAATTACCACTTCTGCAGATAAACATAACAATATAGGCTACCCATCAAACTTTTTTCATTGGAATCCTCATAAAAAATACATGAATACACTGAAAAAATGAATATGCAACAACATGGACATGCAAAATTCCCATTTCTTTACTCTAATTCAAGCTTTTCATGTACTCCTGGATACAACTACACACATGCGCTAAGTTGTTAATTGGAGAATCTAATTGTACTTAAAATAATCTGGTTTTTACATCCTCAAAATGTGTGCCTACAAGTTCTAGAACCACTTCCTCTTTGTGTCCTTGCAATAATCAATAAACATGCCTCTGATAACATGCCTCTGATTTTGATTGGTTTGAAGAAAATTTAACAGGAACAAAAACACTTCATGAGACTTAGAAGCTAGCGGGAATTATCCAATGATCTTGGATGATACTACAGTTTTGATACTGATAAAAACTTCTCAGTGTTTTAAATACAAAATGAATGTCAGTTACGAATAGGTAGGTGACAGTGCAATGATTCAAATCAGATTGGGCAGTTGTTTCAAGGTGGGAAAAGAGACAGTGATTCTGGAATCTTGTATTTTGAAGATGATTTATGGACTAAATAAATGCATTTATTGGCATGTTGTAGAAATATTACCTGTCTTACTACATACTGTTCAATTTGGGGACCGGGAGCATGGTTTTCTCAAAACAGAACACCGATTTTCGTGGAGCACACTCAGCAAATGTGGGAATATGAATATTTTAAAGCCCCTTACCATACAAAGCAATACAACACTGCACAACATGTCCATGCCAAGAATCTAATCCATACATACGAGTACACTCACTATTATCACCGCCCCCACTCGCCATCTGCTGCTTCTGCTTATCAAGCGCCATCTGTTGAGCAGCATGTTGGCGGGCACGATACTCTGCTGCTTTCAACTGCTCCATATGAAATTGTTGCCTCTCATGTAAAAGCTGTTGACGCTGATACTCCAATGCTTCACGTTCACGATCCATTATTGTCTCCAGTTCCTCAAAGTGACGCAGTTTGATCTCTAGCTTCTTCATCTGGGTCTCGACTAGTAATGCCACTAGGCTCTTGATCTTGCGCTCCTCTACAGCAGCTAGATGCTATAATGACAGTGACAGTATATGATTATTCATGACATTTTAAATGTAAAGGTCCAATGTCTTCAGTTACAGATGCATTCATTGAACAATAAGAAGCTATTTACCCCCCTATCACACCAAACTAGTTCTTACCCATTCTTGCCAGTCCTACGAAAATGTCGTAAAACGGGCTCAATCTGGCTGCAGTCGGGATATATGTCTAAAATAATCAGCCACTTCGTTCATAAACAGTCTTCAATACGTCCATCTCATTTGCAGTTCGTTCAGGTCGCACCACGTCGGTGTGCAACGTAGTATAAACTGTCCCTTAGTCTAGAAGGTCATCATGACCTGATAAAAGAACGGTATGGTCGCCATCAAATTTTGAATCCATTCAAAATTCTAAATCACATACCCGTCCGGGAAAGTCCATGAAGTTCGTAAACAGACCGTAGAACGTTGTAGCTACGTTCATTCAGTTCGCACACAGTTTAAAACCGATTCGGCAACGTTTTGACGACCACCAGAAAATTTTGAGCATGCTCTAAGTGCTGGAGGACCTACTCGTTCTAGTAGTTTCATGAAGTTTGTAAACAGATCCCAAATGGTTCTTAGTGGGTTCTTAGTACGTCAAATCCGTTCGTGCACAGTTTGAGCCCATTTTTGAGAACGTAGTGAGAACTAGTTTGGTGTGATAGTAGGGTTACCAAGTATAACCACCAATGAGCCCCAATTAGCTATTCTCTAAAAGGTACGTCCATGTAAGCAAAAATACAACATGAAATCAGCAATAATTAGAACAATCCAAGCAGCAAGAACATTTGAGGAGATGTCAGGTTTTACCTTTGCCTTGACTGCAGCAGCAGCAAGGGCAGCTGCCGCAGCAGTCTGTATGTTGCTGTCAGTCAGGGAACCATCTTTAGGTTTGGCCACCTGGCTGTCCTCTTGGGCCTTCTCCTCTTTAACTTCTTCTCCCTTCTTCTCCTCTGCAGCTGGAGTCTCCTGAACATGGGATGAAAATATTATTTTCTATTGAATATAAGAATATTTTAGGGTTGTCCAAAATGTCTGGGATTTTTCAATGCTGAGATGTGATATTTTTAACTATTGTAGCCACTGAGTGCTGTTGAAAACTTGAACCTCTCTTTGCAAAAAATAGTTGATGAATGCACAAAATTGAAGTTTTAACTATAGTACTGTTAATTTAGAATGGTCCATCCAGGTGAAAATGTTTTTGGTGAAACAAAAGTTGGTTGTACCTCCTTTTTCTCTTCACATTTTTCTTCAGGTTCAGTCTTAACATCTGGCACATCCTTGGTCTCCTCTTTATCATCAGTCTTTTTGTCTTTTTCCTCTTCTTTCTTACTTTCCTCTGTTGCTGCATCTGCTGGTTCTTTCTCCTTGTCTGTCTCCATTGGTTCCTCCTTGATAACAAACATTAGGGGTAATCTCAAAGGTTTCACACTAAATTCTTCAGTAATCCATTTTGTTAACTGCGAGACCACCCATCTAGCCTAACTTATCAAATTGTTACATAATGTCGTTTTTATTAACATTTCCCCATTACGTTACACATTTACGATATATATTTTTTATATACTTGTAATTCATGCTGTTTTACTTACTGTTTTTCTAGTTTTGTTTCTATTTTTCAATGTATCTTACATGTATAAACTTTATGATGCATGAGAATGAACACATATTTTACCTTGTCCTTTTCTTTTTCTTTGTCTTTGTTGTCCCCTCCCTCAACTTTCTCTTCTTTTTCTTCTCCCTCCTTCTTCTCCCCAGCATCAGAAGTAGAAGTAGTAGTAGTAGTAGTATCCGTTGCAGTCTCTCCTAAAAATAACATATACAACTTACTATGTAACATTCTAAATTCCCTCAATTCATTCCGTTTTCTTCCTTTAAATTCCAGTCAGCACTTAAGGACATGTAGGAAATTCTACATTGTCAACATAAAATAAATATGTAAATACAAAATTGTACTTTGTGTCAAACTGTACATGAACCTTTGCAATTCTCTTGTGGATTAGCCTTACTGCCATACCTTCCTTGTCTGCACCAGTCCCAGCGATTCCACTTTTGTCTATTCCATACTCTGAGTCTACACTCTTGCCCTCCTTGATGGCAGTCTCAACATTCTTTATATGGGCACCAATTAGAGTTGAAGGAACCTCATCCTTCATCTTAGAAAATTCCTCTGAAAACAACATTAATTATTCAAATGTCATTGTCCTGTTATACAGTCAAATGTCACCTTCATACTTGAAAATACATGATAACAATGAGATTTTGTGAATATGCCACTCATAAATATGAACCTTCATTTTAAGAATAACTTGTTGAAACTGTTTCCAGCTGTCTATTTTGTGGACACGGGACTTAACATGCAAATACAAACTAGAATATTCAAGAATGGAAATGAACTACAGTAGGATGAACGTTTTCATATCTCAGCATGCACATACATACATACCTAGAGCAGACTTAGCAGCAGCACTTGAGATTCTTGGATCAACAACTGAGGCCAGGAAAGCCACTGTGGACATGATAGGATTGCCTGACTGGGAGAATGGGATTGGCTGGTAGGCTAAAGGACCTGTAATTGTAAATTAAGTCCACTGTATAGCAGTCCACTGTATAGCATATACAATTATTGACATTTTAAGAGGCTACTGTTATAGCCATATTCCAACATAGGATGAAGTTTAACTGAACATGAAAAATTCAAACTTAATATTAAATAATAATTAATTATTATTAATTCATATATTAAAAGTAGTCATAAGTGACCAAAACTGTTCAGAAATTACGATAAACAGATACATAATTCATTTGGTATGAAAGTCCCCCTACCTAGGTGTCCTCCATCAGTTGAGAGATATGGGTCCTCAATGGGGAGTCGAAGGAAGTGTAAGATACATTCATCCTGTGTACGACTTCCTACGTGTTCACAGACCTTGTTCCAGTCATCTTTGTACATTTCTAAAGCCTCCAGAAGCAGGAGGGTCTCCTGGTCAGTCCATTCCTTCGATCTTGTTGCCGCACTTTTGTCCTGGTAAGAAATCATTTATTATAATTAGCTGATTATGACTAATATAGGAGTATGGATATATCAAACAGGAGTCCATTTTTGTACCGTTCGTAGTAACGAACGTTCGCAATTCGTAAATTCGTAAATATTTAAAAAGTTACGAATGAGTTACGAATTCGTAAAGTTGCGAATGGATCATTTTTGTACGCTTTCGTAAGTCATTCGTAACTTTCCAATTGTTTAGAGTAAGATTTACGAATTGGTTGACGTCATATTCAACAGTTGTCAGGACAGATAGTACAACAAACAGGGTTGATCAAAATAATAAAACCAAAGTCATACAATAAGAACTTTATAAAAATAAAGATTCCATGAAAAGTACTAAAATAGATATAGAAATAGGTTGATAATACGTTGATAACGGTGTTGCCCTTTGTGTTCTCTAATTTAGAATGACAAAACGTCACAAATCACAATATAAATGAATAAATAAGAGGCCGTTCGCAAAGTTACGAAAGGGTCAGAGGTGATATTAAATCTACGAACGAAAACAGGCATGACGTCACTATTTTCGTAAATTTACGAATCGTTCGTAACTTTACGAATCTTACGAAAATGCAACTTTGCGAAATTCGCAAATTAAACAATCGACTTACGAACGTTCGTTACTACGAACGGTACAAAAACGGGGCCCAGGCCAGTAACAGTTATTATACAAAACATTATTAAGTGAATATTTTATTCGATAGTGAACACCTACATATTATATGACTGAATGTCTATATTTTCACTAAAACAAAATATACTCATTTTAGCAATGGTTTCTCTATAAATGGATGGAGTGGTTTGAATGCAAAAGTTAAGATTTAATATGAATACAGTAAATCCATTTCAAAAATAATTCTTACCGATAATGCCTTTTTAGAATAAATATCAGTTTTGAGTCCAAATGTGGAAGAATGTTTTTTCTCATCAGATTCTTCATCTTTCCTGGTTCCCCCAGACATGTCCATGATCTGCTTGGCTGCCGATGGCTAAAACACATCATTTTCAATATCTTTTCATGAAAGCAAATATTATTCCGAACACAGTTTTACTCCTCGTCACACACAATGCTATATTATGAACATAACTTCACATCACATCACTATTAATTCAGTATTATTAAGTTTTATACCCCTCATCATGCACGATTAAATACTATGAAGAGAGTTTTACCACCCATTCCCATTTTCGCCAGTATTTTAAAATAATATTACTACCACACTCAAAATCAAACAGAAAAATCACAACTGGTATATTCCTCTATTTCTAATCAAGTATGATGGTAGCTATCTTACTCTACTGAGCCACTTAGTGGTATCTAATAACTAACCATTGGCATCTATGTAATGACATTCAGGAAAGGAAAGCTTTTCAAAGCAGGTCGATTTTGCGCTAGTTTCTTATTTGGAATAAACCTAAATACTGAATGGTGCTTATATAATTCACAAAACCTTGGTATCACGTAAGGCCATTCAATGATAAGTATATGTTTAGCATCCCCACACTAAAGAATGAGTCAAATTTTCACAAAACCAAACATAATTTTAAGGGCACAGATATGTACAAATCTAAATTACAACTGAAACTTAAAAACTGATTTAAGATCATATTATAGTGAAAGGAGTTTTACATACATTTCAATATGTATATATGGTACTTTTTCTTAAAAACAATATAAAGCCCATATAAAGGTAAAAGGTTTATTTTTGGAAATTAGTTTTTCTTCAACTCCTACCTTCTTTAGATTCAGCCCCTTTACAGGATGTTAACCATAGAATTAACTTTGAATGGCCTAGGTAAGGTTTCATTTTGAGAGAAGCATAATTGGATCCTAAGCAGAATGTTTGAACATGTATTCACCTGCTGGAGAAGGCCCATGATAATTTGAGACTAAAATAAATGAGTATGAGTGCGTGAGTGTAACGAGTGTAATGTCTGATGGATTAGAATGGAGTATTGTGATGCAGAGAAAGTTCAATTTTCTCAATGACATGAAATAAGTCAAAATACTTTTTGGTAATATTTGGTAATTATAAGAATGAATTACTATAAGAAAAGAAAACCTGGGCACATACCAACGTTTGTCAAGTTTTCATATGTTATAGTACAGAAATTAATGTCATTGTTCTATTTAAAAGACCTAGCACAATAGAAACAGCTTATTGTGTGGCATGCATGATATATTTACCTGGTTGGTCTTTGGTGTGTTCAGGGGCTGTAGACCAGAGGGTGTATCACATACTATGTGGAAATGTGATGTGGGAGGGGGGCCCATTGATGTTGTCTTGGCATCTGCATCTACTTGGTAGTTGATTAGGCCCCACTGTTCAAGGAATGCATGGACTCTGTAATAGAACAAATGATAATATTGCATTGTAAGTTGATTAGACCCCACTGTTCAAGGAATGCATGGACTCTGTAATAGAACAAATGATAATATTGCATTGTAAGTTGATTAGACCCCACTGTTCAAGGAATGCATGGACTCTGTAATAGAACAAATGATAATGTTGCATTGTAAGTGATTAGACCCCACTGTTCAAGGAATGCATGGACTCTGTAAATAACAAATGATAATGTCGCATTGTAAGTGATCTTGCATACACCCAGCAATAATTATTAGGTCTAGATTTATACACCAACTAAGCTTGGAGGAAATGGAGAATGTCACTCGACTTTTTGGTGATTTTGAAGTTATGTCTGCAATTCACAGTTCAAAATCAACTTCCGTAGTAATTTGACAACACACTTTACTTTGCTTCACTGACCTTTTACTGTTTCCCAAAACATATTCTCTCAAAATCTGGAAATTAGGGTGATGAGTGGGGAAATTTTGTAGGGAATTTCAGTCACAATTAATGATTGTCAACTTTCCCTTCCTCCAAGTGTAGTATCATTTGTAGTAAGAATTGTTGTCAGAGAAGGTCATGTGTACATGTAAATGTATATAATACATGTACATGTGCAATACATGTACATAATTGTTTACCTCATTATTGCACAAACATCTCCAGCCAAGTTCCTCCTACAAGCTGTACTTGTAATATACTCCTGGGGATTCAGCCTGTATGTATCTATCATAAAATTCCTATAGGCTAGGTAGCTGAAAGAAAAAGAAATATCTTTTCAAATCAAGATATATACTAATCTAATTAAACATACATGTAGATTTCAGGCTATTTGTGCAATATTTATATTTATGAACTATTTGTTTCAGAACATATATGCAAAATAGTAATAGTTTGCCATTAAAATTCTCAATCTGATTTAAAATAATGCACTTGTATGTGTACAGGGCAGTTATCTTTATTAATTGAAACACTCAAATAGCTGGCTTACATTTCTGGAGTCTTTGACTTGTTCTTAGAATTGAAGAATTCTGGTAATGCCCGTCTCTCTATAGCATGTACCCCATTGTAGTCAAACCATCCTGTGTAACTGGGGATTATTATATGGTGAGTCTGTTCTGTTACATTCTCCTCTGGTTCCTCCGGCTTGTCACGTTTCCCAGTCACTTCATCACTAGGGGTCCCTGACCTGGATGCCTTCTGCGATGACTCATCCTCAGCCTTCAACAAAGCAGATATACAAATTCAAATATTTTAACACAAGAGTCAGTAAAAAGACTTCATTCAGTTTCTACCAAGGTCATATACTTACATCAAAATGTGACAATCAACTGCTTGAATTTTTCATGTCTCAGAGAACAATAATTTTCAGTATGCTGACATAGCAATTGAAACTTGAAGAAAATTTTAATGTGAACAATAGTTTGAGAAAAATGACGGAGACAGTACCTTTCCGTCAAGAGGCATTTCCTCCTCCACATCCATCATAATGCCCCCACGTATTGGGTTCATGTCTGTATCCTTCTGGAATCGGGATGTCGATGCTGCAATACAAACAACATTCAACCTAATTCAACAAGAGATAAAATGAAGAGGATACTATTTCTTAAATTAAATATCCGGTAAAAAAAATTTCCCCCCTATTTATGTGATAATATCAAAAATATTTGTACACTTCTGAATGACACAGCACAAAGTAACATGACAGAAAACTAAGCATGTGCATCTAAGGTCTATAACAAAGATGACATATAGATCAGTACATAGATGTGTTAAGGTACTATGTACAGACACAAGATATCATGCCAATAAAGAAAAAACACTTACGTTGTCGGGGTAGGTGAACTTCAGTGATATTAGGCTCCGGAGACGGGTCATCCATCCCTTTAGTGAGATCATCATCCTCATCCTCCTTGGAAAAACGTTTCTTGCTAGATGAGACTGCAGGGCTGCGTGCACTTTTCCTCTTGTTCTTTTTATCTGGTGCTGGAGACGGGGATCTTTTCCTCTTCCTCTGTTTCTCTTTTTTCTTATCACTGCTGGCAATAAGCTAGTAAACAAAAGCACAAACTTGTAACTCGAAAAATTCAACTTCGAAAGATGTACTATTAAGAGCTGATTTCCTAACCCTACAGCATTGTATCTGATAATTAAGTGTTCATAGATGCAATTGTCCTAATTTCATCACATACATTGATATTTTCTTAGAATTCACATTCCAAAATGAGAGAATACAAAGTAAGATATTGGAATCATGAACCAAAACCAAACCCAAGTTAACCACAAATTCTGCTTAGATAAGTGGATATTAAAAAGCAGTTTCAGCTTACATCTTCAAATGTCATTTTTGATTGGTTACTTTTCTTCTTCCTTTTCCCATCTTCATCTTCATTGCAATAATCCTCCTCATTCATCCATTCATTGAATTCATCAAGATCAAGCAGCCACCTTGCATTAACTTCATAAGGGGGTTCCTTAGTACGGGGTGGCTGGGGGTCGAACTCTATGTCAGACTCTATCCAGGTGTCATAGCTGCAAGTTTTCATATACATCTTATTAGAGACACGTATACTGTATGTAGATAACAAAATTAAATGTGACATAATAAGTTATTCAATGATTCGACTAAATATAAAATAATATTTTTGCCCAAAGAGGTTGCCTCCTAAAATCACATCTTTCAAAAGTACACTATTTTCTGTATTTTCTGAGGATTCATTAAATAACATGTTTGTTCAACGATATTCAGAAGCTGTTTTCAATGGTTTAAGCAGATAATGAGCATTCTGTATCACAATTGTGAAAATAGAGGATGGAAACATCATTATACTGTTCTATATATTTTGCTGCATACATACTTTTATTCTAAGCTAAACCCAAGTATATAGTCTATTTTGTTGGTTGCATTGTATGTTTAATTTGCTGTGAATGAACTATAGACTTACCTGTCTGGGAAGTACAGCCAGTGAATCAATGTGTTCTTATCTCGCTTCATCAGTGGTCGACACCATTCCTCTGAAAAACATAAATATATGTCAGTTATCATTGAATTATCAGGGCATGTAATGATACACAGAAGCTATGACATATTATCATTGCATGGTTTAGATGTATATTTAGTCAGATATTTGTAAAGATTCTCTGCTTTTACATATTTGAGAGAAATTGTTTAAGAAAAAAACTGAACTAGCAGGATATTGCAAATTAAAGAATTAATTTCAAGTAAATATTAATTCTCTTCTGTTAAACTTTTAATTCTACCAAGGTAATGTTTTCTAGGAAATTAGAATATATATAATTCAAAATATTGTTTTATGACAATATAAAACAAATAAAACTTTATGAATAAATAAATATTATAAAAATGACAATTAAGATCAGAACACTAAATATAAATCAAAATTAAGAAACAATGAACCAACACACTTATACTAAATAATTATCATTATTATCTATAATATTTACTCTTGGATTCATTTATATTAGAAACTTTCTGCACATTTTTTGCCCCAGAAAGTTTTCTAATTCTACTTAAAATTATTTTACGAATAGTTCTTTTGTCAGACAGTTTTTCCTCTGAAAATAATATAAGAAAGAATGGGTCTTACATAATAAATAGATATTTGATTTTGGTATTTATCATGTTTATATTAAATTCAAATAAGTGAATTTATTAATGCATATGTTATTCATTGAATCTGAAATCATGTTTCTTCATTCCTCAGAATAACCTACCGTCTTCGTTATATATGGGCATAATATGGACAATATGTGTTGCCTCCTTTTTATCAGTAACAATGGTACCAGAGTGCCGCTTTATAATGTCTTTATACGTGGGCACCAGAATCTTGTCGAGATCAGGCATCAGAAAGACTTTCGGCATGATCATGCAATTATTCTGCACCAGACTTTTCTCTATTTGCATGAACATCTCAACATTGCGGTCCATCCTTGAAGGGGACTGGAAATCAAATCTCCTCCTATAATTAAAAAAAATTGTTGAAGATAAATGGAATTTGTATTTACAACATTGAGGGGACACCTCATAGTGATAATCTTTGTCCAATAAAAATACTCAAATAAATATGGTATTGTATCAGCTTAGTGTAGTGTTTAACTTTTGCACATTGAAAAAATTTAAAACAAATTAAATAGAAGCAGAAATTTTGAATGGCTGTCATGTTAAAATGTATATTAGTTACCAAAACTGCCAAGCACATAACACATTTTGAACTTATGGATCACCAAGGTTTACAATTATAAGAATATTCCAGCACTTAGATACAGAACAAATGACATGTATGTGCAAAATTAATTTTTACAATAAAACTTACCATCCTTGGTCAGTTTTAAACTTAAAGACTGCAGCCAGTATGTGACAAAGAGCTCCACCAGGTTTATAATCAATGAAGTTTCTCATCTGAAGAAAAAAGGTTTACCATATTAATATGACAGTAACATGACATGTATGTCACATGTATTTACATTGTCTTAACAGCCTTTAACATTAACATGCAAAATGTCACCACCTGCAATTTGTTACAGATGCCAATCAAGGATCAACTGGAAAAAATTAGAAGTGATAGAATAACAGAAAAAGTTTTATCTTAAATGGGGGCACACAACCGTGTGGTGTGTATTACTCCATAGTAGAGTTTTACTTACAGGAAGTTTAGTTAAAGCTGGTTTGCTGACACTCTTGCCAAATGCATCCTCTTGGAACTGAAGTAGTTGGCAGACTAACTGGGCCAGAGTCTTATTGGTGGGAGGATCAGCCTGGACATACTGCAAACACACAAATAATTCAATCCCCTAGATGTAAGTATTTTTATTATAACATACATAGAATATGTTATGATAAGAAGTATGCACATAGCTAGTGCAGGACATTTTCTGGTTTTGTCAATAAAAATATTCATTTCTGAGTGTCATACATTAAAATCATAAGGATTTGTAGAAATTATATATTTCCATTACAAAGAGATTTGGCAATTCTGTTGAAAACTACCAGAAAAAAGTGGAAACCAAGAATTTCTCCTAACCTCTTCATTGGAAAAGTCCATGTGACTATTTTGACTATTTTCCCCAGGATCTTAAAGATCAGCAGTAACCCACGCAAAATTCTTGAAAGCCCATGGAAATACTAAGAGATTATTTTCAGTGAAGTAGCCAGGAAGAAAATAGTGACGAGGCGAAAAATGTTCTAAACCTTGCATGGCAATAGAAGAACACAATGATAACCCTTACGTAATAATGAGATCGTTCACAATTGAATCAAAATTTGATGATTCAAGATTAAAAATCAATAAACAATTTATAATTCGTCATTGCTAGCAGAATATTTCTCCTGTGTTCCTACTGTAGAGCAGTAAGTTATAAGGAAAAGTAATTCACAAATATTTGTGTATAAAGGTAAGAATACAATGTCATCCATGTCCAAAAAAGGATAGGCCTACTATCTGTGAGACAATGTCATAAGCTTACCTTCTTCTAAGGCCACTGTATCGTGGCCTTCCAGTAAAGATAGATTCCTGCATGAACAACTGGTCATGTCGTAATCATAAAATTTGAAATCATATGTCTGCCATTTTTCTACATCACAATTTGAATTGCGAGTTTTGGTCTTATTACCTCACCAAAAATTCCAAAACACACATAAAGTGATCAGTGTATTAGTTCACATCTTCTGGATTGCTAACTTAGAATTTACAGCCAGTTACTAATGTCAGACGTTAACGACATTTCGTCCAGTTTTCTAACATTGCCATTTTTCTTGGCTAGAGACTCGAGTAACCATAAGCTTACATGGATGCTGGATGACAATGGCTATCAGCTATTAGATATTATATATGGATATCTGTGACCAACATCTCATGAAGTCAATCAAATATTTCAATAGGTTCAATAGTTAGATACTATATATAAGCAGGACAATCGCTGTTGCTTTGGTCTTTAGGTGCTAGTCAATTCAAAATCAACTAAAATTATTATCTGAATTTTAATGAAAAAACAACGAAAACAAAGGATTTTTTAAATTTGAAAACGTTTTATGAGAGAAACTACATTAACGATGAAGTAACTTTTGGGCTCACCTTTTTACAATTTTTAAGGAGCCAATTCCGCACGTTATCATATTGTGCAATTGTCTCTTGGGACTCAAAAAACTTGGCATTTGGACCCCCATCATTTTTCCGGCGCGTGTTCGCCATCTTGGATTTAAAAGTAGGTCAAAATAATAGTCAGGAAATGATGACCTATATTTAAATTATTGCAATTATAAAAATTTTTATATATATGAATTTTATTTATTTTAAATAAGTGATCCAACCAGAGAGTCGATGGACCAATAAGGGACAAAAATATTGAGATATTTTTTTATAGCTTTATAAAAGAACCAATCAAATCGATAGGATCCCTTCAGTCCCGTCTAAAAAGTATCCACGTCGAAAATAAGAAATGGAAGTTCCACCACCGGTAGGTTTAATCTAATATTACACCTATCTGGGCTTCATTGGACTAGTTTTTGCATTGTAATAATCATTTGATACATGTAAGTGTCAACTGTAGTCGAGATTTAACAATCGTGTACTTTGAGCTCGGTAAAAACGAAATGTGAAAAAGGGTTGTATTTTTTCAAAATCAAAAATCTGAGTGAATAAGAATTGATAGGTATTCGACCAAGAATGATCACAAACCTAAATCTTTACCACTATGGCTTATTGGCAAAGGTAAGGTTAGGGCTAACGCTTGGCCCTGTGTTTGATTCCCTGTTCACACAAATTTGTTTGTGCATTCCGGGTGTTTGACTGTGCCGCAACTCATATAAAAGGCTTTGGTGTAAACTCGTATCTCGTGTGTAGGACAGAGGGGTGTAATATCGACACGTGGGGTAATGTCGACATAAGAGATGGGGTAACTTCGACAGTTACCTATTAGAAGTAGAATTTCCGTTTTCCACCATGTTTGATTTCTGGAAAAATTAAAATCTCACGAGATCTCGATCAATGCAAGATTGAAAATTAGACCATATAAACAACAAGGTGTCGAAGTTACCCCACATGTCAAAGTAACCCCAAAATGATGTCGACGTTACACCCCTTCGCCCTAGACTATATCCTATTTAGTCTGAATTATATTCAGACTATAAGGCACCTATGTTAAAGTTTGGTAATTCCAAATATTTGTTTACATAGGAAGTGCTATTCAAAATGGCCGATTGGATAAAATTAATTTGCACATTTTTACTTCAACTAGCTTTATTTTCACTAGACAATATGCTGTGTTACTTTTTATTGCATTTAATTGTACCTTACTATTTAATTGGAATTTTGTAATGTTTATTTTATTGAAAAAATGTTTCCTCCAATTGATAATTTTGTGCAAAAAATTTCACTGCAATTTCCACAGGAAAGTAGTACATCATAACAGACTGACTTCTAGTCAGTCTGTTGGATACATACTACCCTTCGCCCTACCAGTGCAAATAAAAGAACACAGTACTCCTTAGCAGGACTAAGGACTCCTCCAAGGAAGGAGGAGTTTCTGGCTCTGAATTAGAGTGTAAAATACGGAATATTTCAATTAGGTGTTACTCTAATATGGTCTAGTGTTGTCGCGATTAATCGATACATCGCGATATACATCGCCAAAGCTGATTCTGGCGATGCATCGATGTCTGAAACAAAACATCGATCTTTTTAAAAAAAATTAATTTGCTAAAATTCACCCTTTCTTATCTTATTTTGACGCAAATCGCTTACCTTTCTCATGTCTTATTTCATTTTCCAATGTTTTCTGATATTCTTTCGCTTTAAAACTGTTTTAGCTAGTCGAAATGAACCATTAATCTAAAAAAATTACTTTACTTTCATTTCACCCTTACTAGATGTCCCCGGATGTACCGGATGTTCGGTATTTTAGTGCATTAGCGTTCAGTATTTCAGTGCACTTTTCTCGGACTTTTTCTCGATGTACATCGCGATGTGCATCGATGTTTACTACTGAAAATTGCCGATGCATCGATGTACGATTATGGCACATCGCGACAACACTAATATGGTCATATATGGTGGTAATCAAGATTAATTTCCTGTAATGGGGACCTATATGGGGTATAATAAAAATTCAAAAAATGATAACATATTGTGAATCATTGACCTCTTTCAGCAGTATCCCTTGAAGCTGAATATAAGTAGAACCACTTTTGAGACACTTTTGAAATTTGGCTTGGCACTTGTTGACTGCAATCACTTACATGACAAATGCATAATATAGGCCTATACAAAGTAACCAGAATTTTTGGATAAAAAATTTGATGATGTTGTTTATATTTCATTATGTTGAACCAAAACTCACAATTAATAGAAATTCTGAAGGGGAAAAATGTTGACTGTTTTATATAATACAAGTATATCAAATATTTCCTTTTGGATAAATGTAAAACTTTGTTGGTATAAAACTATGTGATCTTGTATTGACTGTGATATGGATTGTGATACAACCTTTATCCTATGTTCCAAAAATTGTGTCTGCACTCAGCACTGTCTTGTCCATGTGTCCTGTCTGTATTCTGAAGAAAACCATTTGATTAATTGATTGACATTTTTATGGGTGTTTTTTTGGTGTGAAATTGTAAAAAGGATTTGTCTTGGCATGCTGGTTAAAGTCCATTTCATGGAATGATTTGCAACACTGACTAGAACACCGTATATAATACAGCTTTTTGATGAATTGTTTTTTAGGAGCCGTCTTTATATACTGTGAAGGCCATAGCTATTATGGACAATGATGGCAATAGGATGATAGCTAAGGTATGTGATAGATCCTCTAGACTCTTATGAGGAAATACAGGGTGCCATAGATCAAAGTGTTTCCCAAATATTCTCAAACTGCTTTTTAGCTCATTTCAGAGAAGAAATTGTTTGGTAGATGTGTTATAAATTTTTGAAAACTCTAGAGCTTTTCTGCCCATATATCTGATCAGCATTTGAGGAATGCTATACCTTTTAAGACATATTATTGTCCCTGGCACTAAATAAATCTCATCTTGCCATTTGTGTTACTTTTTGAGTTATTGAAACTTTGAATGCTGCAACAGGCTTAAACATTTTCAGTGTATTATATCATATGATCATGTTTAGTAAATAATATTGTGTATTTGGTCAATACAAGTTCAAACTTTAGCAGCAATCATGGACATTGGAAAGAAGCTGAATAGGCTGCTGATATAGTAAATTAATGTCATTGGTTTCAATTTCAAGTTATTTTTCATTAGGAACCCTGTGGTGAAGTCAAATAATTTCATATTTTTTCTATTTGTAGTACTACGATGACACATTTCCAACAACAAAGGAGCAAAAAGCTTTTGAAAAAAATCTCTTCAACAAAACTCACAGAGCAAATGGTAAGTATGGCCATGATTAAACATGCAAGTTTAGTGAAAAATCCAGTTTATTTTTTTAGTTGATTTCCATATTATGACAGGGGCGTTACATATCTACAATCAACACTACATTTCTCTATCTGTAACAGACTTTCATCTCATTCAGACTGAAATTGTATTTTAAATGCTTTTACAGAGATAGTAATATTTTTATTGGTACCTTTCTTCCAGCTGAAATCATTATGTTAGAAGGTCTGACCTGTGTATACAGAAGCAACGTGGATCTCTTCTTTTACGTAATAGGCAGTGCTAACGAAAATGAAGTAAGTACAATTATTATGTCACCACCAAACGTGGTGACATATTGTTATGGTCTCCATTTTATGATGGCGGTTGGTGATCGGTGGTTGGTGTCTGTAACAAATTCTTAAAACTTCCAATAACTTAACAAATACTGTTTAGACTGACTTCATTTTTTTTCAAAATCATCTACAAGTTTTCAGAAGTTCGAATCTGACTTTTGATTTAAGATTTGACCTTCAATGACCTTTTCAAGGTCAAAAAAGGTCAAAAGGGTCTTTTTTCAACTTGCTTCAAATTGACCAATTTTTTTTTCAAAATCATCTACAAGTTGTCAGAAGTTCAAATCTGACTTAAGATTTGAGATTTGACCTTCAATGACATTCTCAAGGTCAAAAAATATTTGACCTTCAATGACCTTCTCAAGGTCAAAAATGTCTATTTTCAACTTGCTTCAAATTGACCAGTTTTTTTTCAAAATCATCTACAAGTTCTCAGAAGTTCAAATCTGACTTAAGATTGAACTAATAATATTATGAGCAAGTAGGTGATGACATTTTGTCATGTCAATGCCTTGTTGTGTATGTCGTAAAATAAAAGGAGATGAAATTAGTCTTTGGATAACGTAAATGCAAAGGAAACAAACACATGCATTTTTTGATTGATTTTTGAATCTTTGTAGCATAGAATTATATGTAATTTTCAATTGATTCTTCCTTCTTTTCAGTTGATACTAGTGAGTGTTCTAAATGCCTTCTACGATGCTATAAGTCAAATACTGAGGAAAAATGTTGAAAAGCGTGCATTATTAGAAAATCTCGATGCCACATTCCTAGCCATGGATGAGATTTGTGATGGAGGGTAGGTTTGTTAAATATATGCTTTTTACATGCTGCCATCGCTCTGGAGCATTGAAGGCCCATTGAAGAGACTTCTTTGTAGAGAATTAATTGTCACTCCGTTGAAAACCTAGTTGAGAATTTGGAAGATCATTTTTTTGTAGCCAGAAAATAAACTGTAAATATAACGAGCTATCAAATGAACTCAGAGAATGTTCAATGAATTTCAGAATGAAACAGCTGACACTGGAGGTTATACAGCAATCAGTTTGTGATTTACTCTTGACATGTAGAATCCTGCAATTACATACTTGATAAATCGGCTCAAATGTATGTTTATATGTTAATGTTATTTTCCAGAATTATACTAGAAGCTGACCCTATGTCAGTAGTACAGCGTGTTGCAATAAGAATGGATGATGTACCTCTAGGAGAACAAACAGTAGCACAGGTAACCCCTCCCTACCAATACACACCTCTCATTATCTATTTACCATATATACACCATCCCTACCAGTATGTACCTTCCCTGCAAATTGTTTACCTCTCTCTACAAATTGTCTAGCTGTCCCTAACAATATACCCCTCTTTACTTTTGACAATCACCCTTTTACCCCTATCAACCATCTGCCCAACATTTATCTGAGCCCCATGTTCACTGAATCAAGAAGTATATCAATAGCTTGTACTTGATAAAAATCGATACTAACTGACATAACTTGTAATTTGTGAACAATAATGAATGTTGCAAAAAGTTGCATCCTCCTTAGCAGGTATCCAGAATCCGTACCTCCTTCTTCCCCCTGCTATAACCAATTTGGAAGCGCCCGATTAAACTGAATCACATGAACTAATTATGCGCAATGACTTTATACATGATTTCTGCTGCAGTGTTGCGACAGCCAATCAGATTGTGAGTTCTTAATCCGGGAAATGGTAACTGCTTATCGCAGGGGTAAAAAGAAAGAATATATTCTGGATTTTGAAGCCCTGTGATCGGAGGATGAAAAAGTTGTGGCATCGAATCTTATCATCTGGTGTCGCTCAATAAGTAAAATATGAGTGAAAGTGAAATGGCCCGTCTTAGGCATTTGAGCCTCTGATGCTGCACGCATAAATAGTACTTTATATACTATTGGCAATTAAACTTAATACCCCACTGTATGGATTAAATTGTACTACATTTTTATTATTTTTTATTTGCTTGTTTTTAAGCATCTTTCTCAGAAGTTGCAGGTAAGGCTTACATTGGACATAAACATCATGGTGTTAAAATAGAGATTATATTATGATAAAGATTATATGTAAAAAGATATTGATAGATATTAGCGTTTCATATTATAGACATTGACAATTGCAGTTTTTTATGGGAATAGAAATGATTTGAAGTCAATTAGAATCGGATTTACTGGTATTACAAACAGTATTTATTTTGTAATGAAAGATGTTGATTCTCTATCTCTTGGAATTTAGGGAGGTATCTTTTTTCATTCAGCATTGATGTGTCTTAGATATGTTTGGCAGATATCTCATATAATTAATTAATTCATCAATGAAACCAGGGTTGCGAGTATGAACTCTATCGATGCCATTATCATCATATTTGCAATAGAAATTCAAAGTTTATCAAAGAGAAGATGATAATTGAAAAACACCAACATTTTCAAATTGTTCAAGGGGTTGGGGATTGAATTTCTTTTCTTCACAGCTATTGTCATTTGGACACAATCCCAAACTGGATCCATAATGATATAATGGGTGCACAATGTCAAATACTTAACATTCTTCAGTTGTTGCAAAAGGAGTCAATGGAGCCCCTTATAAAGGCAAGGCTATTTGTTGCATTCATTTTGTTCCCATTATGTTTGTTATGGACTCATGTACTAAACAGTTCAGACTTCTTAAAGTTGAAAACTTGTGACATGTCCATATTGCATCCATGTACATGTAATCCAACTCTGTCTCAGTTAATTATATTTTGTTAATAGGCTTTCATTTTCTTCTGATTCTATCTTATAGACGTCATCTAAGAAGGTCAATTCACTTTTAATTTTTAAATAACTTTTTGGAAATTACTCATTGATCATTGAAGCTTTGAGAATTTGTGACAATGGTGAAGGGCAATAGACTGGACATAGTTGCTACCATATTTTTCTCAAAATAAGGCCCACGCTAGATCTTAATTCTTTATGGACCTTATTTTGAAAGAAAATTCATTATGAGGTCCTTGAGGCTTTTATTTGAATTTTAAAACACTTTGCAGGTCATTTTGACACTTTGAAATAAACAATAAACAACAATAAACAGCATATGAGTTTGTTCAACATAATGAATGGGCCTTATTCAAAAGAAATCCAGTAGCATGTTTTGGATTTATTTCCTTTCTATTTATTGTTTTATCTCAGAACATCATTTCATTTTTATTATTGGTGACTTAACATTATTGGTGGAAGTAGTGTGTAGCTATGGTGATGAGGTGTGTCCAATGTAGGCCTTAACATGTATGTGTATATACTGTGTATGATTATTGACCTAGAGGTCAACTGTAAAAATAGTGTCATGAAGCAACAATACAAACATAAGACTTAATAAGTGTGTAAACATGTCCTTGCTTGATTGTGTCATGATACAATATACCAAGTCAACCAAACTGTTGACCCCACTTTGGCCAATCAGAATGGTGTATTTAGACTGAGGTGGTAACATTTACCAAAAGCTATATGTGCCAGTTTGCAGAATGTTTGTGTTGGCTATTGGAATTGAGGGACTCAATTTTTATTGCCCCGACAAAGTTCTCTAGGGATTTAGTGAAGCTCTATCTCTCAAATAGTAGTGGAAAGATGTAAATGCTTTACGTCGTTATGTTTTTATGTCACCTCCAAAAGTAGTCTTAAACTTTTTTTGTGTTTGGGGGGTGGTCGGCATTCAGCGGTCTGTGTCTGTAACAAATGGCAGTTGGTGTGTTAATGCCTTATCTAGCCATGCAATATTTTAATTACCAGTTACAATGCTAATATAAGTAAAACAACAGATACACATTTTCATTCAATCAATGACAATCATGAGGGTCATAAAAACCAAGTATAGATTCACTTGATGGTAATTATTATTGGAGCTCAATGCATCTGTTTATACTTAAGCACATGATTGCTCTTCTTTCAGGTTATACAGTCAGCAAAAGAGCAGATCAAGTGGTCATTACTCAAGTAGCATCAGGGGATATACAGAACTATTTATTTATAACACACTATATGAGGGAAGATAGTGTACATTATACAGCCACACAAAGCACAAGATTCTCAACTATTCAGTGACTCATACTAGAATATATGTTCCAAAGGCAAACCATCCAATGACCAATTGACCTGCCAACGACTTGGTGATCTTTCATTACCTTGAAAGCAGTTGCTCAGTCAGTCATCTCTCTTGACTAGGATCAGAGTCTCAATAAAATTGCAAAAAGTTTCAACAACTGAAACTTTTCAGAGTTCCATTATCTGACATTATTATCATATTGTATCCATAAATATGAACATATCCTTATAGGACCCATGAGAGACAACAATATAGTTTTGATTTTGAAAGTATAACTTTTGGTTACCATCTGGTGCAAGAGTTAAATGTGGCATTTGTACATGCTTGTGTGGAATATATTGGATGTCACTTGCTTGGCCTCCAAAATATATCATAAATTGTAAATATGATAAACTATATAGAAAAATATATAGATTATAAAAATATGCAGTTTTATGTTTGCTTAAAGATAATATTTAATCTAGAAGAGACTTAGTATAAAGTAGAAAATCAAGGACAATCATTTCTGGACATGCATGCCCCACAGAAATGTAGTTTCCTACAATTCAATTCAGTCAAACTTGGGCATTCTTGGTTTTGTTATATTTAAACCTCAGGTTATATACACTGGTAATCTACTGTACATAATGCAACTAACTATTAAGACAGGGTGAGTAAGGCAATGGTTAGTTGAGAGGGGAGAAAAACCAGAAACCTTTATAGGAAATACCTTACACCTTCTGGCACAGGTTTCCAAAGTTGAATGTGAATTCACAGTATGTGACTTACTGATAGATTTTAAGATTTTTATGAGATTTACAGGACTGAGTAACACTTAACTCCTGTACCCCCTCTCTAAGAACAAGATTGTAAGAGAGAAGAGTGGTTACAAATGGTGCAACTCTACTGTATGCCTCCCCCCTATTTTATGAGATTCTTTTCTGTTTCACACATTTAAAATTACATCCTTTACTTCAATGATGTGTCAGAAAAGACAACAGGATTTTTGTTTTACATTTAAAGAGAATTATTTATTTCCTTTGGTATAATGAAGTACATTGTGGATACACATGTAGATCACCTGTGCAACAATTTAGACAGTGACAGTACCCATCCCCAAAGCAGCAAATCCTAATGAAAATTATCAACCAGTGGCTCTTCAAAATTCCTAATTTTGAATCTAATTTTTGCTAGAAATGGCACATTTTATTTGCACATCCTGCTAAATGCAGGGCTCCAGACCTCATTAACACTTTCACACTGAAAGTCAGTCTTATTTAGACCAATGTGAAAAGTTCAATGTTCATATTTAGGTGAGGATCATCAGTACAAGTAATAGAATATGAACTAGAAATTTCAATTGTTTATGTATTACACGCACAAGTATTTTAATACCCCTAAATCATGTGTATGGTTTTGACCAATCACTGTTACATTGATTTAAGGATACATCCCATGTACATATTCAGCTTGGAAAGTCAAACAATCACAAAAGCCAACATAGCTTAAAAATCGAAATATACACCCATCATTTTTGAAATGAAATATGTATACTGCAATATGAAACAAAATACAGAAAGTTTTAAAGGGAGTAGAAGGGAAAAAGACAAGTTGAGAGGAAGTTTTGAAGAAGTTTTGACAATTCTACAAACTTTTGCTCATTCTTTTTTCTAAAAGTCCAGTCAAAACAGTTCCAGTCAAAACTTAAAAGGAGTGATATCCCCTTTTCAATTATAATGATTTTTTCCATCTCTTTCTGCATCTTAAGTTTCAATAGGTTCTATATTTGATCAGAACATCTTTATTCTTTTAACGGAAAACATAATTAGAATTGGGAGGGAAACATTGGCATGATCCTGAAAAATATTCTCCCAACAATTCACACTCTTCATCCCTTTTAATTCCTTTAATCTGTTCACCCATAACCAAGCATTACACTGACATGAAGAATAAGTACATTTTAACATGATTTAAACATCCTACAAAGGTATCAATGCATTGTATACTTTTAGAAAATATAACCATTGTTTGAATGGTAAATCACAGAATTGTCATTTCTATGCCCCAGACAAGGCTAAATGTTTACTTTTTACTTGACTGTCACAAATGCATGTTTGCAATCATAAATTCCCACAGATTCATTTACTTTCTCGTCATAGTCGCACCATTCCTGGAAATACATGTGAAATACAGAATAATTATTAACCATATAAGCACTATACATGCATAAATCAGTAACCAATCAGACTGAAATATATTGCTCAACCAAGATGGCAGCACATTTTTCACTCACTTGAGCTATATTTACATCTTGAGAGAGAATCCTGCACCGAGGAATTTATATAAAAAATATGAAGTGGTTCAGAAACATATGGAGACTAGATTGATCATTGTCTTCAAAATAAATAAAGGAAAAGTAGGTCATCTCTTCATATCGAAAGCTAATATTTATCAAAACATTGTGTGGGATAATATACGAGTATCCTTAATTAGTGAGAAAAGTGCCATAAGTTTTTTAGATTTGCTTTAATTGCATTGAGATTTTTATCAAATAAAACCTAGATGGTATGGTGCATTCCCATGTAGTTTGATATGCTATGATAAGTTAACTCTACCATATAGTGAGTTTTCTATGTGAGAGAGAGAGATTTCAGTACTCTGGAGCAGTTATTAATGTACTTATAAATGTGCACATACAGAAGAATCATATTATATGAAATATGGTGAATCAACATTGATTCATGCTCTTCACGCGGTACTAACTCACCGGGGCGTATCGAAACCAAAACGCCCCGCAAAACCGTTAATTTGAATTTCAAATCTACCCTTTCTTTGGAAAATCAATGATTGTGAGTCTCACAGTACACCGTTTTTCTTCAAACTTGTTCCATTAAAACCTTCACAGATGTACAATCATGTACCTTTCACTCCAGACATTGTTTTTGAGTACAGAGCGTTTTGGTCCCCAGATGTAAGAAGATGCAAATCTTCAGAGATTTCAACCAAAAGCCTCAATATATCGCCATTTCTTTTATTATTCTCCCCTATATAATGCACAAGGACTCCCATTACAACCCTCCATCTCTGCATCAACATATTTATTACATTAAACGCAGCAATTTCCAAAAGTCCTACGCATCTGTTCGAAATTGATCAAAACGCCCCGTTCTCTTCCAAAACGCCCCGTTGGATCTATACACCTTATCTAGATACTGACTGGACTGCGGGGCGTTTTGGAAGACAACGGGGCGTTTTGGTCAATTTCGAACAGTTGCGTAGGATTTTTCAAAATTGCTGTGTTTCATGTAATAAATATGTTTTTGCAGCGATGGAGGGTTGTAATGGGGGTCCTTGCGCAGAATATGGGGGAGAGTGATAGAAGAACTGGCGAGATATCAAGAATTATGGTTGAAATCTCTGAGGATTTGCAACTTCTCATATCTGGGGACCAAAACGCAGCTAAAATGAGGGACTTTGTAAACAATAGCAATGTCTCGACTAAAAGGTATTTCTGTAAAGGTTTTAATAGAACAAGTTTGAGGAAAAATGGTATAGTGTGAGACTCACAATCATTGATTTTCCAAAGACAGTGTAGATTTGAAATTCAAATTAAGTGTGGGGCGTTTTGGTTGATATATCAATATCAACGAATAGATTAAAATAATATTCTGAAAAAATCATAAGATCGTGTTCTTATTATCCTACACTTACGAGATAAAGTACTAAATGTATAATATCATAAAAAATTATAGTTCAATTTGGCTGGAAATCAACTAGCGGAGTAGGGTCCTATAGCATCACAATATCCTCCGCATATTGGTTTTCGGGAGTATATTGTGGCGATATCTTCTGGTTATTCATAGATATCAAATTTATTTTTTAATGTTATTATACATATAGTAGGATAAATAGCAATATATAGAGAGGAAACTTAACTTCAATAAATCTTTACTATGACATACCTTTTCTAAGAGATTGATATCAGAAAACTTGGACCCGGACTCTGCCCCCTCTGCCGTCCATCCAGCCTTAAATAGAAATGTTGAAGTAGCAATATCAAGACAAGGCATTAACATGCAAAACCATTTGTTACAGACACCAACCACTGTCACAAAAAAATGGAGACCATAACAACATGTCACCACTTTTTGGTGGTGGCATAAAAACTAAAACATTACAATGAAAAGCAAATATGGCTATCTCAAGGCAGGACATCTGAAGAACTTCAGAGTCAGAATGTCAGAATGTAATAGACCTAGTTCATCAGGAAGCAATATCTGAAGAGACTGTTGTATAAGTTAAAACATAAATATTTCATATCGAACATTAGATACCACTGACACCTACCCTTGGTGAAAAGTCTGTTGGTTCTACTCCCCTACAATCAAACGTGACAATCTTAACAAGTTTTGAAGAATCAGAATCCTCAGCTGTGTAAGTCCCTATGCTCTCTTTCACAATGTCTGGAATACAAATAACATATCCCATAATTTGAAGATCAAAATTTCACAGAAAGTACAATTGTGAGCACAAATGTGATTTCATATTTTTACTTTTTCAGATATTAGATTTAACTGCATAATTTTACCTTTGCATTCTCATCATTCATTCAATGTTCAGTTCCTTCATCAAAGGGACACAGGAAAAATATATTGCATAGAAATTGGTCAGAAATAAAAAAAAGTTGCCATTTTGAATCACAATTTTGAGGTGCATGGAGGATGAACTTTTATTTTATTGGTCTATGACTGATGTCAATCCCTTCATATCATCATCAATGATGGGTTGAAAATCATTTATTTGAACAACAAAACGTTAATTTCTGGAGTAGTTAAGCAAAATTATCACATCGATACAAAGAGATGTAAGGTCTACATGTATGTTGCATCACATTATTTTGGATGGGACAGAACAAAAATACTTCAGAAAAGCATACAGGCCTTCCATACAGAACATTGGAATTAGCTCACATAGTAAAATAATAATTATAATGTAAACATTAGAGAGATTTCGCACCTAGTGAAAGTAACTTATAACGTATACTTATAGGTAAACGTACAAGGTGTTTCATAATGTGAGCTTTTCGTCAGGAAAGATCTTCTCGGACTGTAATAAATACAGGTCAAAGGGATGCCATTTGTACTTTCTTGAATTGTTGCATGTTTAGTTGATCCAAATGTGTTTGTCTAGAATAAAATAGGCTCATATATAGTACATATGTTATAGACCCATCTCTTCTCAAATTGACTTTTTGGAGATGCTCGTTATGAAACACCCTGTATGTCATATGTTGAGCTACTGAATGGGTCGTTTCCAGGAATTGCTAGAACCTACTGGTTTGATTGGTGTTTCAAATTGATGGTTAAAGTATTTGATTGGATACTGTTTCCACTCAGCCAATTAATTTGAAAAAATGCTTGCGGTCAATTGTTCCACACACATGTAGGCAAATCTTTATACGGAGATCCAACTGTATACATTATCATCTACGTAAATATACCGTTTTGTAAGTTCATTGAACTTACACTGATCATGAAAACATTGAAATAATCAACTTGTTTATGTAATGACTCACTTTAAAGAATCATGACTCCCTTTAAAGGATCGTGTTTATAATACACTACAACTACAAGGACACAGAAGCAAGCATTTAATTATAATGTGCATAATCTACACGTGCAGATGACAGTGCATCCATAGTCTCAAGTTGATGGAGCTTTTCTATAACGGGAATAGTTATGTTCCATTAAGTACAATTTAAAATTCATTTTAGTAAATATAATAGTTCGACATGACCCTTTAAACTATATGTATACGTATAAGTTGTACTTTCACTTATGTGCGAAATCTCTCTATTATGATATTTTTACTTATATAAGTGTACATATAATAGCTTAGAATATTGAACAGGAACAATTCAATTACAATTTAATTGGGGAAATTGATGTGTCTGGTTCCATTAGAAAAAGATCTTCATATTTAAACCATTACTAAAACCGAAACCCGTGCCAGTAACATGGAACGGACAGTTTTGGGTGACTGTCTCATTTCTAACATTGATGTGTTGTATTCAGATAATAGAAATTTTGCATGAAACAAAAGTAGTGCAAGGAAGAGGTTTATAAATTTATTTGTATGTCAGCCTTTGATATCACTAATGACTTACCAATGGAATTCTCCCTTGCACACAATTTACACTTCAGCACCAAACTAGCATGTCCCCTGCCTCCCTTTAATGGGGAATTCTCCTGAAAGATGATACAGTATTCTAATGAAGATATTACTGAACAGTCGTTTCTTGTTCATAAGGTAACTGAGCTTTATGTATTATTCATAGTGTACACTTACATTTTTTGTGTTTACAGTAGTTTGGTATCCATGTTATTTGCCAATCCATGTTAATCGTTAGCATATAATGATGAGCATATAGTATAGTATTGTGTATATCAAACTTACCAACAATGAAAGGTAGGTAAACTCTGGGGTTTCTTCTCCACAATTGAGACATTTCAGCTGAAAAGACAAGAACATTGTAAAAGTCCATAGCTAACTGTCACTACATGGGCATTAGCCAAATGTAAAGCCATTATTTGGAAGCAATAAAACAGATTTCTTGATTACACAAATTTACTCAGGAATGTATTGAGGTAGGTCATTTAAGTGTGCAATGCATATACTTTCTCCAACATTGAAGAAACACTGCCTGAACAATGGCTGGATCTTACGACCACAATGTAAGTGGGTTACACAGGCGGTACCAGAAGAACAAGGGGCCTCAATTTCAAGTCAAGTCAGGCAAAAAAATTTCTGTGGAAAAAAATGTTGGGCCCCTAAAACCAAAAATTGAACCCAAGTTTAGGAAATTTAAGGCCAATTTTTGATAATTTGGCCAAAAAGGCCAAGTTATGCCAAAAAGGCCCATTTTGAGGCCCTACCAAATTTTGAGCCAAAATTTTTTAGAGCCCTAAAATGATCATGACTTGTGTGATATCGTAACACGTTGACAGTTATTTATTGAAATTAATCACTTTCTATATTTAAAATCAAAACTCAATTCGAGATAAGTATTTGTATGAGCCCCGGACATTGTATTTTATTAATATGATTTCCCTGCCAATTTATATTAAAGGTTGAATAAATAGTGCAGAGACGTATTCAACGATCATGGTCCTGGTATCAAAATATATCAAATTTTGGATATATTTCATTACGGCTAACATCTATTTTCATTAGCTACAAAGAAAACCCCCGAACACCAGATTCTAACAGCCTCTCGACGCTCCTTCAGTGGCTCCCACTGTAGGTCTTGAAGAGCTTTGGTGACGCAGCCTGGTTCCCTTGAGTGACATTTGGTGACGCAGCCTGGTTCCCTTGAGTGACATTTGGTTACAAACCTGGCTGCTCTTCTCTGTACCTGTTCCAACATATCAATATCTTTTTGTCAATATGGATCCCAAGCCGAGCTGGCATACTCTAAATTAGGCCGGACTTGTTTGCGATCGGACTTGTTTGTGATCGCATGTGGTAAACGACCACTTACCTCGAGATCTGCGTTGCGACAACCCTGTGATGAGACTCAAAGCAAGAGTTGCGCCAGGGCATATTGGAGATTCGGAAATGCAACGCAGACACAAACGCAAATCTTGCGACGAGCGTGTGATAAGGCTTCCAGCACCGGATAAAGTATAGCCTATTGCATGGGCGATAATAGGATTATAGAATTTGAGAAACTCACTTTCAAATACCACCTGAAATCTTCTCCTTCTGGACGTAGATTGGTTAAAAACTCCAACCGTGCTTTAAATTGAAGAGCAATTTTCTGAAAAAAGTCAAAATAAATAATTTTCAAAGTCATGAAATTTAACTAATAAACCATAGATCCGGCCAGATTATTTTGAAGTAGGATCAGAAGCTCAATGAATAATTCTTTGAGCCTATGAGATCCTACTACAAAACGATCCGGCCAACATCTGTGTAATAAACAAAAATATAATCTGTTTTGATCCAACTCACCATTTTTACTTTCAGTTTTTAGAAGCCTCGATTTCAATCTACAGCCCCGGGAATATCATATCTACAGCCCCGGAAATATCGGATATTATTTATAGTATTTCATTCTATATCGATCAAAGGCCTTCCACTAATATGTTCATTGTTTAAATATATCCGACTTGAATTAAATATTGATATGAAATATGATTGATAAGTTAGCAGGAGCTAATAGCGGTGAACGAAACTCTTAATAACTTATCAGGAAGTCAATTTTCGTCCAGTGCAAAAGTGATTTGGTCCATTTGGTAAAGTATAGAAATCTAGTCGAGTAATTTTTCTTCGCTTTTACATTATTTTCACTTCAATAAAAACTGTTTGATACTTTAAATATGGCATGGGATACTCAGAAATATAGGTTCCATCTAATCTTCTGCACTTTGAATCATAGTGTAACACGTAAATTCCGATTTAAGGTACAGCTGGAAAGTAACATTTTGGTAAAAATTGCTATACCAGCACATGTTATTTTCTGGTACAAAATAAAGTATGAAGGCATGTGTCAATTTCCTTGCTTTTTTCAGGAAAGTATCATTACATTGTCTTCTTTAAGAATATCTAGTAGGAGTTCAATGGGAACTCCAGGAAATTCTGATATTTCACACTTTCTTTTTTTCCAAATTTTATTTCAAAGTTTCCGGACAACACAGGTGCTACCATTGACCTGTTTCCAGGTTTACTAAAAGTAGACAGTGTAATGATACTTTCCTGAAAAAAGCAAGGAAATACACACATGCCTTCATACTTAATTTTGTACCAGAAAATAACATGTGCAGGTATGGCAATTTTTTACCAAAATGTTACTTTCCAGCTGAACCTTAAACATTTTCATTATTTCAGTTTTCTAGTTCCAGTGAGATTGCATGAGAATGAGCCCCGGGGAGACCCTATCTGTTGCAAGACTTATGCCTGGCACAACCGTCACCATGTTATTAAGTGTTTTTAAGTTTCGCAAGGATCCTGCCATGACCGTGGTAGTGTTATCGTGATAGTATAACCATAATGATAAGGTTACCTGTATTTTACAACAAGCGAGCAGACCCAGGCGGGCGCTTTTATTTTTTTCATTGGGGTGGTAGGATCAAAAACACACTCCAAAATTGATTTATGGACTATCTTTGAGATTATGTTGTCATAACAAAAAAAGCTAACATACTTGGGCCTGAGGCCTACCCGAAGGGTTTGTGTAAAAAACCGTGTGACTGGGTAACCGGGTGACCAGGTACTTAACGTTCCTAGCAGGGTTAGGAATTTTTTTTATTTATAACGTTGGATCTGGAGGATACATGTACGTTATTTCCGACGTCACGTTAGATTTTAACGTTAACAATACGTCGGAAATGAACCGACTTAGTGAGAACACAAAGTTTTTGTCATGTTTTTTTCCACCAACAAATATTTTGATATTAAAAGCCTGTTTTGACAACGTTGAATTTTAACGTTTGAGTTACGTCACATATGGACCAATGTAGTAAAAAATCAAACGTTCCTGTTTGTTATGTTTTCCACACTAACGAACTTTACGGACACGTTATAACAACGTTCTTTTTATACCATCAATAGATGTCTCATGTTTACGTTGCCTCGATGTGTAAAGAACGAAAATGTGCAACGTCTTCTAGGAACTTATATGCTTCTTATGAGCAACGTGACATGGACGTCACTGTTTGCTGGATCGATTATTTTAAAAAGTGCTCTGTCTCGTATAGGGTAAAAATATCGAACAGCAGTGCACTCGGTAGGCTAAGTCTGTCAAGTCAATTCGCTACTATATATCGGGGGAAATGTGGAACTTTGAAAGTTCGTAACCCTGCTAGGAATGTTAGGTACCTGGTCGACCGGGTACCCAGTTACCCGGTCACCCGGTTTTTTACACAAACCCCTACCCGAATAAATAGTATCCAAATTGTCCTTGAAAATAAGAAATCAAGTTTACTGAAGCAGGGTTTAAATTCCTGTCAATCGTTTGTGACGTCACATGCGTGCTACCTAACCAACAACAAAACAAACAAGTATATGGTATCGTTTAGTGCCTTACACTACTGATGGTATCAGGCCGGGGTATCAGGGCTAGGCAACTTTTTTCTCCAGGCAGATCTTGACAAAGAGTTTGCTGCATTATCTTGTTGGACCTATCTTGTTGTTGTCATCTTCCAGTCAGGTCAAGGTGTCACTCCTGTAAATCATTGAAAAATATTGAACAAAATTACAGAATTCAAGTTCTGGGGTACATATCGCAATTTTCGAACGAATTACCCCATACAATGACTATATTTCTGCGTTCCCCTATACACAACCTTCATCTTGACACTATTTCGCGTCGCGATTTTTGAATATCACTACGCCAACATAGGGACTCATTTTTAAGTAATGTTAAAGCCTGATATGACCGTGACAATGGTTGAAAGGCCTGTCATGACCATGGTAATGTGTGACACGGGCCGTGACAATGGTTGCAAGGCCTGGCATGACTGTGGTAATGTTAAAGCACAAGACCTTTTTTTTTTTCTTTAATCACAATTACATAATCATCACTTCTTCCAGGAAATACATGTGTGCTTACATCCATACATAGTATATAAGAAGGTCAAAGGAGGAAATAATCGCAGCAATTTGACAGCAGCCTCAGGGCATGGATCTGAAAAGGCAAATATTACAATTCTTTGAATCACATCCAGATGAAAGTTTACAAGCACTTGACTTGAAACATCTTGGACAGAAGAAGGATATCAACCATCAGTTATATGCCCTTCAGAAGGAAGGAGTAATCGAGAAAGTCCAGGAGGCATATCTTCCATTGTGGAAGTTGATTTCACAACCAATGTCTCACAATCAAGATGGAACATTATCACATATGGGTGATACTGTGACTACCAATGAGACTACAGCTACCAAGGCCCAGCCATCTTTAGCAACATCTGATCAATTAATCACTTCACAGGTAAGTTAATCAGTGGTGTCTTCTGAATATTAAGCTGTCTAAACAAATGCTTTTGTGGGATGGTTGATCTAATTTAATTTTGATTTAGAGATTAATAATAAGACGAAACATTTCAAATTTGCAATATAGTCTTTTGAAACACAGTATAGACATATCAAAATCAAAGTTAGACTTTTATTGACATATATAGTCTACTTGTATAGGCGAGTGATTAGAAATATAAATATTTTAAAGTCTAATCTTAGTCTAATCAAGTGAAGAAACAGTTTTATTTATCATTTGAATTTCTACTCACATCATCCCATCTTCAGACCCAATTTTAGTCAGACGATGTTCATTCAAAATCGAATCAATTAAAATATGCATTGTCTAGTTAAATGTTTCACTGAGAGTAAAGGATGTCTAATTTTAGATGAAATACCTTGACCCGAGTTTGAAGAACTTATTTGACCAAGCGGGTATATCAGCTGATCAACTCCAAGATAAGGAAACTGCTTCATTTATATATGACTTCATAGAACAACAGGGAGGGCTTGATGCAGTTAGGAAAGAGACTGCTCCACCCCCTCCTACATCCAGAAACAGGAGAGCTCCTCCTCCTCCACCACCTTCGAGAGGGCTTCAGCGTGGCCTGGGTGCTTCCCCTCCTCCAGCTCCATCCAGAAGTATGGATGCCCCACCCCAGCCCCCACCACTCAGCCAGATCAGACAAGGAGCGAAATCAAAAGAGGTAAGCCTCAGATAATGTTTATCTTCAATCGTATGGGGATCCATGGTGATCACCTATAGTACACTGTACATGTGAGAACAATTTGAAATTAATTTCTACTGCACTCTTGGGTGCTATATATTGTGACTATTATCCCACCAAACAAAGTTTGAGGGGGATAAAGGAAAGCCATCTATCCTCAATGGGAATCGATCCTGCACCGTATATTAACTATATGGCAAATCTTTACCGTTAATCCAGCATGAATTTAAGGCCATAGAAAAATTTATAGGGAAGACTACTCCAAAGTACTAAAAACTACGATGAGTTGTCCAGGGGATGAGTTGTCTAGGGGATGAGTTTTCCAGGGGATGAGTTGTCCAGGGGATGAGTTGTCTAGGGGATGAGTTGTCCAGGAGATGAGTTGTCTAGGGATGAGTTGTCCAGGAATGAGTTGTCTAGGGGATGAGGGTCCGGTTACCAACATATGTAAGAAGTAGTAAACTAAGAAAAGTTAGAAGGCACATCACGAAAGAAAACAACAGATATAAGACAATAAGGGAACATCAGTAAGGGGAAGGAGAGAGTTTTTCTGGCCTGATCAAAATGTTTAACCCATCTACGTGCAGTCTCAAGTCTATTGAAAATGACTAACACCACAATCAAATACAAGACAATCAAGACAAATAAAGAAGAAAGAAGACAATAAAGAAGAAAGAAGACAACGAATGAAGACACTGATGTAGCAGCAACAAATGGAGTCCGTTCGTTCGTTCATTTGTCCAGGAAATAACTCAAATACCCTTTGACGAATTTGATTCAAATTTTATAGGCTTGTGCCTATATGGGTATAGGACCTCTCCTCGAGAAGGAATTTTCAATATGGCCTCACAATTCAAAATGGCTGCCATTTTTTGTAAAAAATGTAATTTTTGATAACTCAAATACTAGTTGACAGATTTGGTTCAAATTTTATATGCTGGTGCCTAGGGACAAATGAGCTTTGCTACAAAAGAGATTTTTAAGATGGCCACTTAATTATAAGTTTTCTAAGTTAACTCAAATACCTGTGAATGGCTTTGGTTCAAATTTTATATGCTGATACCACGGGAGCTATTTTATTTTCGCTATTTATCATGACATGTTTTGTTTGGTGGGATAAATTGCTACTCCGTGGAGTTGCTGTTTTCTAGTTGTGATCAGTGTCTCACTTATTTTGTCTACGCTACCAGAACAGGAGATTCAATAAAATATTAAAAAGTCTTCATTCTAGCATAATCAAGTGGAATAACATTTTTATTATATTAATTTATTATTTGAATTACCACAACTGGCATCACACCATCTTCAGATCCATTTTAGTCAGACAAAGATTATTCAAAATTAAATCAATTAAAATATGCACTCCAGTTGTCTAGTTAAATTCCATATATCTTGATGAGAGTAAAGAATTGAATCTCAAGGTTCATTCTATGACAAAAGTGGAATGTCTAATTTTAGATGAACAACCTTGACCTTAACAACCTTGACCCCAGTTTGAAGAGTGTATTTGACCAAGTGGGTATATCAGCCAAAGACCTCCAGGATAAGGAAACTGCTACATTTATATATGACTTCATAAAACAACAGGGAGGGCTTGATGCAGTTAGGAAAGAGACAGAAAGAGGTAAGATACTAAATGTGATAAATAAGTTAAGTCCAAAGAGAGAGAGCACTTCTTTTCAGTTAACAGGGTTTATATTTTAGAACCGCCCACTAGATTTATATGCACCCTTTTATGCACATATTTAGGCAAACAAATTGAGAGATTGATTTGCCATTATGAAAGGGATGTATCTTGGTATATTTTATTTATGTTTTAGGCTGTTCCCCAGCTACTTTCAAACCAGTTAAGAGTGGGATGGCTGCCCGACCCCCTCCCCCATCCAGAAACAGGGGAGCCCCTCTCCCACCACCACCTGGTCGAAATAGGGCTGTCCCTCCTCCTCCCCCATCTTCTAGAGGGCTTCAGCGTAGCATGGATGCTCCCCCTCCTCCAGCTTCATCCAAAGGTATGGGTGCCTCATCCCGGCCCCTGCCACCCAGACAAGGAACAAAATTAAAAGAGGTAGGCTTTCTGAAAGCAAGTTTTGATATTAGTCTCAGCTACTACTGTTGATTTGCTACGTTTTTGCGTTGCTGTTGTCTAGTATTGTAATTGTAATCATGGAATTTGAGGGCTATGTTTCGGGAGGATCTGCATGTTTAGTTCATCCAGAGGGAAATATCTACAGTATTTCTTACAAGTACCCAGATCATTAACATCACGTACATGTATGTTATTTATTTGCATATTAGAAGTCTGATCCTACAAACAAAACCAAATTTACAAGTGCACCTGATGAAGAATGTGAATCAGCTCTTGTACCACCAGAATCAGGTATTTACTGTTTTACAATGTGGATAACACTCCCATTAGGGGGTCTTCCATCTTATTTGATGTGTGGTACTGTTACAAATTGAATTAAACACACAATACAATACAATTTTAATTCAAAAATTAACCTACATGTAAGTTGAAGAAATCATTATTAAGAGCTTTATAAAGATCTTTTTAATAGATCACCAATAAAGAACATCAAATACGCTTGGATATATTGGTCATATTGATGATGTCATAGTTTGTAGGTAGTTATATTTGCAAACAACATATACTGAGATATTATTTCTTTAGAATTAGCATTAAATTGATCCTGTTTTTGTTGCTTATAATGTCTCCACCAAATATGGTGACATATTGTTATGGTCTCCAACTTTTTGTGATGGCTGTTGGTGTCTGGCAGTTGGTGTCTAACAGTCGGCGTCTGTAACAAATTCTTACAACTTCCAATAACTTAACAAATACAGTTTAGACCGACTTCAATTTTTTTCAAAATCCTCTACAAGTTTTTAAAAGTTCAAATCTGAGTTCAGATTTGAGATTTAACCTTCAATGACCTTCTTGAGGTCAAAAAGGTCTTTTCAACTTGTTTCAAATTGACCAATTTTTTTTTCAAAATCATCTTAGTTCTCAGAAGTTCAAATCTGACTATTTGAGATTTGACCTCCAATGACCTTCTCATGGTAAAAAAAGGTTGAAGAATTTTTTTCAAAATCACCTGCAAGGTCTCAGAAGTTCAAATCTGACTTTAGATTCGAGATGCTTCAAATTGACCAATATTTCTCAAAATCCTCTACAAGGATTCTGATTTGAATTTAGTTTTAGATTTGATCTTCAATAACCTTCTCAAAGTGAAAAAGGTCAAAAAGGTATTTTTCAACTTGCTTCAAATTTTTTTCAAAAACATCTACAAATTCTCAGAAGTTTAAATCTGACTTGTGATTTGACCTTCAATGACCTTCTCAAGGTCAAAAAGACCTAAAAGGTATTTTTCAATTTACTTCAAATTGACTTATTCTTTTCACAAGATCAGCTACAAATTCTCAGAAGTTTAAATCTGACTTAAGATATTGTGCGCAACTAGGTGTTGACATTTTGTAATGATAATGCCTTGTTGGAAATATTGCTTCCTGCTACCTATTGCATTATCAATCTGGCCACTATATCCTAGCTGCTTTAGCCAAAGGTGAGAGTGTTTATTCAAATTGAAACTGGATATCAACACTTTAATTTCCCCAAAGTATATTTAGTAAAGAGTAGATTTGACTTTTTCTTCCAGTCAACTACAATATACCTGGCTATGTTTTTGCCATTGGAGAAACACAATGTACTAACTGTTCTGTGGCCTTCAGTCAATATGAGTCCAAGGTGAGTCCAATTTAAGGAAGTCTACAAAACTATGTACATCAGGATCCAATATTTTCTTAACTTAAAGTTTCTTATTTGTAATGTTCTTGTTTGGTATTCATAGTTATTATTTTTACCTGAAAGCATGAGAATAAAACACAATTTGTGTTACTTTTACCTTTACTCAGATGAACTTCCAAGTCACTCTTGATCATATTTATCAGGCAGGTTATAGACATCTTAATTTTACATGTGGGTTACTACAGTATGTGAATTAAAGGGACTTTCACCTAGGAAAGTTTTTACTCTCTAGTACTGACTGGGAGGTGCCTTGTTTATTTCAGTTCACTTGTGATTGCCGCACAATTGCTCTTTGTAAGAAATGTTCAATTGATCACACACAGCATGGGTGAGTATTAATAGAGCCTGTAAAGTGTAAAATACTGCAGTAATGTCAGTGAACATTAAGTCCACACTTGGCACGCATGATATTCCTCTGAATGTTTAGCATTGTCTGCATAGGGTGAGAATGTTTTTGTCAAAATCATCAATTTATGAAAACTTTGAATTACTCTGAGAAATATTTTTACTGCCAAATAGATCTGATCATATTTAGTTATACTTCAGCAATGGCTAAAATGTGCATGTATGAATTCTGATTAATTTTGTTTTGTCTCATTTATGGTTTTCAGGACACAAAGGATGTTCAAAGAAAATGTTATACAGAAACACAGATATGATAAGCTGAGAACTTCGATCACGAAAAACTTATTAGGCAAGCTCAAGTCTGATATTACATGTACTAGCATCTTAAAGGGTTCAAATGTAAACAAAGTATTGATTGATGAAGAAATATTTGGGCGTTCGCAATCAGCAGCAGGGCTTGCAATCATATGTGGCCATAAGGACATACTTCAATATCTTTTAGAGAATTATGGAACATCCCTCTTTAAAGAGGCACTTGGTACTTGGCAGAAAAGCCTTGGAATGTTGGTTATCCAGAATCCACAGGAAGATCTGGCATGTCTTTCCTACATAGATGAGTTTTACCCTGATCTTATACGTAAGGATTTTGGGAATCAACATACTGGCAATGCGCTTCATGTTGCTTGTTCAGATTCAGTATCTGTCAAAGCAAGTGTGTCAAAAAGTCATTTAAAGCAAGTGAATTATCTAATAGCTCAGGAGTTTGATTTAAACGCCAAAGACAGTTCTGGCAACACACCACTTCACAATGCATGTAAAATTACTGATCCTAGTATTGTTGAAACATTACTGACTCATGGAGCAAACTCCAGTGCTGAAAATCATGAGATGCAAACGCCATTATTTCATCTGATGGCTTCCATTGAGGATAAACAACCATGTCATGTGATGATTGGAAAGAATGTCCGCAAGTGTATTGTGCTTCTGAGAAAAGCTGGTGCTTCTCATAAAACATCTGGTTTTGTCTCTATTGACACTGGATCTGCATGTAAGAGAGTAGCATTGTCAGATTTGAAAGCATATAAGCGTCCCGGTGTAAAAGATGCAGTGACATTGAGAGACCTAAAAATAATCGAAGGTATTAACCCCAACAGTAGAGACTTAAAAATGGATGTTACATATAACCAAGTTCCAGAGGAGCAGGGTACGGGTTCTAGCAAACTAGCATGCGATATTTATCCCCAATCATTCGAAGAACCAGAGAAAATTCAAGTCAGTACAGAAAATTTGGAAGAAGATGATACTTCATCAAGTCATCCTTTGGGAAAGAGACTTGCTATGATCACTAACCAGTCTCCTAATGAGTTGTTAACTGAGACAATTGAAACAAACTCAACAACTCCTTTGTCAGCTGGAGCTTCAAAAACTGACATCACAGGGCACATTATAGATATACCTAGTCACTCCACCTGTGTTGTTTCAACTGAGACAAGTGATGCAATCCCTGTCACCCATCCAACTACTACTACAGGAGAACCAATAACTGACATATCAAGTTACATCACCGGTAAACCTGCTTGTCCCTCTACTAGTAATGTATCTACTGAGATAATGATTGCCTCTCAAAATATACCAGCAGCAGGAGGATCAGCTATTTCCTCTAACATTGTACCAACAACTACTGCAGCAGATACTGTAGCATCTGAGATGAGTTCATTGACTGTCACATCAAGTAGTTCTAGTCAGGGGAAGCCTGTGAATGCAGCTGAAATGGATCTGGCACAGATGTGCCTTGACTTTAAGCAGGTAGACTTAATTGTGGCCATAGCCAGCTTTTTTCCAAGAGATTAACAATTTTTTATTGTTTTACAATTTTTAAGAGAAAGAAGCAATCTGATGATTAGGATTTCGACATTTTATTCTATAAATATACATTAATTTGAAACTCAAAATCCATGAACATACATGTATATCTAATTGCATGGATTGAATCAGCTGTTCAGTTCGTGTCACAATTATGATGTCAGATCATGTGATTAAATTTATATCAGATCATGTAGTTTTCTTTTTATTTGAATTTTAGATGCATGCTGAGTTGTTGGAAAAAGAACTTAAAGAAACATTGGGACAAAGAGAGAATGTGCTATTGTCTAACTATGCAAGTAAAATGAGTGACATTAATGAAATGCTGAAGAAATTGGCAGTTTCAAAATATGAACCAAGTATGTTTTGTATATTCCAGTTTAGTCAAAAGAGAATTATGAAATGTGTAACAGTTTATGTTGAGAAGTATTAGTGTCTGTTTCAGCTTCCTAGGTTTTATGTTTTTTTCTGGGTACATAGTCCATGGATTCACCATGTTGTTCCAATCCACAAATTTACCATTCTTATGTCTTGCATTCTGGGTTCAGGGCTGGTGTTGAAGATCTGTAACAAATTGTTACATTTTTAGTTATAAACATTTGCAGGGATGACATTTTGTCATGTTAAAGACGACAATCATATTTTTGAAATTATGTTTGACCCATTTTAGATTTTACTAATTTTTGAGCATTCTGATGTCCTCATATCCTCTGTTTTGATAAATGGCCTTTATCATTTCAGTTTTGGATGTTGTAATTGAGAAGGTTAAGCCAGATGATCTCGGAATGAGGCAGCTTAGTAAAAACTTAGATGAGGTTTGCTTTATTTTCAATTCTAGTTAATTAATATGCCAATTGAGAGTAATTGTAATATTTTATGAGTTTGCTTGTACGGTTGTACCTGCATAATTCTACATTTTCATTCAAAACAAGTATGTTAGTATTACCCACAAAAAAATTAAAGAATAACTTATGATGTCAAATTGCTTTACTTATTCAGGTGTATAAGATGACTTCAAAGCCAAGAGGCAGAGCTCTTATCATTAACAATGAAGACTTCTCTAAAACAAAATTGCAGAATCGTGATGGTTCAACTATTGACCGTGTTAGACTTGAGACACTTCTGCGTGGCTTTGATTTTGAAGTTGAAACTTTGCTGGATAAAACAGCTCAGGTATACAGTCTATTGTGTATGAATTTATAAAATTATAAAAAGTTATTAGCTATATGTTGCTTTTAGAGTACCTAAAATACTTAAACATTATAAAAAGACTTAATAAAACCTAATCCAACATTGTAGGAGATCAATGACATATTGGAGGATGAACGTAGAAGACACGACCATCATTATAATGATGCATTTATTCTTGTGATACTGAGTCATGGGACAAATAAGCCAAACAGTTGTGTGTATGGAGTAGATGGTGCTAAAGTACCCATAAATACTATAACCTCCTACTTTGAAGGGAAGAATTGTCCTGATTTGAAAGGCAAACCAAAGTTATTCTTCATGGCAGCCTGTCAAGGAAGTATGCTATATATATGTACTATATTTTTCCATTACAATGTGCATATATTTAAACAGATCTGTATTGTTATGATAGCAATTGCTTCATTGTAGCCTATATAAAAATAGGTTAATCATTTGATGTGCTCTCCAAATTTTTGCACTTATTTTCTAAAAGCAGTTATTAAGCATATGTATCAATTATATGTTCTTCAATTTCTTTATTACTTATTATTTGATATAATTATAATAATGTAATGTAGTGATGGTGCCAGAATGTACAATATAAGTTCATATTAAGTCTGTTATCTTCTGTATCTCTAAAGAGAAATAACCTTGAAACTGTGAATGTCAAATATTTCAGACACCTGTCATTCAGCTACTGACTATGCAAATGCTCCATCGCCAGATGAATCTCAAATGTCTGAGCCCAATATTCCTAGCATACCTGATACTGATGATGGACCATCTGATAAGCCACACAAACATACTAAAGCTGACATGCTGGTTGCATGTGCATCTGTGGAAGGTAAGCTAATAATCATGTTGTTTGTTTTTTGTTTTATTTATTTATCTTTTATTAATTGAGCTTCTACATGCATGTAATACCTAGTAATATGTACATGTACAAGCAGTTAGGCCTATTTGCATAGCTTCCGGGACCCAGACTCCTAGCTTGATGTGTTATATAATATTTGGCTGTAAATAAACAAAATAACTAAACTAAAAGTTGAGTCTGTTTTAATCTGACCAAAATGGAGGTTTATTGTTAAAAAACAGACAACACAAGAAAACATACCTTGTTTAATTACCGGTAAGTAGATATTATTCGTAATGCCAGGGATTGGTATGACCATAGAGGTTTTATATTGACTATTACCCTTGAAAGATTAGACTCCAAATGAAAATTGACAAGTATTAACAAATTTTTTTCCGTGATAGAGGCAACATTTGATGGATTTTTACTTGATATTTTTAAGTATGTATTTTATTGCATGCCATATTTCACTCGATATTGTAGTGCATGATCATATGATTAAATCTTTTTTTGTAGATTATGTGTCTTTTCGTGATGAACAACTAGGTACTTGGTTTATCTACCATCTTGTGAAGGTCTTTGGGGAAGAGGCACATCAGAAAGACATCAATAAATTGCTGACTAAGGTAAATGAAAATTGAATAATAGTTAAGAACTTTCATATTTACTTAAGTAAAGTGCTTTCAGAGATTTATGGGTGAAGTAGTGATGTGTATGCCAAATATGATGCATTATGACTTCCCAGGTATCACTTCTAGCATTTCCATTATCCTTTATCTCTCCGTGAGTGTATTTTGCTGGCATATTTGTTATATGAATGTGTATCATTGTATTTGTTTAAATACTATGTCTTGTACATGTATATTGCAGTGCTATAAATTATCAAATGTTATTATTTTTTATGAGCCAAGCTAATAGCTGGTGTTTAATCAACAGGGAACATTATCACATAACCAACTCAATTAATGATAAGAAAAGCACAAGCATATTGATATAAAGGCATAAAAACAAGACCTCTACAATGGCTTAATTCGTGCAAGAACTTAATAATTTATAGACTTTTTTCTGATTTATTTCTGAATATATCCTTTAACATAATGTATTTCTTGTTCCCTTATACTGTGCACATTTCCTCACATGACACACATGCCACAGTTACTCCACCATGCCAAATTAGGGGCAATGGTTGTGCAGTTGCTAGCATCTGTGTTGATCACTTGGATAACCTTACATTTTATTTTACCATCCTTGAACTCTGTTGTGATGCTCCCAACATCTTCTTCACACAATATCTAGTTGATTATGTTTGACTTGATTTCACTCTGAATAAGGTTTGAAGATTTACCAAATATTCCAGCAGATGGTGGTCGAACTTCCTTTCTCATGATAGATGATCTTTCATTGCAAGTCCTGCAAATCATCCACACAATGTTCCTTGATACCCCCTCAGATCGGGTTGGCCTCTTTCCTACACTGTTACAGTGAAAGAAAATGGTCTAATTGTGTTGTGGTCTCCATGGTCACCGATGATCACCGAGTCACAGCGTTTGTAATTTAGCATGCAATCTGACCTGGAACTCAGTTAATATTGGATATTCTAATATGATACGTGACGTCACAATAGCGGGAACAATTGATTTACTGGTCTATATTGGAGTATGTATGACCGCTAAAATTTAGAAATGCAAAAGTTGTGTTTCTTGTCTGTTTATCATATTAGAATCATAACAAAGACCTCGATTTTATGATTTATGTCAAATATATGACCTCAATTTTTTATTCTGGGAATTGCCAAAGATAATATTTGTTTTAACAATGAACAGAATAGAATTTTCAGTCATAAATCATAAAATCTCGGTCTTTATTCCTCAACAATATATATTAATGCTTTTGCGATGTTAAAATCTTAAATTTTTTCAAATCTTGCAGCTATTATATTATTATCATATTTCGTTAATTTGTGACTTCTAAATTCATTTTAATTATGATCTTTCAGAACCTGAAATGTAGGTAACAGTAGCCCCCCTACTTTTTTTCCCCAAGCTCAAATAGAATATATCATATTGTCAACATTGAGTGAAATAAATTCTCGGGAATTTCCATGGGTTTTCGCTACTATTATATTCCAATAATTTGAACTATGGAATTCCGTGACAAATGTGTATGTGTAAACATGGAAAGGATTTTGAAAAAACTAGATTCATTTCAGTAAATCATACTGTTTTAATTTTTTATGGAATGTCACATTCATGTTTTTGTAATATTTCTTATTTATGTTTCAGGTGAAGAGAGATGTGGCCAATAGAAAAACACCAAGTCAAAAGCACATCATGATTCCCAATATCCCTTATAATACACTAGTTAAGGAACTGTACTTCTTCCCAGGCATTGTTGGAACCAGTGGAGTGACACTTCCTCCTGATTCCAATTTCTGAAAGACAATAATTGACTATGAGTGAATTAAGAATTAAATCATGAACATTGTCCTATGAACAAGTGGTTTTCCCACACTTGGATGATGATGCTTTGATGCAAGAAACAGCAAGATATCTTATAGTTATCTTACAGTTTTGCACATTCGTTCTACAGCTTAAATTAGCTGTATCATACATATTCAAGACACAAGCATGCTTTATTACTTTCTGAGCAATCAAATTGCAGTATCACCATGTATCAGACAGCTAAGCTTCAGAAATGTTACTAATCAAAGGACAATTCTCGGTTTGGAGAACAGTCTCCTGGGCTAATAATTTTTTTCATGAAAAATATAGAAATATTACCCAAATTAAACTATGAATATTCAAAATAGGACATTTAAATCTACAAGATGTAAAAATAACAAATTGGTCTGAAGCAGGGATAACGCTCAATTAGACCGATTCAATAAAATACAAGTCTCGATTTGGGGAAAGAAGTACATCAGTAGTGTACTGCGCTAATATTTTTTTGCAAAAAATCTAGAAATATTACCCAAATTAAATTATGACTATTCAAAAGAAGACATTCAAATCTATATTATGTAAAAAAATCAAATTTGTCCGAAGCAGGGATAATGCTCATTTAGATTGATGAACTTCGTTCTCCAAACTGAGAATCGTCCTTTGATAAGAGAAAAAAACAGTCAAAATTATAATAACATGATTGATAAGCCAAATGGGTGCTAATGTATGTCTAGGGGTTAGGAATGAACTACTGGTTGAATTTATTATGTCCCCAAGTCTCCAACATTTTTGTGGACAGTGTTCAACGGTTGATGTTAAGCAGTTGGTGTCTGGCTTTTAGCGTCTGTACCAAATGGCAGGTTGTGTAATTTTGCGTGTTAATGCCATATTTCTTTTATTTGGTCTAATATTTTTTATAATAAATTGCTGAAAATCTGCCATTTGTGCAATTACTCTGGATAAGGCTCAAGATACCAGTTTTGTGTATGGTATTCTTTAAACTTGGGCTACCACCCCCATCTTGAGCTACTTACAAGAACTTCATGCAATAAAACACCCACAAGTCATTGGCTCTCAGGCTTTCATCATTATTAATTGGTTAGCTTTCATGATGTAACTTGAGGCATTGTTAAACTGTACACAGGGGGATCCAGGATTTTGTGTTAGGGGGAGGATTTGATAATAACTGTGTGTGCGAAGGGGGGGGGCACTCCTCTCTCTAGATCCGCTAGTGGTACAATATCTATGAAAGGGAGTAATGTAGATATGATGAAGACAAGTTGAAACTAAGTTTTGAAATATGTATTACAGTTTTTTCTCATCGTTCAATATCTTGCCTGTTTTCTAAAAGTCCAACAATTCTGACTCCATTTTTGGATTATTCTTTGTTTTTTAGGTTTTCTGTCAAAAAAGGTATGACCCTTTTTCAATTAAAAAATTGTATGTTATCTTAAATCTTCAATTTAGCTTTTATAGTTGATCAGATCTCAATATAAATGTAATTGCGATTGTAAGGAAAACATTGGCTTCCGGTTTCTTTAACTAAAATATTTTTAGCAATGCAGTATTTTAACAAATTAAGTAAGGGTGATAGTGGAACTATTGTATCTACATATGTGTTTGTTGTACATACAAATGTACAGATTATCTGATACAAATGTACAAATTGTCTGTACATTTCCAGGTGTTTTATATGCATATAAAAGTATGCATCAATTTTGGTGCTTAGATTGTATTGACTGAGTGATAAAATGTTGATATAAACTGGTATACATTACATGTACATATTAAGACTAACATATAAATGGACAGATCTGTAGGTTGGCTAGATGAACTATAATACCACTTGCCACTATATCATGTATATGCATGAATATTTTATTATTCCATTCAGCTTCATTTTGATGTTGGCATTCAATAAATGGACTCTTGATAGTCTAGCTACAAGACCTTGCACACTGTGTGAGAAGGTGTTTAGTCAAGTAGAGGGGGGGGTCATAGAGGCTTGTAGCTAGACTAGGCTCTTGATAGCATGTATGGATATTATTATATGTGAGTGATCTTAAAAATGACAATCAATGGAGTGATAAATATGCTTATAGCCTTTGAAAATGGCTCCCAATGTCTGCTGCTTGACAAGATGTTTGAGATTTTCTGTTTATTGGCTTTTGCCATTGCAAGTAAATTTTAAGATTGTGATCCAAGACAAACTTTTCAGAATTTTAACATGAATGTATGAATGGAGATTTAGGCCAATTGAGAAAAATTGCAGCCATGGCTGTTCGATGGGATTTGCTCAATTGGCATTGCTGTTATCTAGTTATACTCAATAACTTATTTTTTTGCTATTTTTGTAAATTAGAATAGTAATTGACAACATGCTTTTTGTTAATTGATTTTTATAGAAATTTCTATTTATTTAAGGTCTATTGTAACAAAAATCATTGTATCCACACAAAAACATGAACATAAATTATATCCCTCTTACATACATCCTAAATCAATGAATATTTAATCATTTTTTCAAATAAGTATCATTTGGGCATTTTATTGAGAGTGATTCATCTTAAAATCCATGGATCTTTATCAGTTTGTGATGAGGGAAAATATCAGAGTGAAGTCTTCACTTTCTTTTTACCACCCAGGGCCTCATTATGAGAAAACCTGGTATGTTAAACATATGTGAAATATGGATTTTATCATTTGTTATTTATTAATATTGTATAAAAGCTTTCATGCATTATTGTTAACCTCCTACAGAAAGTATGTATTGGTATATATATTTTACAAGACAAATTTTCAGTTGTTGTTTCGATCAACCCAAATGCTTGACATAGACATTGGTAGGCCTATCGATATGGCGAACTATTGAACATACGTTTCTCTTAAACCAGTCATCAAAAACCTCAATTTAAAGATCATCTTTTGAATGGTAACAATTTAATTTGACAAAAATATATATTTACTTTTCTCTGTATTGTTTTAGAAAACACATTAGACACTTCTTTTGTTCTCAGTATCATATGTTTGGAATGAAATGGAACATCTATCCAAACCTCATTGGGATAAAATTACATACACAACGTGTCTAGTTCTCTGAATATTGTAAATGTACAAATGAACGTTAAGTTCATTTAAAGAAGTATCTTGTTAATGAAATAAAAGGTTTACTTTAATTTTCAATAACTATCATATTGAGAGGTCTAAGAAAATGTTGTATATGCAATTTTGTTCCAACAAGGTTTGGAAAGATCTTTTATTTTATTCTCAAAATTGGTAGAAAGGAACAAAAAACAATTGCACCAAAAAACAATAATATGAAATATAAGTAAATAATTTTTGCATTAAATTGTTGTCAATCATTGACCGTTACATAAAGGACATTGTTTACAAAATGTTTTCAATAATCAGTTTGAGAGAAAAACAATGTTAAATTCAGTTCAGTTCGCCATATCAACACCAATCCTTTATATTTTAATTGAAATAAAATATTGTTAATTTAAACATAAGTTTCTTAATTGTTTACTTGATCAGACATCTCAATTCTTATTTCTAAAAAAATAAAATAAAAACTGTAATGGTCACATTACCTACAACCATGAATGTGAACCTGATGTGTGTTTTTTATATTTTGAGCAAATCTGATTTGAAATTGTCAAAAATAAAAATCCAAATCAGCCTCACATCCCCTACCAATCTGTCAAATTCATTATGTTCCTATTCCAACCAATTTGTATAATATAATTGACAGTAACATGTAAATAACACCTCACAGCCATACCAAATGTTCAAATAATGGCCCAATACTATATCAAATGTAGCATCAATGCCATACCAAATGTCCAAATTAGTCCTTGCAAGCCTATGATTTCCCCGGGAAAAGCGCATTTTCAAAAGTTGAAGAAGGCCCTGAGAAGAAGGCAGATCATTTGAGAGAAGCTTAAATTAACAAGTGGACCAATTCCATTCCACATCTGCCATAGAGCCCAATCAGCTCGTAGTAAACCCAGAGGGGTCCGCGCGACCGAAACCCATCCGACGTGTTAGTACCGAAAGGCGTTTTATACCGAATGCCATAATACCGAATGAACTGAATTGACAAAATCCTTACAAACGGAAGAACATCCATTTTGAGGTTAGGTCCTCCACTTGATCCCCAGATATGCAGAGGCCGGCATTCGTTCGGTTGTTTGTTTGTCAGTTTCTCCGAAAACAACTCAACTGTTTTATAGGAATACGGCTAATGGCCACAGGACGTCTGATTTAGAAAGGCAATTTAAAAAGTTGTCACTTTGTCCGTGTTGTCTAGCCTGAGTCCAAGGATCCATTCCCGAGGGCAGAGAAACGGGATTAAAATGTAAAAATAATTGAATTGAATTTAAATTAAATGTAACGCATACACTTTATATATCTATAATAGATGATGAAATATTTTCGCAGACTGACATAACGTACATTTAATGATTTGAAATACTGAAATAGCTAGCCACATAAACAACACGCAACATCTCTGGTACTGGGTATACTGCATTCGATAACGCTGTTACCGTAACAAGATGGCTATGTTGGACGTAAAAACAACATTGCGGTAACATATAGCTACGGTTCTACGGAAAAAGAACAATAGCAGCTTCAAGGTTCCGACATTTTGTAACTGAAACGGATCCGTTTCGGTATCTAGTTAGAAGAGTGCAGTACCAGTGAACATTGGAAAGGTTATTTTGTCTTTTTTAATCTCCTTTAATTTCATACAGAAGTGAACGAAACATTGAACTATAATTGATTTTTTGCAGATTGAAAACATTACATTCGGGTTTGTTATGATTTAAAATAGTTAGCCCCATATACAGCACACCATCGTAAAGCTACGCGTAAAACTTTAGAATAAATCACGAAATATTTTCGTAGACTAATATCACACCGGAATAGCCTGACAACGGTAAAGTCAGATACCCTTGTCACAAATGGCGGACATGACCGTCTTCATTTCATGGGATTTTATCGTCGCTAATTCTAAGCATGTATAAGCTGTTGTGATGATGTTTCATTTGAAATCCCAATTTCATTCAAATTTGGTCGTGAATCGCCACAATATAGCGTCTTCGATATCGTCAATGACAACGGAATCTGAATTTGAGTAATTTAGAAAGACAACGGCATATAATTACAGTGTCCGTTGTCCTATATCTCATTTTGATCGGTTAAATTAAAGACTTTATTTCGATGGTAGAACATTATTAACTGTACAATGAGTATTAAGACACCTTGATGGATTGTTGTTCCAAAGGAATTTAGTCTAGGTGCTCTATTAAACATACAGTTCATGAAAATCTAATTGAAGCGACGGTTATGTCCGCCATTTGTGACAACGGTATCTGACTTTACCGTTGTCAGGCTATTCCGGTGTGAATATTACGTACGGCTTTTTATCTATGAAATAGCCATTCACACATTTCGCACACCATTGCAAACCTTACCCCGTCCTCTGTTTTCGTTCAGGACCTGAGAAATTAAATGTAACACATTGAACTTTAGTAATAAAACATCACATATTTTCACAGATTAACAACATTACGTTCAGGTTTTGTTATGCCATAGAATAGCAGTTCGGTACAATGCGCGTCGGAATAATGAGATGAACCCGCCCCAGAAGTCATATTTTGTCATATTTTGGGACATTCTTATACCAGATCCTAAAATTTGGAGCCATTGCCATACCGAATGTCAAAAAAGATACATGTAGTCTCTTGATGTAGTCCACATGCGTCGAGGATCCTTTATCAGGCACGTAGCCAGGGGGCGACCCGCCCCCTTGTTCATTTTTTCAAAATCAATCCGTTTTTCACCATTCTGACCACTTTTCAAGTGATCTTGGCCATTTTTGAAAGCCCATTGTGAATCCCCTGGAATTTTTCAAAAAGTACCCCCCCCCCCCCTGTCAAATCCTGGCTACGGGCCTGTTTACACATTGAACGGTCCCCCGGGGTCTGGGTCTTATTTTATTTAACATTTCTACTGGGACAATAACGGCTCCAAAAAAGTTAAGATTAATGATGAAAACCGTATAATTGGGGTTTACTTGTTGAACTAGCCTACCGTACGACATCGTGGGGGTATTTTAAAGTGTTTCCCTTTTTAACTGAGAAGTCCCTACCCGTCATAATATATTATGGGTCACCTCTTTTGAATAAAAAACGTGGGTCGATATTTTTCCTCAAAACCCTAGTGGGCGTGTTTGACAGCCCAGGTAGATGATTTTTGCCAGGAATATCCCCGAATTCCCGGGAATAGGCCTACCCAGAGGCATATGAATTTAGAATTTATTGTCTATTATTAAGGCGACCACGGCCACTGTGTTATCAGGGCATGGCCAGACTACAATTATACAAACTACATTTATACAGTACATTTACAGTTACATTACTCTAGGTGTTGTGTTGTGATGGTTGCGATGTTATAGATTTCTTTTCTTAAAGCATATTTAAATGTTAGTCTCGGGTATTTGGTTTGCTACTATAGAGCTTATTTTCACCTATATATGCAGTGGCGGATCCAGGAACCAACAAGGGGGGGGGGGTCCAAATTTGAGGTTAGAGAAAAAAATTTGGGCCCCTAAAACCGAAAAGTGGGCCCAAATTTTGAAAAATTGAGGCCCATTTTCTTCAAAATTTGGCCTAAAATTAAAAAAATAAGGCCTTAGAAGGCCCAATAATGACCAAAAGGCCCACTTTTTGGGGCCTTAAGGCCTTTTTTGGCCTAAAATTTTTTTGGGCCCAACTTTTTTTTTTCTGGGCCAACCTTAGGGGGGGGGGGGGGCGGGCCCCATGGCCCCATGGCCCCCCCCCGGATCCGCCATAGATATGTATGTTTGAAAGAAAAACCCTAGATGTGGGTTCATTCATTTGCTTTCCGGATAAAAATCCTAGATGTAGGTGGATATTTTGAACCTCAGTTAGCGGTACCCCTCCCCCCTCCCGTCTGGACTATACATTGACATTCTTTTTGAAATTGCTATATCGAGATCCCCCCCCATCCACCTTTTCTACCGATATAAATCACTGACACATACACGTAAGAGACAATATGAAAAATAATCAAACTGGATGGACCACTTCATTTCATCATCGGTTTTACCCGGGCAAGTCCAATATTTCCGATGAGTCAGGTGGAAAGAGTTCCCCGGGACTTTATTAATCCGTGTTGTCCTATTTTATTTTCGTACTTTGTAGCTGCTAGCTTTGAACGTTTGTCACGGGATAAAAATATTTTGTTTTAAAAAGTTCAGTTCGATCCAATTTTTAGCCTTCACTGGCTTAACTTGGAACTAAGTTTTTGACAGAAGGATCAAAATTTTATGAATTAATCTTATAGTAAGTATATTTGACATTTGTATAACTCTGAGGCTTCTTCTAGTCTAACACTTTTCAAAAAATTTTCGGGTCAGAAATAAATAAAATTAAAAAATCCACAGGATATATAGGCCTACTACTTTTTTCAAGGCCTGACTGCGTCGCTAACATGCTAAATATAAGAGTTAGCTGACGTTTGGGAGTCTGACTTACCTTCTAAAGGTTAGAACGCGAATCTTAATGAAACCATATCACCTTTGTTCCGTCAACCATGGAGCATTTGCCACAACATCCAAGAGGTAAATCATGGATCGAGAAAATGAATGATTTCCTTGTAAGTTCCAGAAGTTTCAATACGAAAAATTACCGAACATATGTGAAAACCGAATATTTGTTCGTTGTTTTCACGATTTACAGGTTCGTTTGTTCTTCAATGTTTTGGTCTAAATTATAAAGCATCACCAACAGGTCTTACTCTATTAATCGAATAATACAGCAGACGGCTCATATTTCTACGTAGCATTTCATTCAGACCAATAGTGGGAGTGTAGATCACGCAGTTTCGTTCGTTGCGTACTTCACTTGAAATTGGTAATTTTAAATATTGACTACTTCACTTAGCTTGGCGGATGTAGAACATTGCTTAATATTCTTTTAATTTTCACACCAGACATGCTTGGTTGACACGTCAACAAAGTAAAGTTCAAGGGTCAATGCGTTATTTCGTGATAACTACAACGCCTTCCCGGAAGTCAACATTGATGAAAAATGAAAAAGTCGGAAAAGCATTTACGCTAATTTCTATCAAATGCTATGTTTATGCATCATCATCGACGCAACAAAGGTGATATGGTTTCATTAAGATTCGGGTTCTAACCTTTAGAAGGTAAGTCAGACTCCCAAACGTCAGCTAACTCTTATATTTAGCATGTTAGCGACGCAGTCAGGCCTTGAAAAAAGTAGTAGACTGTATCATAGGCCAAGGGTTAAGTAATGGTAAGCCGTATATAGAAGAGACAGGTGAACAACTCTGACTTAGACCACTTGTTAAGATGGAGATTTCAACAATATTTAGTGTATTATTTTCAAAAAGCCATGGGGAGTTGATAAAAAATTGATAGTTTGTAGCTCTTACCTAAGATTCAGTCAGATGATATAGAGTGAATAATGCTGTCTAAAAGAGAGAATTTCTGAAAACCTGCAATTGCTTGGCAAGTTTATTAGAGTCCATTTCACTGCTTCATTTCGTCAGTAGAACGGCAAAAATAAGAAATTGGGAGACCATTGTGCAATAATATATAGAAAAGTATATTCATAATGTACATGAATGACATTTGTATATTTCAGATTTTTTAGTTTTTTGTGCAATAAGCCTGTGCCGTCTTGTAATTTGAAGAATTTCAGCCATGTTAATCTTATTGAAAATAACATGGCAGAGAAACATCCAAATATAAGAGGCCACACACTTTATAAGCCAAACTAGAAGCAATCCAAGATATACAAATGTCATTCATGTACATTATGAATATACTTTTCCATATATTATTGCACAATGGTCTCCCAATTTCTTATTTTTGCCGTTCTACTGACGAAATGAACCAGTGAAATGGACTCTAGTAAACAAGTGATCTGATTGGTCACTGGTGACCTCCACCAGTGACAATCAGTTTCAGCTTGCCAGGCAATTGCAGATATCCATAGTTGTTGTTTTGTATGCAGTATTATATGCAGTTTTTTTTTGAGATAAAGATTTGAAAAAAACAATGATAAGTTTGAAAAACACTTTGAAAAAGATTTTGGAGAGATTTGGGAATACAATTTGATACCAGTAAGGAGAACTAGTGCCAAGACTAAAGAAATTTGAAAAATTTTCAATCCTACTTGTGGACCTGTCTCTTCTATATTCAGCTTACTATTACTTTTCCCTTGGCCTATGGACTGTATCTTCTAGTCTGAAACTTTTTTGAAATTTGGAATGAAAATATTCAGACCATAGCCCACATTTTTTAAAATTTGGGATTGAAAAATATTTGTTTACATAGGAAGTCATGGGCGTAGCGCTATTTTTCTAAGTAGTCTAGTACGTCACCACCACGGGAACAAAAATTTTGTAATTTAGTTGTATTTGGACCGAATTTGCAACCATCTGGTGCGTACCCAGCGTACCGGCGCTACACCCATGGAAGTGCCATTCGGACCCAAACTCCCGTGCAATGATATATCACTGCGGCGGGCAGGTGTCTCGTGTAAGCATGGTAACGTCATAATAAACAAATGACGTGATTGGTTCTAGCATGGAGGTCGCTTGATTGTAAAATTTAGACAATTTCATTGGTTGAATTGCGCGTATTAACTAATAAACAACACATGCGGTAAACTATTATCAACACAACTTTTACTCAGAATTCCTTCCACAGTGATTTCTTCTCATATTTCAGTAATTTTGAGATATTTTGACAAAATAATGATTGGGGAACATTCATGAATACATGTTTTATAAGTTGTGTGAAAATTGACCACATATACGATGAAAAGGGGAACTATTTTCACCAAATTTTGGGGATTTTCTTCATCTGCCTGCCGCAGTGTCTATACTGAGACTCTGCATGGGAGTTCGATTCGGACCAGATGGCCAATGGAGCCTTCACCCAATCTTTCCAGTAAAGCCTGTATTATATTTACTATTAACCATTTTTCTTTTCAGAAATGTTACATACAAGAGTATGATCAATCATCTTGGTGAATGTCTCAGAGAAAATAATTGTGAATAAACAATATGAAAATGTCTGTTCTGAATAAAGACTGGGACATAATAAAGGGGTTAGCAACATTGCTGAGAGATAATGGTAAGTTTTTAGGTTATCTTTTTCATGTTTTTAATCTCATAAACTTAAGGACATAAAAACAATAGAAAGCCCCATCTCATCCTTCTATGAGGACAAAATAATGTTCAAACATAGAATTTACATGACCAAGTTACATTATTTTTAAATACTGTCCTCAACCTTTCAGGAGACAAAATTTTGCATGGAGAGAGCAAGCTTTCACTGACCACTGTTTCTGTGATTATACTCAACAAGAGTTTCACAAAGATCTGCGATATTGATCAACACACATCATTTGAAGTGTTGCCCCAACACAACACTAATGTGCCCCTCTACCATGATCTGCAGTTCCTCTATGACTTCATGCAGAAAACGCCATCATTGAAGGTAAACATAGAATTACAGAATCTACAAATGGATGATATTGCAGAAATACAAAGAAAACAAGAATCGTTTTTCATAAGATCCCATTTTATGCTGTATTTTCACTGGTCTATTCACAAAACATCAACTGAGCAAAATAATACAATTCTGGCTATAATGTTAAGATGGCCAAATCATATAATTTGGTCACAAGTTTTAGGGTTCCAAAATTATTTTTACATTCATTTAATGGTGGATTCATCCTCAATTTAGATTTGATTTGATAATATGATAATTCTTTCTTTCAGTTGATCCATGGTGCTTATACTATCCAAGGTAAGGTAGATGTTACCCCATTCAGGTCTCTACATGCACTGGAGATCAAGAAGTCACCCATTCACCTGATAGTTGGTCTTCAGAAACTGAGACAAACATTGAAAGAGGTTGCATGCTCAAGATGTCTTCACAACCTACAGGTATGGTGGAAATTCATTGTATTATAGATAGCTATTTACCGTTTGCAGTCATTTCGATTTCGCTTCTTAAAAGAAAGCTTCGTCTTCAGATGTAGTTTGTAACCAGAATACTAGTCTGAGCACAGGGTAATAACAATCATATTTGTTGTAAATTATTCAGTTGTAAGTGTTCTGTAAATTATTGTAATACTGGCATGACCATTTTTGTGTGGTAATAATAATTAGGAATCAATTACCAATGGTGAATTTCAATACTGTTGTGACATTTAATATGATGCTAGGTTTCACACTCTCTCTTGCATTTGAAATACTCGTTTTTCTTTAAGGAACTGTTTGAGAGTTGTGCGGGTGATATGAGTTCTCCTATGACATGGCCAGAGTTGATGTCTGCCAGGCTAAGCTATAACAGTATCCACTCTCTTGATGGATCCCTAGTAAGTGTTCTTTAACATCCAAGTAACCCCTAGAGTTCTTAAGTGGAAGAGACTTAAAACACATTTATTTTTACTAGCCCCTCCCCCCAAATTGCCAAGAGATTGAAAAGGTCTATTGATTTGTACACTGAAATGTGTGATTAAATTTTGAATTGAGGTTTGAATTGAATTGAGATTAAATTTTGAATTGAGGTTTGAATTGAATTGAATTGAGATTAAATTGAATTGAGGTTTATTTTATCCAATTTGATGAGATTCAAATTAATGAGAAAAAATAGATTATGAATATAATATTTTCCTTATATGTTTCAGCGTCTCCTGCCCTCTCTGAGAATGCTAGACCTCAGTCACAATAACATAATAACTGTGGAATCATACCTCCAGGTAAAGGGCCTTGTAGTTGACACTTTGAGTTAGTAATCAAGCGGCAACTTAGAATTAAAGTGTCAGGAACCGAGATATCTGACCAAATGTGAAATGTTTTGAAGTTACAACAAACAGAAATCACCAAATTCTTAAGAATTAGATATAGGGGATGTCCACTTTTTTAAAAGATCTTTGGCAGATAACATGTCTCTTCTTTGTTACACCTTTAAAAATAATATTATTAATTGTATTTCAGTATTTAACAGAGCTTGAGCACATTAACCTTGCCTTCAACAGCCTTGAGGTGATGCCAACATTAGCATTCAGTGCTAGGGCCAAGATGAAGTCAGTAGTGCTACGAAATAACAACCTCGACAACTTGGATGGTATGTGCAGATTAACATGTCATTCATGTGTAAATGACAATTGAAGATTTGTATTCATATGTACCCCTAGATTTAAAAATGTGTACATTTTGGAGAGAAATTTCATGTAAATTCAATGATCAGATAAAAAAGGACTGTTTTAGCGGTCATTAGTTTGGCATCCAGGGTTTAGATAAATCGTATTCCAAGCATTATTTTGCCAATAACAATACTTTTCGCTGTCAACGCTTTCTTGAGGATTAATTGAGTGAATATGAAGTGAATCTCAACAGTAGTTAAAAATGAATTACACAGTATCCGAATATTTTTCAGTGTTAATAGTAGTTTTCTGTATATGTCTTAGACCTGCTTTGAATTGATTACAACATACATGCCTCTATTTGTTTTAGGCCTGGATGAGTTGATCAACCTTACAGACTTAGATGTTGGGGATAACTGTATATCAGACTTCACCAATCTCTCTACTCTCGCTGGACTCTTCCATTTGCAACGTGTAAGCAAGTATTAACTTTTATTCTACTACTTTTATAAAATAATTTGTAATGCTCCATGTATTCTAGATTTTCATTTCATCATATTATGTTCATAACAATTTCAATTCTGTAGTTTTTTTTAAATGAGTATGATATTTGAGCATCAGTGCTGTTAATTATAATTACATGAGTCATAGAGGGACTTGGCCAGGGTTAACCCCACAGAGCCCTTGATGCTCATACTATGGTTACCTTCCATGCGGAATAGAACAGTTTGTACTGTATAGTAGCACTTACCAATTGAATAAACACCAAATTTGCCAATATCTTTTGTGCTAAGTACCATCTACAGGTACCATTTACCATGCAAGTGGAGTTTGCCTCTGCTGGAGCACCTTCCTAATACAGTTTGAGCATGAGCAAAGACATATTACTCAGCCCCCAAAATCCAAAGTAGAGACTACTGATGATGTATCTCAATGCCAGTTTTGATGAGCACTTTATGTTCAGTTATCTTTGAAATTCAATTTTTTTTAACTCCATGCAATTTTTCTTACTTTCAGCTTTATCTTGAACTCCATGCAATTTTGTTTACTTTCAGCTTTATCTTGAGGGGAATCCATTGTCTTACCACAACCAGTACAGAGTATTCACTTTGCACGCACTAGCTCCATGTGTACAACAACAGGTACATTTTAGGAATCTTTAATTCTATTAGTGATCAAAGAAAATGTTGAAGCTATTCAAATAATGTCTTGTCTGATTAAGTAAATGTGTGTTCCAGACAATTTGTGTGTCTGATAAACAGTCATTATGTACAAATTACAACATTTAATATGCATTCTAGATTATAAACCCTTGACTTTAAATATATTTGCTGAATTTTTCATCAATTTATACTGTTCTTTAGGTTCACCTAGATGGCAAGATTGCTCAGACTAATGAAATAACAGTAAGTGGCAGATTTCAATTTTTGTCACTAAACTTTCTTCATGATACCCAGCCACAATACATAAGCAATACATACTCGGATAAGTTATGAAATCACAAGGATCCAGTTGGTAAAATGGCAACTTTTATAATGAAGCTGTGTTTGTTATGAACTTAAAATCTAGTTCAGCAAACTTTACTATCATGTCATTTGAAAAGGACATTCATGTCAGTTACAAAAGAATGCCGACCATTGCAACTCTCGAAAAATGACATAATGCTCCATTTTTTTACTGCACGTGAAATCCCCTGAGATTTGGAACTTTTTGTTATTACTTCAATGGGCGTTGATTGTTGAATTGGCCTTTTGGAATAAGATTTTCTGTCCCTGATTCAAAGTATGCATTGGTTTTGAAGATTTGATTCGAATTATTTCACTTGTTATATTTATTTGATACACTTTTCCATTTCAGGTCCTCTCTAAAATGCCACCTATACCTGGTCAACGGAGACCTCCTAGAATGTCTTCTTCATCCAACATGGCTGCCTCCAATGGGCATCAATATGAGGGGCTCTCTAGGGGATTTGAGGACAGCCTTGACTCCACAACTGCAAAGTCAGATGATGCAGAATCCCAGCTTGCAACAGGGATAAAGCCTAAGGGTAAACGTAGCAAGAAATTAAGATCTGGTCGCAGAGGTTCACTCAAACCCAGGAAGGCTCCTATCTCTGATGCTGACACTGGTATTGAAACATCTTCCCCTGGCAGTTCTTTGGGTAAGATACTTCTTGGTTTTGTTAAACAGTAATTGTAAATTTTAATTCCTCATTAAAAAGCATCAAAGTATGTTGGTTTCAAATTTTTATTATAATTTTTGTCACCCTGATCTTCTTCGATATTTTCTGAGAATAAAAACTATTTTCAATTCCGCATAAATAAAACTTTATTTAAAATATTGGTCCAAATATCAGATGTACTCTCAGTTTCAATAATGAAAACACAAGAGGGGTCTTCACTATCAAAGAAGAAACAGTCTGTAATTGATAACAGATTTTTTGTTTGCATCTTGATAACCAAAACAAGTCACCAAATTGTACTACCCTTGCTACAAAGAATACCAAAATGTAAGCCTACCACAATATCGCTCGTTTGTGTTTCAGCCACATCACCTGTATCCTCTTCGAGCATGGAGCACAAGAAGATCAGAGAAGAGGTAGAGACAATAAGGATGCAGCTTGGACCCAACTGGCTACAGCAGATCACTGCAAAGACTGAAATCACAGCACAGAGAGAGATCACCTCTCAGCAAGACACAGTTAACACTGAACAGTCAGCAACATTTAGAATAGGGACATACCCTGAAACTGAAGATGATATTTATTTGAATGAGAACCCTACAGGTGAACTAACCAGTTTCTATGTTCTATATAGGACACATGCCACTTGATAATTGATCATAAAGTAAATACTTGTAAATGTAGTTTTACACTTTAATATAAGTGAGTTCCATGTTGTGATATTGGAGAGAGGATTATAGGTGAGAGAGAGGATGATATTAACAAATAAAATAAACAATTACAATAACACCAAATTCTGAATGCTGATAGCTTTTTATATGAACCCAATAATGTAGATGTCATTCCAGGACAAAATCTGGGCCGCTTAGCCACCCAATCTGAAGCTCATGATCCTGTGTCCAATGATAGGGTAGATGGTGAAGCTGAAGCTATAGGTAGTAAAGATGTGCTTGAGACAGTTGAGGACAACAATGTTGTATGGGGTAGAGGAACAAGTGTCCAGCCTGAAGAATTTGGTAATAAAATCTTGAATACTTAAGCCTGATTAGCTGGAACTGATTTGAGGAAACAAAAATAAGTTAATGTTAAACATATAAGATGTTGTTGATAATACATGTGTCTGTTAAATATAATGTTAATTCTTGCTTGAGAGGGCTTTGGGAAACATAGTCATATGTATTGTAGTATGCAATTGTAATATATAATTGTATGCACATAATTGGTTCTATTCAGGTCCTGAGAGTGAACCCTTCATTGTTAGCCTACAAGAGGATCCCTCCACACACATGATGCTCACCCTGGGGGTGCGCTACTTATGGGAGAAGAACCTAGATGGTGATGTCATAGAACAATTAGACCTGAAATCACTACTAGAGACCAATGAGTCCCATTTTGAACCTGATAACAGGCCAATTATCACCATGAACTTTGATTATGTCAAGAAAGATCGCAAAGTGAGGAAATACATCATGGAAGATGATTCTGCATTGAAGGTAGGTAAAATCACTCTCACCTTTACAATTTCCAAGCAAGACACAAAATAGTTTCTTTAAATTTTAATTGGCCATTCCTTTCCTTTCTCATATCACACTGAATTGACAATTTATTGTTGTTCAAAGATGAAAGCAGAATATGTTATTTATGATCAAAAATATATATGTATGAATATGTGTTTGAGTTGCACATTCCTGTTTTTCTGCATAAAAAAGGATAATTGTAATTTTCGCTAGAAGAATGTAAATTCTGAATTGTATTCAGCTGGTATAGTTTGTGATGTATTTGAGATTCTGTTTCAGTTGTTTACAGACATGTTACAGCCATTCTTGCAGGCAAGAGAGGCAAGCAACCAACTAAAGGACATGTTACAGGTGAGGCAAAATTCACTGTGCTGTTTAGTTAAAGTTAGTAGAGTTAAGTCTGTGTAAGTAGGACACACCTGGGACTTTAGAAAGTGTTTCACTTACAGTTAAAGGTTTATTTGTTTCACATTGAGTTAGTCCATCACAGAAAAATGTTCCACTCAGGGAAGTGGTTCATAAACATAAGTATCAACATGTGTGTCATATGCCATTAATTGATAAAAATTCAGTTTTATTTGAATAAAAAAGAAAGAGATTCAATGATTTATGGCATGCTCAAGATTGTGATCATGGATTTTTTCTCTTTAGTTCATTGCTATATATTCCAGTGTCTAAAATGTTCCACTGAGTTCCATGCCTCTGGGGCATCTAGGAGGGTCAAGAGGGCTTCTGAAACAGTTCCCACTGATCTGGATAAGTATGAGCGACGCAAATTACTGCAAAGTAAGTGTGCATGATATTTTGAATTATTATTATTCATTCCAAATAGTCAAATACCCATTTTCATTATAACAACACTACTGATTAGCATGGTGTTCCATGATCCTATTTGTTGTACAATTTCTTTACATTCTTTTCTCCTATATTTAATAAGGTTGTCTCAATGAGATTCTTGTATGCCCATCATGTGGCAGTGAGCATATTGTGGAACTTGATCCTATACACCTGGCCAAAGCCCAACATTCTGCTACAAATACTCCTGTGGGGTCTTTAACACAAGGAGACCCCTTAGCAACATCATCAAAAACTAACTCACCTTGGAAACCAAAGAAAACGGATACGGCTGATACTGAGAGGTACTGTTTACTGAATATTATAATTGCAGGTGCTTTGTTGTATTTGAATTGACAAACAATTGAGGAATCATATTTGGGATTTGTCCAAAGGGACAATATGATATTGATTAATGGAGTTAATTGCATCATTGGGTCCATGTTATATTTAAACATTTGCTTCCTTGTCTCATGATAATTTGCATAATTTATTCCATAAATGATGCCCTGGGGCCCATTTTAATGAATGATATATGATACATTTTTCAGTGGATGTGATCCAATACAATTTATTGCCAATCTATACAATTTGATTATTTTTCCAGTGTTGATGCATTGTCCTACCAATCGTGTAATAGCAATACAAACACTCCAAACACCAGCCCTGTGAAGTCCTCACGCTCACATTCTGTGGATATAACCAGTTCAAGAACTTTAATCCAGTCAAGTGCCAGGAGTCTGTTTGATACTGATGTGTATCATACACCCAGAGAAGACTCTCTTAATGATAAAGCTCAATTAAAACAACCTAGAAGTGCCATAAACAACAACATTACAGAGGATGACCACATTGATGTGCTTTGTAATCCTGAATCGAGTGATATTAATATTGAAAACCGTAATCAAGGGTCTAAAGTGCAATTTAAGAATAGTGACACTTTAAGTGATCACACAGACTCGGGTCAAAGGTCACAGAATCACCGGCGCAGGTTAGATTCTGGTGGCAGTGACATCACTGTTATAAGCAATCCAAGTCAGAGTAGTATTGCTGTAATTAACTCTAGTCATGAGCTCCCTGTTGAACAGAGGTTGAACAATCCAATGTCATCCAGTAAGTCTGTAACTGATGAACTCAATGTTTCAGCTGGAACTGTCATGGTGCCACAAATTGGAAAATGTGTCAGTTCTGACCATCTCACCTCTGTAAGCCCCAGTGGATCACTCAGCAGTACTACTTGTACCAGTATGGTGGCCAGTATGTATGAGAATACAAGCATGATAGCAAGCAGCAATGACAACACTAATGACACACAGGATAGCAGTCAATCTAAAGAACAAGAGCCAACTGAAGAAAATCAAAAGCATAAACCATTAGACACTCTAAGTGATACTAGTTTTAAAAGTATAGAAAGTAGTGTAGAAGGTGTGGATATTGATGTTGTACAGTTATCTGATGATGCTACAGAGGTGCTATCAGGACTTCCAGGTGAAGGAGAGGGTGATCTTGATATTGATCCCAGGCCTGAAAGTGACCAGGGGGTTGGTACTGTTGAGCTAGTCAAACAAGCCAGTGGAGACTTCAGTCAGGTGGACCACAGACTGAAGCTCTATCTTATGATGTCACTTTTCAATGATGAAGAGGACTGTGAACTTGTATTGAAGGTATTTCAAAATAGTTGTACACACATTTTTACTTTGATGAATGTGTATCCCAGATATCAGGCTCATAGCCAGGGAGGCCAAAAGTTCTTTCAAAATCATGCAGTTTTTCACCATTCTGAGCACTTTTCATGGTTCAAAGTTATTAAAAGTGAACCCCCTGGAAATTTTAAAACATTGAACCCCCTTGGCAAATCCTGGCTATGGGCGTGGATATGATAATTAATTGTACAGTACAATGATCTTGCAGCTGTGAGAGAATGATTGTTTTTTTTAGAAAAATCAATGTAAAAATTTAAGATTCTTCACCTTTTATTAATAGGTAGTGAGGTAGCACCGAAAAATGTACCCGCTTCTGAACAAATTGAAATTACTTGTTTCTTATGTATTTTTATGTGATACTTCAGAAAATTTTTGTCTGACGCGCCATATCCGGGGCGAAAGTTGTCAAAATTGGGTTTTTGACCCTAAAAAGGAAAATTACAGGGGGTACATTAACATCATTGAATAATTCATTCAGTTAGTCTTCAATCATCATAATGATTTTATTGAGAGTTGATGAGATCATTTTAAGGTAGTATGCGAACTTTCAATGGTCTGTCACTCGTGGTTGCCATGGAAACCACAATTTTTGCTGAGAAAATCCTTAATTTTGGTAAAACCTGTACCTGTACATAATATAGAATGTGGATTATTTTTCAAATCAATAGATATCAGAACATTTTAGCACTCTAAAAATCACCAGGGCTGTCCAAACATTTGTTTAAAGAGAAAGAATATTGCAATTTATATGACGGGTAAGTGTCAAAGACCATACAATTACATAAGTGGTTAAAAGTTAAAAGTCAAAATCATCTACGTGTTCTCAGAAATTCAAATCTGACTTAAGATTTGACATTTGACCTTCAATGACCTTCTCAAGGTCAAAAAAGGTCAAAAAGGTCTGTTTTCAACTTGCTTCAAATTGACTAAAAAATTTTTTCAAAATCATCTACGTGTTCTCAGAAATTCAAATCTGACTTTAGATTTGACTTAAGATTTGACATTTGACCTTCAATGACCTTCTCAAAGTCAAAAAAGGTCAAAAAGGTCTTTTTTCAACTTGCTTCAAATTGACTAAATTTTTTTTTCAAAATCATCTACATGTTCTCAGAAATTCAAATCTGACTTTAGATTTGACATTTGACCTTCAATGACCTTCTCAAGGTCAAAAAAGGTCAAAAAGGTCTGTTTTCAACTTGCTTCAAATTGACTAAATTTTTTTTTCAAAATCATCTACGTGTTCTCAGAAATTCAAATCTGACTTAAGATTTGACTTAAGATTTGACATTTGACCTTCAATGACCTTCTCAAGGTCAAAAAAGGTCAAAAAGGTCTGTTTTCAACTTGCTTCAAATTGACTAATTTTTTTTTCAAAATCATCTTCATGTTCTCAGAAATTCAAATCTGACTTTAGATTTGACATTTGACCTTTAATGACCTTCTCAAGGTCAAAAAAGGTCAAAAAGGTCTGTTTTCAACTTGCTTCAAATTGACTAAAAAAAAATTCAAAATCATCTACGTGTTCTCAGAAATTCAAATCTGACTTTAGATTTGACTTTTGACCTTCAATGACCTTCTCAAAGTCAAAAAAGGTCAAAAAGGTCTTTTTTCAACTTGCTTCAAATTGACTAATTTTTTTTTTCAAAATCATCTTCATGTTCTCAGAAATTCAAATCTGACTTTAGATTTGACATTTGACCTTTAATGACCTTCTCAAAGTCAAAAAAGGTCAAAAAGGTCTTTTTTCAACTTGCTTCAAATTGACTAATTTTTTTTTTCAAAATCATCTACATGTTCTCAGAAATTCAAATCTGACTTTAGATTTGACATTTGACCTTTAATGACCTTCTCAAGGTCAAAAAAGGTCAAAAAGGTCTGTTTTCAACTTGCTTCAAATTGACTAAAAAAAATTTCAAAATCATCTACGTGTTCTCAGAAATTCAAATCTGACTTTAGATTTGACTTAAGATTTGACAATTGACCTTCAATGACCTTCTCAAAGTCAAAAAAGGTCAGAAAGGTCTTTTTTCAACTTGCTTCAAATTGACTAAATTTTTTTTTCAAAATCATCTACATGTTCTCAGAAATTCAAATCTGACTTTAGATTTGACATTTGACCTTCAATGACCTTCTCAATGTCAAAAAAGGTCAAAAAGGTATTTTTTCATCTTGCTTCAAATTGACTAAATTTTTTTTCTAAATCATCTACATGTTCTCAGAAATTCAAATATGACTTTAGATTTGACATTTGACCTTCAATGACCTTCTCAAGGTCAAAAAAGGTCAAAAAAGGTCAAAAAGGTCTTTTTTCAACTTGCTTCAAATTGACTAATTTTTTTTTTCAAAATCATCTACATGTTCTCAGAAATTCAAATCTGACTTTAGATTTGACATTTCACCTTTAATGACCTTCTCAAGGTCAAAAAGGTCAAAAAGATCTGTTTTCAACTTGCTTCAAATTGACCAAATTTTTTTTTCAAAATCATCTACATCTTTTCAGAAGTTCTAATTTGACTTTACAAGTTCTCAGAAATTCAAATCTGACTTAAGTTTGAACTCATAATATTGTGAGCAACTAGGTGGTGACATTTTGTCATGTTAATGCCTTGTATTGAATTTCTTTGGTTATACTTAATATCAAGCAATTTTACATCTAAGTGTTATAGTTATTGCATGGGGATACAGGGGGGAGGGGGGTAGTAACAGAATTGGGAGGGGGCAGAGCTTATCAGCCTTAAGTGTAAATCTCATCTATATGGTTCTAGTTTTCATAGGGTACAGCTTCTGGGTCTTATTATATTCATCTCAATATATAAGATATAAGAATTTACATGGTTGGTAAGTGTCAAAGACCATAGAATTACACATGTGATCAAAAGTGGGCGTTGCCCTAATCATAGTATATGGTTCATTCTCTATAAATACAGAGTTTGACTTGACTTTTGAAGTACATTTACTTAAAAACATCTTTGATTTATACTTAATGTCAAGCATTTCTGGTAAGTTATATATGTACATCTAATTGTAATAGTTATTGTCTGGGGGTGGAGGAGGGGGGGGGGTGAGAGTAACAGAATTGGAAATGGGCAGAGCTAATAAGCCTTAAATGTAAATCTCATTTATTTAGTTCTGGATTTCAAGGGGTGCATCTTCTGGGTCTTCTTCACATTCATCTTAATATATGGGATGTTCCAATTTACATGATTGGTAAGTGTCAAAGACCATACAATTACATAAGTGATCAAAAGTGGGTGTTGCTCTAACAATAGTAGATAATTCATTCTCTATGAATATGGAGCTTGACCTTAAGATTTATTTTTTAAATTAAAACTTCTTTGATTACATTTAGTATTGTAATAGTTATTCCCTGTGGGGGGGGGGGCAAGGGGGGTAGTAGCAGAAATGGGAGGGGGCAGAGCCAATGGCCAGTCAGTCTTAAGTATTAATATCATAGTCTGATCATTTTCATTCACCTCCCGATGTTAATATATTAACAATATCATGTGGGAGAAAATACCACTACACTTGCAGATTTGAGAGTCATTCAGTTGAGTGTATCAATATGGCGCTCCACCTTTGCCTTTTAAAAAGGTGCTATTGCTATTGCCCCTTCTGCATGGCACTTCATCTGTGAATGTGTGAAGTGCTAGGAAGGCTGCATATATGTCAGGGTCTATATTGGAGGAAATACCACTGACATCAGTCTTTATTTGTTTCCAACTCAAGTATCCAGCAGCACACTTTGCTGTATTTGCTTTTTGTTTTCATCATCATACAAGAACTAATTCCAATCTTTAGGGACTCGTGTTTTTCTACCTTAAAAGGGCAAGGTGTCCCTCCCCTCTTTCAGGTTCCTTTATAGAATTTTTGATGTATTTATCACATACAAAAACTAATCAATCTGCAATTGTAGAATCTTGAAACAGTCTCCGCCAGATCCAGAAACAAAACTACCTTTCAAGTTGAATTATGGTTTGGGATAGTTGGGGTTTGTTTTCCTTATGACTTGTATACATTTAGAAGTTTTCTTTTTCTTGCTGGGTTCTATTACAAATTTTGGTCCTTTCCCTTTGGCACTTGTGGGTACATGTTCATGCATAGGAATGCGTTTCTCTGTTCTTGCAAGAAGTCCAGTCAGTGTTCCTAGAGCCCAAGGCACAGGGCTCCATAGGAACTGCAGGAGACATTCTAGGCTAATTTTATGTTCTTAAGCAAGATCAAAGCTGTTCAAAGATGCTTCATTCAGAATGTATTTGTATAAGCTTGTTCTGAGTACTTTTTTACTGTCACTGTCACTGTTGCTGCTGTAGTTTTCAATTTCATATGTTTTATTAGATCATGAAATCTTTTTTTCGACTAATCTCAGATGGTATCTCTTCATGCAATTTCCCCTTTTGACTAAAATTAGATGAGATCTGCAGCGACATCATTTGGCACAGATTTTCCTTATGATACACCGTAGAGATGACTTTCATCCTCAATGGTAAATGGATCAAGGAAGTCTTTGATTGCGGTTTTTGTCATCTTTATGTCTTTTTCTATACTTGCTATTTGTGCCTTTCCAAGGTCATTATGGGTGTCACACTCATCTCATCTCTAGATAATAGATTGTTGTAACCATCTCATCCATATAAAGCACTTATTGTCTGTATGGCCCATATTGCAAATCCTTGTAGTGAACCACCAGATGGACTTGAATGGAAACTAAATGACTCCATATCTTTCCAGTTGGTATTGACTGATATTCTCATACAAGAGATTGGTGATATAGCAACACCAGGAGATGAATCAGAAAACTCCAGAAGATGTACCCTATGAAATCCAGAATTAAAAAGATGAGATTTATACTTAAGGCAGATTAGATCTACACATTCTAATTCTGTTACTACTCACCCCTGCCCAAATGTAAAAACTATAATACTTACACAGAAGTATTTACCAGAAATGCTTGACATAAATTATAATACAGTAACAGCAGTTCAGTATAACTATGAATGTATCTCAAAAGTCAAGTTCAATTTTGTATTTACACAGTGTATACAAAGAACCAATCATCTACTATTGTAATGGTGACACTCCTTTTGATCATTTATAAATATGTAATTGTATGGTGTTTGACAAATCCTGTAAATTGTAATATCCCATATATTGAGATGAATATGAAGAAGACCCAGACGATGTGCCCCATGAAATCCAGAACTATGCAGATGAGATTTATACTTAAGACTGATTACCTCTGCCTCCTCCCTATTCTGTTACTACTCTCCCCAATCCTCCTCCAGGCAAGAACTTTTACAATTAGATGTGCATTACTAACCAGAAATGCTTGAAATTAAGTATAATCAAAGAAGTTGTAATGTAAATGTATCTCAAAAGTCAACTTAGACTCTGTATTTATAGAGAATGAATCTATGATAAGGGCGACGCCCACTTTTGATCACTTGAGTAATTCTATGGTCTTTATACTTACCAATCATGCAGAATTATAATATCCTATATGAATGTGAAGAAGACCCAGAAGATGTACCCCATGAAATCCAGAACTATGTAGATGAGATTTATACTTAAGGGTGATTAGCTTTGCCCTCTTCCAATTCTGTTACCCCCCCCCCATCTATCCCCTCCCCAATGCAATAAGTATAACACTTACATGTACATTATTCACCAAAAATGCTTCATATTTAGTATAGTCAAAGAACATCATTATAAATGTATCTCAAAAGTCAAGTAAGACTCTGTATTTTTAGAGAATGGCAATCATCTACTATGATAAGGGCGACGCCCACTTTTGATCACTTATGTAATTGTATGGTCTTTGACACTCCCCAGTTATGTTAATTGCAATATCCTTTATATTTAAATAAATGTTTGAACTGCCCTGGTAATTTTGAAAATGCTAAAATGTTCTGATATCTGTTGATTTGAAAAATAATCCACATTCTATATTATGTACAGGTACAGGTTTTACCAAAATTAAGGATTTTCTCAGCAAAAATTGTGGTTTCCATGGCAACCACGAGTGACAGACCATTGAAAGTTTGCATACTACCTTAAAATGATCTCATCAACTCTCGATAAAATTATTATGATGATTGAAGACCAACTGAATGAATTATTCAATGATGATAATGTACCCCCTGTAATTTTCCTTTTTAGGGTCAAAAACCCAATTTTGACAACTTTCGCCCCAGATACGGCGCATCAGACAAAAATTTTCTGAAGTATCACATAAAAATACATAAGAAACAAGTAATTTCAATTTGTTCAGAAGCGGGTACATTTTTCGGTGCTACCTCACTAACTATAAGGAGGAACCATAAGTGTCATTGATGCTTAGTAGTGAAAGAAAATGAAAATATGCAAAGCTTCACAATTGAATCCACATTTTGCTTGCTATTTCAGACCAGTTTTGTTGCATTCAGCAATGGCCAAGAGAAAAAAGGTCTCGTAGTTGTCTCCTCTGAGAATATCTATTTCCTCCATATTGCAAGGCCAGAATGGTAGGCTATTATAGAATATTGTTTGATGAAAGAATACCTCTTACCCAACTAGTTTGACTATTCTCGTTGTTTTCTTATCGTCAACATCCTTCCTTAACACACCATGTACCATATATATGTTGATCAAGTTTAACTCTCCGTCACACTTGAAAAGTGGTATAATTTTGTCATTTTGTGTGAATTTCAAGTTTGATATTTATCACTATATGTACCGTATCTTGTTTACACTTTAAAGTATATTGTCATTAGTCTTAATCTTTCAAGTGTACTCACAAATTGGGGTTTCCCTTCATCTGAAACACTTGTTATTGTTAAAAGCAGACCAAATTCAGTGACAATCTGCTAAGAGTCAATTTTCAATGTTCTATAGTGAGGAGCAACCTGAGAAGTGGCTAAAGTGTCTTGAGAAGCAACCACTAACTGAGGTCCACTATGTAGATGTAGGCCTCCAACATCAAAGTTTACGTCTTGAGTTTGGTTCAGAGGCAGAGAGTTACAAACTCTTACTGCGGGATGAGGCAAAATGTAGGAAGTTTCTACGGCAACTAACAGGTACAGCTTTTTGTATCCAGGATTACTTGAGATGCATATATTGTACTTTTCATCTTGGCAGTTTTAGTGTTTTTTTTGTTTTGTTTTTTTTATACATAAATTTATTCCTTTAGTAAACAATAAGAGACATGCAGTTGATTGCCAAAGTTTTATAAAAAAACATTAGTGGCAATTAAAAACATTAGCGGCAATTGAAAACATTAGCGGCAGTTTTAATGTCGGTGACATCATATATCATCTCATTCATGATTATTATTGACTGAATGGAGGAATGTAGATGAGATAATGATTTATTATATTATTATGGCCATCCCCAAGATTTGGTGATATACAGTGTATAAATATTTCAAGTCTTTTGTGACCAGCATTCATTCAGAGTTCAGCTGTCAGTGTTGACAGTCAATGTCTGTAACAAATTGTTACACTTTTGTAACCATTTGCACTAACTTACCAAGTGTTGGCTATGTGACACATGTAATATCATGCATTTTATGCATATATGTTCCAAACTTGTTTTTTTTGGTTTGCTGCATATCATTTTATTAATAAACAGTGGATTATAATTATATCCCCTATTGTGTCTACCAACTTATGTTATGACTGTATTATTCGTTTTTTTGATGAGAATAAATTACATAACATTCCCCTGTGCCCCGTGAAATTAATCAGACAAAAATGAAGATATTTCCATGGAGAGACTGAGCTTGACTCAACTGTTTTAGTAAATCAAGTCTAAGGTCTGTTTCCTCTAAATAAGCCTAATGAATGATAATGATTCATGAAATTCAAATGTTGTTCATGCTTTAATTGTTGTTCATGTTTACATGTGTTACCTAATATTTCCTTATGTTGTTCCTCTTTTCTTTCATATATTAAAGGTATCATCCAGGGTATAGCATTCCACAGTGAGAGTAAACTAGAAGGTATTGGGAAAAGTAACCTTGACACCTTACATCATATCCTAGAAGAAGTTCTGCATGCTGGTCATGGTGGAACTGATGAAGTCACAGAAGACACTTCTAAGATCAAACTTTTTGTTTTGGCGTTTCTTAAAACAGGCGAACTAGACTCAAAAGGAAGTGCTATTACATTGTTTGATTTTTATGTCACCACCACAAGTGGTGACATGTTGTTATGGTCTCCAACTTTTTTGTGGATGGTGTTTGGTGGTTGGTGTTTGGCAGTTGGTTTTCTGTTGTTGGCCTTCAGCCTCTGTAACAAATGGCAGATGGTGACATTTTGCGTGTATATGCCCTGTGTTTCTTTATCTCAAGGAGCTGGGTTTATTTAATTTTTGAATAATTCATGATATGTCCAAGGACTTTAACAACCATTCAACAATTGAAATAATTCCTTTCTTTGAGGGGTTTTATACATTATAATCAATGGTCAAGATAAATTATGCTTATTTTAATGTGTTTCAATATCAATGCATGTTCAACATTTATCAGAATTTAAGAAACATTTCACTTGGGAAATTTTAGCCTTGAAACAAAAGAGGCAATGGTTTAAACTATAACTATAGCTACTTGCTACTAGGATATGTGGCTTTTCATTTATGCCTATTCAACTCAAGAATGATATGAATTATATGACATTTGGTTGTTAAGAAGACATATTTTCCTCAATTATAAGGCAATTTTATAAGAATAGTACATTCTGTATTTCTTTTAACGTGGACTAAAAGTTTTTTATCATAATTGATTTTGATGATTGATAATTTAGGTAATGAGCAACTGAGTAGTGTCAGTATTGTGGTGACGTCGCAAGATATAATTCTCACACAGGAGGATCATCATTGGCCCTTGCCTCGACACAGGAAGCAGGTGCTGCCCCCTGGAGCACATTTCAAAGTCCTGGATAATCAGAAAATCAATGAAGTCTCTAACATTGTATGTATAAGCTGAAATTGTCAAACAGATTTGATTTTTTAATAATTATGTTTTTAAACCAAATTCCTAATGAGAAAAACATATTTTTGCCATGTATTCTTTGCCATGTATATTTCTTCTATATTTGAGTCAGCATAAAGTGTGGAATCCTTTAAAGTGTCTCACATATTCGATCAAAATTTGCCATGCAAACATGTTAGTCTACTTTACTGGCCCCCCTTGCTGTAACAAGGAACCCAAAACACATTAAAACGTAAACATAAACCAATTAGTCACTTCAATATGAAAGTGAGGGGTGTTAGTCCATGCACACAGCGTATTCTGCTAATACATATTTGCTAACACAATATCAGTGGTCATTTACTGTGTCAACTTAGTAACCCTTGCATATCGTGCTCACTCAAGTATTGAATATTTTTCATGATCTAAATGTTTGTGGTTTCACAAAAAATGTGATATATTTTAGTTAGAAATACATTTATTGATATATTCATTCAAACAGCACTAGAATGCGGGAAGAAAGAGCAATGGTGACAAAATGCAGACAGAATTTTCTGTAAGGGTTTCAAACATTTCTGGACACAATCATACATGTACTTCATGTGTGCTGTTATTTTTAGTGCTGTATTTATAGATATAATTTCACGTATTAAAATCATATTTTCCAGCAATGACTTCAAATTCGGAACCACACCCATATCACATTTTCTTCAATAACTCCAAACATGTGTAAACATTGACCATGCGCATATAAATTCAGATTTCACGAGCTCTCCTATTCGAGTACCTCATACACCCCTGCATGGATTTGAGTTGGATTCGCCTTTTATACGTGAGCCGACACACTCGCAAACGCTGATTGGATAAAGATTGTAAATCCCTAACAAAAAGGATTCACAGTCATTATTCAAACACAATCCTCCCTTGCATGGCATGGAACAATTTGGTAATAATATTTCTAAATTCAGACCGAGCATTTAGAAGGGAGATGAGCATTACTTAGTGTACCAGTATTCTGGTAATATTCCAACTCCCATGGCAGTGCTAGTTTTCAACATTTTAGGTAGTTTTACTACCAAATTGGTCCATGTCATCCAATGGAGGATTGAGTTTGAATCATGGCTGCAAATCGCCCTGTGCCTTAATTAATATGTAAATTATCAATTTCTAACAGGATATTTATGAAGATGACACCACCCAGCTGTCAATAGTGTTTTTCAATGAGGAAAATGATGAGGAATGTTCTTGGCATATTGTCATGGAGACAGCATCATCCTTAGATACACTGCTGACATCTATCTGTAAGCCTTGGGAGGCAGAGTTTGGTGTTGAGCTTCAAGTGAATAAACAAGAAAGTGTGCAGGGGCAGGTTAGTTACTTATTAGTACCCCTTCAATTTAGTACGATTGCTCAGCTGTGCTAACTTATCCTTTATCAACAATACTTGAAGCATACAAGATGACCTTATGTCACCATCTTTAGTTTTTTGTATTATAGAAAAAACATTTGGATTATTTTTTCACTGTCACTCAATAATCTTGAACCTCATTCAAAAAGATTTGCACTCAGTAAAGAACTTTTTGAATTTTGACATTTCCTTGTTTAATAGAATTGAAAAAAGAACCATTTTATTACACAATGAATAAAAAACATGTATAATATTATTTATTTTGTTTTCAGGAGCTATAAATTGGCAGTTGTATGTTCATCCAAGGATTGCTTTCCTATCCCAAAAAGAGACTCTACTATTTTTTTATGTTTCACATTTTTACACTCATGGAGCAGTTTAAGATGGTCCTGTATGGTAAAGATAGAACCCTCACTTTGACAATGAAGCGACTTTAGTGAATTCCAGTTTGTGAATGACCCTCATTGAAATAGTGACCTTTAATGGAAAGAGTGGATTAGAATGAAAAATGGCTATTTGGTATCACTATCACTAAAACTGTAAAACATGGAAATATTTCTGGAATATTTTGTTTTAACTTTACTTAATTTTTCAAGTATACAGTAGTTTGCATTTTATTCATGAGGCCATAAAACGTGTTTCCTACCATTTTGTTTAATTTTACCATATGCACAATATTCTTTGATATTATATTGATATACTACAACTGATACAGGCTTTTTGAGTATAAGACAGCTCTATCTCAGTTTTTTGAATTGCTCACAATGTTTTTATTTAATGTTATGGACATTGTACATCTGTATATGTATGCATGTAACCATGAAGTTCATGTGTTGATTTATATTCAAAACCAACATTTGGAAGATAAATTGTATCCAAATTCAACCCTAATGATGATTAATCCACTTGTATACGTATATTGAATTTAATGCAACCATTTTGTTATGTGGTCTATTCAACCATTACAGGTGTAAAACCATCTATCACTATGTTATGTAGTCTATTCAACCATTACAGGTGTAACACCATTTTGTTATGTTGTCTATTCAACCATTACAGGTGTAAAACCATCTATCACTATGTTATGTGGTCTATTTAACCATTTCAGGTGTAACATCATTGTGTTATGTGGTCTATTCAACCATTACAGGTGTAACACAATTTATCATTATATTATGTGGTCTATTCAACCATTACAGGTGTAAAACCATCTATCACTACGTTATGTAGTCTATTCAACCATTACAGGTGTAACACCATTTTGTTATGTTGTCTATTCAACCATTACAGGTGTAAAACCATCTATCACTATGTTATGTGGTCTATTTAACCATTTCAGGTGTAACATCATTGTGTTATGTGGTCTATTCAACCATTACAGGTGTAACACAATTTATCATTATATTATGTGGTCTATTCAACCATTACATGTGTAACACCATTTTGTTATGTGGTCTATTCAACCATTACAGGTGTAACACCATTTTGTTATGTGGTCTATTCAACCATTACAGGTGTAACACCATTTTATGTGGTCTATTCAACCATTACAGGTGTAACACCATTTTGTTATGTGGTCTATTCAACCATTACAGGTGTAACACCATTTTGTTATGTGGTCTATTCAACCATTACAGGTGTAACACCATTTTATGTGGTCTATTCAACCATTACAGGTGTAACACCATTTTGTTATGTGGTCTATTCAACCATTACAGGTGTAACACCATTTTGTTATGTGGTCTATTAAACCATAATAGGTGTAACACCATTTTGTTATGTGGTCTATTCAACCATAACAGGTGTAACACCATTTTGTTATGTTGTCTATTCAACCATTACAGGTGTAACACCATCTATCACTATGTTATGTGGTCTATTCAACCATTACAGGTGTAACACCATTTTGTTATGTTGTCTATTCAACCATTACAGGTGTAAAACCATCTATCACTATGTTATGTGGTCTATTTCACCATTACAGGTGTAACACAATTTATCATTATATTATGTGGTCTATTCAACCATTACATGTATAACACCATTTATAATTTTGATATGTGGTCTATTCAACCATAATAGGTGTAACACCATTTTGTTATGTGGTCTATTCAACCATAACAGGTGTAACACCATTTTGTTATGTTGTCTATTCAACCATTACAGGTGTAACACCATCTATCACTATGTTATGTGGTCTATTCAACCATTACAGGTGTAACATCATTGTGTTATGTGGTCTATTCAACCATTACAGGTGTAACACAATTTATCATTATATTATGTGGTCCATTCAACCATTATAGGTGTAACACCATTTATTACTATGTTATGTGGTCTATTCAACCATTACAGGTGTAACATCATTGTGTTATGTGGTCTATTCAACCATTACAGGTGTAACACCATTGTGTTATGTGGTCTATTCAACCATTACAGGTGTAACACAATTTATCATTATATTATGTGGTCTATTCAACCATTACATGTATAACACCATTTATAATTTTGATATGTGGTCTATTCAACCATTACAGGTGTAACACCATTTATCATTTGTTATGTGGTCTATTCAACCATTACAGGTGTAAAACCATCTATCACTATGTTATGTGGTCTATTTCACCATTACAGGTGTAACATCATTGTGTTATGTGGTCTATTCAACCATTACAGGTGTAACACCATTGTGTTATGTGGTATATTTAACCATTACAGGTGTAACACAATTTATCATTATATTATGTGGTCTATTCAACCATTCCAGGTGTATTACCATTGTGTTATGTGGTCTATTCACCTATTACAGGTGTAACACAATTTATCATTATATTATATGGTCTATTCAACCATTACATGTGTAACACCATTTACCATTTGTTATGTGGTCTATTCAACCATTACAAGTGTAAAACCATTTATCACTATGTTATGAGGTCTATTCAACCATTACAGGTGTAACACCATTTATCATTTGTTATGTGGTCTATTCAACCATTACAGGTGTAACACCATTATCATTATGTTATATGGTATTTTCAGCCATAACAGGTGTAACACCATTTATCATTTTGATATGTGGTCTATTCATTCAACCATTACAGGAGTAATAAATTATGACAATTCTCTATTACACGTTAAAGTATGCAATAGCTTCATTTGATCACTGTTATTTTTAGAAAATAAAATTAGGATTATAAGGGAAACATTGGCTTGATTTTTGAAAAAAATTCTTTCAACATTTTTCACATTCTGTTGCTTCTAATTCCTTTAAATGCTTATATTCAATTTATTTTAGTCAAATGTTGTGACACTGATTGTTATTGTATTATTAATAAATTATGTTGAATTTGTATATAATTTTCTATTATTTTTACAACAAAACAACACATCGGTAATCAAAACAATTTATTTTTAATTTAATTACACTTTAACACACTGAATGACCATATAAGGTATAACAGGATATAAAACATATAAGAACAACTTCTAAATAACAATATTCACTTGGACGATATGTATGTCACATGTATAAGCAGCATCCATTCCCTTCTTCATATTGGTTTTGATATGAAACAAATCTGCAAATACTCCAAACGATATTTTAGCCAGAAACTTCATAGATTTTAGCAAAGAGAGTGACATAATGAGTAAGAGGATTTGTATGTCTGTATGTTGGGTGATGAATTTTTTACATATTTTTAAAATTTCATGTAGTCATTATACATAATTACAGGGTGTCAAACCGTAACAGATGGTACCTGGTGTGATATACCATTGGAAAGATCATCCAAAGTTATGTTTACTCACCAACTCTCAAGTATTTTGGATGAAATTTACCTATATTTTTATCATGTCTTTTATAGTTAACGTGCCCTCCTTTAAGTAGCTTTTTTTGTGTCAAAATGACAAGGATATGACCTCAGAAAAATGTCAAAAAGTTAATCTTTTTCGCATTCCACTTGTTACAAAAAGGTTTTCACCACTTTCCCTGCATCTCTATTTTCTATACATGTAACCCTATCGAGAAATTGGTAAAATTCATCGCCATAAACATATTTAGTCATCTTTTGGTCCCTTGACCTTTCTTATAGCCGATTCTTAAAATCCTGCCAAATACGCCAAATTGCCATGTTTCTAGTCATATGGTCACCTCAATTGATACAATGTAAAAATTTGTGAGATTGATTGACATGTGTCAGATATACGCCAATCAACGTAACTTTGGAAGACCTTTCCAATGATATATCACACTTGGTACCAAATATCTTGGATTTGACTGTAGAGGGGGGGGGGACTTATTTGACACCCTGTATACAAACTAGTCATTTAGAATACATTGTGTTCCCTACAGAAGTATTAGTGTGATACTGTTTCAAAAAACCCTCCATTAAAATTACTATTATTTTTGCAATATAGACTTATAGGAGGGTGATGCTCGTGTACACAGAACTATTAAAACTACAATTAAATCGTGAAACTGTGGACAGAAAAACAAAAGAAAAATAGAAACTGGATGTTCCCAATAAATTACCAATCACATAGCGGAGAACGTCTATCTTAAAGAAGCTTTCACAAAATATCACATAAAAATAAAATAAATTCAAAATTTTGAAAATAAGTTAATTGGAACATTGTTTCATATATTAAATGAGGTATATACAAAAAATAAATAAACTAAAATATATTTACACATGGAATTATTATGCTATTTCTTTGTACAATTGGTTTTGTTCTGTTCAAATGACCACACAATTGGCTGCCTAGATAAACTCTGGGAGTTACCCATGTGAATGATATGGCTATCCAGATGAATAAATACATGGTATTTTTTATATTGTAGAATTTTGAGTGCACTGTACACTGATAATCTGCAACATATGACATATTTAATTTATATTTATCTGGTACATGAATGACTACTTTATATATATTTGTAATCTGATTCATTCACAGATAGCTTTATATACCGTTTAAAAGTGGCATTTAATCCAAGTGGTCAATTTGCCAATTTGTCAAATATCCTTTTCCTTATTTTGAATTTCCTAATGACAAAAATCTTCCCATTGGATAACATTATGAAGATAATATTTCCGATATTTAATTTCCCAAATCTGGCAAAAATTAGGCAATAGGCAAATTAAATGATTAGGCGAAATTACCCCTTATACAGTATTTGTAATCTGATTTGTTCACAGATGGCTACTTTATATACTAGTGTATAATCTGATTGGTTCATAGATCATTTATGAAAAATGTATGCGGAAGTGATGATTTTATACAGATGTATTTCACTTAAAAGAATCCCTCCATATGTCAGCACCCATTGTCATTCATTGTCATTTGATCAGCCAGTCTTTGTTCATCCAGTTTCTCCCAATTTGCCCTGTTTGACATGACACCACCCAGCATAGGCTCAAAGCTATCATTCACCTTGCCCAAGGCCTGGAGAAATACAGTTTACACTATTCAATAAAGTATAATATCAAAATTACATGGTTAAAAATTGTTTTCATTAGTATTTAGTCAATAGTTAAAAATATGGTATTGTGTATAGTCAAATTGTATCAGAATTCCAATATTTAGTTAATAACTCTTCCAAAGTACAGGTGATTATAAAGTTCGAAAGGACCTTCATCACCAACCCTCGTACACAGTAGTTAATGTTACCTTATATAATGGGACGCATACGCCATCTATCCATCCCATCTGTAGCTTTGGTAGTTCTTCCTGCTTTTCTCTGTCCATCATTGTCTATCAGAGGATATTACACAATTATGATTTGATTCACATTATATACTGATATAATAATGTCATAACTCATACAATTACCATTTGAAAAATGGACATAAATCGATTTGAAGGCAAGATATATTTTGTACTTAATTGACTTGAGTTCATCCTGACCTTGCAATAACATCAAAATATTGATCCCAGGATCCAGGCATGAAATCATGTCAAAGAGCAATAATTGTTGTTGAATCTGTCTTGTTGAGAGTACGTAGCTAGAGTTGAATATAATTTAACATAAGTTTATGCCCAATCATTTTACATTGATTTTATTAGTGAAGGGTGTTACCTGAGGTTGTATTTTTAGTTCATTTCTCTCCTTATCTCCTTGTTCGAAGAACTCAGTCATTACAAGGGAAGCAGTCTACAATAAATCATGCTGAATTAAAGTACTTTGTTGTATTGTATTTAACTAACATTTAATGAGACCAGTCTCAGTATCTGAATTATCCTCTCAGTACCAGAAATTAAATTGACATTTCAACATTTTATCATATATCGTGTTAATTCAATCTTGGATATTAATATAGGACACGAAATTCATTGCTGGAATTTTTGATTTAGCCAGAGACATATAAAACATTAAAGTAAAACATGTTTTACTTGTATATGTCTCTGATTTAGCCCATGGAACAAAATGTTTTTTCTTATAAAATGAGAAGTCTCAAAAAGTGATAAAACACTTCAATATAGAATCCCCATTTTTTAGCTCAAATATGAATCAGTATTCTGTATTGTCTTTACCTGATTTGAAATATTTCATTTTGATTGGTCAATGAGCAGTCAATAGTGTTCACTACTGACCAGAGAATTACCCTAAAATGACATACTAATATAAATGGAATGGTACTTTAGGTTTTACCTGGTCTAACAGAACAATTTAAGACATTTTCATTAGATTGACTGTAAAAATTAAATCTACAGGTTGTCTTGCTATCATTTAAACAGTTGACCTCTGAAGAGGTCAATACTTGTATTTGATGATTAATGAATTGCAATCATACCCTCCTCTGTACATCCCAGGACTTTGTTATACTAGCAATGTCACAGCTTGTCATGAGTATGCTCCTTAGGACTTCCTTATGGTCACGATCCTCCCAATTACATGAACCCGATTCAACTATCTGAAAAAACTTGCTGCGTATCCTGGAAGCAAACAAACAGTTTCCAATAAAGGATTTCCTTCTCACATTTAAAACATGAACTTACACTATGATTTCAGTGGCAGATGGTCTTCAGATGGTCTTGGTGAGACCTTTTCATAAATATATTGTGTGTTTTAAGATAATACATGTATTGCTCTTGGTGTTTTGGCATTCAAATGCGTCAGTCATATTAGATTTAACTTCATAGTTTTGAAATAGTCAAATGAGCATTCATTTGCATCTAGTTTATTTAATCCCTTGTAGACTTACTGGAAGTGAAGGGAGAGGTCTGTGGCAAGTATACACTGCTTAAGAATGGTGGTAACACTCACATAATCTTCACTCGTCATATTGGAGAAAAGATTGTGTCCCTAAAAGCAACAAAACACAGATGAGTTTTAATGACCTAATGCTAATTTTAAAATAATTTAAATATGTGTGTTGGTTTCAAATACTCACCCCATTGATCAGGATCATGATTGTATGCTTTTAGTGTTAGTTTCAAATACTCACCCCACTGTTCAGGATCATGATTGTATGCTTGGAGAGTTGGTTTCAAACACTCACCTCACTGTTCAGAATCATGACTGCATGGTTAAAGTGATGATGTTCTAAGGTGGCCTTAGTACCATACAGTTGGGCAAGATGTGAACTGGTTCTGGAAATAAATTACAAAAATAAATATTAATTATATCCACAAAATACTTTGAATAAATGAAAATTGTATTGTATAGTTAAATGAAAACGATCTGAATGTTTTTAATATATAAATTTGGAGCTCACTTTTGTTGGAATGCATTGTTGGTGCCCCTGTGGTCAAGATCATGACACAGGCAGGCAACTATCATTGCCAATCTCTCCACATGGCTGAGTACTTTGTCCATACCACAGTTCTGAAAAGGAATACAGCCATAACTCTAAATTGTATTCCATACATCATGTTTTTATTTTTAAACATGATATGGTTTTGGTTTTTATGAATATCATGTTACTCAGCTCAGTATCACTGTCTTAATGTGAAACTTATACATCATGATTCAAAGAGCAAAAGGAAGGAAACACAAATAGACTTAAACCTTTGGTGTAGCAGTTAAAATCAATGAACTCACCGTTATTATTGCAAACATGAACTGACAGACATTGAATGCATGGCGCCAGTTGTGGTAGGCTACATTACGATAATTCTTCCTCACAGTCAGTAACCAGCGAACCAGAGTCTAAAACAAAAATATTGATCATCTTAATCTTCTGAGAAGAATCAATGAATTGAAAGGGCATCGACTTAATGCGCTAACAATAACTGTTATTTCTCAATGTTAAATGAGAAGGTACCTGAACCTATTTAAGCATCTATGGGCATGAAAGGACAACCAGAAGAACATGAAGGAAACCCCAAAAGATCCTTGCCACCCTGCTAGGATAGATATTACACAATGTACAATTGCACAACTCCTTTATCAAAACTGGTCCATGCTTTATCTTTTACAGAGCTTTGTTTGTTCACACTAATATCTGATGCATTCAGGTACCTCCAATGATTTCCAAGTGTAAGTAGAAATCATGTTATATTGTGTTCTGAACAAAGAAAAATACTATATTTACTTACTACAAGGGTCATTCGAAGTCTTGCATGAAAGCTTCTCAAGAGAAGAGATTTTATTATTTTTATGTGAAATTTCATTTGAATTATATAGTTAAGATATTTCCAAGTCTCACATCAATTTCAATTTTGAATCTCCTTATAAGGCCAGTATCCTTAAATATGCGTATCGCTGCTATGATCATCTCATTGGAGTCTAAGGAGTAGTCATTGAAGTCAAACCCAGTCAGGTTCCACTCCTTTGCCTCTGGCACAGGGATGTTCTAATGAAATGATTGAAAAGTACAATTAATGATAAAAAAGTTCAGTAAATGATAAGAAAGTACAGTAAATGATAACAAAGTACAGTAGTTGATAATAAAGTACAGTAAATGCTAGCAAAGTACAGTAATTGATAAGAAAGTACAGTACATGATAACAAAGTACAGTAAACTTGTGTGGGGGATCAGTCTGTAAGGAATACCTCTCTTCAAAGAACAGTTTTCAAAATAATATTTTCCATTAATATTTGGGCCGTAAGAAAACTGCTTCTAGTAGAGAGGTGTTCCTTGTAGAGAGGTGTTCTCTATGTGATATGCTTTACTGGATTATGGAACATTGATAAATATGCAGTGTGATTAAATTTTCAAAAGGTTTTGTTATTTGTTGAATGCTTTACAATGCATTATAAACTTGTAAGAAATAATTTACAGACAACATATAATATCGGGTGTGTAGTAGTATTTATCATATGATTAAAATGTCATATTGTTTAATTTTAAGATTACATAACTTATTAGCAGATGAGAGATATTTCTTGATCACTTCAACAGCTGAATAGCCTGATACACAAATTGTGTTTTAAAAGTCTTACTCACTTTAATCTTATATACTTCATCTGCTGGTACTGTAGCATGGTATGAAAGCACCTACAAACAATCAATTCAGTCATTAAAAATCAACCCACATTTTATTTAGAGTATTTATTTAGCCAAGGTGCATATTATGAAAATCCTTCTGACACATATTTAATTACATTCTCTAACCACAGGAAGTGTTTAGTGGCAAACTGCAACCATGTTGAGTGCTAAATGGCATAGTTCAATCATGTTGAATGCTAAGTGGCATATGCCTCAATAATGGTAAGTTCTAAGTGGCATAGCTCAATTATGGTGAGTGCTACGTGACATACTTAAATCATGGTGAGTGCTAAGTGGCATACTTTAATCATGGTGAGTGCTACGTGGCATACTTTAATCATGGCAAATGCTATATGGCATACTTCAATCATGGTGCATGCTATATAGCATACTTCAATCATGATGAGTGCTAAGTGGCATATACCTCAATTATGGTGAGTGCTAAGTGGCATACTTCAATCATGATGAGTGCTATATAGCATACTTCAACCATGGTGCATGCTAAGTGGCATAATTCTATACTGCTAAGTGCTATGTGATATGTGATATACCTCTAATGCAACAGCTTGGGTGACAGCAGCTCTCTTAACTTCATCATACAGAATACAGTTATTGATGCCAAGTCCACAGAATATTGTAAATGCCTGCAAATGCATACAAACTACATGCCGAATCAATTTTGAGATACTATTTCAGTTATACTATTACTATTTCAGTTATGATAGAATGATGCAAAAAATTCTTAGTCAAGGCCAGTTAACCGAACATGCTCAATGACATTATGAATTTGAGTACAATACAAAAACCTGTAATGTTCAATGACTTTATGAATTAGAGTACATTACAATACCAGAACATGTAATGTTCAATGACTTTATGAATTAAAGTACATTACAATACCAGAACATGTAATGTTCAATGACTTTATGAATTAAAGTACATTACAATACGGAACTTGTAATGTTCAATGACTTTATGAATTAAAGTACATTACAATACCAGAACATGAAATGTTCAATGACTTTATGAATTAAAGTACATTACAATACCAGAACATGTAATGTTCAATGACTTTATGAATTAAAGTACATTACAATACCAGAACATGAAATGTTCAATGACTTTGTGAATTAGAGTACCAAACCAGAACATGTAATGCAATACAACCCAATTTAGTTTACAATAATAGATTTGGCTTACCTCAAATAGTTGATCATCATGGTCATCAAATGGCAAGCCATCAGTTCTGTTTATAGTTTGAGCCACACCTGGTTCACAATTTATAGAAAATCAATATTTATTAGGTTTATGTTTCCATATTCCTTTGGTATTAGTATGATATCAAGTTAACGAGTGGAAAAATATCACATTCGTATTATCACATTGGTTTATTATTATGTCACCACCAAAAGTGGTGACATATTGTTATGGTCTCCGTTTTTTTGCGACGGCGGTTGGTGGTTGGCGTCCGGCGGTTGGAGGTTGGCGTCTGTAACAATTTCTTACAACTTCCTATAACTTAACAAATACTGTTTAGACTGACTAAATTTTTTTTCAAAATCATCTACATGTTCTCAGAAATTCAAATCTGACTTTAGATTTGACTTTAGATTTGACATTTGACCTTCAAATCTGACTTTAGATTTGACATTTGACCTTCAATGACCTTCTCAAGTTCAAAAAAGGTCAAAAAGGTCTGTTTTCAACTTGCTTCAAATTGACTAAAAAATTTTTTCAAAATCATCTACGTGTTCTCAGAAATTCAAATCTGACTTTAGATTTGACTTAAGATTTGACATTTGACCTTCAATGACCTTCTCAAAGTCAAAAAAGGTCAAAAAGGTCTTTTTTCAACTTGCTTCAAATTGACTAAATTTTTTTTTAAAAATCATCTACATGTTCTCAGAAATTTTAATATGACTTTAGATTTGACTTTAGATTTGACATTTGACCTTCAATGACCTTCTCAATGTCAAAAAAGGTCAAAAAGGTATTTTTTCATCTTGCTTCAAATTGACTAATTTTTTTTTAAAAAATCATCTACATGTTCTCAGAAATTTAAATATGACTTTAGATTTGACATTTGACCTTCTCAAGGTCAAAAAAGGTCAAAAAGGTCTTTTTTCAACTTGCTTCAAATTGACTAATTTCTTTTTCAAAATCATCTACATGTTCTCAGAAATTCAAATCTGACTTTAGATTTGACATTTGACCTTTAATGACCTTCTCAAGGTCAAAAAAGGTCAAAAAGGTCTGTTTTCAACTTGCTTCAAATTGACCAAATTTTTTTTCAAAATCATCTACATCTTTTCAGAAGTTCAAATTTGACTTTACAAGTTCTCAGAAGTTCAAATCTGACTTTAGATTTGACGTTCAAATCTGACTTTAGATTTGACATTTGACCTTCAATGACCTTCTCAAGGTCAAAAAGGTCTTTTTTCAACTTGCTTCAAATTGACTAATTTTTTTTTCAAAATCATCTACATGTTCTCAGAAGTTCTTAATAGCTTTAAATTGACCAAATTGTTTTAGGTGGTGACATTTTGTCATGTTAATGCCTTGTTTCATAGCTACTTTGATATTCATAGGATAGCATGTAAAAATAAAAACAGTAGTTTCGCAACCAATGTAATGTTCATATTTTTCATATGGTTTTATTCCATAGTAACTTTGATATTGACATATCTGTCAGAACAAAAATGCTTAAAACAAGAATTTAAATGATAATAGGATGTCTTAGCATATCTTAATTATTTCACTATCATATTTGATACATTAATTTAAATATCTTACCTATGCATTTCATACTGCTGTTTCGTATTGGTTTACATAGAATACATCTTGTCCGAAAGCCACTTGCTTTATCTACCTAAAACATACAATATATTGTTTGACATTTAAAGTTTTGATTTCGTTTAACTTGCTCACTGGCTCATTTTTTGGGAGATTTCGGGCAATTTATCATTTTTTATTTTGCCCTTTAATGAATCTAAGACGAGCTATCATAACAAAAACCGAGAGGCTTGGGTCATATGATTATTTTCTTAAATCTACATGTTATCATTTTCGAAAGTATTGCATCCTCCTAGTCATTAATCTTGAACTTTAGTCATTAGTCTTGCATATACTTTTGTCATTAGTCTTGCATATACCAATTATCTTGCATCTTGCAATAAATCTTAAGTAAGGAAAACAAGGTTGGTTTCTTCATTCTGCAATCTGTGTCCAAAGTTCACTACTAATGGCAATGAAGAAAGGCTAATGACTGATGAAAGATTAATCTCTATGGTGTAAGACTAATGACTAGGATGCAATACTATCACTATTGATGAAAATTCAATGGCTATGGTGCAAGACTTATTGCTAGGATGCAGCACTATCACCATTGATCAACGGTCAATAACTATGGTGCAAGACTTATTGATAGGATGCAATACTATCACTTTTGATGCAAAATCTAATCACTATGATGCAACACTTATTGCTAGGATGAAATACTATCACCATTGATCAAAGGTCAATAACTATGTTGCAAGACTTGTTGAAAGGATGCAAAACTGTCATCATTGATCAAAGGTCAATGACTATGGTATAAGACTTGTTGAAAGGATGCAAAACTGTCATCATTGATCAAAGGTCAATAACTATGTTGCAAGACTTGTTGAAAGGATGCAAAACTGTCATCATTGATCAAAGGTCAATGACTATAGTGCAAGACTAATGGCTAGAATGCAATACTACATCATCATAAAGTACAATGGCTATGGCACCTGCCTGCATATTAAACCTGGTATCCTGATAGGCATCTGCAATATTAACCGTCTCACCCGTAGATGCCACAATCTCAGCTATCTTATTCCCCATCTTTAGGTCAGTGATGTTTTCACGACTGCAATAACACATGTGATAATTATTCAAACAAGAAAGATAGGATGAATAAATAGCAGGCGAAATTGTGTTTTTATCATCGCAGATACAGTTCCTTATTACTCAGATGCCCAGTGCTACGATATCAGGCTATTAGAAAGGGTAGTATTATCAAATGGGAATGTTAAATACAGTAAAACCTGTGTATATTGAACATTTTTTCGAGAAAAAACGTTCAGTGTTGGTAGGTGTTTAATATACTGAGGGTAATTATAAAGAAGTCAGTAGAGTATGTGTGGAGGAATGTATTCACTAGAAAGAGGTGTTCACTAAGACAGGTTTTACTGTACATGCAATAGCCGGGAAAGTGTAAAATGAAAGCAATATTTTCAAAAAACATTCCAACGTTTTCCATAGACCTACAATCCTAATTTCATTTTCTGAACAAATGAGATATCCGATCAAATAGTACTATAGATGTTAATGAAGCTTTGGAATGCAGAATGTCCAAAAAACGGAAATTCCCTTCGTATCATTTTATTAATTGAGCAAATATCCCCTACCTCAAACTTGTGTGGCCATTCCTCTTTGGCACAACCAGGTCAAATACCTTGCTAAATACCACCTTCTGAAAAAGTAAATCAATTTATAGATATAAATAGTTTAAAAACTTAAAAAGGGTGTGAAATTGGGAAATCTGGATTTATTATACATTTTAAGCACTTGAATTGAAGTCAATAGAAAGGGATAATTGCACATACAATTGTCATATTTTGTTTTTGTGTATTGATTTAAGTTTAATGTCTTGTATTAGTAGTTGAATATATTACTTGAAAGTCAATTAATCTGACGATACGAAATTGTTCCTCAAATGTAATCACGGGATGCCAACTACGACTAGACCGTTAATTTGAATTTTAGACCTAGAAGATGTTTGAAAATCAGTGAGTCAAACTGGTACCATTAAACCCAGAACAAAAATGCCTTTCTGTTGGTACATTTTTACTTTATACAGAGGCGCTCCTTTGAGCGGAGTTTTTGTCCCCATCTGTGAGGAGTGCTTCACACAGCTGGGGACCCAAGACGCCGCTAAATCTAGTGACTCGGTACAATAAAGCAATGCACCGACAGAAAGGCATTTTTGCTTTCCTTTGAATGGAACAAGTTTGAAGAAAAACGGTGCACTATGATACTCAAATCCTTGATTTTCAAAGACCTGGTAGGTCTATAATTCAAATTAACAGTCGTAGTTGGGACCTCGTGATAATTGGATCTAAAAAAGAGCTATAATAACTTGACTGCCATAAGTTGTCAAACGGTACATCTTCTACGATTAAAAAATCCAGGGACCCAGATGTCTTTGGGCAGTTATATGGTTATATATCATATTCTTTTTGTTCTTGAATACATCATTATATCACGCGAATGAATTCCCATATGTTTTAATTACACTGATAAGTTGAATATCATATCCTTAGTGGGTATAATGATTCATGTTTCATAGATGATGATTTCATCTCGGTTCAATATCAGATATTTCCCCTGGAGTCCTATCCGTTGATGTAACCGCATACCTTATTATTTCATAAAATAACAGTTTTTGAATTGATTTTAGATATACCCATATTGTTGATTGGCCAAACGTAAATATCTTCCAGTCTCAGATAGCCAAGGCATAATCTAGAAACAAGACAGTGCTGTGTTTTAAGAAGGATGTATTGCGGGCAGAATTGGGTATCCTTTATAATCATGGCGACAAAAGTCAGTATATAGTAACGTATGTACCGAGGATGAAGAACATCCCAGGTACTATATAGTGATAATGGAATCTGTCAGATAAGCCTTAATTAAGCTGTTTCCTCCTGTTCATCCTCCAATTGTTTTGATGAGTTTAAATGATAAAATACATATTCCTGCATACGTTTTCACTTGTTGAGCACTTGTCAACATTACCATTTACTTATTATTGAGGGATTTAACAGGGGTCCACAAAAAATGAAAAATATTAGATTTTGATAATTTTGAAGTTTACAACAGATTATCTACTTATGAATTGGTTTTTTGGGATGGTTATTAGCATGACATATTGATTTTATCTGTTTAATTGAAAATAAAATCACCTGTCTGACTATATTTTGCATTTAAAATGATTAAAATTAATTGTTCCGTTTAGTTCACTTTCTTTTAACGTCATCTTGTTTTTGTTGATCCGCCAATTGTTTTGATATGTTTAAATGATAAAACATATATTCCTACATACGTTTTCACATGTTGAGCACTTGTCAACATTACCATTTACTTATTATTGAGGGGTTTGACAGGGGTCCACAAAAAATACAAATATTAGATTTTGGTATTTTTGAAGTTTACAAAGGATTATCTACTCATGAATCGGTTTTTGAGAAGGTTATTAGCATGACCTATTGATTTTATCTGTTTAATTGAAAATAAGATCGTGTGTCTGATTATGTTGTTCCATTTTGTTCACTTTCTTTTAACATCATCTTGTTTTTGTTGATCCACCAATTGTTAAATGATATGTGTAAATGATAAAACATGTATTATCACATACATTTTCACCTGTTGAGGACTTTACTGTTTACTTATTATTGAGGGGTTTAACAGGGAGGGGTCAACAAAAATATTAGATTTTGATAGTTTTGAAGTTTACAACAGATTATCTAGTCACTAATCGGCTTTTGGAAAGTTTACTAGTATAACAAATTGATTTTATCTCGATGTACATTAGATGTTCAAGAGACCAATAAACTTATTTATTAATTATTGAGGGGTTTAACAGGGGTTCACAAAAAATATAGAAAATATAAGATTTTGATATTTTTGAAGTTTTTTTGGAAAGGTTATTAATATTAGTATGCCATATTGATTTTATCTGTTTAATTGAAACTAAGATCGTCTGTTTGACTTTATTTTGCATTCAAAATGATAAAAATAATGGTTCCATTTAGTTCACTTTCTTTTAACATCATCTTGTTTTTCGTTGATCTGCGTTGTTAATGATATGTTTAAATGATAAAACATATATTCCTACATACGTTTTCACCCGTTGAGAACCTGTCAACATTACCGTTTACTTATCATTGAGGGGTTTAACAGAGGTCCATAATAATGAAAAATATTAGATATTGACACTTTCGAAGTTAACAACGAATTTTCCACTTATGAATCGGCTTTTGGAAAGGTTATTAGCATGACATATTGATTTTATCTTTTTAATTGAAAATAATATCATCTGTCTGACTATATTTTGCATTCAACATGATTAAAAATAATGGTTCTATTTAGTTCACTTTCTTTGAACACAATCTTGTTTTCGTTGATCTGCAAATTGTTTCTGCCTATATTCCCACATACGTTTTCACCTGTTGAGCACTGAAACTGAGCACTGTTTACATTTTAAAACCTTGGAAAAAGCATTTGATCACATATAATATTGCATTTAAATCATAATCTAAGATGAGTTAGGAATTTATTCCCACTATTTATAAAAATTTTAACATCAATAAAGCATATGATATATGATTTTTGCGATACGGGCTCTACAAGCATCTCGACAAGCAAATAACTTTAGTAATAGAAAATTAAGCCTTTACCCTGATTATTTTATTTAGTAGAAAATAGACTGTCCTATGAGGCAATGCTAGAACCCAAACTTTCTCTTGAAATTAATAAATACCGTCTCGCCCAATATTTTTTTCTGGAATAGGTATTCTGCCATTATCAGCTGCTGATCATCAATATTTTGGCTTAATATTGCCCGCAGAAATGACGTTATTAGAATTATTGCTCAGGTCGATATAGTAACAAATGCCACCTAAACTAGCACTAATACCACTAAAACATGCCCCGCAAGGTGGTAATAATAGTAACTGATCCGACAACTATCCACAAAATATTCTTTTTTATATATTTTTGAATTAATCTTGAATTAAATCTTCAATAAATGAAAATCTGAACCACTTTAAGATATTCAAAAAATTCAGTGTGCCATGTTTATAGTATTCACATATCAGAGATGATCAAAATCGCTCCACAACTTTTCGAGTTATAGTAAAATATGTTAAAATGGCGGCTATGTTTAAAATGGCCGCCTTCTCCCAAAAGTGTCATTAGACAGTGTGCCATGCTTATAGTATTCACATACCAAATATGAACGAAATCACTCCACTACTTTTCGAGTTACAGCAAAAATCGTAAAATAACAAGTAAAGGCCACCATTTTTCAAGATGGCTGCCATGTGCTTCTTCAACATCTGCATTTCTAGCTTTATTAATGTCCAAAATGGCCGCTATTTTTAAATGAGTGGCCATTTTGAAAATCGGCTTTCGAGCAGAACTTCTACCCCCACAGGGTATATGTGTACAAAATATGAACAAAATTGGGCCAACAGTATTTGAGTTATTGCCCGAACGGACGTACGTACGTACGGACGGACAGACGGACGTATATCCCTCCGAACTTCGTTCAATTAGATAACTATTTAAAATTAATTCAAATTGTTAGGACATGATACTAAGCTTATAAAGTAAAAATTTGATTAGTTACACCAATCATTGTGATTTTAGAGCCCATTGTTATTTCATTCTACAGTTTAAATTGTATAAATCTTCTTAATATCAACGTATTTATAATAGTCTACACTTATTTAATGCCTGTTTATAATGATACTGAACATTACTGTAATATTGAAATCATATAAGTAATAAAGATCCCAAAGTGGAGGTCAATGTCCCCTCCTCCCATTTGTGACATGGCGTTATACGAATTAGGTTGAAGACATCAGAATGAAACCTGTTTTCATGATTAATACACCTCAATGATGTAATTTAATCGTAAAACTGTACTAGCTTTTCATCTAAGAACTATCCGGAAAAATACTTAATATTTGTAAAATAGACCCCTGCTGAAATCGTTCATAAATGAAGTTCTGTAACTTTGTATGGTGCTCAAAAATTCATAAATGGTCAATGTTATAATCCCAACTAAAAAAACGCAAATTAAAAACATTAGGCTGTAACAATAAGCATTAAAAAATTATCTTGTGTTTGATGAGTTATACCCCCACTGTGAACATGGATTCCATTTTGATCTAATTTTTCAGTTGAAATTTTACATTATGCTCTTGACATATAATAATTCATGCTTTTTGTACTTATTTATTATCTATTCACAAGAAATCTTTTAAAACGATTATTTCTTAAAAAAATGGACCCCTGCTTAAATCTCAAATAAATGATAAACGGTAATGTTGTGTGATCCTCAACAAGCAATACCATATTCAGTGATATTAAATCTATCAATATAATCTATAAAAATGATTGGAACTTGAACAGGAGGTAATTTCCAAATATTTGTCAATTCCTTTATCACTAATATCTAGTATGTAGATGGCAATGGCTTATCAGGAAAACGCTCAATGGTAATAATTGAAATAATTGAAAAACAAAAACGCATAATCAATGTGCAGCTTTATTATATATATTCTAGAATTAAACATTGTTTTTGATAGATATTTTGAATCCTGCAAATCAAACAAGACAATAATATATACTCCAATGATTTGAGCGAAATATACTAAAGAAAGTGCTATTGTCTTAGTTTTCCTTTAAATTGAATTCAAAACGTTGTCCTGCCACTAAACCACAAAATGGATGAACTTCCTGGATAGAAGTTTTTTGCTTTTTCGATTTAAACCTATGTAACAGTCATGTTGCGGATTATCATTTGGCACAAAGTTAGACAATATAGTCTAGCTTTTAAAAATTCCCTTGGTTTGGAATTTGATTTTTAAATAAAGCTGCAATTCATGCATTTAGATCATCGCTTTTGTTACATTGACGAAAGTCGGCAAAGTAACATACATTGGTAATATAACGGACTTTCGTCAATGTAACAAAAGCGAGGGGCTAAATAAAATATATGAATTGCAACTTCATTAACAAGATAAATTCCAAATCGAAAAAACTTATTAAAACTACTATACTATTTTCTAAATTTGTTCCAAATTATAATCTGCAACTTGACTTATAAGTAAGGTTTAAATCGAGAAAACTCGTAACCAGGAAGTTCATCCATTTTGTTACATTGACGTTCCGTCAAAGTAACTTGTTGTGGAACAGTGTAAATGGCAAGGTGTATCCAGAAATGGAGAAATATAAACATCTTATGATATCACTAGTCTACTAGCGAGCTCCGACTCTAAATCGGTTATTTTGAATAAGGTCGTTTACATGTAAGTATTTAACCATTCGTTTTCTATTGTATTACCAATTACCACTCATACTGTAAGGTATGATACCACTCAGTAAATGACTTAATTATGACTATTTGTATAGGAGGTTCATCACAAGGATTAAATTGTTTCACTTAATCGATACGAAGTCGCAAGTGGGAATCATAAGAAGTACATGTCGTATATACAAATGTAAGTTTAGCGAGGGTGTCCAGGAAACCAGATTTAAGATGGAACCCATCCATCATGCTATTTTGACATTGTTTCGATATATTACACGCCATTTACAGTAAAGATGGACAATATATAGTTACCATGGTAACTGAAATCAGGGACCGTCAATTCGTGTATTATCAGGATAAATTTATCTCTGGTAATTAGTAACGATGCATTGTGGAACGTATCCAGTAATCTATTCCTAGAATGGAGAATTCAATCCTACGAACTCAGGGCTTGAGACAGGTGATACATCTGACATTATCTCAATACATCTATAGAGGATGTTTCAATCCGATTGTCAATCTTATATCTGATAAATCTGGCGGATTGTACGAATTCAACAAAAATATCTAAATATAGATAAATAAGTGCAATTTTATCTTGATAGATTATTAAGGAGGTGAAATCTTCTATTCGTTTTAAAAAATCAAGTCAGAATATTATTAAAATGAAGTAATTAAAAACATGAGACGTCGTACCCAGGAGTCATAGTATATTTCATCGTTTTTTTATTGTGACTATTTCCCAAATTGAACAGTTCTGAATATCGAAAATTTTGGAATTATCGTACATTTATGAGAAAATCACGAGGAGTCGTAAATGATAAGAATTGTAATTGCATTTTTGACTTTTTTGGGTAGTATGTGTATTTATAAATGTTACCTCCGAATTCTGGTCTCGCAGGAGAACTGAGCACCGTTCACACTTGAGTAATGATTGAGCCTTTTGCATAATTTTCTGGACTACTTTTTCTACCGAGGTTTGTTCCTCGAAGAGATCATGAGCAACTTCCAGCAGCACCTAAGCAATGGGAAAACATAAATGGCAGTATTAGACTAGATGAAAGCCAAGAGGGGGTTGTTTTGGTGTAAATCCTATATTCATTGCATAACCTGTGTGTCCGATCTGCTCTGATGAAGGATCGACTACTTTAACATGGGACCTCGAGCAATTTTTGCAAGGTCAGCAGAATTTACAATATTCAAGGAACAACGTATATTTTATTTTAATTACAGGTACTATACCGTAGCCTATTTTGACACGTTTTAATGAAATAAATGATTGGATCTGAGTTAGTCAGTTTTGATTTTGACCCCTCTTGCACAACCATTTCCTTCAGATTTTCCATAAATTTCTTCCGATTGACATGATCGAGGAATTAGATAACCTTGCAATCCTGTAATGATTGTAACTAATGTCAAACTTACTCTGTTTCTGTCATACTCCACAGTATATGACTCAAACATTTGTGCATTGCTGATTGCCATGCCACAAAAGGCCAAGTACGTCTCAAACACCTGAAACATACACAATGGGGCATCATTCTCGAGTCGACTACGATAAAGACTTACTCTTGCTTCAAGACACTGCCGCCCCTTATTTACTTCAACAACAGGGAAGATATTGTTGGAGTAATAGGGGGGGGGGGGGGTACGGTAAGGGTCTCAAAGCAAGACTATCACGACTACGAGGATGGGGTAGTGTTTCGTTTTGTAAAATACGTTCAATGTTTATTTGATGACATTTGTTTTAGTAATTTTCCTGAATTAATTTTGAATAGTTTGAATTTTTTGTGTTGTCTAAAGTATCATACAATTATGTTGCCTTTTACATGTAATAGTGTCATTCGCTATGGTTTATGAAATTTATTATCAGCAAGGTTCATTCAACCCAGACTTTCCTTAACAATTTATTGACTTAATAACAGCAGAAAAGACCATGGAATCAATATCTGAAATGCAATAAATAGCACATCATCCCTTCCTTTGACCCGTATAGCAGGTACTTAAAGTGGCAGCAAAGAATATTGTACTTTGTTGAAAGTGAGTTTTCATTTCGTACAATTCCAATCATACACATAAAAAAGAATTGAGGTTCTTGCAGGATTTTGAAGATCTAATTTTGAGACGGAGACATTCATCAAACTTGAAAAAGGGACGTCTTCTTTGTTATTGTCATTGACCTAACAGCATTTAGTTTTGTAATGAATAATTAAAACATCAGAACTATTTGACCTTATAGGCATGGTATGACATACCCTTTGTAGTCGTTTGATTTCGCTTCTTAAAAGAGAACTTCGTCGTTTACAACTCAACTCTGCGCCCAGGGATGGCATGAAATATTTAATTAAGAACAAAACAATATTGTTGATAAAACTGTGACACCTTTTTAGAAAGCTTTTCAACTTTTCAAATACTAAATAGACATGTTTTGCGTACGCAAAATGACAATATTTGAATGATAGTAATACAACAACATGAGAAACCATGGGAAACCATGAGAACACTTTTAGCTTCTTTCTACTTGAAGACGAAAAGATGTGATGAGTGACACAAGAACATTACATCCAATAACGAGCTCATCAGTGCATTTTCTATAAAATGTGTCTGTTGAACTAAAATTGTACTTGACTGTTCTATCATGCGAGACATTGTCAATCAAGGTCGATTGCTTATGTACAAACTAATATAAATCATATTGATGATTGCAAAGAATCGTGCCATTTATCTATTCAGGTGAATCTCCTGTAATTGTATTGTGTGAACATCGTTAATGTGAAGCTCAGATTGAAGTATTACGTCACGCCAACATGCACTCATGCAACAACGAAGTCACCATCCCCTCATATACCTGTTCTACAAGTATTTACACGACGCCTAATGAAATAATTTATGAGATAGTCGCTACACTCAAACGCACATAGATTTAAAGTCAACAACATTAAGGTGAGGGTTCCATCGCCGATCACGGGGAATCAGACTACTATGGTAGAGGCTTATGGGCAAATATAGATATTTTCAAAATCAGTTGTTTTACTGAAACCTGCTGTGTGAGTAGATACCAGGTACATTTGATGTGCGCTATTTTAAAGTCATCACAACTAGTTATCATAATCATGCGATGTATACTGAAAATATTGCTTATTATTTCTCAAAAACAGCTTAAATGATGATCTTTTAGAGAGGCTTTGTATAAAAAACCTCCTATCTCATACCCACCTAACCACGTACGTTGGACATAATACTGCTTCTGAAACGATGAAAACATCAGTTTGCTCCAATTTCATCTTCCTCGTGTTGTACCTTACCTCACGTGTTCAACTGTCACGCTTAATTTGGTACAGCCCCTGTGACCTTTGTACTATATTCACACAAGGCAAGGCAAGGTACATCCGATTTCAGCCAATCCGAGCACATTATATCATATAACTGCAGTGCATTATATAAACAATCAGCGCAGCCAAAACTTGACCCTGGCAAAAAGTCTCTTTGAAAATATGTTCTTTTAGTGATTTCGTATCTTTTAAATAACATGGTAGAAAATATTTTGCAATTTGTATTATGTTACCTATGCATGTACCTATGCTATGTATTTTAAATTTCGAGCGAATTGCATCTCATAGGGATCATTCAAAGTCATATTTGTAGTTTCCTGAAAGTTCATTTGGAAATGTAATGTGTTAATGTCATTTGGTGGTTCATCCTTGACATAACCATATTAGGGCTATGGAATTACTGTATATAGATATAGTCGAGTCAAGTCATGCTTGTACATCCAGCATTTCGTTTAACTATCCACACAGTGATCCACCAATTTATTTACGTACGTCTGTACATCACACCGGAATAGCCTGACAGCGGTAAAGTCAGATGACGTTGTCACAAATGGCGGACATAACCATCGCTTCAATTAGATTTTCATGAACTGTATGTTTAATAGAGCACCTAGACGAAATTCCTTTGGAACAACAATCAATCAACGTATCTTTATACTCATTGTACAGTTAATTATGTTCTACCATCAAATTAAAGTCTTTAATTTAACCGATCAAAATGAGATACGGGACAACGGACACTGTATAACCATGTGGCGTTGTCTTTGTAAATTATTTCAAATTCAGATTCCGTTGTCACCGACGATATCGAAGACGTTATTGTTGCGATTCACGACCAAATGTGATCGCAATAGGGATTTCATATGATACACCATTACAAGGGGCTAGTACATGCACAGAATTAGCGACGATAAAATCTCTTGAAATGAGGACCAAGTGATTAAAGAGTTGAAGCGACGGTTATATCCGCCATTTGTGACAGCAGTATCTGACTTTACCGTTGTCAGGCTATTCCGGTGTGTACATACAGGACTGGCACAAACAGCTACACTTCACTTAGAAATTGAGAACGCGACATTCGTACGTGTGCGAATGCTGCCATAAATGAAATACTTGATGAAAAACGAGATGAAGAGATGATGGATGTAATCCGTTTTCATGCCGACTTTATTCTACATCTCCATTAATTCCACGGTATTCACAGTGGCACAGTTTCTTCCCATCTAAATATACAAAAGGTATCATACACATGCAGATGGGGTCTTGTGGATGATATTGACCGCTTCGTTGCATTTCTCATTAGAATTTCCAATTACGTCAGTACATCATCCAAGCTGTCATAGACTTGTTAATTCGATCAATAAATACATTATCCTACACATAACTGACTGCACCATTCCTTAGGAATGACAGGATTATTGCCATAAGGATGAGTAATTGGGAAAATCAGTAGAAAAACCTTAATTTATCTTCCAAAAACATACTGTCCTCGTACTAAATTATTAAACTGCTTAAATTAATTTCGTTATTTGTTGCTTTGAAGATGAAGGGGAGAATAGGTGTGTTGTAAACTAGGGCAATAAAACACATTCGTTCAAATGTTAGAATCAAAGGATATATATCGATAGTTAAAGAACTGTTTTCTGTCTTCATTGAGGAGGATAGCCGAACAGACAAATACAGTTGGTAACATATGTTGCGTCGTTTCAATCTTGGATATAATCATAGCTTTTGTTTTTTGGTTCCCATTACCGGGCACAGAATAAAAAATACTATGCATGAAGCATGGAAGAAGGGGAAAAATTTGCTATTTTGAAATTGTCCCATTGTTTTTAGCTCGATTTTAGTCATTGGAATCAAACTATTATCAACTTATCAAACCCCGTATTGCTTCTAAATTACCAATTGCTCCTGTTTTCTTGATTTCAAAGGCTCTCTTTCAGCCTGTAGTGAGCGGTTATTCTGGGTGTACAAAAATCTCATTTGGAAAAATGGTTAACTTATGAATTGATGAGTACCCGGTCCATCAGCAGATGATGTCATCTCATTTATCTCCCCAAAACCAGGGCAATTTATGACACAACCTAGCTACAGGAGAAATCTTAGACTTAATTTTGTTTCCAAACGGACGCCACAGCTTACGTTTGCAATATTCAAGATATTGCATTCAGCAAATTTTGATCGATGCGCTTTCTTTAAGTATTGAACTATGACTTATTTAGAATGAAAATCAATCCGTAGATCAGAATCAGAATCAGATCAGAATGTTTATCCAAGACATGTGAATGCTCGAGGGATTTACGAAAAAGACCGACCCTACCGACCGGTCAGTGTTTTCCACTGGTAGCCTCAAAACAGGGTTTGACCATATCATGTCAAAGACTGACCATATTTGTAGCCTTAAAATATTATTAATAAAGAAATCTAACGTACAATTTCGAATTAAAATGATTTGTTATAGTCATAGCCAGAGGGGGATTAACACCAGAGTTCAAAGATGACGTACGTATCATTCTGATACTCATAGCATCTTTCTGTTTCACCTGAAGCATCTCAGGGCTGAGAAGAAATGAGATGTCATGGTTTATCATGATGCGTAAACCTGTATTGAGATGACATACATCACTGACGACCGCTCGTATAAAGAATCAAGGTTGTGACTCGTGTCCTAACACCCCAGTCACATTTCCTACGGCGACCTTGCGGTCTATCATTTCTGCGGCCAGTAACATTTCTACGCTCGCCGTGGAATTTCTGCGCTCTTATACTTTTGCAGTCACATTTCCCACGGCAGCCGCACGGTGAATTTTAAATTTCTGTTGATAAATAATACTTTTTTCATTTTATTTACATCGGGACAATTTATAAATGTCATTCATAGTGCTAGGATGTAATATCAAATGAAAAGTGATCGTGAAACATTGACAAATAAAATATGAACAAATGTTATAACTCCGAGTTATAATTTCTACGGCGACCAAGCGGCCTGTAAAAAATTGGATACGCCGTACGGAGGCCGCAAGGCGAGCGTAGTTTTCCTACGCTCGCCGCAGAAATACACTGATTTAATTTATCTGCGGTCGACGCACGGCCTCCGTACGATAAATGTGACTGGGGTGTAAGTATAATTTCTCGTGTGATAACGCTTGCGCGTGTTATACTTATAACACATTATTATTTCTCAAATGTACGTGTGTAATAAAGCGTGTCATTTCTCACACGTAAGTACTCGAGCAAGAGCACGTGTGATAACATGTGTAAGTACATTTGTATCGGCGATTGGTCATACGTAATAGGTTGGTGTTTCAATTTTATATGCAAGCTTAAACTCCCTAATATCCGATACGCGTTTAATTCCCACACGATTCTTTTAAGTGCTTTGGTGAACCCTATCTACAGGGTACACCTCAGTATCTACTGTACAAAGTAATAGCAGATAATTGTCACCTTAAAGTCCTCAATAATTGTCAAGTTTGGTGACGTCAATCTGCTCAAAATAACAACTGTGACTTCGTCTCAGGTGATGAGTGCAATTTTTACATTGTCACACAACGTATTTCAATTAATGTATTTTATTAATACACTCATGTACTTGTCAGTGCTAGGGAATTCTAGAATGAATGATCGCCGCAAGGGGTTCGGGCTTTGAAGAAAATGAGACTCATTATGGGTCCCTTGGCCTCTACCAGTCTACCACCTCTTGAAAAGAATATGTACCATCCACACGCATTCTCCCTCACGCGTTAGATAACGAAAGTCTCAAATAGCAGAGTCGAATAGGCTACCTAACAATGACAGACTCTACAATGACACTATAGGCCAAAGAGATGAGGATGCGAAGGCAAGCTCTTAAAAACAAGAGTAACTTCATACTACAATTGAATTGAATGAGATCTGTAAACTAAACTTAAACTGTAAAAATGACATCGCTGGCTTGTTTGTTTGGATATCAAATGAATACTATAGCATAACAATAAAATGGAAACGATTTTAACGATTTTTGAAATAAAAACTTTTGAAAAGAAATTTTTTCTCAAATAATCAAATTTCCCGCCAAATTTTTTTATTCATCAAATATTCCACTATACAGCACAAAAAATGAAAAGCTGACAACTTTTTTTGCAAAAATATTTTTTCAAAAATCTCTAAAACAACTTTTGAAGCGACGACAAAAAATAGTAAATGAATAATAAAAACATATTTTCAAACCTTACAAAAGGGGACGTAAAGTGACATTACAAACAGAAGACATACTCACCCTTGGTATACGAAGCTAACGAAAATTGACCGGTACGGGTCAAAAGCTGGACCGGTACGGGTTAACGGTTTTATTTGAATTTAAAACAGCCATAACTTGCTCAATATTGACTTCCTTGTGTCTAATTTGAAATATATGATGCCTCTCGATGCTTTTAAATACCCCAATTTTTTACAGATTTTTAAACGGACCAAAACTCTCTAAATGCGCATTTATGCTATTTTCTCTCGAGAACGACTGTCTCATTTTCACGATAACTTTTATTTAGTACTTCTAACATATAAGATCTATTTTTCCCCATCAAGGTATGATGTAAATGACATATGCTATTTACATCTTGTGAGTTTCAATGACGCGCGTTTGATTTTATAAAAAATACCAAACTTTGTGACAAAGAATTTCATCCTGCTTGCAGCGAGAAGACGGACCGGTTCGGGGCAATCTGGTTGCAACGAGAAGACGGACCGGTTCGGGGCAATAGCTGATGAAATTCTTTGTCACAAAGTTTGGCATTTTTTTATAAAATCAAACGCGCGTCATTGAAACTCACAAGATGTAAATAGCATGTCATTTACATCATACCTTGATGGGGAAAAATAGATCGTATATGTTAGAAGTACTAAATAAAAGTTATCGTGAAAATGAGACAGTCGTTCTCGAGAGAAAAGAGCATAAATGCGCATTTAGAGAGTTTTGGTACGTTTAAAAATCTGTAAAAAATTGGGGCACTTAAAAGCATTGGGAGGCATCATATATTTCAAATTAGACACGAGGAAGTCAATATTGAGCAAGTAATGGCTATTTTAAATTCAAATAAAACCGTTAACCCGTACCGGTCCAGCTTTTGACCCGTACCGGTCAATTTTCGTTAGCTGCGTATACCAAGGGTGATACTGTTAAGATCTTATCATAAACACCCTTGGTATACGCAGCTAACGAAAATTGACCGGTACGGGCCAAAAGCTGGACCGGTACGGGTTAACGGTTTTATTTGAATTTAAAACAGCCATAACTTGCTCAATATTGACTTCCTCGTGTCTAATTTGAAATATATGATGCCTTCCGATGCTTTTAAGTACCCCAATTTTTTACAGATTTTTAAACGGACCAAAACTCTCTAAATGCGCATTTATGCTCTTTTCTCTCGAGAACGACTGTCTCATTTTCACGATAACTTTTATTCAGTACTTCTAACATATACGATCTATTTTTCCCCATCAAGGTATGATGTAAATGACATGCTATTTACATCTTGTGAGTTTCAATGACGCGCGTTTGATTTTATAAAAAATGCCAAACTTTGTGACAAAGAATTTCATCCTGCTTGCAGCGAGAAGACGGACCGGTTCGGGGCAATCTGCTTGCAGCGAGAAGACGGACCGGTTCGGGGCAATAGCTGATGAAATTCTTTGTCACAAAGTTTGGCATTTTTTATAAAATTAAACGCGCGTCATTGAAACTCACAAGATGTAAATAGCATGTCATTTACATCATACCTTGATGGGGAAAAATAGATCTTATATGTTAGAAGTACTAAATAAAAGTTATCGTGAAAATGAGACAGTCGTTCTCGAGAGAAAAGAGCATAAATGCGCATTTAGAGAGTTTTAGTCCGTTTAAAAATCTGTAAAAAATTGGGATACTTAAAAGCATCGGGAGGCATCATATAAATCAAATTAGACACGAGGAAGTCAATATTGAGCAAGTTATGGCTGTTTTAAATTCAAATAAAACCGTTAACCCGTACCGGTCCAGCTTTTGACCCGTACCGGTCAATTTTCGTTAGCTGCGTATACCAAGGGTGCATATATTATCAATAATATGTCATATCTTCCCATTTTTCTAATGAACTCACTCACTTATTCACTCACTCACTTATTGGGTAAATTTTAAGAAAGACAGATTTTCTAATTTACATTTTTTGTAATTTGGTGTCAGAGCATGCCTCCTCAGAAAATGAAAGTATACCAATCCAAAATCAGTGAGTGTCATTTTCGTGTCATCCAGTATTATCACATATCAAATTAATGAGATTACTGATTACAATCAAATGAAATCTGTTAAAAATGACATCACAAACAGAACATATCTATCTGTTCAGATATTATCACATGTCAAATCAATAAGATTACAATCACAAACATAACACATACTGTTAAAAATGACATCACATATCAAATTAATAAGATTACAATCAAATGAAAGCTGTTAAAAATGACATCACAAACAGAACACGTGCTGTTCATATATTATCACACATAAGATTACAATTTAAATTAAAGCTGTTAAAAATGACATCACAAACAGAACACGTGCTGTTCATATATTATCACACATATAACAATCGAATTAAAACTTTTGAAAATGGCATTACACACACAACGTATATACTGTTCAGATATGCTCGGTATCTAATTAATGCCATGGCTATAAGTGAGGTGTGCATTTGTAAAGCAGTAATCAAATAGAGACTGTTTATACAATTTAATTGAAACGAGTTTAATAAAAGTTGAAGTTTATTAAACACATCCTGATACTCATCAGTTTCCTATTTTTCAAGTAACAATATGACAGGACAAATGAGACAACATAAGTGAGCATATTCCGATACCCATCGCATACCATTCCTTACAAAAGACGGTATTGTAGTTACAAGAAAAAATATGTGAATAGTATTAAAATGGGCTTATGGCGCCGACAAAAACCTATGATGTGACATTTACTGATTATAAATGATCAGTCCCCTATGTGCTGTTATAGCAATGGTACAATAAATTGTCATTCCTCTTTTACAAGTCTCTAATTTCTTACAGATTGAACTTATTTGACATTATCTAAAAAAGGAATGATGAAAGCTTTCTGTGTAATTAACCTTGTAACCCTAACTAACTACTAACTCGCATGACATATTGGAAAGTTGGGAAATTGCATCAATTAACTTTTCTTCAAATCATATCACGTATATCACATGTACGTATCAGATGTGGAATTGTATAACATAACAGAGTAGGCTATTGTTTATGGCAGGACATTGTAATATTATGTTACATTTATTAATGCATTTCTTACACACAGTTCGACAAGCCTTGAGATGAGCGGCCCAGTGGCAGTAAGGGTATACTACTGTCACCTTATATTTAGAGAACCTTATCTTTGAACTGGAATGCATTTGAAGAACGTACAGAACTAGGTCACATTGGAACTCTTTGAATTAGAAATATAAAATGTGAAAATAAAAAACAAGGAAGCTTGATCAAGAGATGTCTGTTTCATAATTCGAATAGTCCGACCTTAAGTATTGCAGTATGAAGAATATAAAACGAGCTTCATCAGATCGGACGGCAGTCACCTTAATCCCATTCAAATATTTTCCAAGATTTGGATAAGATCTACGATGGCACTGTATTTTTTACTCGAAGACAACTACTCTTTTCAACATATTCAATATTTGAGACGTATATATAGTATGAATATTATTCAGAATTATATTTCTATTTTCTCACCTTTTCATCATCTAAACTGAACGATTCATCTGGGCGTTTATTGATGACTTGGGCCACACCAATAGTTTCATTGTCAGCGTTTCTAATAGGCATGCATAGCAAGGAATCTGTCTCATGGCCTGTAATCGTGTCAACCTCATTATTGTACCTCGGGTCCTGAAACACAGAGAATGATATATCATGAATCGAATGCCAAATCCATCCATTGTACCATACTCGTTTCCCAGTTTGATTTTCAATCAAATGATTTTCAACATATGAAAACATCATACCTTGAAATCCAAGATACAATTGTACCCGGAGGCATGAACCACAGAAAATACGTCATTAATTGCTGTCATATACAGGGTGTCAAATAAGTCCCGTCCCCCCCCCCTCTACAGCCAAAACCAAGATATATGGTACCAAATGTGATATATCATTGGAAAGGTCTTCCAAAGTTACGATGATTAGCATATATCTGACACATGTCAATCAATCACACAAAGCTTTACAGTGTATCAATTAAGGTGACCATATGCCGAGAAACATGGCAATTTGGCGTATTTGGCAGGATTTTCAGAATCGGGTATAAGAAAAGTCAAAGGACCTAAAGATGACTACATATGTATATGGCAATGAATTTAACCAATTTCTGGATAGGGGAAGATGTGTAGAAAATAGAGGAGCAAGGTAAGTGGTGAAAACATTTTTGTAACAAGTGGAATGCAAAAAAGATTAACTTTTTGACGTATTTCCGAGGTCAAATCCTTCTCATTTTGACGCAAAAAGCTGCTTAAAGGAGGGTATGCTTACTATAAAAGACAGCATGAAAATATATGTGAAGTTCATCCAAAATACTTGAGAGTTAGTGAGTTAACATAACTTTGTATGATCTTTCAAATGGTATATCACACTAGGCACCATCTATTAAGGTTCTAGCTGTAGTAGGGGGGACGGGACTTATTTGACACCCTGTATAATCATAAATGCCAATTTCGTACATTGTAACTGGAGTTCTGAACCACTTAAAATACGTCATTCGTCGCTGTCATATAATCATAAATGACAATTTCATTCATTGTAACTTGGGTTCTGAACCACAGAAAATACGACATTAATTGGTGTCATATAATCATAAATGCCAATTTCATTCATTGAAACTGGAGTCCTTAACCACAGAAAATACGACACACATTGGTGTCATACAATCATAAATGCTATTTTTTCATTGTAACTGGGGTCGACAAATACATAGCGGTATTTGTTTGTTGAATGAGTACTGCTATCGTTCAACAGGGGTGTGAATGCCAACTCCCAGTTTCGAGGTAATATTTGACAATACAATTTCACAGTTTAGGTTCAATTTCAAACGTGATTCCTGTATAAAAAATATTTTTAAATAAATGTTACTCGCTATGTATATTTCTGTCATATTGTAACGTTGATTAGAAAAGTCAGAAAACACACCTACATACAACACAAAAATATCAACCATTTCGTTTCATGTTCAGTTGAACAATGATAAAGTAAAACAAAGGCTTGAAATGCTGAAGTTGATGATGACACAAAACAATTATAGAGTGGTACTGCATCAAATAAATCCATTAACATTTGATGTGAATACATAGATTGTTCTCATTTCCTGTACTAAATGCATTGTTGTCTTCTTTTTATCTTTTTTGTGTTGCGTGCTGGGATAAATAGTTATAAGATAAGATAAGTTTATTGTTCTTTATAGTGGTAGGTTACACAAATCAACCCAGCCCACCTGGGCTTATCAACCACTTAACAAGTTTAAACATTTTAAATTATACAATTAGTGAAATAAATATCAATCTGTGTTATACATATGGTTACGTCTTTTGACAAAGCACTCCCTTACAAAATGAGCAAATTGTCTTGTCATTTTCCCAAACAGGTACTTTAACTTTTCTACATTTGTGTCAATACATTTAAAATTGTTATCAATAAAATACCTCTGTCTAATTTCATTATAAAAATGGCAATGAAACACAAAATGTATCTCATCTTCCACACAATTTTGTTCACATAAACAGCATAATCTTTCTTCTAGTTTTTCATTCTTATATGTACAATGTATGGTCCCTTTTGCTTTTGTGAACTTTTTATTAATTGTTCAATGCACAGAAGATTCGAAATCCCGAATATGTGATTGCAAACAAGATTGTAGTAGTATTGATAGAAGATTCGAAATCCTGAATATGTGATTGCAAACAAGATTGTAGTAGTATTGATACAAGATTCGAAATCCTGAATATGTGATTGCAAACAAGATTGTAGTAGTATTGATAGAAGATTCGAAATCCTGAATAGGTGATTGCAAACAAGATTGAAGTAGTATTGATAGAAGATCGAAATCCCGAATGGGTGATTGCAAACAAAATTGTAGTAGTATTGACAGAAGATTCGAAATTCTGAATAGGTGATTGCAAACAAGATTGTAGTAGTATTGGCAAACGATTCGAAATCCTGAATAGGTGATTGCAAACAAGATTGTAGTAGTATTGATAGAAGATTCGAAATCCTGAATATGTGATTGCAAACAAGATTGTAGTAGTATTGATAGAAGATTCGAAATCCTGAATAGGTGATTGCAAACAAGATTGAAGTAGTATTGATAGAAGATCGAAATCCCGAATGGGTGATTGCAAACAAAATTGTAGTAGTATTGACAGAAGATTCGAAATTCTGAATAGGTGATTGCAAACAAGATTGTAGTAGTATTGACAGAAGATTCGAAATTCTGAATAGGTTATTGCAAACAAGATTGTACGGTACCATCCCATATGGGTTTTGATATGTAGAAAAATATATTTTACATTCAATGTATTATTTTATCCAAAAATGAACACAATCATACATCTCTTGTTATGTAGATAATTCTGATGCAGTGCAGTTCTCTGTTGCAACATTACCCCTTGAAATGGAACTTTTCCCAAGGCCAATACCTTTCAATCAAACGAACGAGCTATTTGACATCATGCGTTCTAATAAAACTTGATATATTGTTCTTTGATAGCGTCAATTGTTCTCTCTCCCATATTGTCAGAGAAATAATTCGAGACCTCTTAAGGAATGTTGTATTTATCCACGAAACTTTTTGATTTAGTCGTACTTAAAGGTGACCACTTATGTCATGTATTCGCTAAATAATTTTAATAGTCTGAATGATACCCATCAATTCCAAACCAAAAAAATAAAAATAAATTAATTAAAGTTTCCTTCATTTGCATTATCATCCTATTGATTTATGCACATGTGTTGTTCAGTAGACTGATTAGTCCAAGTAATGTTTATTTTCGAAATGCTTTTAACATTCTAAAATGTGTCTTATTCACAGCTGGACTAGGCTTGTCTATGTCAAAAACTTCGAATGATGGAATCTAAAGAACTACGGAATTGGGGCTTTGTGTGTTGAGTCTGGATGAGCTAAAATAACATTCGTCAGATCTCTTTTACCAGAAATGAACTTCTTCCCGCAAAACACATATATCAATGATCCTACAAATCTATTACCATGAAGTTATATATCAAATATGCCAGGTGCCCTTCTACAGGGTGCGGTGTCCAAAAAACAGGACCGTAAGAAAGTTGAATAACTCGATCAATTTTGCATATTTCGCCTTGAAATTTTAGAATTATCAGTTCCTTCAATGTGATTTGTTCTGAAAGTTTGATGATAATCTGTTTATTGTGTCAAAAACTACAGTACAAAACATGCTCAAAGTGGGCACTTCTCCTCGCTATGCAGAAACGAATCCTGCGCACAAAGTTGTTAATGACCCTGACCTATACACATTAATGTGGATGGTAAATATTGGGGTAGTTATTGCCCTCTTAAGATTGTTATGTTAGGGGCCTGTCAGTATACACTCTGGCTTTCAGAAATCCTCAAAGATAAAAATTTGGGGGATTTAGATCTGGCGAACGAGCTGCACATATGGTTTGCGTTTTGCAACTGATGAGCTGACCACCAAAGCATTGCCTAAACCATTTCAGCATATCATTTGCAGAGTTGGGGTGCTATTGGCTTGATATTATTATAGATTCTTTTCAAACTTCCTCAACTAAATTCACATTGAATGAACTAAATAATTTTGAAATTTCAAGTCAAAATATGCAAAATTGACCAAGTTATTCAACTTTCTTACGGTTCTGTTTTTTGGACACCCTGTACTATATCACTGTTCCACAGCTGGATAACTCTAACTACACTTAGCTACATTCAAGATGGTTGCCCAATTTTTTTTGTTTTCGACAAACCTCCGATTTCAGCTAAACTAAGTTGAATCTGGATTCAAAATGTTTCGCCTTGCAAATTAATAAAGCTACGATGGTAAATAACCACAAATAAATGCTCAAACAACCGCGATATTGGAGAATTTTAAAGAAAATGGCTTCATTTAGAATGACTCTAACTGAAGATCAAATTTAAGGGAACTTTCTAAAATGCCTGCCACGTGAATTAACCCGAAAGAGCCACCTGGTGGTAAAACTACCTACTCGCATCTGGGTAATTGAAACAATGTAACATAGAGTTTAAGAGTGTGAAATGAATAATTCAATATTTCAAGTTGTGTATTTGACACACCTTGAATAGCATTGCATGTTACCATTACAATTAAAGCAATATGGACCGATTGAAATGTTAATTTAACTGACATAAATAGTTGTGTTTGGCCTTCACAGTCAAGCGTTATTAACAGAAGAAAAAAATGAACTGTTCACAACAATTGGTTTGGATACCCCAACAATTTACTTTTAATTTGAGGTATCATGATGACACTTTCAGCCGCACTTTCAACTCTCTATTTTTAGAGATATGTTGTACTAAATCGAGATATACAGCTAATTACCCTCTATGACACAATGAATTATGAGTAGTTAGTGGCCCATATCGCATGCCTGTCAACCGTTACATATGCCATATATTTATCTTGCTCTGTGGTACCGTTTTATGCCAAAAAGAGATATCACCTAGCATTCTGATGACGCAATTCAAGACCTCTTGGGGTATCGGATTTAAATCTGATTTTAATTTGTAAAGATCAATGTTTCTATCCCGTCTCGCATACATCATCGTTCAATTTTTATCATATTGCATTTCAAGAAATCAAGATATCAAATGACAAGGAATATACTGGCAGAATAGA